AAGAATCAGGGGGTGGATGCTGGCTCTTGGGAAGTGCAGTTTGCGGTGAAATTGATGGACATGTCGCTTTCGCGTCGACAACTGCAATTGTTCAGGCGCGAAACGAACCGCAACCACTTCATTAGCAGTGTACCCAGAAAATCACCCAACAAGCCACCACTCAGCCATTTTGGCAATCAAGGGGCGTCTCTTCTAGGAACGTCTCGGGGGAGTCTTATTATATATACATATATTTTTCACAATTTCGCAAACTTGTGATGTTAACAGGGAGGGTTTAAAGATGTTTAAGGTCTTAAGGCTTATCATCTCAATGAATTTATTATTTTATGACCATTGGAAATCTTCTACTAAGACATGGCATAATACCCTAAACCTATGCCTTAATAATATCAAATTTTTCACCCGTCCATCTTTTGATTACGCCCCTGTTTTCCTCATCAGCTGCGGACGCTTTTCACTTTGAATGAAAAGCTTGGTGGCCCAGGTAGAGGAATTTGATTTGTCGCCCGACAAGTTTTTGTAGTTGCCTCGATTCATTATTTCTTCGCTCGGACTCTGCTAAATGAAAGGCGGCATTTCTGTTGACACTGTTAATTAATGGCAGATTAACTTGTTCATTGTTTCGCTTACATTTCGCCACTCGCAATTCGCAATTCGTATTTGCGATGTTCGCTGTGGCTCACGTGCGTACTCATAAATCACGCATACGCCCGGTTGAACGACCTCGCCGGCAATTAACAAAGCGGCCAACAAGGGCGTCCTGTCAATGTGCCAGTCAGTCATTCAGTCACTCAGTCACTCAGCCAACCAGTCAGCCATTCGCTCTTCCGGTTCCGCCTGCGGGACGGATTGCGTGCCAAATGATGTGTCACCTCACATTCAAATCCCGAAGTACCAACACTAAAGGTTCAGCCACATATCCCGAGCCAAAAAAGAAAGCATTCACGGAGAGAAAATAGTTCACGAAATGGTAGATGGTAACTTGCCATGACAAGTTTGGAAAAGTAACACAGATCTTTGAATTTGGTCTAGAAACTATGCTTAAAAAAGACTTTATATAATGCAGACTTTCATTTAGAAGTCATATTACTTTCCCCCAGTGTTGACATGGATCCTAAAAACAGGGCTGGCCGTGTGCCAGCCAAGTGGATTGAGCCTTTCAGCCCTCGGTGTCTCCAGTGAGTGGAGCCATCACTCCTCTGAGCGAGTCTTGAACATGGTGCCGGGCCCAATTCAATTAGATGCCAAATGCAATTAGCTAAATGGCTTCTCGATGTTGTGATAAGCACCCACCGGCACAGCCGTTTTCGCCCCCTTCACCCCTGTCTCAGCAGTTTTCATGGCCGCCGGGCAGAGGAAACGGACTGGGAGTTGTTATTAAAAGTTTTGCCACCGACGGGGCGAAAAGTTCAACGGAAAACTGAAAACTGTGAACGGGCTTAGCTAACTTCTGACAACGATTTAGACTGCAAGTTAATGCTAACTGTACAAGGTTGCGCTTTAAATGTGAGTTCTAAACTTAAGGTAAACTTTGGAGACCATATTGCCTCAGTCGGGCCATAAAACTAGATTTTAATGTTGTAGTTTAAAATGATTATGAGAATGTTTTAGAATTCCCGAATGCTTAACTTCTCTGTGTTCTTTAAAAGGTTTCTTTAAATGAAATACAAAAAAAATATTAAATTCAGCACTATTTCTGCCCTTAAAAAGTAAAGACCAACAGGAATTTTGCATTCACCAACGGAATATTCGAAAAGACTGCATTAATTATGTGAAAATAAAAAAAAATGATTTAAATGCCTTTCGGGAGTTGAGTGTTAAGGGTTTTCGGAGGCCTTTCAATGGCCATTAATTAAACATGTATTTCCGGAATGCGGTCACTTAAATTAAATCGTAAAATAAATAAATGCAGGTTTAAATTTATTCCTGCCTTTTGATTTGAACTTTTTTGCTGGCTTGTTTATGCTTGCTGGGCAAACAGTTTATGATTGGGCCTGCAATTTATACAAAATGCCGCCATTAAATATGGCGCCTATTTGCTTATGTCCTCACGAATCGTAAGCCACGAACAGCCAACAACCCACCACCCACCACCACCCTATACAAACACAAAACAGAAACACAGACAGACACACACAGACATACAAAAATACGAAGCCAATCTTTGTAATACGGGGCGGATGTGTAATATGCTTTTTATACTTCTGTTACTGGCTTTTTGGACTTTTAATGCTCCTTCATCCATCAAACTGTTTGCCAAAGCACAAAATATGCTCATGCTTGTTTGCATGTCTTTTAATATTTTATAAACATTCCCAAAGCTCTAAAACTTGTTTATTTTTCAGCTCTTTTGGGTTAGAAGAAGAGATTTATTGCCTTCTTTGATGAGTTTTAAAAGTTTACAGATCTTAATTTCGTATTTATAGTATTTATTCCTTAATTGAGTTGCATTTTTCCTCGGTGTATCTGTGTAAATCAGTGTCATAATGCCAGCCACCATATCCTCTGAGGAAAACCTGCGATTGCAGCCGCATCGATGATCAGTGAACTGCAATAATTCGATTTCGATGCGCAGCTCTGGAGCCAGAAATCTGGCTGGTTAACTGCTGAAGCCGTAGGAGTTGGAAAATGCCAAGGAAAAGGAAAAACTAAGAGGGGAGTCGGGGGGACAGGGAAATCCAGCCAAGGGAAGCCATCAACCTGGGCGCCTGCAGCAACCTGCAGCTTAATTTGTGGCGCAATGTATGACGAGGATAGAGTAAAAGCTTCCCGTTGCCTTTGTTGATTGTGAAGGGCAGGCAGAAGGGCTGGGGTTGGAAAAGAAAATGACGTGCCATGAAATTGATTGCAAAGTTTTCCCCCGAAAAAACTCAAACCCCAGCAAGCAAAACAGACTGAAGTGGAAGCTCCTGGAGCTCAGGACTCAGGTGGGCGTCGTCAAAGGTCAAAGCAGCGTGCATAGGCAAAGCAAAAAGTGCTAAACCCCTCTCGTCGACCCTTTAACCCTGCTGCTCAAGTGGCTAGAGTTTATGCTTGCCAGCCCTGTCGATCGCATATTAAATGAGTTTACGTTCAGGCACCTCAAAAAGCCCCTAAGCACGCCTTAAAACTGCTCAGCTGCCAGGCAATGTGGCCATCAATTAAAGTGGTTTATGGCCAAGTTTATCCTGAGGATGTGTTCTAAGAAAATGACGCACTTTGTAGTCGCTCTGCCGGGGGGGGAAAATACATTCTTAATCGAAGTTTTCGCGGCATATAATATTTACAGATACTGCTTCTAATAAAGAATAATGGCGGTAGGTAAAGTTCATTTATGTGAGTTATTTTTCTTGGTTTCTTGAAGTTTATAAAACTTTTGTTTTTGTGGAAAATTCTCTGTTAAAGTTTTTCAAGGAAGTACCAAAAGTAAAGGTTTTTAAAGGTTTGTTTGCTAAATGATTTATGACATTTGTTTAATATTTATATAAAAATTTATTTCCCTCATCACTTATACATTTTCTGTTATTATTATCTGCACTTTATCTGTTATTTCTGCACTTTATTGACTTATTTATTTATTGATTTGTTTAACCATCAACCCATTTTATTTAGCATTTGTTTGTAATCCACTGGTTCAGGGACATTTTAATTTAAACTTTCTTTTTCCGTCACCATTTTACGGTTGTGGAATAAAAGTTTTCATATTTCTTGTTTGCTTTCTATTTCCTATCGCCAGTTGCAGCAATGTTGGCCAAAAAGTGGACCTCTTTTTGGGACCGGACCCTGCCAAATTGCCAGTGAAAAGGGTTCTTTGGCGATGTGACGTCAAAGGATGTAAAAATAGCTGCTTACTCAGTTTGGCCAGGAAACAGCATCGCACAAAAAGTGTCCCACAAAAAGTTTCAATTAGTTGAGTGCAATGTTTAGACATGATGACGAGGGCCCAAAGACTTCCAACTTTTCGGAAGCAGGACAAACCCATGAGGAATACCCCAACACGGGGGCATTTTCCATTTACAATGTTCTCATTTCTTTTACAACTCCGGTGCCCATTGGCACACTCCCGGTGGATATCCTGCACAGTTTTTTCGGATCACTATCAGAACGGATGTGAGGTACATCATTACATGCGCCCATTCAGTTATCCACATTTCTGAATTAAACATTACTGACCGATGGCAATGGCTTTTAGCATCGCTCAACCATTCTGATTGTGTGGCGTAGCGAAAGTTTTTCTCATTTTTCACAAACACGGAAAATAAAATTTAATAATTCTGTCAGGGCTTTAAAAATAATCAAATTATGTTATCTGATTCTGATGAATTTGTTGCAATTTTATTCAAATGTAAATTTGCTTATGTCTTCCTACTACCTACGCGGTGTGTTCAAAAAGTAAGGTGGCTCTTCAAATTTCGCGAATTTCAAATTTTTCGATTATCGATTTCTTTGTTTTGTTATATTGGTACACTCTTCCCTAACATCTGTACCAAGTTTCAATGGAACATCCTCTTTTGTTTGGTTGTGAGAGGCGTAAAGTTACAAGTTGTTTTGCGAGCTCGGCGATTTTTTGCTATCGAAAAATATGGATCAAAGGATTTGGATTTTTTGGCCAAAAACAACACCACAATAATGCCTCAGCCACCATATTCACCGGATTTGGCCCCATGTGACTTTTTCTTGTTCCCAAAACTGAAGATAATCGAAAAATTTGAAAAATTTGAAATTTGAAAAGTCACCTTACTTTTTGAACACACCTCGTATAACTTCTAAAAGGTTTCGATAATCGAAAAATTTGAAATTCGCGAAATTTGAAGAGTCACCTTACTTTTTGAACACACCTCGTACTAAGTTTTAAATTTGATTAATTTTGAAGAAAAACTGAGTAATAAAATGTAATTCCATGGCAAAAGTGAAACTATTTTTTGCCTCTGCAGTTTGCGGGGACAAATTGGATCCGCCCACTCATATTATTCGTTCCACATGTTATTTGATTAATTGGCAGGGGGCAAAGTGTCGCTTACCGATATTAACGATGCCATGGTTGGTTAGTTCCCAGCACGACTGCAGTCGCAGGATGCTGAGGCTGTGGCTCTGTTTGGGCGAGAAATATCCGAGTGCCGCATCCGTGACATGGTAAGCCTGTTGGGACCGAAAGGAGATTCAATTAATTCGATACGAGATGAAGGTGGAGTAGTAGTGGGTGTAGACCAGTAGAAGCCACTCAGAGGAGGAGTGGCAGATTGTCATCAATCTGGACTTGCCTGCAGTGAGAACTCGTAGAGGGAGGGCAATAGCTGAGCCACCGCACCAACCGCTTCGTCCGCGATGTTGATGCAGTCCGCCAGTGACAGGGATACGATTCGGGGCGTTAGACACGCCCACAAGCCCGCCTCGGTCACCTCGTTGCAGCCAGCCAGCTCCAGTTCGAACAGACTCTGCAAATTGAATGGGTTAAAGTATTATAAACTACGAAGACGATAACGAAAGTGGAAAAAAGCTGGTAACTTTTTTTATTATCAAGAACAGTTTTAAAGGTATTAAAAGAAAAGCTTACTTAATTATTAATACTTCGTTTTTCTTAAAATCATTTATAAATTCAAGAACAGTTTTTATGTAAAAATCTGCTAAGAATGTTGAAAGTTTAACAAAAATTGTACATTAATCTAATACTTTTCTATGTTAAATGATTTCTATGTCAATGAACTTGATTATTCACAAATATATTGAAGAAGATTCGACATTCCTTTTTTCATGACTGAGAAACGTTCGATATTACTTAGAAAATTCCCAAAAATTTGTTTCAATTCTCTTGTCTCTTGTCTAAAAATTTGCTATATTCGTCTATAAGGGTGCCTTCTGGTCTGTCATCAAACCGTCAAATGTTTTTACGATCTGCCGTCGGATGAATTCTAAAATACTTTTGGACATTTCACAGCTTTCATAAACGTTGACACTTGGCTAGCAGAAAATGAGAAAGGCCAATCGCAGGCGAGTGAAAAATATCAAAACGAAAATACCTCGTTACTTATATATTTACATAAAACATATATAATTCTATATAAATACTTTGAATGAGGCATACGAGTCTCAGGTGAATTTACTTGTTAAGTATCTGCCGAAGAACATTTTAAATTGCCACATAATTAAGAGCGTATTTTAATTTTCCTTGACGACCATGAAAATAACCGCTAAACGATTAAATGCTTCTTGGGAAAGCAATTTAAGACAAAGCAATTACAGAGACCCAAAAGTAATTTTAAGTTTTTTCACAGATGTAAGCAATTAGCTGGGCCAGAATGTCCCGCAGCTAGAAACCTAATTGGTTTTTGCATTTACCCTATACTCGTATATCATCCAGTGGACCGTTAACAAAACACGAAAAATTGCATACTGAAAAACTGCATAGTCCCTGGGAATGCTGGAAAATTGAATGGAAAATCCGACCGCAGAGATTCACAACAAATTACTGCTGCCACCTGGCGGCTGCTATGGAGAAGGTGTGGGTTGCCATTGAAATTAAATTAAATTGCAGTGCTAGGAACTTTTTGGGTGCCGAGATTTACGAGTCAACAAACTGGGAAAACTTTTATCCTAGCTCAAAATAATTTCTCCATGCGTTACACTCGTATACGAGCAATTTAAAATCCTATAAATGGATAAACTTTGACCTTTTCAAGAGCAAAACATTGTCGAGGAAGTAAAAACGAGAAAAACACATAACACATCTCGATTCGAGTGGCAGACTTTGTGTCGTTATATAGACCAGGGCCATTGTTGTTGTTGTTGTTGTCGTTGGGTTTCTCGATCGAGGGACCAACCCATTTCCCTTTCCCTCAAACCGGAAACAAGGAAACAAAGGCGATAAACAGCAAATGCAGCCGGAAGCGCGATATAAAAATGAAAATCCCAAGGATGGTCACACACCAAAACGCATTAAGCGTGGAAACTCTCACTCCCGCCGGCTGAACAACAACAATTATTTCTATTGTTGACGCAAAAAAAAAGAGAAGAACCTGAGAAATAACGAAACGTAAACAGCTAAAACAGCAAGATACCAATTTAATCAGAAATCCCAAATGCGAATCCCCGTGAGTCCGTTCGTGTAATAAATCAAAATTAATCCATCCGCTGTTCGTTTTGCACTCATTAACTTTCCCAGCACGAAGGGCAAATAAAATTCAGGAAAATATGTTATGAAACAACATCAAAGGAATTCCTTTTAAAGGTACTTTGGCTTATCTTAAGATGATGTAACTTCACAAATTTAATAAGTTCTGCTGATAAGTTGATATAAATGATTTCTCAGTACAAGCGATTCAAATTAGAAAAGTGGTGAAAAAGTTCCCAAAACCCTTCCTAAAACCTAATCCTAATCGCATCTAAGGTTCCTATTAGTGGCCCAAAAGGAGCGATGCATAAATTAAAGGATGGGATCCTGGCTCATTAGCGAATTAAATGGTCTAATTACGGATGTGTTGAGTATACACGGCCAGTAATTGGATTCTGTACATCGGTTAACTTTTGCCAGCAATCAGCGAGGGAAGACCAACAACGAGCCAAGCCTTTTGGCATGACTTCATTATGAATGGTAAATGCTCGGTTGTTGTTTAGATTTTTCCTCGTTTCCCTTGTTTTTATGGACAATTGTGGAACTTTTTCCCCTTGGCTGGCTACCATACCCATACACACACAAAATACAAAACACACAGGGAAAACTTTTTTCGGTGCCATGTGTGTGCTTGGGGGTTGGAGTCAAAATCGATAGGAAAAGTCAACCGCGCCAAGGAGAGTTCCACAATGAAATGCTAATGGAGGCACACACATGCCAGGATGTGTGACTATTTAGCCGGATAAAGTTTTTCAGTGTTTTTGCCTTGGTTTCTGAGGTTTTCCTTTGAAACGATGACAGTTTCTGGCTGGCTTTTACCAAAAACAAAAATAAATATAACAAAAATTGCCTGCATTTCAAATTATCACAAAATATGGTTATGGTTTTATATATATTGTTTTATTTTGTAAATATTTCTGATTATTATTACCAGAAAAATAGACGCCAAAGAACAGGCAGCTAGTCTATCACAAATTTAATATTCTGTTTAATTTTATTCGACAATTGCATTTCGTGCTTATGTACTTAAATGGCAGACAACTTTATTTTTATGAATATCAAAAGCATTAAATAAAATGTAATCCCTCAAACGAGCGGTGAAATTTGAATTTTAAATAAATTGGCCAATTTCATTTCGCAATGGCAGAGGCAAAGAGGAATTCCCATTAAAAACGGCCAAAGGTGAGAGAGCATAGCATAATTTTATGGGTCAATGGGGTTGGGTTCAACGAGCTCAGCTCTCCCCTTCTACCAATCCTACTCAGAAGCCTGAAGTGGAAACTTTACAGAGCCAATGCGGAAATCGCATATATTCGTATTCACCAAAGGCGACTGCAGTGCATTTCCCATTAAATATGTATAGGAATGCAGGAAAGTCGCCGCATTTCCGTCGCATTCACCAGCAGCAGCAGCAGTAGCAGCAGCAGCAGTAGCAGCGGCAGCAGTAACTAGCATTAATTTGCGCGTTGCATGTTGTTCTGTTTCCCTTTTCCCGGGAAATGCTTAGTTTTGTGGTATTTGGGGGAAATTCCGCATGGTTAGCTCACATGCACTTTCCGCAAAGTCAGTCCCCAAGGTCAAATTCCTGAGCCCATTGGCGGGTTGATCCTTTCGCATCATGGCAAACCCAACATGTCCCCAGTGTGTCATTGTTGTTGACATTGCCAGCGACAACAATTTGCAATCAAACCATTTGTTGGCGCTTCCTGGGCACACAAACTCACATCCATCTGGATATCTCGCAGCCCTCACCCTGGCCATGGAACTAGGCTCATAAACATGACATGCATTCGCAGTGGATTAATTCTGACATCAGCAGAGTCCTAAGTGACGTGAGCATATGTAGGGTGGACCAATAGTGTCTGTCTGGTAGTTCAAATTACTACATTTAGTCTGAATAATATGATATTTAAGTTAATTTTGGATGTGACTTCCCTCAGCAACATATTACTCATACGCAGTGTAGCCTTTGATTTTCCTTTCTAATCAAAGTACTCAACTTCAAGGCACAATATCATAAAATAATTAGGCCTATCACCCATAGCTTGATGTTGCTTTCATTACAAAACTAATTTGTACAAAATGAACTACTAATTGTTGTAATAATAGTTTAATATTAAGACTTGGCAGAGGACTAGCAGAGGACCACCCTAACACACACAAATATATGGAAAATCAAAGGGAATAAGAGCCCGAGAAGAGAGTAGGAACAGTGAGCTCAATGAGTGTGTGACTGACTGAGCTGACAGGACCGCAAACTCATGTAGAATGCTGCTGCATAGAGGACTTGGCCACTTTCACATTCACAGCCACAGCCACATTCAGTTCACCAACATTATCCACTTTACTGGCTCCGCTTGAGTGTTTGTGCAGATGTGTGTGTTAGTGTTTGTATTTTCCCAGATCTTATGTGCATGCGCGTGTGTGTGTGTGTGTGTGTGGGATTGGGCCATTTCCGGTGACCCATGCTGGGCCCCTGGTGGATTAGGTTCCCAGATTGCTCGGGATTGGTCCATGAAATGAAATGAATGGATTAGTTCGCCCAGGGCCCTCACCACAGTTGGCCATCAATTAAGCTACCCACTTGTTCGTCCAAATTCGATTGGGGTTCCTTGGGATTATTGAGGCAGTCCAGCCTGGCAAACCAACAGAACAGATGAAATCAGAGTGGCAAGGCAGTAATAAAGACAAAACGAGTGGAATAACCAGGAAGGTAATAATGGGATATGCTGGCTAACCAGGATGAGTAGTGTGATTGGGAAAGTTATTGAGAAAGAATAGCTGAAAAGGTGGTGGTAATCAGGGGATTTGTTAAAACTTCCCATTCATTTTATATTACTTTATTTCAGATCAATTTAGTTTGTTTTTAATAACTTTGCTAACATAGAAATCTGGAATCTGTATATTAGATTTTGTGCTTGATTTATATTCATTGCAAATTCTATTAGAAAACCACTTTATTTGAGTAACAATTTCCATGAAAAATATCAGTCCAATGCACTTCTGCTCTGCTTCAAATAAATTTGTGGAATTTGCTGTTCAAAACAAACACCTAATGGCCCCCAATTCCGAGTGCATCTCATAAAAGATTCACCTGGCGGAGCGTGGAAATTATGAATGCACCGCGAGAGTACTTTCAAATGAGCTACTCACAAATTTCGCTCAAATTAGCGCAACAAAATAATAGGCTAAATTAAATGAAATTTATGACGGGGCTTTGATGTGATTTGCATCTGAAATTGATCGCATCAATTCATTATGTTGGCAGTCGAGTGACGAACTGGGTGGAGGGGGCTATCGTCTCTGGTCGGTGTCTTTTTGCCAGGCGATGACACACTTTCAGCTCTGACACGTTTCATTTCTCTGGCGCGCGGAACAAGTCCCGAAATAAAATGCAAATAGTTTTCATTTCAGAGACTCGTGTGCGAATTTATTTCGGTTGTGGCCCAAAGCGGGACTGACCACTGTCAACTTGCCGCTGGCCAAAAACGCCCACAACCAAAATATTCCTCACTCTCTTTATTTTTTTCTCTGCAACATTTTCCGATCCCATCTCCGTCGGGGGTCCAAAGGAAAAAAAGAAAAACAGAAACCAAATCAAGTCGGATGTTCAAGCCAAATGAAAGTCGTTTGCATGGGGCAGCTGGGCAACCCCCCAAAAAAAGAAGGATGGCGAGCTGGGAGCAGTTGCTCTGGTATGGCCTTTGGGGCCAGATTTCCGGACATTGCCATCTCGGCCCTCGGGCCAAGTTGTCTTGCATTTTAAACAAACGACAGCCCATTATTCCAGCTTATGTGTGTAGACGGGAATTTTGTTTACACATATAAAGTGTGTACTTGTATCTCAAGGGCGAAGGGTCCCCCCAGTAGTTTGGCAACTTTTCAGTCTGCCCTGTTACATCTTATCAATGATATATCTTAATGAGTGTTTGGTTTCGGGATGGATAACCGTTTGGAGAAGATTTAAGTGGGCAGTTTTTAGATATAATAAGAAGGGTGATTCAACCTTCTAATCAAATAAAAAATAAATAATTTTACAAAATTTATATACAACTTTTCGTATTAAAATTAATATAATAATTAAAAAATTTATAAACTCACCTGCAGGTGGTCGAGTAGGGTCTCCAATCCCCTATCGCTGATCGAGGAGCAGCGTAAGCTTAGCGAATGGACGTGCTTGGAGGCTAGCGGAAATGAGTGTACCACATCCAGAGCATCCTCGTCGGAGGCACCGACCAATCCCAGAGCATGGAATCCCCGGCGGATGAGCGAGTTATAGAGTTTGCCGCGATCACAGGCGGGCATTAGACGCAGTTCGCGGCACTGCAGCGTAGGCAATAGGCCGCTCCAGTAGCGCGGACTCCGGTACAGTGTGTCCCGCCACTTGACGCACACCTGGGCGAGAACACGTCGCTCGTAGGGCGAGAAATACTGGAAGAAGCGACTGAGAAAGCGATCGTCCAGCATCAGCTGTTCGATACTATGGATAGGCGGCGGGTGGAGCTGGTGTTGCATGATCAGAGGCGACTGGTTGACGCCCATGTTGCCATATGGATGGTGCAGGTGAGGATTGGGCAATTGTTTTCTTAACTGAAGCGGTGTACCGCCAGCACTGGCCGCCGCCTTCTGGGCGGCAACCATGCCCATGGTGCTAAATGTGGGCGATCCTGGATTAACTCCACCTCCCGGTATGGTTATGTTCATCTGCTTGGCAATGGACTTTACTGTGGGCGTGGGTGGCGCCCCCAATGGCATGCCAGTGGGCGGGGCAGGACCCACCATCACATGGTGATTGGAGTTGATCAGCGTAGAGGCCTGCAGCTGGAGATGTTGCTGCTGGGACTGTTGCAGTTGCATATGCTGTTGCTGCTGTTGCTGTTGCAGGAGGTGGTGTGTGGAGCTATTCTGGACCTGGGACTGGCCACCGGTCATGGAGATTCCTCCGGGACTGGGGCTACTGCCCCGCGAGGGTTTGTCCGGTGTCTGTGGAGGATTGGCGTTGCTGGCGGGCGAAGAAGCAGCGGCAGCCGGTGAAGAGGAGTTGCTATTGGAGCTATTCGATCCTGAGTTGGAATTTGAGTTACCACCACCGCATAGGGCGTTCGTTACGCGCTCCATCACCGAAGTCTTTCCGCTAGATGCCGCTGGTGTGGAAGTGGCTCCGGCTGGGGATGCAGGGTCACCTGCGCCACCACCACCACCACCGCCAGCACCACTGGATGTATTGCTGTGGTGGTGCTTCGACCGCAGCCCCAGCCCATTGATCCGTTTCGACAATTCGGCGGAGGCACGCTCGACCACGCCCTGCGCCGAGATCGATGACATCGTGTGCTGGAACAGATTCACCTTGCCTCCCTGGGAAACAGCCGTCTCGAAAAGTGGAGCCCTTCGTCCTCTCTCTCCTTCGTTTTTCACTCGCTTTCTTGTTTGTACTTCGCTAATCCTTTACATCCCGTTTGCACTGTGCTTCGCTGACCTTTTTCACCGACGATTAGCGAGTTTCACCTGTAACGAGGTAAGCCGATATGCAAAAGGGTTAATGGGCAGGTTTCTCGTTTCTCGTTTCTCGCAAATGTGGCCTTCGTTAAGTCATATATGCGTGGGTAAGATTAAGAGAAAGATTAACTCAGAGCCTGCTATTCTTAGTTTTAGTAGGAGTGAGTTATTTAAGGCTGTGTGATACACTGCTTGTCAATAGCTAAATCAATAAAAAAAACTCTTTTAGTATGCAACATATTTATTCTCTTAAATCTGAAACCACTAAACTTCTAAGAAATTTCCTCGAAGACCCATTGCAATTACATGATTTGTGGGAAACTGCCAACTGTGGTTTGTCACAGCCTGTCAATAGTTTCCTCGAGACTTAGACTTGCCCCGAAGTTAAAAACGCGGCACTTCCGCGTGGCTCAACACGACATGACCAAATAAAAAAGAAGGCCACAACCGGACAGATTTATGGCCCACTTTCGTCGGGTTGGCGTGCAAGCCGTAACCTCCGACCTCGATTTATTTTGCGACTTGTTGTGGCTGCAAAAAAGTTCGCCGATAAGGCAAACAATGTTCCAACTGCAAGCTAACTAAGCCAAGGTAATGTCCCACCAGGTGCATTGCCTTTTGAATTGCGATTTCGGACAGGAAGTAATAAGTCCTGCAAAATTTTTGGGCGGAAACTTTGGTCCTTGTAGATTTTCGGAAAAAGCCATTGGATTATGGTCATCACCGATAACTTTGAGAATAGCTCGTAAACTTAAAGATCCCTAACCCAGCCTAAAGATAATTGCCTAATAAAAGATGAAAATAATATTCATATTTTTTATCGACATTGAAATCGATAACATTTTCTTTCATCGTCAAGAACATAAATAAAAACTTAAATGCCCAATTAACTGCGGCCACCTTAAAAGCTTGTCTTATCGACTTATCGACTTATCGAGGGGATACGTTGCCTTTTTTCTGAAGAGGACAAATTTAATTGCCATAAATGCGCGGATTCTGAGAGAAGGACTCTAAAGCTTCAAGGTGAGCCACCTCCTTCGCCTTCTACGTGGAGCGCTTATCGTTGGTCCGCCTGGCTGCATCAACATCCTTCATCTTTCATCCTTCGACAACATCCTTGCCACCGAATGAGCTAGCTGAGGACTCTGGCCCAATCTTTGCAATCGTCGGTTGCCTTTCCGTTTGGACGTGCGCCCAAACAAAAGACAGTCATCTCACCGCCCAGAAGGCGTGGCAGAGACATTGACTGAGCTTTCTCTGTCACTTCCGGTTGGCTTAAATGAGGAATGTTTCCCTACAGTGCTCAGACAGAAAGTTCGGACCTATTTAAAAGTATTTTTGCTAGGGAAATATTCATATCAAAGATACTTCTACAGCTGACAATCTTACAGTAATTGAATTTATGTTATATTAAAATTTACAACATTTCATTTTACAAAACTACTTTTTATCAATCCTTACTAAATCAAGTTTCCATCCATTTCCCACCCAAGCACAGACCTCGATTAGAGTATTCAACCTTCGGTTTAAGTGGAGGCCCATTTAAAATGTGGCTGGTTTTTATTGTTGAGATTTGATTGTGCGACAAATGCAAATACAAATTTGGTGCACGACACAGTCGAAAGTTGGCATTACCCAAGCAAGCTTCCTCGGTCCTTTCCGTCTGCTACAAGTTACACAATCCTCCTTGACTTTGCCAAAGGAGCAGAAATAAAAGTGGAAAACGGAAGGAGGAGGCCCTGGCGGATTCTCAATTGGGTTCGAGTGGAAGCGAGTGTCCCAACGGTTGGGTGAAAATTGCCTTGATAATTTTACAAATCACTGTGTCTGCGACAGGGAGTCACATCATATTCTGCCCACAACTTTGTTAATTTAAGCCATATTCTGAGGCTGCCCAAATACAAAAGCATATGGTACAATTTGTTTTGAGTAATTATTAAGGATAAGAAAGATTGTATTTCATCTATCATAGTTAAAAGCTAATAAAGTCGAGTTTGAATTACTTAAATTGTTGATGACTGCTTTCGAAATTCTAGTTCATAATTTCTATCTATCTTTATAACAATCTGAAGGTCGAAATCGGCCTTTTTGGCAAACAGTATAGTTTTTATGCAGGGATCTCTTTAAGTTTTACATGAACTTAAAAAGTTATTGATTTATTTGAATGTTGTATCTAAACGCTTAAAGTTTAGAACTATATAAATGCTGGCTAGAATAAATTTTGTCTACAAAACACACTTCGTTCTATATTTCACCTGTAACTATCTTTAAACATCACTTTTAGAGCAAACACTTTACTTTCCAATTAGTCAAACCCAAATTGTTTAAATTAACTGAGCTTTCAAGAGCAAGTTGGCAAGGAAATGCAGACCCACATCTTGCCCTGCCCAAAAATGTTTAATTACAAGCTAAGTAATTTAATGAATATTCCGGAAAGTGCATTTCCCCGCCCAGCAGTGCCTAGCCCACCTTCCACGCCTCTCGTGTCGTGCAACTAAAATTTGGAGAAATTCTGTTTTGGGTGAGCCAGCAGTAAATATGCAGCATACGGTGAGGCGCATATGCACAGAGAAAAATGTTTCTATATGTATTTATTACTCTTCAATATAATGTTTTGGTTTTTGTTTAAGGTTGTTTTCAGATTGACATATTTAAGTTAAAAATTCCACTAAAATTAAAGTTTCTTAACTTTTGTAAAAGGTCTTCATATTAATAACCAAACTAAACTACTTTTTCCCTGAGTGTAGCCGTAAATATGGGTCTTTTTTACTGGGTATGTTCGAGTGCTTTCTGGGGGTTGTCGAGTGGGTGGCTGTGTTTGCCTGCTAGTGTATTTCATTTTTGTGTGCCCTCCGCTTTGTGCGCATTTTCCACAGCTTGGCTCCATGTCTATTTTTGGAGTTGGTTTGAGTTCGAGTTCGAGTTCGCGTGCTTATTGGATTTTCCAGCCAACCGCCGCCGCCTGCCACCCGCCACCCGCCACCCGTCTCTCTGTGTCAGGGCCTGCTCCACATTACCCGTGCACTTTGCCCAGATCCGGGTGTCCAAGCCCAGGCCCAAGCCCCGTATCCGTAAGCCTGCGTGCTGGCAGGGCAGCAATATCGATTTTCACCCCATCCGCCCGCTTGCTCCATTCTCCGCATGAAAACAAAACAAAGTACGGAGACTGAAAGGAAATAGTAACCCTCCCGAATAGCGAATGTCAATATTTTTCCACCGCTTCCCGCTCAAGTTCAGTGTTGTTCTTCTCATCAGCTGGGAAATTGTGGAAATGTGTAACAAGAATGAAGCGAACAAAACACGAGGACTGCAAAAATGTTGCACGTACGGATATTGGTGGGGGCTAAACTGCTTCTGGATAGTTGTCGAATGAGTTGCGGTTGCTTGGGATTCTATTAGTCAACAATTAATAGTTTCGATAATGCTATTTCGTAATATTTTAGGATATTTTATGCTTGAAATTTAACTTGAATTTTAGAAAATATTTGAAGGTTCTTATTAGCCTTAGAAATTTGTGAAATCTAAAGCTTTGAAATTTATTCACTTGGAAATAAAAAAGTTTCAATGCCAGATACAAGCATTTCATAAAGTTGCATATGGATGCCTTCAATATGCCACATAGATCCCAACTGCCATCAATTAAGTTATTCTGATGGCATTAAATATTGTTTTACGGAATCTGAATCCCAATCCCAGTCACGATTTGATCCCCCACAACTTATATCTATGCCCCGTACGTCAGTGTTCGTTTCTGGGTCACTATGCAACTTTGACCTGATTTGTGGAGTAGGCCGTCTATATACACAGTAAGTACATGGTATATAATGCATATATAGCCGTGATAAAGAATATAGTTTTCCAGATATCGAGCGTTATGCAAAGGAGTCCATAAAGAAATCCGCAATCAATGAGCTCAATCAAGCGCTCGTGAGAGGAGGACGCGCCAGGATGTCTAAGACCATTATTGCGATTATGCTGTTGGGCGTCGGTGGGTGGTATGACATCACAGACGAACGGGTGGTGGGGGTTGCTCTATGGGTGGCGCCAACCCCCTTGGGGGGCGGTTAGCAACCGGCTCTCTATTTTTCGAGGGTGAGCGCTACATTTTCCACACCAGAGGGTGAAACTGGCAGATAGCCATTCACGTGCCAACCAACAAAAATACTGCATTAACTAAGGTAAACCTCTCATATTTTCTATAGATATTTAACTTCATTTGGAAAATTATTTGAATTTTTTGGGTGTTTAAGAAACCAACCTTTTCCCTGCTTGATTCTTTATATAATACTTGAACTCTGCGTCTCACACAATAAAAATCAATTTGGCAAAAGTTGCGGCGCCGCGTTTTCCCAATTTCCCTTTGTGTTTTTATCGTGGCTTTCCTTTGGCTACCGTATTCGCAGCGAAAAACACAAAAACATACCGAAAGAAAACACACGCGAACGGAAAAACCAAAGCCGCAAAAAAGTCCACCGTCTCGCAGACGGAGAAGGAAATTGCAGTAAAACGTTCGAAAACAAAAAAAGAACCGTTTGCACGCTTTTGTCGCCTGTAATTATTGTGGCCGCCGTTGGAAAAATGTCGAGCGGAAAAGCGAGGAAAACGAGCGTTAGCGCGCACGACTCAAAATTCAAACTGCAGGCGGATGCCAACAGCGAAAGTGGGAAAGCCTGTTTCTGTTTTCCCCGCAATGAAAACCAGAGAGAGCCTGCGCATTGGTTACTGCTCTCTCCTTCGTACGCGGAAAAGCTTTCCCCATGGACGTAGCGCTCTAGGGGTTCAATGGTAATGTTTTCTCGGAAAAGCGCCCAAGCACTTTGCTCCTACTTCTATGTCTATTTGCTCGCAGAGTCTGCGCCCTGCACTTGGCTGCAAGGTAAACAAGCTCAGGTGGAGTTTCTGCGGGGTGACCCACCCTCTAGAAGAAGGCTTTTCCACGGAATTCAGGCATCTCACGTTCACGTGCAGCAGTTAGCACTGTAAATAGTTTTAACTACTTATCATCAATGGTTCTCTGGTTAATGATAATAAATGTGGAATTTCAACTATAAATTAGTTACGAAATACATTTTTGGAAAGTAATATTATGCAATTTTACCTAAGACCTAAAAATTTAAGTAGCAAAATTAATTTAACTTTTACCTGTCTATCAAAGTTCTGGAAAATTGTTGATATTTTTTTGGCAAAAGCACTTACATTTTTTAAAATGTAAATCTTAAAGAGATCCGGAAAAATTTCTCCGTCTATTGGCCCGCAACCTAAAAAAAATTGGCCAAACCTTGTTGAGCTTGTAAGCATATGCGCAGATTTTAAAGAATCAAATTTAAATCAATTCAACCAAAAGCCCAGAAACCTTGTTAAAAGCTTCTTAAATACAAAATAGAATTTCTAATAAAATACCTACTATATGTCCGCTTAATTTCACTCCATTCTGTCTGTTGAATTTACATTTGTAAACATGAAGCAGCTGATTCGGACTTCGCATTGTGTGCCCAATTATATCCATGACATTCATCGAGGACAACAGAAGTGTGTTGGCAGCCAAATAAACACGCAAGGGGATGTCTGCACCCCCGACCTCTAACATTGGGAGAAGTTTACCCCCTCGGCGGCTGCTTTGTTTATGTAGCCAGGGATATTTTTTCGTGTGGGCGAGCGTCGTCCTGGGGAGGATTACACAGGAATGCACTCGCACGTAAGGCGAAGTTCGCATTAAAAAATAGACGACCCTAGACAGTGGAGCATGAAATATTAACCACTTCGGCCAGATAAACAAAGGCGACCAGAGAACGACTTGTTGGTTTATTTTCACTTATTTGTCCGCCCAAAAACCATTTGAGAGTAAACAGCGCCCGTAACCGGAGCTCTCAATAAAGCCAATGTGTAATGTACATGATAACAACACAAAATGTACTGATGATTTATACATTATTTGTAAATGAATTTAAAGCGTTAAGCACAATTTATAAATGTACCTTTAATAAAATGCTTATCTATATAAAACGTTCATGACCATAGGATAGAATGTGTTATTTAAGCACTTTGCAGTTTTAAATTCGCATTATATTATTTTCTATAATCTTAAGCTATTGGCCAAACTTCGTAATTTAAAATTTAAAATATTTGAATGTGGCGATGTCGAAAGTTAAGCGCGCGCAAACAAAGTTTTTAAACGGGATAATTGTTTAGCCGAGTTTTTCACCTTCAAGTGTGGCATTACTAAAAAGAAATGTTCGCTCTGATATACGCATTTCCATTATCGATGCTTTTCCATCTCTATATACTAAAGGCCATAGGCTTAGAGAAATACCGCCTCAAAATATCGATGACAGTCTTGTTTTTATTGCAAATTTGGCGGCCGAAATTCTCATTTTTGCCTGAGAAAAACAGGTAAAATCGCTAAAATTGGAATCAGATGACTGCCGGACAACCGATGAAGATCACTGGACGTGCCGCTAACAGTGAATAACCGAAAATAGCTCTTTACCCGGAGTTCCGGGTCTAAGAGACTGGTGAGTCGCATGTCGAGCACCCAGGTCAAAAGAATCATTAATTCTATATAGACCATCGATTCGCCAGATAAACGCACGATGTCGTCGACATCAGCGGCTGCCTCTAATGCAGCTCCAGCGAAAACTGAGGTGCGCTACGTGACCGAGGTGCCTAGCAGTCTAAAGCAACTGGCCCGCCTCGTGGTACGTGGATTCTACTCCCTGGAGGACGCCCTCATTATCGACATGTTGGTGCGGAATCCCTGCATGAAAGAGGACGACATTGGTGAGCTCCTGCGTTTTGAAAAGAAACAGCTAAGGGCCAGAATCACCACACTGCGGACCGACAAGTTCATCCAAATTCGACTGAAAATGGAAACGGGGCCGGATGGCAAAGCCCAGAAGGTTAATTACTACTTTATCAACTACAAGACTTTTGTGAACGTCGTCAAATATAAGCTGGACCTGATGCGCAAGCGTATGGAGACGGAAGAGCGTGATGCCACTAGTAGAGCCAGCTTCAAATGCTCCACGTGCTCCAAGACTTTCACGGATCTCGAGGCAGACCAGCTGTTCGACATGGCTACGCTGGAGTTCCGTTGCACCTTCTGCGGCAGCTCCGTGGAGGAGGACAGCGCTGCCTTGCCCAAGAAAGATTCACGCCTGCTGCTAGCACACTTTAACGAGCAGCTGCAACCTCTCTACGATCTTCTTAGGGAGGTGGAGGGCATAAAGCTGGCGCCGGAAGTGCTCGAACCGGAGCCCGTGGATATCGATACCATTCGAGGACTGAACAAACCTAGTGCAATGCGTCCGGATGGCTTGGCGTGGTCGGGTGAGGCAACGAGAAACCAAGGCTTCGCCGTGGAAGAAACGCGAGTAGACGTCACTATTGGCGGAGACGACACTTCGGATGCCGTGGTTGAGCGCAAGTCAAGACCCATTTGGATGACCGAGAGCACTGTGATAACCGACATGGATGGTGCCGATGGATCGGGGGACGCGACGCACACTGCCAGCGGATCTGGAAGTCGAAATCGCAAGGAGAACGAGGACATCATGTCGGTGTTGCTGCAGCATGAGAAGCAGCCGGGCCAGAAGGAGCCACATATGAAGGGCATGCGCGTGGGGTCTTCGAATGCCAACTCAAGCGATTCCAGCGACGACGAGAAAGATATCGACAATGCCAAGATTCGTAAGTGTCAAAATAATTGTAATAAACCCTTTGGGTTTCTGTTCTTATAATAATATGCATTTTTTGTTTGTATTTACAGCAGATGTCGACTTTGACAACTATATCAACTCGGATTCCGCTGAGGACGATGACGATGTTCCCACTGTGCTGGTTTCAGGACGACCCCATCCACTCGACCAACTGGATGACAACCTGATAGCGCAGATGACGCCGCAGGAGAAGGAGAACTACATACACGTATACCAGCAGCACTACAGCCATATATATGAATAAGGGCGGCTGCAATTAACCACGTTTTCCCCGAGTTTCCCATCTCACGCATAGAGTCATTGTAATTATAAGTTACCCATTAGTTCACGAGAAATTGTACAAATGAAATGCGTATATAAATGTGCATAAAGAAAACGTTTTGCTTATATTTACATTTCTAAGTTATATTGGCGCACCTTTTTCATTCTTTGGAAATGTAGAAAATTTAATATATTTCTTAACCAGAAAACTATACGACCAGTTTATTACCTACTTAGCATATCAATTTGCAGGAGATTATACATACATATATATTATTATTTTGTGTTAACCGTGTCAAATTAAGAAGACTTAGACCTTTTTTTTTATCTGTTAGCATTCAAAATATTTAATATTTGATATCTGTATAGGATATTATTTTATCTACCATTTTATCTTTTTTGAGTTTCTGATTTATTTCTTTTTTCGAGTTATAAAGGGGCAATTAAAAGTGAGTCATGAAATTCATTAGAATTTTAATTTAAAATTTTGCAAGAGTCCTCGTGAGTTTCGCGTGCCTCGCAGTTCCATCTCTGATTTGGCCATTTCCCATCCCTAAACAGTCCAATCAGCTGTGTTTGCAATTTAGGTTTATTTTTAAGCTTATTTTAGTGTTGCTAATAAAACCGACTGACCGGGCGCCTCTTCATGTTCGTCGGTGGGCGTATCGCATTCAGTTTATAATAATTGGTGTGCCGTAGATAAGGCGGATTCGTAAACAAACGACGGCAAACGCAAACAAACATGTTGACACTCGGCTCGAAACGCCAGCGGTTCCAATCAGTCGTGTTTTGGATGTCCGCCTAGCCGGAACCCTTAATTTTTGCGGATTTCTCGTGGTTCGTGTTCTAATTCGGGCTAAAAATGCGACAAGTTCCCAGGTATTCTAATTAGCTGACGGGCAAAAAAGTTTTGATTTTTTTTTAAAAAAAAGGGAAACAAATAACGCACATGCAGCGGATTCCAATTGGAAAAGAAACGTGATTCCCGGTCACAAACACATGCATAATAAATAATAATAACAACTTTACTTGTATTAGTGAGACACATGCTTTTTTCGCTTGCCCTCGCATTTTTTGTGAATGAATTGGAAAACGCGCTAGTTTAGCACCGATAAAACGCCATTTAGTATTGATCTTTGTGCCGCGGGTCAACGTAATTACGCTAAAATGAAGGCCACCATCGATAAGGAGCTACTGCCCATGAAGGCTCACTACTTTCTCTTCAATGCCGGTAAGAAACACCCCCTAAAAAATAGGAACCCCCACCAAAAACCCATTATTTTAAGTACCGCGCATCGCTTACATCAGCCGATAAGCTTTTCGTGCACGTGCTGTAGGTTAAATGTTTCCCAGCTAATTGCGAACTTTTGATCTCTTCGTTCGATTTCGTCACATTGAGCACATATGTACATATTCAGAGCAGCAGGTTTGGCGATAAGAAATACACCCGGAATAGAATACAATTGAGCTCTAGCTAAACCGATCAGAAAGTCCAATACACTAGCGATAAGCTAATGCAGGCCGATTCGGGTTGCGATTCTCATCGAATGATGCAGCACTTTAATGGATTTTAATTAGAATCACAATTTTATTGGGTTCACATCATGTAATTACATTAACTGAATCTCTAGATTTGATAGGGATCTTTAAGCCTAAAGTTATAGTTTTAGAAACAGAAGTTTGCTCATAATATTTATGAATAGCCACGAAAGCAAACCTCAGATCACCATCCAATATGGTTTTTATTGAATTAAATCGCTGGAATTACGATTTATTTCAGTTTATATCCAACAAATAAATAAAACTTCATGTAGAATCAAATCAATTAATTGAAAATTTGATGGCCTTATGGAAAATTCTGAACACAAATGTCTGGGGTCTAATTAATTGAACACTTTATTTGAATTAAGTCCGCTTGGGAACAGAATTATACCATTTCCAATCTGACTTTAATTGCTCGAATTGACTCCCATATCATTTCTGTGTAGTTCAGATAAGGCTAATGGTGGTTAATTAAAGGAAAGGAAAGATTTTCCAAAGATATATTTTTAATTGTAATTTTTACATGCTTAATAATGGAGTCTTTATATAATAGACAAAGAGCTAAAAAATATATATAATATAAAGAAAAGGAAATAACTTTATGTGCCAGCTCTTTTTGTGCTTAATTTTTTTTATTGGTATAATAACAATGTACTATAGTAGAGTATTCTTGGAGATGCAAACACAGACATGAGATAAGGTTTTCCAAAGTTATTTTTATCTTGAAACTTCATAGCAAAAAGCTGAAGCAGAACCTCTAGGCAAACAAATTGTCAGATGTGGGCAAAGGTTGAGAAACAAGATTTAGTGGCAGCTCCAATGGCCCACTGACCTGGCACTCCCAGAAAGTCGTCAAAAGTTAAGACGTTCTGACAGCCAAACCACTTTCAGCAATTAAAGCTTACTCTTACTTTTTGTTTTTACTTTAGAACTAGACTACATTAATTCGACTTGTTTGCTGTAGAATTTGCTTATCATCGAGGGAGAAACACCCACTACTGGACATGTATACTGAATATCATGTTTAACTGCCCATATGCATATCACCAACTACCCACTCGCTCATCAAGTTATCAGCTCTAATGCGTCTATAAGATAATCTAGTGCTTTTTTCTGCTTTATTATCTAGGTACCGCTCCCGTTGTCCCCTTTATGCCGACTCTAGCCGGCCAGCTGGGTTACTCCCCAGCGGTTGTGGGCACCATGTACACCATTCTGCCCATCATTGGAATGCTCGCGAAGCCCCTATTCGGTTATATTGCAGACCGGTAAGATGATCTATGAAACTGATATGTATATAATAAAAGATCCTATCTTATACTTAAATTATCCTTTATCTAAGTAGTTTGTTATTCAAATATACAAAGGTTCCCTTTCGTACAACTGGCAACTGATAATGCTTTAAACGCGTTTCCAAACTCAGACAGACACAATTTTTTTTGTTTTAGAGTAATAAATATAGGAGATGTGCTTATTGGTTTACATACAAGTAAAATCGATTTGTTTTTGTAACAATTAAGTTTGTCTATAGAAATCAGCGATAACTTTAGCGTTTAAATTACGACGCTTTGTCATACAGTACCTTATCATAATAGTTTGAAATAGTAAGTAATTAAACTGACTTGACGTTTTAATTAAAAAGTATAGATTATTTGGTGATTATGTGAATTAAATTTGTACTTATAATTATTAATGCATGTTTTGCTTGTCATAATAATAAACAAATATTTGCTAACCCATCTGAAGGTACCATCAACATCGATCCCTCTTCATGGGGGGTCAGGTACTCACTGGCATCGCCTTCTTCCTGATCATGTTTGTACCGGGAATGGAGAAACCGCTGCCCAAAGTTGAGTTCCATTGCCATAGTGGTGTATCGAATGTAAGATTCTGCTCCAACTACGGAGAGTGTGTCGAAAGGAACCTGGAAAGGTACTATGGGAATCAATCGCTGAACTGTCATTTGAACTGCGAGGCTCAACCTTTCATGTGGGACATTGCGTGTCAGGATTGGTTGCAGAACAAGACGGAGAACTGCGCCGCTAATCGCACCAATCCTCAGATGGATTTCGAAACCAGCATCCACATGCAGGACATTGTGGACGATAACAGCTGCATGTACTTCCTAATTCCCCATGATCGTGGACAGATTGCCGGCGAAAATGTCACGTTCTATTGCCCAAAGGACAAAGAGTACTTCAAAGCCAATTGCACAATAGACTGCCATGAGGATTACTTCAAGGAGCAACTGGCGGAGAGTGCTGTGATTAACACAAGTAGTGCCATGTCTATGCCGCAATTCTGGTTGTTCTTTGGGCTGTTGATCTTCAGCTGGATAGGCATGGCAGTGGTAGTAAGTATTGGTGACGCTATCTGCTTCGGCATCCTAGGGGATCGTCATCATCTATATGGAAAACAGCGCCTGTGCGGCTCCCTCGGTTGGGGAGTTTTTGCCCTGTTGGCCGGCGTCCTTGTAGATCACATGTCCGTGGGTGAGGTGAACAAGAACTACACGGCAGTCTTCTGGATGGCACTGCTTATCATGGGCTTCGATGTGTTCGCATCATCCAAGTTGCGAGTAAGTTTATCCTTGACCAATTAAGAAACACGGAACATAACTTTTCTTCAATCATTTCATAGCACACGCAAACACATTTGTCCTCCAACATTATGAAAGATGTTGGTCAAATGTTTCTTTCGGTGCGCTGCATCATCTTCTTCCTGTGGTGCGTCGCTATTGGACTTGGAACAGCGTTAATCTGGAACTTCCTGTTCATCTATCTGGAGGAGCTGGACAAGATGTTCGAAGGTTGTGACAGCTCGATTAAGACCCTTGAGGGCTTGGTCATGGGTATTCAGTGCTTTGGAGGCGAGCTGCCATTTTTCTTCTTGTCCGGTTGGATCCTTAAGAAGATTGGACATGTAAACGCCATGAGTTTGGTGCTATTTGGATTTGGAGTGCGATTTATTCTATACTCGATGCTCCAAAATCCCTGGTACATTCTGCCCATCGAACTGATGAACGGGGTGACCTTCGGTCTGTTTTACGCCACAATGGCTTCCTATGCGAGCATTGTAGCACCTCCGGGAACCGATGCTACCATGCAGGTGAGTTTGCTCCGTCCGGGTACAAAATCCAATAGCTAATTTTATTCTTTTCTATAACAGAGCCTTGTTGGAGCGATTTTCGAAGGAGTAGGTGTATCCATGGGCAGCCTAATTGGTGGACAGCTCTTCGAATCGGTATCCGCCCGTACCACCTTTGAGATCTTTGGAATAGCTGCCTTCATCATATTCGTAATCCATGTATCCATTCAACTGTACTTGCAACGCAACAGCAACATAGATGAAAATGGTAAGGGTAAGGTCTCTTCCGCCTCCGCCTCTGCCAATGCCTCACCTTCTGCACCGTCCTTGGAGACAGACAAGCCTAATAATACTGACAATAAAGACGGCGACGGGTTTCGCGAAGTCGATTTGAGTTGATGCTAACCAAGATACTCCTCAATCTTTTGTAAACGGAAGTATTTTTTATAACCTAACGAAAGGCTAGCTCCCAGAAGTATTAACCCTTAAAATGAAGTGTAGATAGGTACAATCCCTATATTTGGCAAACGTGCTTAAAATGCCATGAAACAGGAAATCGATATTATTACTAACCGGAAACCACCGCATATTTCTTAATATCTAACATAGATTTTAATACAGGCTGACGATTGAATACTGATAACAGACAAAAACAGCTCAAAATGAATTTAAAGTACTATCGCTTGATTAAGCAAGTATTGTAATATATAACTGAAACTATGATAATCTTATCATTTTTTTTTCACTTTAAATGTATGTCAATTGAAATTGAACAAATAAATTGGGTTTTCCATTCTCTCGTGGAGCAGAGAAGCAACTACTTGGAGTCCTTTTTAAAACCAACTATTAAGAAGCAAAATAAAATAAAGTAACAAATGAATAAGCTACAATTTTTCAATTATATAACTTAACAATCTAACTCTTTTTGTATGTAATATTTTTTGGGGTATTTATCAGACTCCACCCCTTTCCTTTATTTATCAATTTATTTTTATATTTAAAAAAAAGATAAATTCAAAATGTTCACTAACTCTTCTGAATATTTTTAGGCACTGTCAAGTATTTCGCACCGACAGATGCAATGCACATGCTGAATGAACAGGAGTATAGTAGAGTTAGCTAAACGATGTTTGTAATTGGCCGCATCCACCACCCACAACACCAATCACCAACAGTCACCAACGAACCAGCTAAACAGCGTCAACAAGAGGCCACGCTTCTACTGTTCAACTGAAAGCTCCACTCCGACATAATTTCTACTCTCGAAGCTGCATGTTGAATCGATGAAATACCTGTATTGTAAACGTGCTTTAATTAAGTAGTAACTTATCTTAGTAACCACACACTCCCACAGATCGCCACCTATATACGTGCATGTCGCGTCAGCGAAACTCTTCCTCATTTACCTTTTAAATTAATGTGAGAACTTAATTATTTGTAGAATTTCAAGAGCAGCTGGTTGTTTGCATGTTGTAGTAGTTACGACCAATCTTTATCGTAAATTTTTAGTTTAAATATGCCGATGCCTTGGCACTGTGATTGTTCAACTAATGTTTCTCCACACCATCTTAATGTTAAACATATTTGTATATTTATAAATAATATTTGTAGCTAAGAGTATCGTAGTCATTGGCTTCCCCTACTCCGGGTGCATGCGGTTTTTTTTTTTGCGAAATCTCTTAAGTATTTACTTAAAACTATACACAATATACAATATAATGTTTTCCGACTTATCGCAGGCACATGATAGCCAGCTCTTATATACATATACAATTATTATTATGATTATTATTATGTATCCAAATGGTTTAACTTTTGTTCAACTGTTATATGTGTTAAGTAGTTAGCTAGTTGTTAACGGAAATCCCAATGTAAATGCACCTTTACAGGGGTGTAGAGCTTGTAAAATCCCAGATCCACCAGGTTAGGTGGTAAATGATCCACTGCTTCTACTGGCTGCCAATGAGCGACTCTTCGTGCTGTAGCCTCTCGAGTTTTCGCTGGTAGTCGCGTTGCTTGCAGGCAGCCACGTTTGCGGCGCGTTTCTGTAATCAGCAATTTAAAGCTAATAAATGTTTTAATCAACAGCGGTTTTCATTTTTGATTACTCTCTTTACTGTTTTATTTTGGGTTTTTTTTATTCGTTCTTAAATCATTTCTCACCTTCAACTCTTTGGTTCGCTGGTAGACGCCCTGCATTTCCTTCTTGACCTTTGTCAATTTTTCTTTGTACCGCTTTACATCGCTCATCTGCATAAATGGAAATGCTTATTAAGCCAGTTACTTTGTATTTTATAATGCCAAGTTACTTTGTTGGCTCTTTGTCTTAGATTAGATTGTAATCACAGACATTTGACTGCACTCATTGATAAGATTTTGACCAACTTAATTAGCTTGGCTTTCGTATATATATACATATATATGCCATAAGCTATGCGATGGTATTGTGCCTTATAAAATGGCCCTAATTGGCCTGAAATTCACATTCTGAATTATGGATGGTAAAAAATGTGGGTATATTGGGCAACTTCGTTTACGATCAATCACGATTTCTGAATAATGTAATTTGATATAACAGATAGACTTTACTATTACTTAAATAAATATTTTATTTAAAACTAAAATAACAGTATAATCTTTTTTACAAAAAGATTTTTAATTTTTTAAGGTGTCTTTCTTTCTAAAATGTGCAATTATTTAGGATATTTTTTGTTTTTTTTAACATGATTTGTTATTTTATATCTATTATCACTTTACAGCAACTAAGAGAAAGTTTTTTGAAATCACAGCAAAATCTACAAAAATTATAATTGTTGATACTTCTTTACACTTACTATATCATTCAGTCTGGCCACTTCACTACAGTCCAGTTTGTATTTTTCCTTGGACAAGTCAATGTATATTTTATTTTGCCTTCCTCTGAAATAAGATCCATGTCCATGTAGTAATCTTTAAAAGCTGAACCAAATCACTTACATTAGTTCCCTGAGCTGGGCACGCACGTGTTCCAGTGGTGGCTCTGCTATTTGCAGGACGCCAGCAGACAGTTGCAAAGCCGCTAGACTGCCCATAACATCCTGATCCTCGGAGGAGCAACAGGTTTCCGCATCTTTTTTTGGGTTTCCATTGGGCGATGACTGAGATGTGGTATCCCTAGCTGACTGCTCGGGAAGCTCATTGAGAACACTAAAAATTAGAATTACATGAGTTATGAGAACAATATAACACAGTTGTTTTAAGTTTACCTATTTATATTACTGCTCTTCAACATAATAACACAAATTTGTCAGGAAAATCAAAACAAACCAATAAGAGATTAAAACTGAAAAAACAGCTGATTAATCGGTACACAAATAACTGAGTTATCGATTCGGATAATGTTATATTTTATCCTTGTATTTAGTTAAGTTTCAAACCTGTATATTCGTGACCACTTCTACAGTTTTGCAGCCCCAAATCAGCTGCTTCCTTACGTCGAATTGTTTAAATTGAATTAAACATTGTTTAAATGCGCTGTGCTGTGAGAAATTGCGGAAATAATAATCGCAATAGCAATAGAAAGAAATGGAGGTACTTTCACTTCCCCAAAGAAGACCCTCAACTTCAAAAATGGATAGATTTTTGCCAGCGGGATAATATTAACACCTCCACAGGTATTTTATTAACAATTGTTTAAAGAGTAAATAATTCATAAATGAATTTCTTTTAAAAACAGCCTGTATTTGCAATGAGCACTTTGCTCCCGAGGATTTTGAGCGGAATATGCAGTACGAACTTGGATTTAGCCGTAAAAATCCAACAAAATTAAAACCCGGCTCATTTCCGAGTCTAAATAGACCCCAGAAGTTGGCGAAGGAAAGGAATGGGGGCCAAAAAAAGGTTTCTAAAAGTGTTTCTTCAGCGAAGATCGAAAGTTTGGAATTGCCTGATGAGAAAACTCCATTATCAGAAGCACATGAAACCATAGAAATCCAACTATGTGACTTTACTGCAGATTTTGAGGACTTTGAAGGTGGTTCACCAGGCGTTGACAATGATGTAGTGGAGGTGATCAGTAAAACTGAAAGGAGAACATTTTCTCAATTACCCAAGGATGCCAACAGTCTTCAAGATCTCAGGCACTTGGAAGTGGAAATTCTGGATCCAATGAACCCGCAATTAAATGCCAACGATCATGTGGAGATAATGGATTCAGATGGCGATAGTTACGTGAAGCACTTGGAGCATGAAGTGTAAAATGTTATGAAAAATCGAACATTGTATATTTTAATAATTTTAATTATTTAGATGTACGCTTAAACGCGAGGTCTTTTTTCTCAAAGACGAACGCAAAAAGCTAATGGAAGAAATTCGAGATCTTAAGGCCACAATTCAAAGATCAGAAGTCCAAAGAAACACTGGGAAGCAACTTGAAATCTATGTTACAAGCAGAAAGGTGGAGCGCATCCAGCAAATATTTAAACTTTTTCTAATCTTGTTTTTTTTTTTTAGAAAAAAACTCAGAATGAGTAAAGACTTTTAAGATGTGCAACATGGAAAAGTATGATTCGACTGACTAGTTTTTAAAAATTTTATAAATAATAATTAATTGTAGATATTTTTAAAAGTAAAATATATTATATGTTTCGGGAATCGAATAAATATCTAATTAATTTAAATTACTAGTGATGTACTGTGTATGATACATAAATATGATGCCTTCAAATCAAAATTTTTTATATTGTTTATTTTTGAATTTTTTCTTGGTTTAAACATATTAAATTTTTATGACAAAAAATATAAATTTTTATATATACATTTGTGAAATTTTCCATTTTAACTACTTAACATATGTCAAGCAGGCGATTTCTCTTAGGTAAAACTCAGGAAAATTTGTTTGCTACCTACTTTCTTACTTACCCACACCTTTTTCCTTTCTATCAACTTGAGCACTTTCCACAAAATCAGCGGGTACTGGTACTTGGTAGGTGTTCGCGTTTATCTTTCCAGGAAATTTTTGGGTAATCGCGGTGCGGTAATTTTCGCCAAGGTCAAAGTCATTACAATAGGCAAAGGAATCTTATCCTAAAATAACAATATTTGCCTACCTGGAGGAGTATATAAACCAGAGGTCGACTATGATCGACCTGCACTGCAAGCGATGTTCTCCGACCGACAACATCCAACGCGGACCGACGACAGCTTCTGGCGGAGCTCCACGGGACCGGCGCTGGATTTCTGCGGAACCTGAAGATCAGATGGCGAGATCATCGAAAAAATAATACCAACTCCGAGGATGCAATCTTCAATAGCTTTGCGGTGTCAGCAAATTAGCCGAATTTAGAAATTGTAAATTCTAGTTAATTATTTAGTCAAATTGTACATTTTAGTTAATGTCCTAGTTCAATTGTATATATACATCGTGTCAATTGTATATACCTAGTTAGCCAATTTAGTTTAAGTAGTGCAATTGTATATAAAAACCTTAGTCAAATTTTAGCAAAATTCAATAGACCAATTGTATATACGATCATAGACAATTATAAAAAAGAATTTATCAAAATTGTTAGTTCAAATGTAAATAATTTAGCAAATTTTTAAATTGTATATATAGAATTTAAATATACGTGATATTCTTGCAATAAAATGAAATTTAAAACAAAACTTTTTCAAATCTTTTTGGATAAATCACTGTTAGGTGAGAAATTGATTTATTAAACACCTTCCGCAGCTTCTAAAAAGGCATATAAGTGTTTAAAGTTGTTAAGAAGAAACAGCTTTAAAAATTGTATTTTCTATAGCAGCTAAAGATTACCTGATATAATCTACTATATCTTCATATTTAAGAGAACTAACCTAAAGGGATCTCAAATCTAAAAATAGTTACCTGTTTTTTTGCAGACATTCTTACTTTACACTTCTTTTAATTAGACATACCAAAATTTAAAAGAAAATTGTTATTTAATCAAATATATCAAAAAAACCTTGCTGTATTTAAATACTCATGTGGCGTTTTAAACATTGTTTTAATGTTAAAAAATTGTGTACATAGTTGCCTTTGCTTAACAATTGCATCTCTGTTAAAAATATAGATAAAAACTAAACTAAAAACGATATTGCGAACATAAGAATTATGAACGTATCTGTGATGAACACAAAATAAGCCCTAGAAGTAAGTACTTAAAAACAAAATTTGTACTAACTAAATTAGTAGGTAGCATTATATTTGGGCAGACGATCCTTGCTGACCGCTTGAGATGGATGGCTTTGTAGGCAGTTCAAAGCATGACACAACATATTGTTTATCCTTTTTTGAAGTCAAGAAGATCGTCTAGAGCCGCGGCCTTGCCGGAATCGTCTTTCTCCAGTTCCGCCCGCGTGCAACGGCCGCAGCAATCGGCGGAGGGTTTGTTTTCACACTCCCCTAGCGCTGGGGGCTTAAAGTTTGGAGTCCAGGGTCCCAGGCTGCCACTAGCATAAAAGTCCATCGGATAGGCATTGTTGCGAGGAGACGAGTTGTGTGGCGTCCACTCCACATCACCTAAAACTACCGAGAGCTCATAGGGATTTAACAGCGGCTGGGTAAAGGCGGATCCCCAGTCAATCGAAAGTCGCGGACAAGCAATCTGGACGAAGGCGTCGATGTCAGCGAAAAGAGCCAATTTCTGTGGGAAGATCTCCGACAGCAATAGAGTTGTTGTCTCAATGCCCTTAGCATGCAGTCGCTTCTCCAAAAACCGATGAACTCTGGAACTGCCCTGTCTTCCAAGTGTTCCCAGAATGATGCCAATACGGCGTGCCTTCTTAGCTCGCTGTACAGCGTCCAGGCGAATGTTTTGCATGGCCGTGTGGTCGTACTTTTCCACAGTAAACTTTTTCTCATAAGGATCATATTTGTAGGCCTACAAGTTTAAATAGCATTATAGAATTTAACAGGAAGATTTCCAAAAAAAATAGATAGTTACATTTAACAGCGGGTTGGCAATCATGGCGGATTCCAGATGGAATCGCCCGTCACCAAGGTAGATTATCATCTTCGTTGTTTCCGGCAACTGAGGAGATGTACAGCCGAGAATCTCACCGGGACTAAGTGGCTTGGCCTGGGGTACTATCACATCATAGCCGGCTGCCTTGAGCTCTGTGGATGCGGCTTGCAGCGTGGTTACAAACTGTATTGTGCTGACCAAAGCTATTTGGCCCACTTCCGGGCGGAAGTTTAGTTTTACAGAATCAAGGAAGTGCAGTGGATCAATTTTGATGTCCACAAAAATGTACAGAACCTTGATGCCACATGTCTGATCTACGGGAATAAGGCAACTGTGACCATAGTGCACCAGCAGATCTGCTCCCAATGCCTTGGCTGTATAGTCATCCACGCAGCAAGCCCCATAAGTCACATCGCCCATAATCACAGTATCTGCGCTGGTGAATCGCTCCACGATGTCGCTGATGACCATTGCGTACATTAGCAGACCCTCCGGCAGTTGCAATGCCACTCGTTTGGCCTTCATCTCTCGTATCCGCCAGATAGTCTTGTGCATCTCGAAGTTGTAATTTGAGGGCAGACGATCAATGGCCTGCTGCAGCAAAGGATCATCGAGCAACTCCTGGGGAATTCTATTGATCCGAGCCTTTGGCTTGAACACCTTCTTGGGCCTGGCCCGGACCACGACCACATCGGTGCTCTCGCTGGAAGGGAGGTTGTTACTTGGCTGGATCACGTCCAACATGGTACTGTTAAAGAATAGAGTTTAAATCAGAAAATTAGTATTTGATTTTTGAAAAAGAATAGTTTATTAATAATTTTTTCAGAATGTTCTGATTGAATTTGCCTTGATGTTCATTAGGTAAACAAACATTACAAACTTATTTTAATTATTTTAGAACTGGATTTGTAAGTTGTGTTTAAATTTAATTTATAAATATTTTAAACTAAACTTGAATTCTACAGCCAATCACCTCTTTGAATTAACCTTCAGAATATTAATAAAACGCATTGGCATTGACTTATCAAATAATTAAAAAGGTTTGTTTATGTTAAGATTTCGTTTTGATTATTTGAAATAATGTATTTGAATTTTAATATTTAGGTTTTTGCGTTGATATGCTCGACAAATAAACAATAAACAAAGCCACAACGCATTGAATGAATTTGGGTGATTCGACTGGCGTACGTGACTGCTGACTGGAATGGAATGGGATGACGAAGACCGGCCCCCGAATTCGAATTGCATCGAACCGGAAAAGCAAAACCAGAACTCTTAAAATTAACCCAAGTCAAGCGGATGAATCACTTAATGGTTTTGTCCCACCTTGGGGAAACACTTTTGAACAGGTACTTTCAAATCGGTGCGGCACCAAGGTCTGAATTAACAATTGGCAAGAACATAGCACAACAAACTGCTGTTCTATGTAGTAAACACTAAGTGTAGAACATTACGATAAGGCGTAGTAATTAAGTCGCCTTTGAAGATTAATTTTGAGAAATATATATAAATCTTTATTAAACAGCAAAGCACATATTTGCATTTTCTATATTATTTTAAACTGAATGTTTACTTTAAAAACAAAAACGAATAATAAGTTCACTGAATGACCCTATTCTCTTACCCGCTTTATTTGCTTAGTTAACAATATTAATATTATTTAATATAACACACAAGCTTGACGATTCGGACGTTCGATACCTTTATCAGTTGGACGTTAGACACTGTCTGAATGGTTTCAACTTCAGGGGTTGCGTTTTGTGTTTGGCTGCTGCACAAAAATTGGTCACTGAACTTTCCGTGTGTGTTGCGCCATTGATAACTGTTTCTGAGTCACGTAGGCCACACACCATGCAACACGGAACGGGTTGCAACTGCTACCTGACCCTGCTGATTACCACTACTTGAAATATTCGAAAGTCGTTTTAATTTCCCTTTTACATTCACTTTATAGTTTATTTCCTCTTTGATTAATTATTATATCACTGACATAGATAATGATTTGCCCTTAGACCTTTAATTTGTTGCAAAGTGTTATTCTGGCACGTTTACTCGCACAGCTGATGCCAATTTGTTGCTTCGATTAGCTTTCCCTTTATTAAACCCTATGAATTTGTATTGCAATTTGCTTTTTCCTTGCTTTTTGTTACATTTTACTTACAGTTTCTAATTAATACACGCCTTTTATAAAAGTTCAAGTAATTTATGTTCAATCCCGCGTGCGAAATGAATGTCGAATGACAACAGCTGATTTAATTTCCAATTGGTTCGTGAACTTGTGAACCAAATGGAACTAGATCGCCAAAAAGAACTATTTGTATAAATGCTGAAACTTGGCAGTGTTGAATAACGGAACGGTTTCATCAAAATTTAAATTTAAAAGTTAGAATTTTAAATTAATTAAAATTTGTTATGTATATTCAATACAACATCTATTTATTAGATTTAACAGTGAAATGGTAAATTTCCATTCGAGATTTACAGTTTGGAGCTCTCTGCCTCGGACACATCAGCCTCCTCCGCATCCTCTGTAATTACAATAATATAAAAAATTAGTAAGAAGTCCCTAACCATGGAAAACAAATTTTAAACCGCCTTCGTTCACCTACGCTTTCCGCCGGGCAGTCGCCTTTGGCGTTCCTGTTCCACGGCCGCAAAGTATTCCGAAGCGGCTTGTTCGCAGGCTCCTTCGAATGGAGCCATATTGACCTTTCCGTTGATCATCATTGTGTCCGCCTGATCCTGACCATGGTTGGCCTTAACCTTTAGCTTGCTTTCCCGGGACTTGGCCTCCAGGATCTTCTCGCGACGATTCTCTCGCTCAAACATCTATAAAAGGTATATATCGTTAAAATGTTCATATATTGGTTTGAATTTTGATCTTACAGCGGTGAGAAGTGGTTTGTCGTTCTTGGCTGACATCACCATGTTGTCGGAGACCTCAATAAGGAAAGTGGCTCCTAACTGGCTGCCACAGCTCACGAACTTGCCGTTCTCGTTGGTTCGGACACAATATAATGGTTCATCGCACACCTTAACTGTGAGAACCGGCTCATTCTGTTGCTGCAGAAGATCCCATGTATCTAAAACCCCATCCATTCGGGTAATGAAGAACTGCGAAACCCTGGGAGTAATATTAAGTCATTACATGTTAATATAATTTAAATATATCCTTTTCATGTGATTACTGACTTGGTATAGCTCCAAGCGCCATCGGTCAACATAGAGCTGCTGCTCTTGGTCCAGATGATGGAGCTTTCCCTGCAATCCTCCGACCAGATTCGGGCACACCAATCGCCCACTGTTAGGAAGTTTTTAACAAAGGCCGGATTCCTGGTGATGGCATACACCGGCCCCAGATGGCACATCATCTGTTAGAAGGGAACAATTTCTAGAAATTATAATCGTTTAAGGATAAAGACTATACCCGTATCTGAATTTTTTCCGTGGGAGTCTTGCCCTTGCGATTGCAGGAGAAGAGCATGCCCATCTCGGTGCCCGCCATGAATCTGGTGGGTATGGTGGTCTCATACTCTAACACTGATATCCCATAAGATCGAGACAGATCCTGATCGTCACTCTTCACCGGATCCATGAGAAGCCGGTCAAGGGGTTCGGTTAGCTTTCGAGTGTCCCACCACAACACCTGACCATCGGAGCCGCCGGAGAAGAACTCGGTGCCGCTCTTCGAGTTGTTCCAAAGCACCGAGTTAACAGGATCTCGATGACACACCTCCCGTTCGCTGATCATGACTGGATGTTTTCCATGTCGTGTGTCCCATGCTGCCACCTGACCATTGTACATGCCACTGACGAGACTAGTTGGATCCTTCTGATTGTACTCTAGGCAAACGCAAGGCACTTTTGGTTCCAATGTGAGAAAGGGCTCGTTAGGATTCTCCACTTCCCAAATGTAAGAATTGCATTTCTGGTTGGTCTTGTCGCCCTGAAAACGCATGTCGCAGTGGCTTACGGCCATCTTGATGCCGCCATCCGGGGACCAAGACAGATGCTTTACTGGCACCTTGATGGGATTGGGGTCTCGGTAAACATTGACCGTACGCGACTTACACGGTTCGGGCAGAGGAGCTGGGTCGAGGTTCTCAAAATAGTTCTCATAGATATTGACGGCATTGTTCTGATGAATGTAGTGCTCCATGGGCTTGGTAAGGTTCATCACTTGTGTGATGTAATTCTCGTCCTTCTCGATTTTCCGTTTGTATCGGACCGTCTGCTCTGGATCGTGCATATTAATGTCCTTTGGCCATCCGCCTTCATTGTGTGTAATGCCCGTACTCTTGTACGTTGCCCTTTCCGTATTGGCCACACTCAGTGAGGTTTGTCCAGCGTATTGCGTCACCCGGTCCACGGGGTTCTGCAGTATGTAGTTCTTAACCAGCTCCGGATTCGAGTTCTCGCTGAACACCACATCATCTTTGTCTTCGAAGTTAACGCGGGCACCAAAGGTGCGTCGCTCTTTCTTGAAAATAAATTCCATTTTTAACAGGAAATATGAGAGAACTATGACTACTCCTTGGTATCGCAGTCAATATTATGAAGTAAATTTAGATTTATTTCGCCCTTGGCAACTGGATGTTTGGTCAATATCTACTATTATTCGTAATCAAAGGGCTTCTGGTTCAATAGATACCTCATATGGGGCCCAAATTTTAAATTTGTTTACAAATTCATCAATAAATATAGTCCCAAACTCATATTCCCAATTAAACAATCCAAATGATCCACAAATATTTGCAAGTTTATTTTAAACATAAAATGAGAGATTTATTTCGCGTAGAAATGTTTGCAAACAAATGATTGAGAATGCTAAAACTGTCGTACTTACAATAGTAATAGTTATAGTAAAATTAATGTGATCGAACTGGTATTTTACAGGGAAATCGTGAGGCTTGGATCGGGGTTTCAACTATAGGGTATCTATACACATTAACATTATCTATATATCTGTTCTGTTTCATCAAGCACGGAACTTCCTGGCCAATAAAGAGTGTTTTTTGTTTGGTTTTTGGAAAATACTTGGCTTCCGATTTGTCTTAGGGTTAGGTTGTCTGTTGTCTGAGTCGGCATTCCATAAATTTACTCTTATACTGGCGACGATATCTAATATTTGTATATAGCATTGCTTAGCGGCAAATCGCTTGAAGATTTGTTATCGTTAGGTAGGTGTATTCGTTTCTAGCTTTGCTTCCTGCAACATCACATTATTTCCGCCACGCCACGTCTTCTAATCGGAACTACAAATGGAATCGGATCGCACTGGGGACGGGGTAACTAGAATGGGTTTGATTTGATTTTCTTTGATTGGAACTTATAATAAGATTTAGCACCAAAAGCAGCTGATATACGTAAAAGAAACTACACTTAACACCTACAATAGATCGCTCAAAAGTCATGCATAAAAGTGTATTCCTCGTTTGTTTTAAAATGAACAAATCGGTAATTAATATATATATATATATGTATATATACTGGTACTTTAAAAATAGTTTCTCGATACACGTTTTGCAATAATCAGTTTGACAAAAAATAATCGCTTATTCTCGTTTTTGTGGCAGTTCGTTTTGCGTGTCCTAAATAAGTCTATATAACCACTCCGACCTCAAAGATTAGCGACCCAATATTGGACCCTGGCAACTGACACGCGTTTATCCTACACAACTAATAGTAATCTTCGGTCCTGCACAGACTGTGATTTAACCGCAGATGTGATGATACAACAAGTTGGCAAAGAACTGAACTGAAGCCACGCTGAACTAGAATCTGAACCTTAATCTGGACAAACTGCAAACCAATCGAAACGAGCCTGGCGATTTACATACACACTTATATTGGTATGTAGTTATAGATTAGGGATTTCTTTATCACTTTGCTTTTTCTGATCCACTCCTCAACTATCCATTCCTCTTCTCTCCAAGGGTAAAACTTTAACACACGCATAAAGACTTTCATTGGCAGGCAAACAACCTTTCCACTGGGTCACCGTCCACTCCTCCGTAAAAATACTTTCGATCTATCTCTATCTCTCTCCCTTGGTCCGATCAGCCGGCTTACAACGAGAAGTACTTAAGAAACTGGGCTGGTGGCACTGGTTGGGCCAGGGCCAACTGTCCACCGGCTTCCTCTAGCCGCTGTTTGTAGTCCGGACTCTGGTCTACGATGCACGGGTGCCCATCCGATGGCCAGAAGAGACAACAGCAGGAGCGGCACAGGGCTAGCACCTCGGCGAACTGATAGTCGTCGTTTACGCCATAGGTACGACGCAGTTGGTGATAAATCTGCTTCCAGTCCTTGATATCCCCCATCTGTTTGAACTTTTCCAGGTCTAGAATGGTGTGAATCTGACGCTGGTTAAAGTGGAAGCGAGTCAATTCGCGCCAGATTCGTTGCTCGGAGACCAGGTTGGCCATGGTCTCCCAAGCCTCGGCGGCTGACTCCAGGTCACGATGGTCGGCAATGCACAGGATGATCTCCCGCACACACTCCTCCGGCAGCTCGTGCAGTTTTGGCTTGGCCTCCGGATCAGGCTAAAATAAGATTTCCATGATGATTGTGAACGGAGTAAGTCTTTTCTTTGCACTTACCTCTCGGATTTCAATCTGGCTGGCGACGCGCTGGATGCGCTTGATGGTGGCCATGTGCTCCTTCCACAGGTAGGTGCTGCCCAGTGGCTTGCCCCAGCACTTCTGGTTCTCCTGGCTGACGATGTGCTCCAGCTTCAGAGCGAGACCGCGCAGCACATTCGGATGCTGCTGGCTGTCATTTACTGGTAAAAAGTAAGTATCTTATTAAGTACTGTAAATTATATTGATTAGATAGGTCATCACTTACCATGCGAGGCTACCTCCTCCACCATTTGAAGGAGCTGCCGCTGAGCACTTCCCGGCAAACTGGCAATGCCCTTGTTGGACACGAGCAGAAGGAAGGCGCAAATATAGTGGAACCTTTTACGGTCGCGCACCGATCGTCTGAAATCCAGGCGCTTCACAGCCTCGCTTAGACCATTAAACCCAGCTATCTCTCGGGTACACCGAATTGTGATGTGGTAATGTGGTGGCATAACCGCGTCCTCCTCCGAACTGTCGCCGTCCTGGTAGCTGCTACTGCCCTCCGAATGGTGTCTGCAAGGGAGATTTTAAAATGTAATACTTATTAACCATTATTTTTAAAGTGAATTTAAATATTTTTAAAAACCATTTCCTTTAGATGAAATATTAAATTTAAAAGCTAAAACATTTACATTATCTTTAAAAACTTCCCGGAGTGTAAGGCCAGATAATCCATTGTCAATGCAACATTTCGGAAGTGATTCGGTGCAACTGTGTGGCGCTCCCCTCAACTTGGGGGATTAACCTGTTTGTCCAGTTGTTGTGTGTTATGCCAACTCTTGGACTGCAATTGCAACTAACATTTGGTTTTGGGGGGGCTTACAAGTGTTAAACGTTTGCTAGCCACTTTTCAAGAGGCGGAAGCTGGCCAATTTCCCGCCATCTGATCTACGGGCCCTGTCCGGTTATTAAATTAAGCAATTTGAAGAGGAAACCCAGCCGAGTGTCAAGTTTTTAGCCATGTTTAAATGCAATTACAAGCGTTGGGTCGCGTAATTCGTGTAATTGTACACATTTGCAATTCAATTTTGAACAAATTTCGGTGTCACCCGCTGGCTGAGAAGAAATGAAAGCGTTTAGCAGATGGTTATCGTGTACATAAGCTTTATGTATCTGGCATATCCGAAAAGTTTATTAAATTCACGGTTGAACCTCTCTATATAGTTAAGAACGTTCCTATTTTACTTTAGATACTTTTATGTGCCAATCTTCTAGACAGATTCAACATAAAATTACATTAGGCTAAAGTAAAACCGATTAACGACCTTGAACATCGACATTTTGCAGCTTTTGAAAGTTGTTGAAAAACCCCGAGCTAAGAAAATGTAATTACGAGGCAATTATAAGGGAAAACTTCAATTAGACAAAGTGCAGTCCCAAGAGACGAGAACAGTTTGACCCAGTTTAGGCAGGGGGAAATCAAAAACAATTTTACGGCATCCAAGGACAGGACGTGTCCTCGTCAAATCCACAACCACAAATGGTCAAGGCGCATCGATTTGGTTGGCGGGCTCTTGCCCTGTGCATTTGGGTGTCCTTCTCGAAATTTAATTTTGCCCACGAAACTAGGTCCGTAATCAGTGGGCTAATCCACTCACATTCCCAACAGAAGCTGTATAAAAAAAGAAGCTCCAAGGAGAGGAACAATCAAAGACAGGACGAAAGTGGGACGTGGAACTGGAAAATTGAAAAAGAAAACGCACAAAAGCTTCTGGCCCCCAGCTGAGCGAGTCGAGAGTCGAGTGTTGAGTGTCGTGAGCCGAGGACAGAGGACTGAGAACTGAGAACCATTGCTGTTGGGTTGGTCTGGTCCAAAGTAGGTCAATGCTTTTATTGGCCAACATTTCGTATACGTAATGAGGGAATGCTCATGTGCCTCGTACACCCATGTGTTGCTGCTATGTGATCTGTTATTGTTATGGTTTTCTTTTCTAGTTTTGGCATTGTATTTTCGCATTTTACTTGAGTGACACAACCGGATGCAATGTTTGTGTTAAAACGATTTAAAACCAATTTAAATGACTATTTTGGGAAGTTGTTTATCGTCAAAAATGTCTAAGGGGCATTAAACTATAATTATTTTGCTTTAAATTTAAGATCTAATCAAATATTAACACTTAATAACATTGGTGGTCTTTGCCACCGTTAGCGTAGACATGTGTTTATTACCCTTCAGAAAGATAACACCACAAAAACTAAATGGCTTCGCAATACTCACAATAGATAAAAGAAACAAAGAAATCAGACCATCCCAGCCAACACTTTATTATTGCAATTTTCAACGCCAATTATTGTGTTTTGATTACATTTTTTGCCTTACGTTTTCTGGCTCGAAAATCGTGATGTTGTCGCTGGCTGTGTTTTTAGATAAATGTGCAATTATCCGCGGATCTGTATATAAATAGCTGACGAACAATGAAATTGTTGTGCTTGCTCTTTGGGTTCGAGCGGCTCTTGCGCTCCCTGGATCCCTCCTACTCCGGATCTCCGGACCAGATGCAAAACTCCGGCCCTGCCCACAGCCATCGTGCAGTAAAGCCAACAGACCAAATCCGCGGCCGACGACCACGTGATTCATATAAATCACTCAACGACGTCACCATCAAGCGTTCGTTTACCTTTCTCCAAGCGAATTAAACAAATGATTCGGAGTGAGCGGGGCCCTTTTTGACTGGCAGGCGCAGCGGGAAAAACTACGAGATGCAGCGGAAAATCGCTTTTCTATTTTTACGCTTGCGACCTTTTTCGACATAAATAATTGGGAAATGGAGTTGAGGAGCAGTAAAGAAGCCACAAAGTGCTTCGAATTCTTCTAATTTTAGTGCCAGAAATTGGAGGAAAGCACATATGAGCTGTCCGCTCTCATTGGGCATGGAAATAATCATCGGTTGCCAAAGATATAATTAGGCATGTGAACATGCGGCTTGGTTGCATTTTGTGGAAGAAAGGAAACAAACGTAATTAAAAAAATTAAGAGTTTTAAAAGTCTTTAGCTAAAAGCAGATCAATTAAACAGATCTTCATACAAATTTAATAATTAAAATAAAATAGGCAAAGCTTTGAGGGAAAGTTCTCTGTTTCTTCAAGCTAATTTAATATTTTCGAAATATTTAAGAAGTGAAAATATCCAAGAAAATGGTATACAAACTTTCGGCAAATACCCATTTCTCGTTGCAAATTTCGAATCCATTAATCATTTTTAAGCAACTCTGTACACACGAGTGAATTTTCTGTATGTGCAGTAATATGTAAAGCCATTTTCCGCGACCTCATGAATCTTGATGGAGTGGGGGGGAAAATAAAGAAAAGAGGAGCGAAAGACGGGAAGGAAAATCGATCAAAAAGCGAGCGGGCGATCGTTGGTCCGCAGATGTGCAGCCAAGAGTGCAGTGAAAGTGGGTCCAATTCCGACTCCAACTCCGACTCGGTCTTGGAGTCCAAGTCGTCGGCACGTCCGTGTGTGCACTTTGGATACGCTTTTCCATGCAATCTGGCATTTCTAATTATTATTTTTCAGGCATTATCTAATGGGTTCAGTGCCGGGCGACGACCATTTGAATTTTTAATTGACCAGAAAGAAAGTTGGGTAATGCTCGAAACGAAGAGTACTTAACACGGTTACGGAATCCACACGCAAGTTTTTGGCGATAAGTCTTTGTAAAACCGATTTATTAGGAAATTTATATTGTAATACAATATAACTCAATTTCAATCACGTAAGTCAGACAAATAAAAATGCTCTACTTCCCACTATTTTTTGGAACTCTAATTGAAATTTGAAAATTGGCGTCGCAATTGAAAAATGTCAAAATCGAAACCTTGGGATGCTGATTAGAAGTCATTTTGACCTCTCGAAAATCGTGCCTTATTTTCAGATAAGCCGTGGAGTTACATAAGACAGAGGCATCGTAAAAACTACTAAAATAACGCACATGCTGTGGTTGTCAGGGGAAAATAGAGAGAACTTGAATTGCACTTTTGACAAGTCATAAAGAAAACACCAAATCCATGGACGGGGCGGTTATTTTTGGCCTTTCGAGTAGTCGTAAATGGGAGAAATGCGGAAATAACGCCACTCGTGATCTAGTCGGGCAGGAATACACAGTTGAGGTCAACATAATAACACAGCTATTTTCGTATTGAGATTATTTTTAAACCCAAGATCTAATAAATATCACAAATCCTAAGTTTGTAGCTTCAGAAACTTTTTTTTTTAATTCCATTCCTTCCCTACGCAGCTGTATAAAACTATAAAGTCCCCAGAAACTTGAAAGTATTCCAAAATTAGAAATTCGACAAAGGTGGGCACCCAAATGCATATTAAGACCCGATGGAATAACTTTGAGTGGCGGCCAGACGGGGAAATATCAGCCTTGGAAACTTTCAAAAACCCCAAGGAATACATATGCATGGGCTGGCCGTGCATTTAATAACCGTAGGCGGGAAACTCGGTCAAGTTTAGGCCAAAGTATGGGATTGTGAGAGAGCTTGCAACGGCGCCAAAAGCTCAAGGTTCTGCACCGCCAACTGCCGCCCACTTTTGACCTCCCAACTCCCTTTTTTCCGCCCGACATCCCCTTCGAATCGATTTGGTATATGTCAGTCATGACCCAAGTATTTTCAATAAATACATGCATAATGGAAATCCATCATCATGTCAAATTAAAAATGAATAAAAGTTAAAAATTCAATGCATTGTAATAAGTAGATGAGGTTTCCTTATGCTGGTTTTCCCAAAAGTATAGTGTATACCCTTTATAGTTAAACTTATTCTGAGCAAACATAAAAACCACTAACTTTTTCGCAGTTCCCGTTTTCACTCTCAAAGTCTATTGTCTGAATGTTTGTAAAACTTTTTGTTCCACTTGCAATTTCCAATTGCATTCGAGCGAACAATAGCAATCAATCAAATGAGCAATCGATCAGATGTCCGAGATACAATCCAGCCAACCCATCTACCCATGGCAGCACTCTAGATACGGATATCAGTGTGGAACTTCTGCTGCTTTCACAGCAATTTGCAGTGACTCACCGCATCAAATGTGGCTTTTCAATTGAGGCAGACTAGGGTAATCACTAGCTCCACATGACATTCTAAATAAATCGAGATGGAATCATCGTGAATTGAGGAGCTTTAAATGCATCTCTTCAGGGGCATAAAACACAAACATAAGACTGAGTATATGTAGCGTCACAGATTTGACGACGTTTTACTGCCTGGGGCTTAAATTTGAGAAATCATTGATTTCGACCAACGAAGGGAAGTGGACTCCATTGTCTGAGCCACAACAATTATTCGCCAGTTTGCTTTGGCCAACTTCAATGGCACCACTAGGTATTGGGCCCAAACTTGAATCTATTAAACCGAATGATTTAAAGATTTTGGCACTGAAACGGTCAGACAATGCGGCGATATGATAGTCAATGTTATTTATAAGGTTTAACGATAAGAATGAAGCTTTAATATGACCTAATATGACAAATATATGGACTAGGACTTAAGATAAAGACATATTCGACTACTAGAAAAGTCATTACAATTGTGTCGAGGCCACAGTATGTCAAGGCACATCTTTATCTTTTTAGATAAGATTTTTGCAAGTAGGTTTTGTATATATTGTAAGGAAGTAAAGAACACTTTAATATATCAACACGGAAATCTGATTTGAATAATATTTGCTAACAGAAACGTGACTTGAAATAGGACTAATCAAATGCCACAACAATTTCAGTTTAATAAATGTCGATTAAAGGTATACGCATTTAATTACGTCTTGAATTTGATCAAATGTGATCAAATGTGTCTAATCTTATCGCAGTTCCTATAAAACAATGTAGTTTTTGATTATTATCAACTGTGTTTACTTTTTCAGATCGATGCAAAATATAAGCTTTTATATCATTCAATAACTTTGGATTTGAAAACTTTAATATAAAACCCTAATATCATTTATAATAGTTTAAAACAGGAATAGCAGCAACTTCAATTATTTAAATAATTTTGACATCAACAATCAAAGGCCTTTTGTGAAAAGTTGCGTGTTATGATGATTAGAAAATTCATAAACTTACCGCTTCCGCTTTCCGCCGCACTCGAGCACCTTGGAACGCTCCCAGCCGCCATCGGTTTTAATCCAAGTTTCCCCCGGAGACCGAAAATCTTTCGAAATGAATGCCATCTTTTACGGATCTGCTTTTGGGTTTGGTGTGCCTTTCTCTTGTTGCACTAATTTGTGAACGACCGCTTTACGGTTTTTGTTTTTCGCGTGAGATTGTAGATTTGTATTGTTTGTTTACTTTTTACTGTTTAAGCGGACGGCGGTTGACGAAACGCGTTTGATTTAGCTGCAAGAGGGAATTTCATAATTAATTGCAATTTCCACATGTTATGTACCAACAAAATTTATTCCTGATTGATATTGATATGAAATGCTGAATACAAAAATTCTAAGACAAAAACCAAAAATCAAAAAATATATATATAATGGTTGAAGGAATGAGTTCTAAACTATGAGATCAAAAACTTATTCATTAAATTAAACGGAAAATAGAAAACCTATAGGAAATTTAAGTTTTCCATTCGCCTAAATTGAATCTCTCATAAAAAGCGTAGAACAAAAACCAAAACAAAAACAAAACTTGCTCCGTATAAGGCAAAAACAAGTGGAGAGCAGAATGAGAGAGAGAGAACGCGAATGAGAGGCCTCTACGACCAGCTGTTGGGTTTTCATCGACGATGGCGAAGGGGAAAATGGGGGCCGCGGGGGTTACGGAGTGTTGTGCCCCCTCTCTTTCTGGGGCTCTGGTTCGTCCGTAGGTACACAGCTGATTTCTGCAATTACGCGTTTGTTTTGCCTTTGTTGTTATTGGCCGTAAAATTTTCAGAGCTGTTTCCCAAACACGCAACCGAATTTGTACTTTCATTTCCGCATTTTAAAGTCATCGTCGTGAATCTTTTTGTTACCACATGAAGCCTAGGTATCACTACAACTCACGGATCTACGTACGTAAGTAATCGAGTGAAATTGGAGCACGTTCTGGAATTGCGAAAAACGCAGTTTTCCGTCAAAGCTCTAATTACGCACTTTGCAACGCAATTACCGAGAAATTGCTGTGGCTGACTTGCAGGTAAGTAATGGCGCACTCTGCCTGGAAAAGCGCTTTTCGCTGCCGCACGTCACGTCGCACTCGAGCCACTAACGAAAGTGAACTGTCAATTTCGCAGGGCTCCAAATAGAGGAAAACTAAACTAAGCACTCGTTGTAACGGACGCAACCGCGCAGCTAGAGCTAGAGTGACCGTACATGGGGGCGCCAAAATAAGACATGCCCCCTAGCGGTGCCATCTAATATTTTATGTTTCACAGTGATGCCTGATCGATGAATTATGGTAATGTTTATCAAAATACAAACCGAATATTTAAATGGTCAAAAACTAACATAATCAGTTTTGAATTATGATTTTTATAAGTTTTTAGCTTAAACTTATTAAATATTATGTGCGTATTTAAAACAAAAAGTTATAAAAAAAAACTTTTTGACCATAATATATGACCTATTTATAGCTTTTATGTCTGTTTTTATGTATATTAAAAGTAATTTGTAATTCCGTTAGGAGTGCAATGGAAACCTTTTCCGTTTAAAATGTGTATCAGTGGAAACGGCTTATAAAAGTTCAGTAAAATGGTGTATTTTGTCACAACGAAACGGTCGCCACACTATTCGTGTGAGAGATTTGATTTCATAATTTCTCAGATCGGCAAGGAAAACACGAATAAAACCTCATTTAGCAGCGTTTATAATGTCGGCGTCGGAGCAGGGACCTAAGATCAAGTACGGGGAAAGCGCTCCGAAGCTGGACAAAGCTCAGTTGCAGTTCATGAAGCTTATTGAAGAGCAGAATCTAGACCGCGTGCAAAAGCTAAAGCGGATCCGCCGCAACAATCTCCTGACCGCCGGTGCATTGGGAGTCTCTGTTTTGGCAATCTACGGCTACTCCATCTTCTCGGTGCAGCAGGAGAAGTTCTTGGACGACTTCGAGGAGCCCAAAAAAGTGTCTTCTTAGCTTCAGTTCCCATTAGTTACTTCTAGTTCGTAAGCGTTTTCTTCATTTTCACACCGTTTTACACCCTTGAGATCGTTGCACAACAAGGTGGGTGTATTTTGATTTAGCTTATTTGTCCAATTTCTAATGTCACTTATCCAATAGATGTCACAAGCTACTGCCCGTGTACTCCAAAGCGGCATGCGTCTGCCTCCAATGCCCACAATTCGTGAGCTTGTAAAACTATACCGGCTGCAGGCCAGAAAACAACTAAGCCAAAACTTCCTAATGGATGAGCGGCTAACGGACAAGATTGTCAAGTCGGCGGGACGTATTGATCCCAGGGATTTGGTTCTTGAAGTAGGTCCCGGTCCCGGCGGCATTACCCGCTCCATTCTGCGCCGCCAGCCGGATCGTTTGATTCTCGTAGAGAAGGATCGCCGCTTTGGAGAAACCTTGCAGCTCCTAAAGGAATGCGCCAGTCCGCTAAATATACAGTTCGACATCCACTACGATGATATTCTGCGCTTTAACATGGAGCAGCACATACCAGACACCTCACAGCGTATTCATCTGATTGGCAATCTGCCGTTCGCCATATCCACGCGATTGCTAATCAATTGGTTTGAAGATTTGGCAGCCAGACGAGGGGCCTTTCGGCGCATCGACACATGCATGACTTTGACCTTCCAGCAGGAGGTGGCAGATCGGATTTGTGCCCCTGTGGGCGGCGAGCAGCGCTGCCGACTGTCGGTGATGTCGCAGGTGTGGACGGAGCCCATCATGAAATTTACCATACCGGGCAAGGCGTTCGTTCCGAAACCCCAGGTTGACGTAGGCGTCGTCAAGCTCATTCCCTTAAAGCGCCCCAAGACGCAGTTACCATTTCGTCTCGTTGAGCGGGTTGTACGTCACATTTTTAGCATGCGCCAGAAGTACTGTAGGCGTGGCTTTGGCACACTGCTGCCTCCAGAAAACCGTGAAGAGGTCACCCAAAAGCTATTCCAGCGCGCCGAAGTCCAGGATACGCTGCGTTCCTTTGAATTGACCGTTGAGCAGTGCCTAAGATTGGCAGAGGTCTATTCGGAGCATCTGGCGGCCTATCCCGAGGTAGCTGCATACGATTACCGGGCGCCCAAAAATATCGAGATCCTCTAAAGCAACGTTTTCACTTCTTTTTATAAATATGGTAAAATGTATTTAATTAGTTGAGTAAACACAAGACTCTAAAAATTGTAAATCAGTGTCAAAAATTGTACAAAAGTGTGGACGGAATGTAAGACGAGATTCGTCGTTGCTCAGTGTATTAGCATTAGTAAGGCACTTTAACCCTTCACTATTGGGAAAATTCTAACGGAAGAATAGGGCAGTGAGGGCGAGAAGGCCCATCACAGCGGATACCTGCAGGCCAGTTGCACCATTGCATCGATGATCCAGGAAGCAGAAGCAGAACGTGGTGTCAGTGAAGTAATCCCTTCGCACGTCGTGCTCTTTAATCGTGTGGTTGACGTAGTTCGCCAACTTCTCGTCATGAGCGGCTGGTCGGCAGCCCTCGTACTTGTCGGCGGGAATGTCCTTACGGAAGTTTAGTGCACTGAGGCAATCGCGGGTGATCGTTTCCCTGGCTGTAAAAGATTTTCGTTTAGGGCACATGTTAAATTCAAAGGATTTCCGCTTACCGCCTCGGCGCTCTGTCACCTTGACGCAAATATCGTCGGGTTCTGGGCAGTGCTCGCCCAGGAATCCTATACCCCGCCAATTAAACTTCTCGGCACAGCCAGGAGTAGCTGAGGTGCAGCGGTAGCACCAAATCGCAGAGCCTATCAGAAAAAAATTACACAAATGATTACACATACGCAATTTTTTGTTTAATGGCTGGACTTCTCACTTACCTCCATGAATAAAAGCTACCAGTAGCAGCACTGCAATGAGATTCGTCTGGGAATGCATTTTATTTAATTATAAACTAGCGATCGCGTGTTTCTTAACAGAAGACAATTCACAAACGTAAATAATAAAACATATAAGAAACAACGCCCCTTGTTATGAGGTATTTTTCAGGAATACCATAAAAACCGCTAGAGTATGACCATTCTACACAATTGGCCAAAAAGGTGTTGGTCAACGCAAAATGTTGGGTATTGCTTTGGCGCAATTTTTAAAATATTTTCACTTATAATTTGTTTTAATATGTAAATATAATCCAAATACTTAGTTTATAGCAATTTATCTTATAAAAGATTATATACATGATGTTAAAATAGATTTTATATACTAAAGTAGTAGTAGATCTAAAATTTAGTTGAATTAAACCATTAGAGCCGATGTTCTTATTCTTGAGGACTCTTTTATATCATTTGAAATAAAGCTTTTGTTTGTTAACTTTGAACTTTAGCAATTTATTTTTAATAGAAGGGAAACTTTACTTTTAGGTAAGAAATTAAGCAGATCATTAAACAGGAGATTAAGCATAAACCATATCAAGAAGTAAATTTGTAATAACTTTTCTTTTTAAGTTGAATCTATTTTTGTACGAGTAACATCCACAGCTGGCCATCTGGAGTGCTAAAGCCCCGGCATTTCCTGTTGACTCTAATAAACCAGGCTATAAACTTAGCATTCGGATCAGGCGCAAAGTCGGTAAACCGTTGGACTCTCCGAGCAATAAACTTTTGATCGTATTTGGAGCTCGGTCTCGGATCGTTTCAAATGCGGCATGTGCGATGTTTGCCCAACGAATGATCCGCCGATGAGTCAGCCGGCTATAATCATATGGCTTATTGACAAAGTCCAAAAAAAGCTGAGCGCGTAATCCGGTGGTCTGCGCAAATAAACTTCAATTTTGGACATGACTTCGCCAATCACCAATCACGTTTCCAAGCCAATACGTTAAAGTAAACATTTGCATATTTGAATTTTTTTTTATTATTTCGCTTAAAACTTATGGACTAAACATAGTTGGTTGATGGTTGTTAGTCATACTTGCAAATATCGCATACAGGGACTTTTGAATAAATCAAAACAAATTGAATTATGTTAACACGTGAAAACATGACAGGGAAGTGGGATTTATGCAGATAATGTGTTATTTACAAAATAAAAATAAATAAATTAAGAATTTTTCACACACGCACACAGTCGCTCGCTCTCTCTCTCTCTCTCTCTCTTTTACTATCACTTTCTCTCTTTTGATCATTACAAAACTACGAATACATTTCATGTAAAATCACGTTTCAGTTGCGGCTATATAGGGTAGATATATATTTATAGCCGATCTACAGGGAGACGATGAAGTCCTTGCCGGTCTTAAAGTCGACGCACTTGAACTGCGGACAGCACTTGGGGAACCGCCAGTTGGGATCGCTGGGCAGCTCCTCGCAGCCAGGGGCCTCCACATAGGGACAGGTCTCGATGCTGATCTCGCGGGCCTCCAGGCTGCAAGTCATCGACGCGCAGATGCCCTTCGGCTTGTATTCCTTGTCGGGCAGCAGGGCCTTGCGGGTCAGCTTGTCGAAGCACTTGCCGGGATGAGCTGTAAGACAAAGGGAAGATTCGATTTAGTACACTTGAATTAATAGAATTCTGTTTAGGTAATTTATATTTACTTATTCCTAGTCAAATATTGTGTTAATTCTTTAAAAATTATTAGGTTGGGAAACAAAACAAAATTAAATATCAATTCTCTCTTTTTTCTTAATGGAAAAATAATAGATTCCATGGCAATATATAATAATTATTTTCAGTTTACTGCGCTGCAAGCGGAAGTGGCCAGTCTTCTTTGTTGCTTCCCCGAAGCTGTCGTAGTTACTGCGATTTATTTATACGCTGTCCCCTGTCTTGCGAGCTTATGAGGAAGTGGCTATAAATCGTGATTGTGTCTGATCGAAATTTAAATATGTGCAATGCATATCTCAGGTCAAGTTACAAAAAAACAAAAACAAACCAGCTCAAGGGGAGAATGCAGAGTTTAAAAAGTATTTTCAATAACAGAATAAATATTTTTATATCCTAAATAATATCAGTAACATATATGTACAGACTCCTCCTTCTCTACCACTTAAGACATTAATAACTCAATGGAAATTTTATCCCCTTTAAGAGAGACCTATTTTCGTAACTATTCATGACTTGCAAAAGCAAGGCAAACGAAAGACTTAAGGCACGAACTTGACAGTCATTCAACATGAAAATTGGCGCAGTGCTCGCTGGGATATAAATACATCAGAAACAAGAGCTATGGACAGCCTGCGGTTGGGGCATTACGATTTGAGCCCGGGACTGCCATTTATTATTTATATTTTAAAAATAAACCTCGAGCGCCCAGAGTTGAGCTGACAGATGGCGATGAAGCGTACGGCGTACTCGTACTTTTATTTATAACGAACTGGCCTGGGGCTGGGAATTGTTGAGTTGTTGGGCTCAAAAATAAATTACCGAATAGAAAGGTAAGTTTGATTAATGACACTCGCCATTAATTTACCACTCCAAGAGCCAAAAAGAACACGCATTCCGGCCAATTGTGCAATTAATCGCAGGCCGCGTGAACTCATCGCCTATTTTTAAGCAGTCGGCGCTAATTTCTTATAGATTAGTGAGCCAGTCGCCAATGATGCCAGAAATTCCCAGCCAAAGACGTCGGACGACCTTCACGCATGAATAATTCAGCAGCTGGAAAATATCTGGCGATCTGTCTACGGGATAATCGATAAGTTTTCTAACTTAAATCCGCATAGCGATGCAAATTAGTCGAGCGCTTGAATAATAACCACATCAGCACATTTCTTATGCTAATTTTTGGCGAATGCGAAAAACCCAAAAATCGAAATTCATCTATCTATCCATCTCTATTTGTATCTGTATCTGTATCTGTATCTTCAATCTGAATCTGCTAAACAACCAAAAAGGGGCCAATAACTTGACAAATTTCATCTGATTTCAGCTTTTGTTGTTTTCGTTTTCGGCTTTTGCGTTGTTCGATTTGATTGTTTTCTTTTGTTTATCATTTTGATTTGTGTTTGTTGACGTCAGCGAAAGTAGCCGAAATATCACAAACATATCAGCCCATAAATCACATGTCCAACAACGTAATCATAAACAAATACTGCCCGACATCTGACGTCAAAGTTCTGTCGATCACCAAAAATTGTTCTTTCGAGTAACTTAATCTGCGAATTCGAAATTCTATTTGAGAATGAGCTAATCCTCGACCTCGAAAAATCATCGCCACAATCGTAAATCAATCACAAAATTGCTTGCTAACCACTATCAATGTTCAGTTTTTATTGTTTTACGTGGCTGGAAAAGGTCGTCTATTTATTGTAAACTTAATTAGAAAACTCCATAAACAAGCATCCAGCTAATGGCATTTTTCAATCGTTTCAATTCGCCTACAATTTAATCGAAACATTAATGGAAAGCTCACGTTTTTCTCAATGTCGCCAAGCCTATTGTTCTAACACACTGATGGGGTCATAGTTTTCATTTTTACTCGTAGATAAATGCTTTTAACTTAAATGGGCACTAATGTGATATCTGATAATATATCATAAAAAAAATAATTAATGTCCTCTAAATGATTTTTTTCTAAAAGTAAAGACTTCTTGCTTTCTTGATATAAAGATACTATTAAGAAACCTATCCAAAATCAAAGACAAATGTCTACATTTTTAAAAAGTATCCTTACCAGGATGGAAGATGGCGGGCTGGGAGTAAACTGCTGCGTCCACAACGCTGGCGAAGATTGCGAAAAGCGCGATGGTGGCACAAACTTTATCCACTTGCATTTTGAAATTGAGTTTTCTTGTTTATTTTAGTTTGTTTAAAAATTGTTGATAATATTCTATACGATTGGATGCGATTCCACTATCGTATTTTTATTCACTTGCGAATGTTTTGCGCGTTTAGCTTGAGGTGTTTGGGTTTCTTTTTTCTGAAGAGCTGTGTACGGTCTGAGTTTCAGTCACCAACTGAAGCTACCTCGCTGGGGGCACCCATATTTAAGTCACTCGCAATCGAGAGGCGGCGAGAGACCACGGTCGGGCTATAATATCTCTCCAGATCGGACTCTCGCAAGTTGGCCGAAGCACATGTTTTCTTTTTGGTCGCGGGGGCTTGGGATATTCCGAAGTTGGGCGATCGCCATAAATCTCATGGCCCCCGTCCCACTCAGCAGCTTTTGGGGCTTTGGAGAGCTATCACCATGAACTGGCGAAATGCTTTTACCCCTCGGGCCATTGTTCTGCATTATTTTGCAGTTTTTGCGTAATTAATTATCCGGCCTCCCCGAAATGGTCGTCTGGCCAGGTAATGGGCCGGGTCTGGGTGTGCCTAGTATTGGAATGTGGGGTCGCCCACCCCTGATCTTCATAAATGGTAGTCCTCTTAGCTGGCCGAGCCCCATTTAGCCAGCAATTGTCGAGGCGCATCGAATGGCCTGCTAGCCGAGCGAATCTCTACTAAATGCGGTTAAGAGTTCTTACCAAATTTGGTTGAACTGACGCCAAAGTCGGTGCTTTGAAGATGTGCTAAGAGCTCAAGGAAAATGTTAACAATATTGATGGCCAACAATGGCGTTCACTTATAGAGAGTAGGAGTTCAAAGAACAAATGATTCATTAAAGACAAGCTAATGTGTGTCTTATTGGAAATTAATAATGGTTATAAGTTGAATTTCGAATTCAGTAAAATATCGAAAAATTACTCGAAATTTGTTCTTAATTAACAAATTATATATTTCAATTAGGGTAATGAATACATTTTGTTAATTTACCCAAACAGTTGGCAATAAAAATCTCATAAAAGTTTTGGTGTCAACAGCACTTTACCTGAATTCTGAATGTTTGATCTGAATTCTCCATGCTTATATATCTTATATATATATACAGCTACACTGTAATCAGAAACCCTAATGGATTGAAAATATATTTCCCGAGAAGGTTGATGAACCTGGTGTGGCTTGGAAATTTAAATTGCTGCTGCCGTGCTTATTATCCCATTTGGCTGACGCCAACTTGTCGCCGGCCGCCACCTTTTGGCCAACAGAAGGCGTAACTCTTAATGAAAACTAGTCGCTTCCCGACTTTTTAGTGCTTTTATTACAAGCCACAAACCTGTACACAGTGTTGTCAATAAGTCTATACACAAGGAAGCTGGGTGTGTTTAAAAGTTTAGATATAATAAAATTGTAAACATACAACACTGCGTATGAGTAATGAAGTAACAAATTAACTCATGGAAAACTCAAGAAAGCTCGTATAAGTCACTATCAAAAATGTGAAAAAATTGCTTATACTTTAACCCTAATAGCACCCTGAAAAGTATTTTCCCAATAAATCTTAATATTTTCCACTTAAATATTTCCCAGGAAATCTCTGTAACTTCTCGATCGGCCCAATTGCTTCGAGTTGTTTTGAAGCCAGCCAACATTTTTGATTAAGACCCCGTTGTTTGTGTTTGTTGCTTGGAAGCTTGGGATGCTCAGATCTTGGGATCTGGGTCCGAGCTCTCGGCTTACCCGTTTAACCCGTTTCCATTTCCACCGGCAAGCCTTGATACCTATGTCGCACTTGCCGAGGATCGCCAATAAATCGGGGGGCCAGCGTGACGTCAATTTGTGTTTTTTTTGTTTTGTATTTTGTATTTTGTATTTCGTATATTGTTGTTTGTTTGTTGGGGGGACTCGTCTTGCCGAATCACTCGACGGCGCACGCTGGAATTTATTAATTATGGCCGGACTTGGACTCGGACTCGTACTGACCGTATTCCATGGTATTCCTGATTTCTTGACACAGGGCTCTGGGCATCGCGATAAGGTCGTCCAGCAATGAACTATGCTAAAAATTCCATTCGAAGCGGCCGATTTGCGGTTGATTTATTGTTTATTCGTTTTCATTTTATTGCCAACATTTTGGCCTACGTGCCATCTCCACGGGCCACATGTCCATCGGTACCCTAGAGTAGCATTCTATATATAAATAAATACCATTCTGCCTAGTATGTGACTAAAGCCAAAGACAAATCGTTAAATATTTATGTGCCTTAGTTTTGTTGTTTTGACGCCGCGCATAATTAGTAATTAATATTGGCTTTTTTTTCCACTTCGAGCCCAGCGGCGCACACGGTAGCGAGCAGGTAATTTCTGCCTTCAGCCAATAAACGATCAATTTATATAAAAATTAATTGTTGATTAATTGCCGATCGGGTGTGATGCATTATGTATGAGCACTGGCCCAGGCCCAGGCCATCGTAAGCATTCACTTTGCTGGATCATGGCACAGGTTTTTGGCCCATAACTGGATGGCCGAGGACAAGTGGTTATAACACCAAAAACACTCCACTTTCGTCCTTCGCCATTAAAATAAAAAGGTTAAAAGTGCTTTTTAATAATAATTGCCAGTATTTGTTATTTCTTATTTATTCTTATTTATGATGATTTCCCATAAATATTAAGAATATGTTTGAATGGAAGCCATAAAATCCTGATTGGGAATCTAATTTCAATTTAATAATATTCTTAATACATATTTATTTCACATTATTTCCTATGAATCCCGAATGTTCTATTTAATATGGTAGTTTATAGTTATAATTTGTGCATAAAAATCAAGTCTTGTTTGGAATAATTTGAGTGGGCCCGACTGAAAATGAATTTATGATGCCGAATATTGGGTTGTCATTTAACATAAAATCTGACAAATTCTCAGAATTTACTGTGGCGACTTGGAGACGCGACAGACGTCGTCTTCGCATCTCAAAATTCCTGCATAATCGACGCAGATTGGGCATAGGAAAATAGACTCGAACTGGACCGGTCCGTCCGGCTATCTCTATATCCACGGCGACAGTAGCCACGGCAAAAGGTGTAATAAAATCTTCACGCCAATCAGGCGAATCACAAAAAAACATACCCCTACATACCTATAGTAGACATCGTAGCATTCCCTAATATCGATTAGCACATGGAGCGGACGTGGAGCTCAAATAACTTGATGGATTACTGGCAATTTCTTTGGCGCCAGACTCGATTCGAATTAGCTTCTGCTAGTATGCGGATTTCGTTGGTCGATGTTTGGGGTTTTTACTCCCCGAAAACGGTAAACAAAAGCCATCGTGTTAAATATGCAAATTTAAGTCAAATTAATTTATCGAGTCTGGGATTAAAGAAATTTCATTCCCTTTTCCGTCGCTCGCCCACCGTTTTGGGGAATACCTGATAGAGCCATTAGCTGATTGATCTGGGATTCCATTTGCCAAATTGGGGCTGTCGAACTAGAAACGCCTCGGAAAGTTAGCCATCAATCTAAATGAAAGTGCTTAGCTTGTTTTACCAATGGTTATTGTCTGGAAAAGCCCACAAGTATTGGATTCCTACAGGTTTCTCATAACTTGTACTATTTTAATATTATTCTGTATAAAATTATCAATTTAAATTCATTAAATTTCTACCCAAAGCAGAACGGTATTTAATTTCGAATCTAGACTAGAATCAACGTAGTCATTAACTTTGATTTGGGACTGAATTTAAATCGAATTTTATTGTCTTAATACCGTCTTCAAAAAAACAGGCATGACTCGTGATGATCAAGATTTTTGTTAATTTCTTTGTTTGCGCGGTACTTCTACTTCTTTATAAAAGACATAAGGAAGTGTTTCCGACTAATTTAGTTATGCCATGACTAAGTTAATTAGATCCACCAAGCATTCCTGCTAATTAACATACAATTTAAAAATCTTTTATGAAACAAGGTCATTGGTTTTGCTTCTTGAGTAAAGTATTACATCCCCATTTTGGTGGTAGCTTTCTGAATTATATCCCGAAAATTTCGATTTTAAACAAATGAAATCAAATATGGGAATGTCTTATTTGGGAAATTTCCGCATGCCAGTCAAATGACTAACAAGACACATGGAACGATCCTAAAGCTGTCAACTGATATGGTCAAATGGGTGAAATATCGTGAAAGATTTAATATTTAATCAATAAAGCGACTAGCACGCTTTCAGTTATTTAATATTCCTATTCTTTACTTCTTTGAAGTAAATGGAAGAATTTTTCTAATTTTGTATCAACTAAGTAAACTAATTCGAATGAGTAATAAAAAAAGACCAGATTACTATTTGAAAGATAATAATTATCTAGTTTGAGATGCCTAACAATGTGCGCCTAAAACGACGCATTTTACAGCTCCATTTCCACTGTGTAAATTCCTTTTCACGATTTGTTTTCAGTTAAGCACTGAGAAACGATTGATCACGTTTAACTAATGACGTTAATCTACTTTATTTTGAAGCCGTTTGAATACATTTGCATAACTTGCTGAGCAAGTTTTAAGCCTTTTGTAATCTCTAATGTACCAATACGCATTTTTGTTTCAATTAATCTGATATAGCACTCAAAAGTGCTTGAATAAGCCCGCTAATTTTATTTGCCCACATTCGAAACGGTCAATTTACGCGATCGCCTCCGCATTTTTGGCTTTTAATGCTCCGCTGCTAAAAGTCTCTTAGCGGAGAAATAAACTGAGAAACGATTAAGTTACATTTCTGTCTGAGACTAACAATCGGATTCGGAATGAAGAGATTCAATTTGGCAAATTCTTGGTTTTGCTTTGTTTGGCCATTTGGCGGGTTTAACCCACTGGATCTGCCGATCTTGCCGCCAACTTTCACGATCCGGTTTCGCGGCAAGTGACGTGAATTAAACATTGAAAAATCGTAGTAAACACCAACAGCAAATTTTCGTTTCGTTTGCCGAAAAAAAAACTATAATTATGCGAATTTGCCAGCGAAATAAACAAAACGGAAAAAAACAAACACAAAATGCCAGCTAAGGTCGCCGCCGGAGAACCTGAACCACTGGATCCCCACAGATGGACCACGGGGCCAGGGCTATGGCATGACATGGTATGGTATGGCTACTAGGAATTCCCAGATCGACGTTGCTAATTCAACTTGTTACCGGCGGCGAATGAAATATTCATTTAAAGCTCGTCGCGCGACGAAATTTCTTGGTCCACTTTTCAGTTAGCTGTTGAACGATTTGTTTTGATACTCTCGCACCGTTACTATTAATATTTGTCGTTGGCTAATCTTTAATCGGTATTTTATTAATATATTTGAATAAAATATGTAGGCATGGAGTATTCAATTTGTTTACCTAGTTTATTTAATAAAATGAATACATTAACATATTCAGTTCTTTAATAAATATGTTAATCGCAATAAAACTAATGTGTGATTGCTTAGATGTACGATATTAGATATATAAAGAAAATGATATATGCATATATACAATTAAAATTCATAAATGAAAAACTTATAATATATTTTTCAAAATATGTTAAATATATTTACAGCTTAATATTTTTAAATTCAAATAGAAAGCGGTTATTTTAGCCAGGTTAACGACCAAGGTTTTGAAAAGTGCTAAACTGATTTTAAGTTCAACGCAAAAAGTGTGACCAGTTTACGGAAATGCGTAAATGTTCGTCATTTCAAACGGCAAAAGATGCAGGCACACATTGACGCCTCCAGGTTGTTGTTGTTCCTGTCTGTTCTCTAAACTTAAGGTAACTTAAAGAATTTAACTCATGGAATCTCAATAAAAACGTTTGGTTATCTAATTTATTGCGCAACAAGTGGCGAGAGTGGAGTGGTTCGAGGCGCCAGTGTAATTCGATTCGATTCCGGACATCAACAGGTGCGGCGCCGGAAATGGGAGAAGTGAAGGATTGGCGGCCTTTCGTTTATGGCGGTGTTGCCTCAATCACAGCAGAATTTGGTAAACAACTAATAAAGGGCTTAGTTGTCACGCCCCCAAGAGACGTCTATTACTTGTGTGACAGCATATAGTTCTTATCACAATAATCGAATTTTTGTAAACAAAACTATTTATTGCAGGCACCTTTCCTATCGACACTACAAAGACGCGCCTCCAAATCCAAGGTCAGAAAATCGACCAAACATTCTCCCAGCTGCGATATCGCGGCATGACTGATGCCTTTGTGAAAATATCCCGGGAGGAGGGACTCAGGGCCCTGTATTCCGGGTAAGAACTTTGGGAGATCTCCTGTTGGCACGTTGTCAAAACATGGGCTCATCATGCCATTCTTATCGCGCCAAACGTGACAGTCACGTGTTCGTCTGCTGGGGAGCTCACTGAGTGCAGGGTCTTGGAGTACAGTAAAGCCTCTATACGATGAAAACTTACAGATTGAATATTTCATAACTGCCTCTTATATAAACTCTGAAAGTTTAAGCTGTAAGCTGTGTGATCGTTAGAACCGATTCAATACTAATTAAATCATTTAAATTTAAAGAATCATTTTTAATTCCTCGTTAACATGTGCCTCATTCATTTTAATTGAGAGTAGACTGTATAAAGAGACATCCATTGATAATGCTTACTCACGTCAATCCAAAAATAAATCGTTTGTTGGGGCGGCATGTTTAATCAGTCGGAAAACTTTGCCCGACTGCTAATCCATTCGACTTCGAATCTGATATTGATCCCAAGGCACAGTTCAATTAAAAAGTTCATTGAAAATTATATCAACAAAGTATATATTTACTATATATGTATATTTTTTGTGCAGCATTTGGCCAGCGGTGTTAAGGCAGGCGACCTATGGCACTATAAAGTTCGGAACCTACTACACTTTAAAGAAATTGGCCAACGAACGCGGATTACTGACGAATGAGGACGGCAGCGAGAGGGTATGGAGCAACGTACTATGCGCGGCAGCGGCTGGAGCTATCTCCTCGGCGATCGCCAATCCCACGGACGTGCTAAAGGTGAGGATGCAGGTGCACGGAAAGGGTCAACACAAGGGGCTGATGGGATGCTTCGGTGAGATATACAAATACGAAGGAATTCGAGGACTCTGGCGGGGTGTTGGCCCGACGGCTCAGCGCGCCGTGGTTATCGCCTCTGTGGAGCTGCCAGTCTATGACTTTTGCAAGCTGCAGCTGATGAATGCTTTTGGTGATCACGTGGCCAATCATTTCATGTAAGTGCAACGAAGCTTCCAAGATCACAGCGTGTGGTTTAATAGCTAAATTACTCAAATTGCAGCTCGAGTTTTATTGCTAGCCTAGGCAGTGCCATTGCTTCAACCCCTATCGATGTTATCCGGGTAAGTAGAGTGTAAGCGTTAGTTAAACGGGTATTAATCTCTTCCGTTTTACAGACCCGCCTGATGAACCAGCGGCACGTCAGCGTAACTATGAACGGAGTAGTCACAGCTGCTGCGACACCAAAGCTGTATAGCGGGAGCCTTGACTGCGCCGTGCAGACAATCAGAAACGAAGGACTCCCCGCACTGTACAAAGGATTTATTCCCACCTGGGTTAGGATGGGACCATGGAACATCATATTTTTTATTACCTATGAACAACTTAAGAAGTACTAGCGCAACAGAGTGGAACATCCAGGGATTCTAAGTACAAGACGTATTCTAGCATTCAAACCAAAAAGATAAGATCTGCTGCCAGACCTGGCTCTACTTTAAGGTCATAGATGAAACGGAGGGGTCACTAAAGTGCCTGTCCCACATTGGCTATTCGATAGCCTCCAACACCTGATCCAGTGTCATTTTGCCCTAGGCAAGAGTGAAAACTATCTGTCGCATTTCAAATGTTGGCGTATTTAAAAGTATTTGCATTTTTGGCGCATTTTTTTCACCAAAGTCTATAGGCCCCCACGAAGTACACTGTATTTACCATAACTAAACTTTTAATTTAATTAATTAGTAAACATGAATATATTTATAATGTAAATGTCAATTATAAGTGCATTTTTTTGTTCGAAGGTTAGACATTTTCGATCGTAATACATGTGCATCATCGCTGTAAATATATGCATTTAGTACAATACGTTCAGTTTTACTAAATCATAATGTACAATTATGGAAATTTACTCAATAAAATGTTTGTTGGAAATCTCAATAATTCGTTTATTTTCTTTGGTTTATATAAAACGTTTGAACTAAGATCTACCTCAAATTCGAATCAAAAATAGAATAGAATAGAACCCTGATATCGATTGCGTCCGATAGACATTTAACGCTTTCTAATATCGAAGGTTAATATTCGATACTTGGTAAGTACAGGAAACAACGGTTCTTAGTATTAAACAAAAGTTTGATTCACATTATTTCTTAACAAAACAAAAATGGATTTTGTTACTGCCATTTCTACAGTTGGTGATACAGAAGTGAGTACGCGGGTTAATATTTATGTATTTTAAATAAGTAAAAAATTTAATTTAGACGGTGGCCACGGAATTTTTCATGGCTTTTTTGCACGCCGTGACCGCTGATCCGGATAACTGGATTGTGAAGGTATCACACCAGTTTGTTGGCCATTGCTTCCGAGCTCTCGGCCTCAATTTTAACGTGACCGTCGAGGAATTCAGCCAGACTCAGGATCATCCGTATCGCGAAGCAAATTCAAACTACATCTTTGATCCGGTGCCAGATGTGATGAACAAATTGGATAAGTTTTTCGATCGCCTACCCAAGTTGCTAGCCCAAATTGCAGACCATTTGGCCCAATATTCCCAAGGATCTGTGTTCGATGAGCTGACACATCCATTATCCTGCTACCTTAGTCTGATTATGAAGTGGATTAAGGTGGTGCACGCCATGTGCAAGAACATGCAACTCAGCAGCAGCACCGCTGTTGATCGATTTCTTTGCGAGCCTTTGGCCAGAATGTGTATGTTATAATCTCTCTTTTTTGTAGTTAAGTTCTAAGTTCTTACCGATCCAGAACTTTTAATAGCTTTCAGTTTTCTTGGCGGACTGGTTAAATTATTGCCCCAATACGGAGATTTCCAGGGCCTTAAAGGAATTTGCCTTGCACTCACCGTGGACGTTCGCTATGGCATATTGTAAGTAAAAGTGGAAGTAGTCACACTTTTAAGATAGAACCGATACTTTATGATAGTTATTATATATGTACACTAATAGTTTAGTTTAGTTCAAAACGGAGATTTAAGAATATCAAGTCATTTGTATTTAAACCATTTCAGCTATCAGGATACCTGCCATGTGGTAGTTCCACCTATGCTGGCCATTTTTCGTAAGCACTACAAAACATTCTGCGGCGCCGAACATTACGCCCTGGACTTTGTCTACTGTATCCTGACTGTTGTGGCAAGAGTCATATCATTATATTTAAAAGCAAATACACAAATTACCTATGTCTTTTTAGATGTCCGAGCCTGACAGTTATATCCAGGCTTATCAGTTCTTAGATACCATGATAAACCAGTTCGCCGAGAGCTCAGACCAAAGCGAAAGTCATTACCTTCGTTTGTTTACCAATGAGCTGATTGATCCCAAATTTGTGGTGCTGCAATTTGAAAAACTTCGTGACAGCAATTCCAAGCAGTTGCTCTTGTCCATCTTAAAGTATTTGATGACCCTCCAAAGGTATAATAGTCCCTATAACCTAAGATATTATTTAGGACTAACATCTCTGATTTATTGCTTCTTTCTTTTAACAGCAAACTAGCTAGTACTGGATGTTTTTCAATCCGTTTTAACGAGGGCCTCCTCCAACTAGTGTTGCGAATGCAACTAACTCATCCCTCAGTTGCGTCGTTGACAGCCGAGCTCTATATGAAAATATCCCGGCGGAGATATCAGGATAAGGAAATAGCGCAGCACATACTAGAGACTTACGTAAAAATTCCAAATAACCCACGAAAAAATGTCAACTATCCACAGTTTCGCAATGAACTTACGCGCTATTTAAAGACACTTATTCAGCATTTCCCTGAATTAAAGGAGTTCGAGTTCTACGCTTGTGTTCTTACAGCACCAAATGTTCGTATGGAGTTGAGTCTTATTGCTGTCCAATCGGCAAGTATCCTTTTTGAGCTACATATGGCGGAGTACTCATTGATACCAGAGGCTCAGGACCAGGTCAACGAATTCCTGCGCTGTTGGCCTTATATCCTAAAGTGCTCATCAAGCCAAATTGGCACACGATCAGTTCTCTACAATATATATGGTATGATCAATTATGTATCTGTAGCAGAGAGAGATGTTCAGGTGAGACCTAAATATGTTCTTCATCTGTGTTTTGTACACATAAATGTACTCGTTGCAGTTGCTTATAAACTTGGAGACTTGTTGTCTGGACAGTTTTCTTAACGATGACACACTCAATGATACCGAGTTTCGTGCACTCTATTCAAATATCTCACGTTCTGTGGATGCAACAGGAAACATACAGATACACAATACTGCATCTAGGGCTATACGAGATGCACAAGCTAAGTTACAAGCTCAGTTGAACACGGCTTCAGCGGGTCGTGAAATAGAGGAGGTATTGACGGCATATGGCAAAAGTGTTCGTCGTCTACATTCACTTCTTAATGCTAACAAGCTTCATGTTCGTCATGTGATGGACATTTATGAGCCTCTTGCTAAACTTGCACTTAAAAGACGAACACACAATGACTACATAAGTAAGATAAGGCATTTTTTAAAGAACGATCAGGTGAATAATGTATATGAATTTCAGATCTTTATGGCTCTGAGAGCTTGGCTTTAATGCTAGTCTTGTTACACAGTGAGGTCAAAGATCCGAACAACGAATTGGGCACAAAGATATCCGCTGTAGTTCAGGAACTACAAGACTTTTGCGTTCAAGAATTGTCAAGTGCAAATGTAGACCTAAAGAGAGCAAAGTTTTATGTTTGCTCTATACTCATAATCCATATCAGCCAGCTGCCATATTCAAACTTTGATACGGCTATCTATGATACTATTATAGAGATATTAACCACACCGATCCAGGAATCGCATCCTGAAAGTTCTATGCTATCCAGTTCTTATGCTTTCGATATGCACTTTATGTTTCGCCAACTGATCAAAACAGAGCAAGTGGTACTTCCAAACAATCGAATCTGGAAGGTATTCTTGCAATACAAAATGGTGAGCCAATATTTTAATATTATTTTCCAACTGTAATTAAATTATCTTATATGTCATAGCCTGCAACTTCGTCAAAATATCCAGACTCCGAGATCGAGAAGCTTATAGTTGACCTCTTAGAATGTCGTATTGAAAGCTATGTCCATTGTCTACCGGTAATTCAATTGCATATTTTCAACGATGACAACCTCAAGAAGAAAGGTTCAGCAGCCCTTACTGCCCACCTTGGACTCATAGATAAGAACTCAAGTGCTTTGGATTCATGGCTGCTGTGTTATATAATATTTCAAGATTCGCTCAATCTCTTGATAAAAAATATGAGAGTTAGGCGATTGGAGGTGACTAGTACACGTCAACGGAATCGTCTCCTGCCACTGCAGCATCTCTTAGTTCTTGTAGGCAATTTGCGTCTTCAGGAATGGCACTTTATGAGCATGTGAGTTTTTGCTATTTAAATTATTTACTATTATATATTATCAATTCTCTTATGAAGGGCTAAGATGGTACTCACTTTGAAGGAAGAGGCGGTTGGAACCCATGAGACTTCTGAAATCGAGAGCTTCATTACTCAGATCAGTAAATTGAAATATCAGGCAGAGGATGAATACTTGGAGGCTACTAATACCGATAATTTCGAGGGTAGACTAAAGCCATTGCCTCCAGGTCCCTTGAATTTTTGGCAAAATAAAACTCTTCAGGATTTCAGGGCACAGCTTAATCGCCCATCAATTACTTTCTCATAATTAACATACTATATTTATGTCAACAGATTTTTCAAAAGTCATGAAAACTATGTTAATATTTTATATTATTATTAATATTTTTAAGAATTTAATATTTTATTTCATTTCATTAAAGCAACACAGAATCAAAGTTGACTTTGCTGCTATGGGAGAATACTCTTACCAAAATCTCCTGGGCCGTAGGTTCAAAACACGATATAGCTCAGTTCCTAGTTTTGAAACAATAAGAGCAACAATGACATCCAACATCGATTCCTTGGCCGTGGAGGCGGATCCCTTGGATGAAATTGCCCTTGACCAAAAGGAATGGAAGTCTCTGGTTCTTTGGCGTCGTCCTGTGCAGACTTTGAAGTATGGAACCATGGAGGCCTGCCAGTTGTTGTTATCTTTTACCGCCAAGCTGCTTAATCTGTGGCTGATGGGCATTATGCTACTATTAGGCTTACTCTGTATTCTGCCTGGACCACATGCGGAGTTCGTGATTTCCTGCCAGCAAAGATTTGGATTTGTAGTATACTGGCTGGGTCTGGGTGTTCTGTCATCAGTTGGCTTTGGCACTGGCTTACACACCTTTCTGCTCTACCTGGGTCCCCACTTAGCAGCAGTCACTTTGGCCGCCTACGAGTGTCAGACTCTGGACTTCCCCACTCCACCCTATCCAGACATGAAGGTTTGCCCACAGGAGCCGTACAAGCACAATATACCAGATGTCTGGGAAATTTTATCAAAGGTCCGACCGGAGGCCTTACTCTGGGGAATCGGGACGGCCCTAGGCGAGTTGCCGCCATATTTTATGGCCCGTAGAGCTCGGCTCTCTGGCAAAGAGTTAGACGGAGCGGAGGCGGAGAAGTTATTGGCGGCCAAACGAAAAAGCGGTAACCTCAACGTTTTGGATCGCGCAAAATTGTTCACGGAGCGTGTAATGCGAAAAGTGGGCTTCCTGGGAATTCTACTATGCGCCAGCATTCCCAATCCTTTGTTCGATCTGGCTGGTATCACTTGCGGTCACTTCCTGGTGCCATTTTGGAAGTTCTTTGTGGCCACCCTAATTGGCAAGGCATTTGTCAAAGCCACCATACAACAGTTGTTCGTCATCGCGTCACTTACCGAGAATCTGGTGAACAAGTTTGTGGACTGTCTGGGCGACTTACCCTGTCTTGGACCCCAGTTTCAGCAGATCATCCAGAACCTTTTGCACTCCACCAAGCAGCAGATGCATGGCCACGGCAAATCGGATTCCCTGGCATATCTGGGCGTGCTAGTTCGAGTCTTTGAGTTTTGCGCCTTTATCATGGTCGCATGTTTTGTAATTTCCTCGTTGAATTGCCTGGCCCAAATCCGCTGCAAACGCGAGCAGGAGAGGAAGCGCAAGATGCGAGGACTAGAGATGATCCTATATGCCGATAAAGAGGCCTCCTCATCAGAGGAGTTTACCGTCTAAGCAGCAAATATATTTTTTACTTCTGAAGGGGAGTATTAAGATTTCCATTTGTTAAATAGCTCTGCAAGATCTTGGCTTAAATCCTTTAGTCTGTATTTCTTTAAGCGTATGATCAAAAATTCGTCTTGAGTCCAACATTTTGAAAATTTTTTAATCGTCTTTTGGAATTTCTTCTATACTTACTTCAGCTTGAGAGATGATTGTTAAAGAAATCTTAAATTAACGTTTTATATTCTTTATTTTATTATAATTAGTTTGTTCTTGGATTTGGGTTCTGTTTCTTGCATTGTTATTGTTTGTTGTGTCTTGTTGATGATCTGTGTGTTTCTATATGTTCAATGCCATCGTAATTATTATCATTGTACAAGTACATTTATATTCAACAGCAATTTAACACAAAGCTAAGCATTACTTTACGCGATCCCTTACTTAGGCTTAATCATTCGATTCGGGTTAGTATGTTGATCTCATCGTTAATCATTAATTTCTTCTCGCTTTTAGGTATGCATACTTATATATTCTTGTTCAACCAATGGCAATAACTCTAAAAGTTGTGGACTTGTTCTGTTTGTTCCGAATGCGTGCAATAACTTAATCAGGAAAATAATGCTTTCGATACTCCCTAGAGGAGTAACGATCCAAAATCGGCTCTATTGCAAAATTTCGTCTAACATTTGCACTACGATTTACTGTCCGTGGATATCTCTTCCTTCTCGGGTGTATACCTAGTCAATCTATACTTAAATAGCTTTTAAGCCCATAGTTATCCTTTGAGGGAGTTTAGACCCTTGGCTCACTTCACACAAAAAGTATTTCATTTACATCTGCAAGTATATATGATTTCCTACCGAACTTAGAAGTTTTGTTAGTAATTTCAATCATAAAGCCGGAGAGTGTAAAATGTCATTTTCGGATTACGGTGTCGCTATTATTCTTAGGTACATACACACATGTACCGTACATTTACATATAATAAGTAGAGTTAGACTAATTGCGGCAAAGTCTTTTCGAGATTTAGAGACTGTAGATGGTAAAAAAAAGTAATCTTAACACATTTTAACACTTACACTGGGAAACGAAAAGCTCTCCCCACCACCACCACAAACCTTCATGTTACTATCGTTTACAAAACATCGGGAACGACCTGTTGCTGGGTCTACAAACTATTCGGATCGTAATTCCCGATCGACTTGCCAGTCCAGTTCGAATTCCCAATTGTAATTTTTAGGTAAATATAATATGTATATTTTAACTACACTCATTATACGACATGATCTAACCGATTTTCACCAGTGGGGAGTAGGCATGCGATTACGAGTACAATTACGATTAGATATTACAATACAATCTTGCCTAAACGTTTTATTGACGCATAATTTTCAGTATTCAATATTCCTGTATTGCATAAATTAGCATTGTGATTATTCAGTTAATTATTATTTAGTATCATTTATTATCATCGTTTTTAAGTAATTAAGATTAATTTGTTGCCATGTATGAATGTGGTTTCTTTTTCTTTAGCTCATACACACACATAACATATACTCTATTCAATGAGTTTCCTTCAGCTTAACTGGCCTTTTGGTTTTTTTCATTTTCTCTTCTAAAATTTGACGCCTAATACAATTTGCTTATAATTTTGGTTAAAAATTCAATTTATCATAATACCATTTTCCTATAATTTATGATATAGTATAAGACGCTTGTAGTTTTACAAATTAGAGAGGGGGCAAAAGAAGATCGAAACGAATAGATACTTTTTCAGCGCAATTTATGCCTAGAAGATTAGTTAATTTAGTTATCGGGTTTTCAATTACTGCTAAGTACAAAACTAATTTAATTTGACTTAATCGCATTGATCATCCACTCCGATTAGTGTTTAATTTTGCACTTAATTTGATATATATTTTTTTTTTGTTTTTATTTTCTGGCTTTAGCAAAGGAGATAATGGGATATTATTTATTATCTGGGAAATGAAAATTGAGGAGCCACAAAACTATTAAACTATCCGGGCCTATGGAAGTAGTTTGAAAGACAAATTTTTAGCAGCGGAAAATTCTTACTTATTGCTTCTTAGTATAAGTATTATTATTAAGACTTGCATCTGTATTTGTAGTATGTACGATATATTAAAAAAATATTAACGGCGGGAAGTACTACAATCATTTTGAAGCATTTTTAGTTTGGTTTTTCTCAAGTTACTCTCTCGTACAATATCATCATGTTTCCTGACACACACATCGTCGTCAATATAGTAATATATATATGTGATCGTTATCATTCGATTTTGTAGCAAAATGTTTCAACTCTGTTTATGTATTGTTACGTTGTTTAATTTTGTGTAGAATTCCATTTTGGTTGATTGTAGAAAATTGTATTCGGACACTTCTGTAGGTTAAAATGCATGCCACGTTTCGTCACGTTCTCAATTTAGTTGTATCAAAAGCAAAAGATTTCACTGTATTGTCCTTAATGTCTCAGAATATTTCCGTTTAGCATTTGGTTTTTCTTTTTCGGTTCTTTAATGAGGAATGAGTCTCTCGCTGAAATGTTTCTTTCGCTTCTTTTGGGAGTCTCTCTCTGGATGTCTGGATACCCCAAGAATGATGATCATCGATCGGCCAAATTCAGACTTCCAAGTGGACAATGGTGAGTAGAGTGGTAGGTGAAAAATTGTATAGATGACAGTTTGCGTTAGAAGTTTCGATTTTTGGTTTTCTTTTTTTTTTTTTGTAATGTTTGTAAGTATATTGTCGACTACTTATGTACATCCCTTGTTTTGGTTGATCTTCTTGTGTCCATTTTGTGATTAGAATTCAGCTTAATTTTTGTAAAAACGCCCTGGCCAACACTGCCAGTTATTTATCTCAAATTTGTAAGATTCGGAAGTTGTATATTAATGACAGTTATCGGTTATTCTTGTTGAGCTTTAATACTTCTTACGGTTTCTGTTCACAATTCAATTAAATGCTTACGATTGTATCTTTCAAATGTTAGTTAACCTCTCGGAATCAGCGATTACTTCCGGATTCGTTTTACAATAGTTTTTAGGGATCTTTGTCTGTGCTTATTGAACGCAACCCGCTATGCAAACTAAGTGTTTAATGGAATTCAAATCTAATTGCTTTCTAAACATACAATAATTCTCTAAATAAATGCCAACATACTTGCACAAAATAAAAAAAAAAAGAACTTTTTCTGTTTTGGTTTCCTTTTTGGGGATATGGATTTGAGGGATCTTGTTAGCCAGCCTGTAGTTTTAATCAGTTAAATCATAAATGATATATAATATTTATAAACTATTTACAAGTGCATTGGTTATCCGACAGAACAGCAAAGTTCTGCCCAATGCGGTCGAGATTCTGCTTGGGTACGAGTAGAGATCTCTTTATAATACACCCTGCGCGGTGATGTCCACACTAATTGTTGTTAAATATAGTCTTACAGTCCTGAAAAGAAGGTAAGGAATTAATAAATATGCTAGTTAGTCACACTGATTATACTCACTTCATTTAATGCTCTGCAAATATCCATAAATTTACTTAATAAAGTACAGATTATTGTGCTCAAGTCAATCGGTCCTTCCATGCCTTGCCTGGTCCTAGACGAACCATTCATCCTTCTGCGCAGCGCCGACGGCGTTGGCATTGGGATGGCCGGCTCCGGCGATGTTCGTCTGGCTGAGCCCGGCGGAATTGTGCGAAAGATCTTGACCTAATTGACGGAATTTGCCAAGCACCAAATGGGACGGACTTTGGTGGCCATCTTCAAGTAGTTGTGTGGAGTGCGGTGGTACCCGGATGGTCCCGCAGGGTGATGCCAGTTTCCCGACGTCGGCAGTTGTGTGTGCTCCCGCGTCAGTGTCCCGCCGACACTGATGCCATGGTAGTGCAGATGCTTCGACGACCCGTTCGTGTCGGCCGTGTGATGCACTGAGGGAAAAGCACTGGTTATTCTGGGTATCCCAAATCATCTATTTGAGACTTACCCTGGAGAGCGGTGTTTTGGTTGGCGGCGTTCTCATCCTGGCGCCGGCACACGCAAATGGCCACTGCCACGATGAGCGCACTTAGGACAAGCAGGACTCCAACGACAATCAAGACGAACCAGGTCATATCCAGCCCGAAAACGGTGCTGCTCGCCTCACCTTTAAGGAAACATAAGAAAGTTAATGTAAAGTCCATAAGGAAATACAAAAATATACTCACTCTGGCAGAGATTCTGCACTGATTCGTCGGAGTTGTCGCCACAGTGGTTAATCCCGTCGCACAGGAGATCAGGATGAATGCAGAACTCGCGGGTGGCGCAGGTGAAATCCTTGCAGGTGTGCTCTGTAAGGAAATTGTCTTGTAATGGGATCTGCACGGACTCAACGAGCACGGCCTCCACTTACTGGGATCCTTCACCGATGTAATCACCAACTTGAAGCCATTGGCATCCGTTCCCCAGCCATCGGTCACGTACTTCAGAGTCACAAAGTTCGTGCGCGTCAGAAGCGCGTTGACGGTGTTCTTTGTGTTCCGACAGGAGATGTCAATCTGCAAGTTAAAGTATCCACAAATTAGTATTTGCTGGTTTATCATCAATTACAGTAACGAGCCATCGCCGTATGCAAATGCTAGCAATGATTTACGTTCTAAGTAATTGCAGGGCTGAGGGCCACGGAATTTAGCTATGATTATAGGTGGGCTTATTTATTGCCTGTCATGTTGTAGGGGAAATAATTGAAAAAAGAGGTATTATAACATGGATTGTTTCCATTTTTGAAATGGAAAGGAGAATCGATAATTACTTTTTTTAAGTATTTCTTTCCTTCTTGCAGCTTGCAACTCACTTTGAAGGATATATTCGTAAGCCGACAAAAATGAAAGAAGCTTTTCTGCAGTGCAAAGGAGAGCTGAGTAGCAACTTTTCGTATTTCAATCGGAAACCACTGATGAATTGACATCGGGAATCAGGAGTCTGGAATGAGGAACCAGAGCAGGCAACCCGCTTAAACTGCGGGCCACGTATTGATGTGCTCTGATTCTGTGGTTAATTTCCCATCAGCATATGTGCACCTGCAAAGCATACTGCATTTCGCAGACAATGAGGCGGGAAAGGTGGGCAGGAAGGCGTCGTTGGCATCGAGTGGCATCACATTCCTCTCCCATGACACCTGTCCTTTTGGGCCCGCATGCAAGTGTGCAACAGTCTGGGTGGCACAATGGAAATTAAGCCCAATTTACACCCATGAATATTCAAGTATCACACTGGGAAATTCATTTCTAAACTTGACTACTTTGGATTTTATAAGTTTTTTATATAATTTATGTTTTAAAAACTTTTCAATGATTAAGAAAACTATAAAATGGTTGTTATGCCTTTCATAAACTTGTTCATATGGATCAGACTTTAAGCCTTTGCCATTATCAAGGCAATTTTGATAATTTCGAAATTATGTTATTTGCAGAAGATTGTCAAAATTGGCAAGATTAATAGATGGATTTCCTCAGAGGAAGTCAGTTTGACATCAAGATATCCTTGGATATGTAGATATTTTTTGCCTATCAAAACATTCCTGAACTTTTTCCATTTTCCAGCCATTGCATTGTCTTATTGATGAGCTACAAAAAGCATTTAATTTGATTCCGCAATTAATTTGCAGAGCTTGGCAAACTTTTTACACTGTCGTCTGCTGGTTGGTCACGTTATCGCCATCGCCATTCACATTCTCATCCTCGCCAGCACCAGCGCCACCGCCGATGCCGCAAAGTGTAAAATGATGATGATGTCTCCGCCTCCTTTGAGGTCCTTGCCACTTCCCTTCCGTTTGGCACGTGTATGCGTCACGTCGCCTGGTTCATCACCAGGACCCACTACCTACTCCCACTCCCACTCCCACACTCCATCCCACTTCATCACCCACCCGCAGCTGTGTAAATTTGTAATGTTGTTGGCTTTGGCTCATGAAAGTTCCACTGGGTGTTCATCAATGTCCTCCCAGGACACCCCTCCACATACCCCAACATTTGTAGGCTTTGCTGTGGCTGCCTTTCTTGACACAGCGTCCTGGTCCTGGTCTTGGTCCTCCCTCGTCCCGTCATGTGTGCTCCAGCATCTTCGACGTGCCGCGCTTTGTGGCATATTTTACCTACCTCCCCCTGACACTTTTTCCCCGCCATCGCTTTGTGCTGCTTGTCAGCAGCGTCTATGTGTGCTGGAAAATTTTAATTTTGAATTTTTGCGGCCACCGCCCAACTTGATGCAGTGACAACTTCTTTTGTCAAAAACTATTTACATATTCGTAAAATTGTATTCGTTTCTATGGTTTTTTTTTCTTCTCTTTTTTGGCCTTTGCTGTGGCCAGCGTGGATAAAATTTACATACTTTTGCCACTTTGCTAGAGTCACTAGATTGGTGGCAAGCTGTTGTAGTAGGGAAAGTGGTTTCAGCTCAAGTCATATTCATAAATCCTAGCCGAGGCACACTCTTGCTCCACTCCAAATGGCCGGGAACTTACAAAGCTGCTTAGGTGGCAAATACCGCAAGTCGTCTGATTCCCAACTTCTGCATCTTCAAATATGCACAGAGGGACTGCAAAACAAGTCACTCGACAAATATATATAATCGCCAAGGTACTTATCGCAACCTTTTAGGTGTCGACTGAATAGGTAAGGGTACTCTTTATACTGGCTTATTAAAAATGTGATTTTGAAGGGAAAATAGAAATAGAGGAAAGTAGTCCTAGCTTAAAAAGATATGTTTGCCAAATGTAAGAATCAGTTTAATAGAATTACTTATAATTATCTTCATCCACTCAGCAGCTTGCAATGCAATAAATTCGCTTGATTAATTTAATTAAGATACATGTATTTAATCCATAAAATAGAATAAATATATTTATTGCAACAGCACGTCTGGCCACAAATTACTACTTCGGATGGCCGATGAGTGTTTCTTAATTTGACAGGCGGCATTGCAACCTTCTAATGGCCAAATGAGGCGATTTTAGTGATTCAGTGCCTCATCCATTCTCGTTGTTTTGGCCATGAAGGCGTACGTGCGTGCTGACCTTGTTTGATTTAAGGTTGTGACCCCATCCCAATCCCATTTTCCTTCTTCCCATCCGATTCCGCATCTCTCTTTTGCGGCCCATTGAGTGATGGCGCCTGTTGAGCTCGCTTGTTGTTGGTCTCCTTGCCATCGTCCTCGCTGATTTGGCAGAACGATTTTACGATACTTTCGCTTTTATGGCCTTCCATTCGCCTGCTAACTTATTTACGATGGGTTCTCTTCGAGGCGACCAGACGGCCAGGCGGGCAGGCGAACCTGCTCCAAATCACTGTTGCCCTGGTCCTTGGATAATAACTGTCACACGAACTGCCATCTCAAGCACTGAGCCCTCATAATTAAGGTTAATTTTGTTGCCATCGATATTGACGTGGCTTGGTTGGCGGCGGAGCGCTCAATGATGTTCGAAGATGACTCTTATTTCGGGGCATGCAAAAACCAACAAAATGACTTACTTTACGATCTAATTTCAGTTGCCATTTCGACTTGCTTTTTAGCTGCAGCTTTTGTTACAGGTTATAACCAGAGTTTTATTTGGGAAATTTCAACATATTTAATGTGATTACTTTGTATTAAGGTGGAGTTCAGATGTCTGTTGGGGTAAATACAACACAATATTTCCTACCTTCTCTCTTGGAATCGGCGATCGCAGTTACCGAGGCGCCAAACTTAACATAGCTTTAGACCACAACAACAGTGTGGCCAATTACAAACATAGCGTAAAATCACAAATACTGAACTAAAAGTGCACTGACTATCGATATTTTTTGTCCCGCGACACATACATTTTAAACATTTCTTGCTTTCAGTTAGTACTTGTTTTCATATCTTCAAATATGAAGTTCGCTAAAATTTTAGCGGTGACCCTGTTAATCTGACCAACCTAAATGTCAGTTGCACTCAATCTTTACCATAGAAAATGACAGGGCTTTGGCAGTGGCCCAGTGTCAGTGGCTCCGGACAAGTAGTCCTAGATCCACGAGGGCCACCACTAGAACCATCAGTAGAAGGAAAATTGGGTCGCGCGCCACACAGGCGACAGAAAGCGGCTGAAACATTTTTGTTTTCAGCTTTGGCACATACAGTTTCAAGGTTTTCCCCAGAGAGCGGGTGAAAGCGGGGGTTGGTGGGATGTTGGCTTTGGCTGGCATTTTTCTAATTTTCTAGTTGAACATTTTTTATGCACATTTTTTTTTAGTGGCACTGTCGCAGCTTCCTTTGGCAAATAAAGGATTTGGCTTATGCGCGCTCTATTTGTGGCCACTTTCCTTGGCTCACATTGCACAAACCACCAGTACCGCCCCCTGCATTTTCCCTTTTTACCACACCCTCTACCCTCTCTCCTTAGCCAACCCGCAGACCGCATTAAATAATGCAGTGAGTGGGCGGAAAGTGAAGGGTGTGGCGAATGAAAAATGGAAATTGTTGCTGATAAAATCACAGAGCTATCAGCAGAAGAAGCTGCACCAGAAGCTGTTGCCGCATTGCAGCCGCAGTGGCAGCCAAGCCACCCACATTCCCAACAGCACAAAAACACCCAACCACCCATTTTCCCCAACCTGCCACACGACATCCTTGCTGGCTGTCATCATTGCAAATGTTGCAGCGACAAAATTATGCCTGCATGTGTGTCCGGGTATGTGGAGCATCCCATGTTGGGCTGAGCGGAAGCCCCACAGGGATTGAACCTAAAATGTCAGAGGCATCAACGTGATCTGGATAATGCGGTGGCTGCGGCTGCCACGCCCCCATTCCAGATACTACCTCCCTCTCCTCCCATTATAGCCAACAAATTGCAGTGGATTCATAAGGCCCACAGACTCCCACCCAACAATCCAACCAACTATCCACCCAACCGCCTTCGAGTGTCGCAAACTAAGCAATGATTGGCCTTAACTATCGACATGTGATGCCAGAGCATATTTACATATATGTAAGGATGTGTGGCGACACAGGATTCCTTAAACGTTACTTAACCATCTTGGGATGCAGCTCCAGGGATGTGGCATGTAATCGATAGGGGAATACATCAATGGGTTCTGTTCTCCCTGGCCAATTTCAAGGAAAGTTTTACAAGACATTATCAAAATTAAGTTGTCTTTTGAGATAAGGTAATTGTTTAAATTAAATAAATTAATAAGAACATGTGTCAGAACATTCCTGTTCTGTGCATTTTCATGCATAATTCAATACTTTTTATAAAGTAATAAAAACATAAACCGAATATATTATGCTAATCATAATTTAAGTTTCAGTGTATGAAAATTAGGGTGTTGAAGTCTTTTTTACGGTATGAACCTTAGCAAATGATTCCATAATGAAGGTGGGTATGAAAATATATATATGAATATGCACGCTGATGGCCTGGATAGTATCTTCTCCCAGCTGGGACAAATTAAATATACATTACCCGCCCCATGTAAACACATCGTTGTTTCCGATGGTTAAACAAACGAATCAAAAATCTATAAATAAATATTTATATTTCTGTGGGCGGGCATTTTCTGGTTTTCTTTTTTTCTTTTTGTATTGATCTGATTTGGACACACTATACTCGTATGTTGCAAGAGTATCAATGACTCTTATTTGATTACGAAAATGGAGAGGCAACGTCATTTAATTCACTTAGCATATATGCACATTTGCATACATATCATTCTGCCATGAGTGATTCTAATTTGAATTGCCTGTTTCACAGTTCACTTCGTAATAATTCAATCTACTGTGCACCAACATCCATCTCCACAAATCTGTCCACGTACATATGCACATAATTACAGCTCTGTGCTATCTACCTCCCACATCCACTCCCAATAGTTAACCTATCCTCCCAGGAATCCGATACACCATGTACATGGATTGCACCAGTAGCAAAATCAGACTGCGTTCCTGCCACAATTTAATTGTTCACACGGCGCTGGGCGACTCACTCACGTGATTAGCCATTTCCAGGCGAATCAATAAACTGATGGCGTTGCACTGATGCACCCAGGGAAAAACTGGTATTAAAGTACTGTAGAGGTTCAGAAACTCTTAGGTCTAAACTTACTTTTAGAAGAGCAGAACTCTCAACGACATAAAACTATGTTTTAATATCGAAATAAGATTACAGTTAATTTCAGGTTCCAAGCTTTAGATACTTTACTCTTCTAAATATATTTTCTTCTTATCATTGAGTTATTCCCTTAATGTAACCTTATATACTAACATCAGTGTAAAATGCTGTGTAACAGATTCACTTTACCTTTTCGATTTGCATATGCAAATCTGCAATTTTGCTAATAAAAATGTGGGGCACGTATCGCACCCGCAGGCGTTCTTTTTTTATACGTTAAAGGCAGATTCCGATGTTGGCATAATTACCAGACTAAGAGGACGGGGGATTCATGGACTCACCTTTGGTGTGGCAACGGCATGGGCTCCATCATACACTAGCAGGTGATCGTTGCAGTCGAGCTGCAACATATCGAAACGTAGCATGAAGCGCTGCAGGACCGAGTGAGTCTGGAAGGTGATGATGCAGTCCAGATTTCTCTCGTTCTGTGACCAGAGCACGGCTCCATCGATTTTCCGATACAGTTGCTGGAGGAAGTGGTTCTTGCACAGCGACTGCATGTAATCTGCAAGGATGGAAACAATTATAACTTTAATTAAAAATAATATTTATTATAAAGTATTTCAAAACTAAGATGCATACTTATGTAAATCCCATAATCCTATAGTCTCTGCAATCTTTATTTAATTATGTGACTTCTCTACTTCGATAAAATGAATCCTTATTTCTCACTTGCAACTTCTTGAACCACACTTTTGTACATGTATATACATTTATTTCTTTTTTAATATTTCCATAACCCACATATAAGATCAACTCAACCCACCTACTCGTGCAACCCATCACTGCCACACAGAAATCTGCAGGACGTCTCCGGTGGCAACTTCCTTTGGCTTAATGGCGTTGCGGCGTCTCGTGCGCTGCGCCGGAAAATGTGCACTTAAATTTTAATGGAAGGATGAAAAATTCATTTACGCTTCGCTTCGCGTATTACTTGCACATGTTCCCGAGCTCACTAGTTGCGTTTATTATGCCTTTCCAGACTGCAGTTTGGCAACTGGAAAACTGGCAACTAGATGCGGTAGATTTGCATAATGCCTGATCAGAAATTCAACGCACACGTTAATACCTAATCTACTCATAAAACGGTCAAAGGAATAAGTTTTCAAAAATGTGAAAATGGCTTTAGCATGAATGTTATTAGTTAAAGTAAAAATCCAAAAAGAATAATAATACAAACTTACTCAAAGAAAACAATTGTTTTAAGTAAATAGTCACGTTATAACGGTGATTGTCAGTGTGCCCAGCGCGTAATAAACCAAAAAGATCGAATTTTACATTCTATTACCATTTGTTGAAATTTAACTAATTTAAAATTACTTTAACAAATTTGATAGTGTTAGAATATAGCGGTACCATAAAGAAGAAAATCACACTTTTACACTGACACTAACACTCTCACACTAAGTAACAATATCTACTTTTACGAATAACTTTTCCAACATTGGGCCACTTTTGGTGATAAGTTTGAATGGTCCAAGGGGACAGTTTCCGTGCTGAACTTTTAATTTGCCGCGCCGCGGCTCAATCAAAACGACGTCGACGGACAAGAGCGCCGGGAAGTCATTGGGAAGCCAGCTGGAGACAAGCGGCAATGCGAAAATAATATCGCATTATTTAAGCAACTTTTAATTAGTTTGATGGCGCAAACTATGGCGCTTAAGTGCCAAATGCATTAACATGAAACGAGAGCCATTCAGAGGAGCTGCTCCTGCCAGTTGGCCAGAGGACATCGCCGCATGCAAATGAAACAGGGACTCGGACTCGTCTCATCGTACATACACTACCCTGCTGTAAAAGCAATGTGGACATCGGGGCGGATTTTTAATGAAACACAATAATGTGTATGTGAGAGAGAGAAGTGGGCATAGCTAGGGGCGAGTTTAAGTGGGGCCTCCCTAAGCTTACGTGCGCCTGATTTCAGGCAATTTCCTGCCTAGCAACCGCTTCCGCTCCCGCCGCCGCACTAATTCAATTTCGCCCCCCAATAAAACGCACACGAAAAGATGACGCCGCATCCGGGGCTTGCTGAGATGCGGGGTAGGGAGGAGATGGTTTCAGCTTTGTCAGGAGCAGGAGCACGCCCAAGGAATTTACTACAAATTCGTTTTACGCCCAGCAAAGGAGACGCCTGGTGGATGGGCAAAAAGAGCCATCATGTGAACTCTCTCTCCTGGATCCCAGCGAATGCCTCATTTTCGGTCACAAATGTTGTCGTCGCCGCGTTGCCAACTTCAAAATTGAATTCACAATTTGGATTGAATTGCTGACAGACTTGGCTGCCCTTTGTTTTAGTCCCTATTGGTTTAATGCACAGTGGAAAATGAATAGTGAATGTCGAGCTGTTAGGTTATAAAAACTATAGCATACTTATTAGGGTAGTAAGAGCTTAAAGGGAGCATTGCTAAATATTTTACAAAAATTTGATATTATTTATATATTAAAACCAAAAATTCATAATTTGTTTTATTAATTACTAAGCTCATACAGTTATCTTTTTTTCCTTGTGTATTTCCTCAACCAAAAAAAAAAAAGAATCAACTGCCTGACTAGGTAGAGAGTTTTTCCTGCTTTATATGTAATTGGCAATTTCGTTACACATTTCGCTTTGATCTCCGGCAAAGTAAATAGCCGAGTGTAGCAAAGAGCTGAGCTGGTGGCGTAAAGGTGGGTGGTGGAAACGCCCCTCCTTTGCCACCTGCACAAATTGGCCGCAAGCCACTTGGTAAGTAATTTTCCGTGGCTTTTCAGGCGGTAGTGGAAATTTTTCGGAGGCACCTAGCTATTTCGCTAGCTTCCTTACTTTGTTTCAACATTCAACATTCTAGTGAATAAACAAACAAGAGAAAAATAACTTACGAGTCATGACCTTAACGAGGGATTAACAGATTAGCGTTAAGTAATGGCTCACAATCATGATACCAACAAAATATGACCGTAACATAAGAGCCAGTTTGTATTTGGCCAGGCTAATGGGTTTTTTATTAAGGTTGGTGGTAAAAAAAAATGGAAATTTTAGGAAACATAAGTTATTTGCAATTAAAAAGATTCGGGAAATTAAAAAACTTGGATAGGTAGAAGAGGTTCTCCATTGCTTCAAGATACTAAAAACTTCACATACCCACATTAGATAGTTATAAAAAATTACATGACTTTCTGTTGGGAATCTGTTGGATGAGATATCTGCTGCACTCCCAAATATGTATATCAGAAGTTATGTTATCGGAGCTCTGCGTCCTGATAAATTCACTTGCAGCTGCTGCCGGTTGAATAATTTCACTCAGCTGAGAGTGGAACATCGACAGCGACAAATGGGCCAGCAACGAGATCCATGTGCATCTGTATCTCCTCCATCTGCATCCCATATGGCAATGGCAATGGCTACGAGGCGGAGGTCGGGGGTTGAAGTGAGAAATAGAAATAGAATTTCTGCACAATTTGCCATAGAAATATGGATGAAGCACAAGGGGCGCTGGGGAACCCAGAGAAGAGGGACAAAAGCACAAGGAAATGAACCGGCAGAGACAATTGTAAAATATCAATTACGTTGTGTGGAGTGAAAATGGAGCGCAAAGTGCTCGGTTGCCGTTTCCGTTATCATTGGCTCCTAGGCGGCCAGAAATCCCTCAATCATTTCTGGACAGGATTGCGATGGGATGGAGTAGAGTGGAGCAGAGTTGGCTGTGTTTACTCCCCCGTATGTACGTACATATCGGGATTATCATGCATCTGCGCTGAGGCCCTCGGGGGAGAATAGAGATATACCGAGATAGATGGATTCAAAAGGAGTGGGAGTTTTCGAGTTTGGAGCTGGCGGGAGTGGTAGTTGGGCGTAAAGCAAATCGTGGATGCCTTCGGGCTGTCGTAGCTTTCTATGGGTGTGTGTGTGTCTGTGTGTGAAGTGAAAGACAAACGAAAGCCGCGCAGGACGTTGAAACCCATGTGACATTCATGGCAGCCCCGGGATGGAGTCCCTTTTCCACATCCAACAGATACATTTTCTATAAATTAAGGCATTTCTGACACAATTGCTGCCAGCTTCAGGGAAAACAACTCCATTTGCCAGAGGAGGCGGCATCGCGGATCTGTTGTCTGAAATTGCAACATGCTTCAAGTTCAGCATTTTCATGGGCCTGCACTGAGAATAAGTTAGTGTTAATAAGCAAATTACTATTATAAAGCTTAAAATTTTATTCCCATATGTTTTCTCTTTGGAGTCTTTAACTTAATTCTAAGCTTATTTTCCAAATATAATCTCAATTTCTTTCAGTGCCTTCGTATAGAGATATTCACACATAAGTATGTTTATCTTCAATTTGTTTATGCATTTGCAGGGAAAACCGGAGGAAAATAAATGGGAAGCGGCATAAAACAGATAACGACGACATGGAACAGAGCGAGGAAAACCACTAGGATCTGGAATGAGAACTCGGACGGGGAGCATGGCTTAGTTTTGATGGCTGGGCAGCACAAAAACACAGGAAAAACGGCATTTTCGAAATTAGGGATAATGCCAGGCTTAAATCCTGAGAGTGTCCCACATCAAAAGGGAGATGGCACAAAAATAAGAAAAAAATCCTCAATCTGGTCGACTGGTGTTCATGAAAATATCAAATCCAAAAACTGGCTGAGCCTCATCTGCCACAAAAAGCCAATTTTTTGGTTAATGCCCGGGATTACTTGGTCGGAATATCATTTGCTGAGACTGAGTCACAGGCAAAAGGATTAAAATTGAATAATTAATTTGAGAGCTTTGTTTCTCGCGTTATTAATCGACTAATAAAGCCATAAGATTTCCAGGAGCTGAGAGTCCCTTTTTATGTACACAATTGTGGAACTGCCATCCTAGTAACTTCTATTTGCTGCTCCTTGACTGCTATCTTGATGGTTAAAATCCCTCTATTGCCAGAGGCAATTCGCCAAACAATCTGCAAACGTCCAAGTTGCGGGTCGTCACCATAACTCGCGTCACTTGGAATCGGATCGGTAATGGCACTTGCTGGAGAAGAAGCCATTCTGGAGCTTAATGCTTCCGGCCGAGAATGGCGAAAGGGATGCCGGAAGTGTTTGGTGGTCCTAAATGCGTTTTGGCCCACAACTCCAAGTGCAGTTTTTTCTTCTTCCATTCCATGTCCATGGGACACTAGTTGTCTTCGTTGGCTCTGGCTGGGAAATGATGTTTACTCTGCTTTCTAACTTTGTGCTTCTGCCACGTTTCCTTGGGGCACAGTCACACGCATCAGCCGACCTTCGCAAATAAAGGAATCCTTAGTTGCACTGGGAAAAACTCTACATTTTTATTGACTGTGCTAAGAGTGCTTAAAAACATTTTTAATTTTTATATTTTCAATTTAGTTATATATAAGATTATTTTTTATATTTAATTTAGCTACATATTGCTAAGCCAATACATATATTGAAGTCTGGCAGCACTTAAGTTATCGATAAGTAGTTATAAGTCGATTGGTAGTCGATTGGCCAACTCACAACACCAAAGTGTTTATTGACATCGTTTTAAAGTTTTTAGCTTAAAGTGAATATTTCTTATATAAATAAATAATCATTCATAATGGGATAATAAACCTTATGCCATTTGAATATTATTTCTTCGAGTGTAACTTCATGCCATTTTCTCCTTGAATACATCGAGTCATCGCCATTGACGACACCTTGAGAGCATCGACAAATATAGAACGAAGCTGAATGCCTTGCACGCTGAGAATTATTATATTCGTAGATAGAAGTAAACAAGTGTGTTGCAGGTAAAGCATTTCCCAGAAGGATATTCCCAAGGATAATCACTGAGCATGGCAAATACGCCGGCAGGTATATTGCAACTGCAAACGATAAGTTTACTTGATGAATTTAACTTTGTGCCAAACTGTGATTAGAGAAGAAGTTTCCAAGATGCTTTGGCAAATATTTCGCTGACTGAGGAAAAGTTTTGGTTGAAAAATAAAAAAAAGAAGAAAACAAAAACAAAATATACGAGAGGAACTTCAATATTTATTGACTCTTCATGTTTTAGTTGGTAGTTCAATAAAGTGGTTAAATCAGTTTTAACTTTTTCGGCCATAGAGTCTCCTCATTCGGCTGAATTTGAAAAGTTTTTGCAGTTATTTTAGCAGTTTATTCAGGTTCTTTTGGTTTAAATAATCAAAGTTGAATCTATCACTATATTAGATTTTGATAAGAGTTAAAGAAGCATCTAAGCAAGCACAGCCTACGCTGCGTATACTTTACGTACGACAAGCATCCATAATAAATCAGAATCCCTTAAGCGACTGCCTGCAATAACTTTGGAATTTTAATTTATTCTAGTTAATCAAGGGGTTTATTTAATTAGCCGGCTCCTCGAAATTCTCCTTGAACTCCAACATCCCGACATCAGGCTAATGCCCATTTAAGGGCTTATACTTAGCATTTCCTGCAGCTCAGGATCCCCAGACATCGGGATGCAAATTTAATGTAAATATTTTAAACTAATTTTCAGTGATTATGCAAAACCACAAATAAATCTGCAGCAATGGAATAACCGAGGAGGATGCCCAACGTGAATGTTGGATTTCGGATGGTAGAAGGTAGAATGCTGAAATGGTGGTTGCCACAAGGAGCTGTGGCAACAATGGCTGGCTGGAGGTAACGAAACCGCAACCGGGGCAAGCTTAGTGCGTGCCCCAAAGCGAGGATTGGACGAAAGTTTTCGTGGGTGTGGGTTGTGAGTTGTATAGTGGAGATTGGATTCGAAACGGAAGGGGGTTTCTGGGGGTCAAAGTTGGTTTTTGCTGCTTCTGTGCTCGGTACTCGGTGCTCAGTGCTGTGGCAAAAACTTTGGCCCGAAATCTGGTCGGTTTTCGATCATCCCCCAGCCCTTACCCCCAGCCCTCACCCCCAGCCCTCCCCCTCTTTCATTCCGGATGTGCCCGGCAACTTGGCTGCAACAAAATAATTTCGCTGGCTCGTTTGTCAAACTAATGGCAGGAATTTGAGCAATTTAAGCAACAAAGGTTAAACAATGAATTTCCTGTGCTCCGATATTGAATTTTACTGGCCCCCGGGTGACCCTTAATGTCCATGTAAAGTCATCGCCCTCGCAACTATATGGTGAGAGAAAAAACGGGACTAATTACAAAAAGTTAAGTTAAGTTAAGATAGGTAAGTTACCAAATTTACTTTTCACCTGGTTTATATTTTTAGGATTTTAAATGTTGTTTCTTTAAAAACAAATTTATTTAAATTTTAAATCTTGAATTGCTAGAAAATTCTTCTCTGTGTACTGTCCCACAACCTACGCTCTATCCAGTTGACTAAGCCGGAGCTGCTGGCTCCGACATCTGGTGCCGGACTCACACGCTCCATTAGCGCCACCGAAATTCGATGGCATCTTGGAGGCACTGGCGATGGCCACAAGGAGTCGCAGATGACGCCCCCAGACATTTGTCGCTGCTGCTGTTGCTGCTGCTGCTTTAATGAAATAATTGAAGTAAATGCCTTTCGCCTGGACGACTTTGTCCATCCAGCTCATCCGTCGAAGGCGTTTGCATAATAAGGATAATCTCCATTGAGGCCCAGGATCCTCTCTCTCTACACGTTTCCTTTTGGCCACCCGCCCTCAGGGGAAATGTCGGTGTGTCCGTCAATCCATTCACGTGGCTCATCAGGCCCCGTTCGTCCGCCTCCGGCGGTTTGTCAAAGTAATTGGGCAATTTGCGTGGCGCATTGGACATTGGGCTTTTAAGTTCCGCGGATATTTATGTCAGTCCACAATTATGACAGGTCGCATTAGCTCGTAATTACCCAATGATTGTAATTTTGCCACGCGAACTACTTAGCCCATACTCATCAGTCATACTCAGTTAGATTTTGATCGAATAAATTGGTGTTGTGACCAAGTTAATACTAAGCTAATGCAGGGAGTTCTGCTACAAAATGGGCTACAATTATAATGAAAACCGTTTCGGGACTAATGTTCCCTCTGACATGCTTGCATTATCATAATATTAAAACAATTTTTCTTTCATTAAAGGTAATATTTCATTTCGTCTCCCAAACTAATGCATTAAACTAAACTAAAGCTCCTTTCATTTTAGTAACTTCTGAAGAGCAGCCCACATCGCCATGAAGATCTTCCAGGACATACGAGCTATAGCCAGACCGTCGCAGATCTGTGCCCTTCTGCCATTTTACAGTGGAGATGACGAGGAGAGCTTCCGCTTGGGCAGACTGGGTCGCTGGTATGGATGTCTAGTGGCCTTGCTTATACTGATTAGCTCCGTAACATTCGGCGACGACGTACTATTCGCCTCCAGGGAGTACAGATTGGTGGCCAGTGCCCAAGGTGACACCGAGGAAATCAACAGGACAATCGAAACTCTACTCTGCATCATCAGTTATACGATGATGGTCTTGTCCAGTGTGCACAATGCATCCAGTCACTGTCGAACTCTGCGAGATGTGGCCAAAATCGATGAGTATCTTGTGGTCAGTGGTTTCTGTGAGAACTATAGTTGCCGGAAATTGGCCATCCTGGTCATCGCAGCAGCAGCGGGAGTACTTGCCGTGGCCTTCTACTATATTCATTACCACAATGGCATTGGCTCCAAAAAGCAGGTCATTCTGCTCGTCATCTACTTCCTGCAGTTGCTATACTCCACACTATTTGCTATATATCTGAGGATTTTACTGAAGAATTTGGCTTTAAGGATTGGATTTCTTAACCGAAAACTGGATACATTCAGCACCCAGGATACTGGTAATGTGGACAACTGGCGTGAGCTTAGTAATCTTATAGAAGTTCTCTGCAAATTCCGCTATATCACCGAGAATATAAATTCCGTGGCCGGAGTGGCCTTGTTATTTTACTTCGGATTCTCATTCTACACTGTGACAAATCAGAGTTACCTGGCCTTTGCCACCCTGACTGCCATTTCATCCAGTTCCAAGGCAGTAGTTGCTGACACCATGGGTTTATCCTGCGCCTGGGTTCTGGCTGAGACCATCACGATGGCTGTGATTTGCAGTGCCTGCGATTGCCTGGCATCCGAGGCTAATAGTACGGCACAAATCCTTGCAAGAGTTTATGGGAAGAGTAAGCAGTTCCAGAACCTCATCGACAAGTTCCTTACCAAGAGCATCAAGCAGGATCTGCAGTTCACAGCCTACGGATTCTTCTCCATCGATAACTCTACGCTTTTTAAGATCTTTTCGGCTGTGACTACTTATTTGGTTATTCTCATTCAGTTTAAGCAGTTGGAGGACTCCAAGGTGGATGAAATTAACCAGGCATAAGAGTTTAGTTCATCATTATTTACAAAGTTCATTAAATTACAGAGAATCACAATCAATATTTCATATAATACCCTTATCCTCCCCTATTAAACTGCTTTCATAATCGTTAGATTGACGTTTTCTTTAAATTGAATACTCCATCTCCCTATCAGTGGAATGAGGAAATTGGGTTTCTGTGTTTTGGTACCTATATATCGATGTTAAGTGGAAAACAGTACCTACACCATAATTTGTCTGGGAGTTACGTGATAAAAATCAATAACATGCTGACAGCTGCAATTTTTCCAATGCTCCTCCCTGGCTGGCAAACAAACAAACATTGCAATGCGTAGGGCTCATCAAATCATGCTGTCGAGAGTTGAGAGAGTCCTGGGGAGAATGCGCGGTGGATGCCAAAGGGCATGCCACGTGCAACTTAAACGCATCATTAAACTTTTGTCACATTTCAGAATGTGGCAACCTCAGACCAGAGGCACTCGAGCGTGTAGCCAAGATGAAGTGCCAAACTAATGAAGGAACTATGGGGCAAGCGGAATGGAATGGCGGGCGGCCACAAAACAGGAGCTTGGCGAAAAGGACATGGCTCAAATGGGCCAGACGATAAGATTCACCCAAGTCTGGCAGTCTCCTCCATTCCATGGCAATAATCAAGCGAATTGTCGCTTGTCAAAATGTTTGAATAGTCAAAAGTTTCAGAATTTATATTTCACTTCAGTTTTTTCTTTTCCTCCTCCTCCCCCGTGGCACGGTTCAGCTTCAATGGCTATGACTTTTTAAGTGACTTTAAGTGAAATATTATTAAAATTGATTGTAAAACTTAAAAGTTCTGGCAAATAACTACCATTCAACTTTTAGTTACAAGTTACTTGACGAAAAAATGTTTACATAAAAAGAGTATCGAGTTGAGGAATGTAAATTTGCTTAAAATATTAAAAAATAAATAACATTTCAGAAAATTAAGTTATTATTTATATATTTTTAACATATTAGTTACAGTATCTTATCTTTAATTTATAGTCTTAAATTTTTCATTAGCAATTTATCAACTTTATCCCACACCCATTTCTTGGAATAAAACCGATTTTCTTCTTCAACTTTCACGATGATTGGTCAAAGAACCCTGGAATCTTTATTTTTCCTGATTGAACAAACTTTGGCAGTTGCGCTTGCAAAGGGCAGTTTAATTATGTGCGCTTTTCCAACTTTTCATTAAGAACTTGTCAAGTTGAAGCTCTCAACTTGTCATGCAGCCATCGAAGGTCTACTCAATCCCGAGACTAGATCATTTCCTGGCAAAAAAAAAAAGCCCGGGCAAGAAGGTAAAACCCAGATGAGCCCACTGAATATGCTATGTTCGTGGAAAAACCCCTCGAGGCTTTGTGTTTATTTTAGCCCTCACAAATTGTTAATTAAATTTCGCACTGCCCTTTGCCGACATCTAGCCCCGTTGGTCTTATCTGGCCTATATAAGGGGGCTTAAATATTTTTCGAAAATCATTTTTTCTTTTTTATTAATTCCATTTTTGCTGGGGCAGCGAAACAAAGCGAAAACTTTTTGCATAGTTTTCCTCGGCGAGAGCTTAGCTCCAGCGTTAGTTTATTACGCTATTGTTGGTGCTGCTGCTTCTTTTCTCTATTATTTTTGTATATTTTTTCTTGATTTTGTTTTGTTTTTTTTTTATTATTATTGTTGTTTACTTATTTTCGGTGCTATTGTCTAGGCGCTTCTTGTAATATTTTTCTTTCAGCCAACGGCCACGCCCACTGGTCCGCCCCAACAGGAATCTTAGCTCGGGAAGATAATTTCGCCGCTTTGTTTTGCCGGCGCGTGGATTCTCTGTGCAATGCCTAAGTGGATCACGCGCACTCACACAAACACAAACTTGGCCAAGGAAACAGGACACAGATATATATATATATATATTGCTGTCCCTGCCCGAGAAAACCCAGCCGATACAAAGCCCATCAGGAGGACACGAAAGAGGTTTGGGACTCGCAGTGGATTTTTCTTGAATAGAATACAATTTTCTGTGCATTTGATTACAAAAGGGATTCATGTGCTTAACTGAAGGCACAATGCCCGGAATGTTCAACTCATTTTATGCCCCTTTGTGGCCCGTTTCCTTCGCTCTACGCTCCGCCAGGACTTACGGAATTCATCAATGCAATGTACTCGTGGATTCGGTATTTGAGTTTAAGGTTTCCAAATGAAATCAGAGAATGTTAGGTATTGACAAACTCTGATTTTGTAAACCAAATTCATACAAATTTTTATGGTTTTTAATAACATTTCTCTCAGTATAATTATTTGTAAAATTCTGTAACAAATAAATTAAATAAAATACAAAATTACAAAGTTGCCACCATAAAACTTTATAATCCGCAAAGAGCATTCATCAATTTGAAATAAATTAGTTTACCAATGAGTTTATTGGAAATATCATGAACAAACCAATAAATACTGATTGGTAGAAAAAAAGTAAACCTTTTAAAGCCAATTAAAAATGGGTCACAGTTTGCCAAATTCCCCAAATTCAATTTGTCAAACCCAATTTGAGCAATTGACAGAATGTGCATTATTTTTCTCCTTTTTTTCTCTGTGGGAATACATAAATTAAATTTGGAAATTGTATTGGTGGGGTTAGTGGGACACACTCACACACACACATGCACATATGTATTGCATTTATCGACCGATTTCGTATAATAAGCGATTACCTACTCCGACTTTAGCAGCAGAGCGGAAATATTGATAAATGATCCGCCCACGTTCGTGGACAATTTCACAAAACCAATTCGCATCGAACGAATTCATTGTTCGGTGTTTTTGGTGTTTTCGGTTGCCCGGAATGGGGGAGGGGCGGTGGCTGGAGCCTTTTTTGGCAATGACACCATGCCGCGGGATGCCAAACGCATCAATACTCGATTTGGCATAGCTCCCTCGCAAAATCCAATGGCCCCCTCCAATTCTCAACCTCTCGAAATTTCGCCCCAAGCTGCGGACTACAAACGGAATTTATTATGCGTTGCCTGATTTCTATCCGCTGGCTGCAATTTATCTTCCATAAACATTTATCTGCGCATTTGACTGTGACCTGTCCCTGTCCCCGCTCTCCAGGGATCGCTAAGCAGCTGAGTCATCGTCACTCAGCAAAGATTTATTATTAGCGGAGCTGGGGATTGAGAGCAAGCAGGTCAAAGGTTGCCAAGCTTTGGAGGTATTGCTTTTAAAATTTAATATTGTTTTTAGAAAGCAACAAACCCAGTCCGGCCAGGGTCCTCCAAAACTACATATATGAGAATGATGGGGCGTGCACTAAGAGTATTTTTCAGTCGATCATTAGGGTTTTCAAGCCCCGGGCTTATCGAGACGAAGTGAAACGGTTTTGTTGGAGCATCGTCGAGACCGAGCTTTCGATATGTGTTTTTCTGATGGTGATTTTCGATACCTCCTCTTTATCGAAATCGGTCGGCTGGTCATCTTTAATATCCCTTTCTAGCTAGCTACATTCTAACGGCTAGACCTCCTACAGCTAATAATAGCTACATCCAACTTGAATCAAACTATAACCGGCTAATATAGCTAATAAATGGGAGAGGGAAATTCTCCGCCCTCACAAACGTTAGATCCAAATGTTTAATGCCTTTCTAATCTGAAAATTCTTTTAATTTGACAAAATGAAACTTTCTTAAGAATTGGCTGTAGACTAAAAGCACTTCTTAAGTATGGTTGCTTTAAAAGTAAATCCCTCAAAAATTCTTTAAGTTAATTTATTTAAAATCCGACATAAAGGGGTTAGGCATTAGGGAATCTAAGTCAAATAATGCCACTCACAATTAATCAAGATATGCCAGACAATCATTTCCTCACTTAGGGAAGTTTTCCAAGGCAGTGAAAAGAAATCTCCGCCAGATGATTGCTGCGGCTTGTTACAAATCTCATTTCGTATGCGCAAGGATTTAGGGAAAATTAAAATTTATTGCCCATGGAAAGTCCCTATGCCCTGCCTTCTGCTTCCCTCAGCTGCTCAGCCCTTTCGCCTTTGTGAACTCAACCGTTGACGTGGGAAGACCGCATTGGACTCGCCTCGCCTGAAACTCATTTTGGAATATTTGTATGTAGGCAACGAGGTTGGGGAATGGGGCTATATACCGCAGTGGACCAGTTGGTCCCCACTGCCATTCCCATTCCTTCTAAGCCTCAAGTCCAAATCCATTCATTCATATTTATGCCACACAAAGAGCAAAAGTTTTATGCCACTTCTTCGTCGACGTCGTCGTCGACAGTTGTTTTTCTCACAAATTTATTGGCAGTCGGCCATCAGCTTCTGTTTGAGTTGGACTCCAGGAGATATAGAGAGGAAGGGGGAGCTGGAACTGGATCCCAACAACGTGACATATTTTCAAAATTGTATAATGTTCGCTTTATTGCAAAGAATCGCACAATGGGGATGATGAAAGAAAAAGAAACGTGCGAGCTGTCAGTGTCCCTTGTCAAAACATACGCACTTTCGCCATTAAAAAGAAAATTCAATAAAAATGTTCACATTAAAATTGGAAAAGTAACTTCTAAGATTTTTAATTCTATTTTAAAAAATATCTGAGAAAGTCCATAAATTGTTATAGCACATTATATTCCTCATAAGTCATAACAAACTAATTTTAAGATTTAACAAACTAAATTATTCATCAAGCAAGTTCAATAACCACTTGCCTAATTTGACAAAATTGAGAGCAATCCAATTATCAAAATACCTTAACCCGTAGTAATATACTTGTAAATACCAAGTTATATAATTACGAGCAAATATCGCACACATAATTGTAAATGGAGAGAGCTGACAAACATGTGAAAGTGGAGTTCCGGTTCGGTGACAGTCGCAAAGTTTTTGGTACATATACCATGAAGAGCTCACACAAAGTAATTATGAAAACCACTTGCAAATGCCTCTGGAAAACCCCAAAAACCTCTTTTATACACATATACTATATACAAATATATATATACACATATGCTTTGGGTATATATTTACTTATAAAAGTAACCGTTTGCAAGTGTTTTTGGCAAAATAGAATTTGAGTGAGACCCAACAAGTTTTGGTCCTTTGGACTCGCTCCTCGTGCGAGTCATTATAAGTTACGCTAATCAACTTGAACGTGCGACCGCATTTGAGGGCGGTAAAGGGATGTGGGAGTGAGTGGGCGTGGCCAGCAACCGGATGCCTGGCAGACGACACCAGAAGAAGTGCCTTCTTCGAGAGCTTCGAGAGAGAGAAAGGAAATGACAATTCAAATTAAAGACACCATTCCAGGATGATAATTTTTGGATGGGCGGGGGTGAAAACCGAATTGTGGAAGGAGCTTGATGGAATAAAAGGGCATGGGCTGGTAGGACCACGCCCACGCCTACCACTCTACCATTGCCACTTAACATGAAATTAATTATGAAACTTTTGTGCAAAATTTTGTTGAACGAGTTGAAAAGTCTTCAATGCTGCTCGACAGCGTAATAAGTAGGGATAAAAGGAGTTGGCATGGAGGAGCAAGACCCAGGAGCAGGAGTTGTACAGGGGCAGCTGGCAGTAAGTATGTGGCCGGTAAAAAAGTTAACGCGCCCCAGCGATGAGCATGGGAAATTAAGTACACGCCACGTGGGCCACAAGTCTGCTGGGGACAGCCTGCAAAAGGGGAGCGCCTGCGGTTCGCGTTTGTGTCTGAGTTTGAGTTTGAGTATGAGTCTGGGTGTGTGACCACAGCAAATAAGGAGCAGCAAGCGCAGTGGATCAGGAGCAGGAGAAGGAGCAGGGGCAGGAACAGAAGCAACAGCGAGTGCAGCTAAGCGTCGCCCGGAAATGAGCAAGAAAAACGAAATCAGAGCGGGGGTACCGTGGTATAGGATTGAAAGTTTAAGAAAGTGTTTATAATCCTTTCTATTAAATATAAAATATAAAGAAAATCAAAATTATTTTTAGAAAGTCTATCTTTTTTAGAAATTCTTTAACACAATTTGTTTAAAATTAAATTCCAATTTCTAATTACCCAAAACTGAAGTGAATTCACTGTGTAAGAGAGCAAATCCTAGTTAGCATCGACACTTGTCACCCGGCATTTTCCAGCTGAGGCTGCAATTAGGCTGCAATGCATCCAAGAAGAGAAAAGGGCAGGAAGCGCGAAGGAAACGGCAGTCGCGTCAGCAGCAAACCGGAAACAGGCCCAAATAAGTATGCAGCTAACTTTTTCAGCGCGCCCTCGACAAGCAAACTTTTTTTCACTGCAACTGCAACTGAAGACTCCGCCCTCCACTTTCCGCAAAAAAAGCTGGCGACGCCCCCAATTGCTGGCATGTAAGTTGTTTTACTTCAAATTTTAATTATGATTTAATGCTAAAATACGGAAATAATTTGCACCAACAACTTTCGTCGCCGGAACGCAAACTGCATCGGGTACAAGCCGGGTACGGAGTTGTTGCTGGAAGTCGCGTCGCTCCGCCCGAGTAATTCCATTTCATGGGTCGGCAATTGCTGGTCGCCATTCTCTGTTTAGCAGTATCGGGGAAACCATATATATACGTTCACCCCCTCAACCGGTTCATAATCGGACTATTTCCGACATCAGGCTTGTTAGGTTAAAATTACTTTCCTGAAGGCACTTCTTGTATGTATTATTATTAATATGTTTACAATTTTTGAAGGCTTTCATTTATGTAAGGTGAGATTCATGTAATTTTATCAATGTTATTTAAGAAATAGGTAAGTTTAGAGGTTTTTTCATTAGATCGTAGATTTAAGAAGTCCGAAGCCAGAAATCTAAACTTTTAATCCAAATTTCTACTTGTAAAAGGTTTATCATTTCCATATATTAAGCTATAAAATCTTGTTTAGCATTGACTACGATTATGTTAAACATTAAGTCATGTAATTTTTTGGTAAGCCCAAATACTTTATTCCCTTCAAGAGCCACATAAATACTCTGTTCCAAATAAATGCCTTCGCACGTGCTTTTGTACACATGTAAATACTTCTGCGTGCCCGTTGACATTGCATCGTAAAAATGTATTTTTCTTTTTTTTTTTTTTGTTTGAATGAATTACCACAAGAGCTTTGCCACACAATGTTATCGCCCTGCCACATATGTATTTATATATAAATTTATATACATTTGCGTGAGTGCGTGGTGTTCTGTATGTGTTTATAGTTCGAGGATTCCCCATTTTTTGTGGGATCTTTCCGTTCGACAACATTTAAATGCACTTTTATTACATTTGCTCAAACAAATTTTTATTGTCGTGGAAAGGAAATCGCACAGAAAAAGCATAAAACTAAGCTGTTGACAGATTTCATTGTACAAGACGAGCAAAGTTTATGGTGGCTTGTTAATGTTTACTTCTAACATATGCTCGTGTAAAGTGACATAATGTATTCCATTATATCCTTGTACGAGTTTAGATATATTGGAAAAACCAAAATGGATTTTTCTATTAAAACTTTTAAGCTTATCTCTTCCTAAGAAAGTGGTTATATAATATAATACATAGGCAATCCAACTTATTTCATTCAATAAGGTCTACTCACAGTGTTTACTCTTCTCGGCGGCCACCTGGCCATTTGGTGTCTGGGCGAGAATGACGAAGAGTCCAAGGAGGATTAGCAACCATTGGGGAATGCTCGACCCCGAACTTTGCCTTTGGGTTAGGGTCCCTGACCGTCGGACCGTTGGTTCTCCATCATCTGCCGCTTGTCGTGGGTTGGTGGTACGGGAGCGGGAGGAGTAGTGGGTGGGCGAGGACGAGAACGAGGGCGAGGGGCCGAGGTCGATGGGTGGCCCCGGCCCACAGGATGTGGGCATCAACAGCATCGCCGGAGCTTCGTTGGCTCAATTTTCGCGGCTTTCGCTGCTGCTGCCTTTCGGGCTGCCTAAAAAGTTTGCTTTGCTTTTGTTCGTTCGCGTTGATTTCTTGTCGCGTTTTTCATTCTCTGGCAATTAGAAGCTTTCATTTATGAATTTTCCTTCTCCCAAAAGTGTCGCCTCATTGGAGATTAACGGGTTTTTCGCCAGCGTTCCAATTTCACTCTGCAAACGAAAAATAAAAAGTGCATTTGGTTAGAACAAAAAATTGGCATTTGATGGCTGAACAAATTGAGAAAGCAATTGGCAGCAGCTTGCGGCCAGCGCGGGATAATGGATAATGGCTGCTGACATTAATTTTCCGTTCTATCTGTTAGTTTATTGTACATATTTTTCATTTTGTTAAATCCCAATAAACATATTGCCGGGCTAAGAAACTGATTTAGCTTAGTTTGTACTTTATACCTCACATAATTTATATATTTTTGAAACATTTTAAAGTATTTTGGTGAAAATACATTCTAAAATGGTTTAAATATTAAATGTTAAGAGTAGTTAGGCTTCTTCAAATCGTCTGATCTCTAGATTCGTTGATTAACTGCAAACTTTCTCCGGTTTCCAACTTAATCCCATACAACAATGCCCATGCGATAGGTCAATATTTGGATGCATGAAGATATCTCATAAATCGTGGCAATCAATGCATAAATTTAGCCACTGGGAATCCAGTCGCTGCTCGCACTTGAGAGTGCATGCAAAGTGAAATATTACGTATACGCAGTGTGGATGGGTTTATCATGGCAGCACAGGCCATGAATACATTGTCGCCCCATGCAGATGCCAGTCGAAAAAAAAAGAAAAAATAAAAAGGACGTGTGTGTGTGGGCGGGTGTTAAAAAGTAATGAGCATCAACTGCACGACCAGGCTGGCGACTAAGGAGCTGGCTTGGATTCCCAAGTACTGCCCAGCTGCTCCACTTTGTGTGCCTTATCCGTGAGGAGGAATGGAGAAAGGCGAAACGCCATGGGGCTTCGGTTGCAAGTTTATCACACTTAGAAATCGTCGCCAGCTGCTCCACATAAAGCGAAATAATAATGAGAAATCAGAGGCAGCCTGCACAAGAAAAAAAAAACAAAATGCAACATATATATCACGGCCACTCACATCCATGGAATCCATATATATATATATATTTATATTCACATATATGGTAGATGGGAACTAGGACCCGCAGCCAAATCAGAGGACATGGCCACTGACCGTGTCACACACATTCTGGCGTGCCTGACATCCAGCCAACGTTCCAATTTCGTGTTTAATTAAATCTGATTATAGCTTTTCACTTTGTCCGCTTTTGTGAGCCACTTTTCCTGCGCTTGGCATCTCCCCGCCACGGGTGGCTTTGTGTACGGCCAGGGACCAAGATATATTTAATTTTTTTTTATAATTTTTACCACCCCCTTAGGGCAATATGTTGAATTTGTGTTAGTAGGTACAGTAAGTAAGGTAAGTAGAAGAAATTACTTTAAAGTTTAGTTTTGAAATGGGAAAATACTTTTAATTAGTAGAGGTTAGTAGCCAATAGTTTTATAAACCTTAAATCTAAAATAAATGTTAAAAATAGCCAATGAAAAGACTAATTAAATCAAAGAAATTCTAGCACTTAAAGTCCAATGTAATGGTATCACAACTTTCCACCAAACACGAAACCATTGAACACAAACAACAGAAAAGTTGGGCAAGGAAAAGTACAATTAATAAAATACCCAACCGGGGAAATTCAACTATGTGGCGATTCGCTTTTCAGGAAAAACATACACACATACACACACGACTGTGACCTAATATTCACACTTGCACATAAAAACGAGGAGCTGCACGGAAGAGGAGAATTGGATGTGCCAGGCGAAGAACATGTATTTCCATGGCTGCTTTTTCTTCTTTTTTCTTTTTGTATTTTTATTTTTTGTTATTGTCCTGGCCACCATGGCAACCAATTTTCTGGGCAGTTAAGAAAATCGCTTTCGAAACGACATTAGAGAATACATTTTTGCCTGTTAGCGAGCAGCAATTTCGTATGCTTTTCCAGTGAAGGGAAATAAAAAGTTTACGCTTTGATTACCGCCGCCAATTTTCAAATTCCGAAAATACAAATCAAAGTGAATAATTTTGACTTGGCTGAATGGAATTTTTGGCTACCATTCTATGTTTCATAGTGAAAATGTGTGCGGAAAATTTGAGGAGGAAAGTGTAGGAAGTGTGGAAAATGTAGGAAGCCGCATAAATTACCAGCACTAGCTACTCCCAACACAAAGAAGGCTGCAACGCAACAAAAGCCGCTTTGGTCGCTCCCCTGGAAACATGGCCAACAGTCACAGGAACAATAACAGTAACAACAGCTGAAACTATGGTCAAAATGGCCAACACAACGTGTCTGTGAAGAAAAATTAGGCGACATACAATTAATGGCCCTGTGGGGTTTCATCGTCAAATCGCTTTGGAGACCACTTTCGTAGGGATTTTTTATTTAGTTTTTTTTCCCCCTTACTTCTGAATATATTTTCTGGATATATTTTCTTTTGTTTGATTTTGATGCCCGAGTGCGCCCTAATGTATACTATATTCTATGGATGGCAAAACAAAAGGATTTTTACGCGATGATAATAAGAATGGAAGGTTTGGAGGCCGGTGTTTGAATTCTAGATCCATTATGGTAAGATAGCAGGGATAATATTGTTTATGGCAAACAAACATTACTTTAAGCTGGGGTGTCCATCTTGATTTATCTGGATATATAAGATATGTTAAAGGATATTGAGTTAAGGAATTTACTTTCCCTAATAGAAAAATGATCATTTTAGTCATGAATTTGCTATACTAGCTATACTAGCTTTATCATACTTAAAAAACCTATAACTTAATAAAAATATCTGAAGCTTGCAAGTACCATATTTTATAGAGATTTCCAGAAAATAAACGTCAGACTTTTGCATACTCGTACATTATAAATATTTATTCAGAATGCATGACAGAAAATCCTGTTCGCTCCACACCTGAACCATTTCGGGACAGCGTGTTAAAAGCATACAAAAAACGCTCACTTTGGCTTTCAGTAAATATGGCAAAAGCGGTAGCAGGGAAAACATTGGCAGTAAGGGCAGTGAAAGCAGTAACAACAATGGTCGAAAAAGGGAGGTGGAGGAGTTTTCGAAGGGATACCATTTGTTGTGCTGTCCTGGGGCGTGTGTGTGTGTGTGTGAGTGTGGGAGGGGTGGAGCATTCACCGACACCTCGGCAACACATACAATGCAAATGTATTAACTGCAGGACGTTATAAACAAAAGAAATTACGTTATGGCGGCGGAGTGTTTTATGTTGGCAACACTTCGCCAGCACCCGCCAACGAATCCGAACGGATTTCGCATTTTTATTTTACTCTGCCTGCCTGCACTGAGAAAAAAAAGTGATTTGCTTAATTGACAAATGTGATTATGATGGGTAATCTGTAAAAATGTTTATAATACCAAAGCTTCTAGCAGTATATTAACTTCAATCTAGTTAATAACTTATAAAAAGGATAAATATAAACAAATATTTAACCATAACGAAATAATCTGCATTCCTGATAAGGGCTATGTGATTGGTTCATACATTTTTCATTGTGCATGCATGTTTGCCAACCGCTTTTCCCCCTGTCTGTCCGTTCGTCCCTGTCCGCCTATGTCCGTCCGCATCCGTGTCCGCCAGTCTCCGTCCGCGTCTGACTCACGTCTGCACGGGGCATGTATATTTGTCTGCTGAAAACGGAACCGAGCTGCCAACAGCGACTGCAACAACAACAACAACAACGACGACAAAAACAATGGGAACAGAAACACGTCACTGTGTGTGAGTGCGGTCGTGCTCCACGGCGAATGAGTAATTTCAGTGGCTAGAAGGGGTTCTGTTTTTTTTTTCGGTGGGCCAAGGAGAAGGCCGCATTGTTTTGGCCATCGCTTTCGCTTAGCTCTTTTGTGCGGAACATGTTTGCGTGTATTTTTGAAGTCATTTTCTGGTGCATTTAGTCCTTTTATGGGTTTTCCATGATGTGTCTACAGGATCACTTTACAATAGTTCCTGGCATTTAAATTTTCCATTATGTGAAAATCAAAAAGGGTTTAATTTTCTTTAAATTTAATTTGTCTGCTGATATTAAGTACTTTGTTTTTTAAGATAGATTTAAAAAGGTTTTCGAAGTTTTCCCAAATCTTTTTTTCCCAAATAACTTTAATGGAGTGTTAAGAAAACCCTTCGCTCTGCCACTCATGCTGCCCATTTCCTTAACCTCCAAAAGTGCCAAATCATGAGATTGCGCTGCCATGGCGATTGCGATGACAAGCCGTGAAAGTGGAGGAATATGGGTAAGATGGGTCCGAGGACATGGCTTAGAGGATGGGTGTTGACAAGAAACCCTAACGAGTGACAGCTGAGACAATCCCAAGACGCAAAAAAGCAGCCACAATGATGACAAGAGCAATCGGAAGCCGAAGTACGCAAAAAATCAAAGCCCTCGATTTGCCTTTTGGCCAAATCCCACTGACAGATTAATGGCAGGGGCGAGCCCGAGGCGAAATCCATACCCATGACCATGTCCATGTCTATGTCCAAGTCCAAGTCCAGACAAGAAACCGCAATCGCAATCAAATTTATTTATTTATTTTTATGTTTAGCCGTTGGCAGTTTTCTCATTTGTGCCCAGCGCAGCATATAAGCTGACAGCCCCATCATCTTGTTTTCTCCTTTGGTCTGGTAAAAGCGGGAGGTTTTCAGGGGTTGGTTTGAAAGGGTCGAGGTCAGGCTAATGATTAATACGCCTGGCTGGTCCAGCGACTTGGAGTGGCGTATCCACCGCCACGGCACAGCACCATTATCCCGCTCTACGGTCCAAATTAAAAAATCTATAACTTTCCTTAACTCGAAAAAAGTGAAGGAAAATGAGTCCCTGACTATCTCTACTATATTTTTAATTAAGAGAAATTAAAAGAAACCTTTACTGTAAATCATATTTTACTTCGTTTCCCACTTTGGTAACAGTTAGGGAGTCTTGACTGTCTTTATATGGGTCCCTCGAGTGGCGGCAGGGATTACGGTTTGGAGCGAAAACTACTGGGCTTTATGGAGTGCGGACACAAATAAATCACCTGTCGGTGAGCCTTGGCTAAGACCTGGTCGAACAAAAAATATAAATTAGAAAATCCAAAACGGACCAGGGCAGAAAGTGGGGGAAAGCAACAGAATAATCCTCCATTACCACACTTCCTGACCTGACCCTGGCATATGTGAGTGTGTGTGTGTGTGCTGGTGTGTTTGTGTGTTCGATGGCACTACTTTCACACATTCGCCTGCTGCTATAGTATGTACTCCTGCACACTCACACATATGAATATATGCCAGGGATATGCGTGAAGGACCTTCGCCATCGACCACACCGCACCGCCATACGTGCGAGTGAGATAACAGCATTAACAGAAGTCCTTGTGCGCTCAAAATGCAAAGGATAAATACGCTCTCTCTCCCTCGAAGAGAGTGTAGGAATACTACTCGCTCGTAGTACTCGCAGTCGGGGGCGTAAAATGTGTAAAACTCAACTTGACGGCTCCGTTTTGCGGCTCTCTGATGAATGAGATTAACCGGCGAGCCAAAATCCACCCCCTTTTCGGGCCTCGCGACAAATGAGTGCAAATGACCTCAACACAGGACAGGGAATACGCCAGCAGCAGCAGTAGCAGCAACCCCCGATCCTGTTCCTGTTTCTATTCCCGTTACCGTTACCATTCCCGCTTTTCTGCTTCTCTGAAAGCGGTGCCTATCCGCAATACTCGTCCTTTTTGGGCATTTTTTACGACATTGCAACTGAATTTATTATGCACTTGGCTTGAGTTGCTTGTAGAAAGTTTTATTTAATTTCTGACAGCCGCATTTTGATTAATAGCATGTTTTTTCCATAATTTTTACTCACACAATCAAGTTTGATCACTAAAAAGTACACAAATGATCTTTGCACTTGTTATTGTACAGAAGATTAAGCGGCTATTTTAAGAAACAATCGTTTTGTACATATATTGAATATTCAGATTTCGATAGTATATTTAACACAATTGCGGGTTGGCACAGCGCGACGAAAAGCTTCTCACTCAACGTTTCAACTGCGACTGTGACTCGTTCGATATTCGATGGCGATTATTTTGGCGTCTCGCCTTAAACTTTTACCTCCAAACACTCGTTGCTGCAAGCTAGCAGCTAAAGTTAACAGCCAACAGCAAGTGGACAGCACTGCTGTTAAGCTTATCGATTGCCAAGCCGTGTGCGAGCGAGATGGCTACACAGCTCCACTGAGACTCCAAAAAAGGGTGGACAGCTTTGGCTTTTTAGCTCAGCAAAGGAAAAAGTTGATTGTAACGGTAAGTACCACTACTAATTCACTGTCTAGCACGAGATTAATGCTTGCACTTGTATTTGTTTATATTTTGAACGCACTAGCGAAACGCAGAGATTTTAAACGTATCATTTTGGCAACCGAAACGGAGCAAAGTTGAAGGCGAACTGAAGCCGGCGCCTTTGGTGGTAGAAAAAACCTGCCACCCAAAATCAACCACCCCTGCGGCTTGCTCTTTGGCTCTCTCTCTCAGCACACTTTGCAAAACTCCCCCTATTTTTGTGTTACCTTGTCCCTTAGCTCTACTTTGTTGAATCTAGGCACAGTTTACTGTAATCGAATTTGGCGCCTTCATAGGGAAATGTTGTATCTTTATAAATCAAATCTTTTTAGATCTTCGGTTTTATATATCTATTAAACATAACACAGTAAGATCTCTAAGCCATAACTATTTGAAAGTCCTAACTAACTGTACTCTGTTCGTATTACCTCGCATGAACATCTTACTTCAACACACCCTACTATCTAACACCATAGGCTAGAGCAGATTCAGTTTATTTGTTCCTCTATTCAAACGCTTGCTAAAAAGTCGCTGAAAAATGGGTGGGTGGTGTCGTGAGCTCTTATCAGATGGCAAGTGTAACATGAGACTTGTGCGTCTGCCGTCTGGACTTGCCTTGGAATCAAATCGATTTCGGGGTAGCACACCACCCTCAATTCTACTATCGATGAGTTGGCGCGCAAAAGGAGCCGTGTCCTGTAATTTGTCGCCTCACGACAGTGACGCAAAGTGCCTGTCAGTCTGCCATGGGCCACCCACAAAGGGTCCCCACCCCTTCTTGATTCTTGGACAATTTAATTATACACAGAGACGGAGCGTAGACGTAGACGGCTTTAAGGTAACCGGAGGAGCCTAGCAACCATGCTACCTACTTTCCGACGCATTCGAGCCTAAGCGCCTACATCAGAAACATCAGAAACATGCGTTTATCTCGTAATTAAATTTAAATGGGATAACTTTGTGGCCGGGCGTCACTTCCGCCGCACAAAGAAATTAGCGGCTGTCTGGCCTTTGCCACGCGAAAACAGACCAAGATAGCTGGGCTGGAATTATAATGGACAGGCGGCTTGGCTTTTAATCGCATTTAATCGGGCTCTTTCTGGAATTTTAATCCGAGCTGCAATTCTGACAGCTCCAGTTGTTTGTTTGCAAAGTAAAAAGTGTCCTTTGGACTAAAAAAAGGTTAAAATAAATACAACTAAAGTTAAATTGTTAGATAGTTTGTAAGTAGTTTATTCGTTAATATAAATCCTAGACAGATCGAGTTTGTACTCTTCAACTGGCTAGGTCGTATTAGAGTCTGCTTGTAACTTTTGAGTCAGTAACCACTCTAAGATATTTTGATACATTAAATATTACCCATCAACCCATTATATACCATACATTTAATCACCCTTTCACCAATTTCCTATAACTAGTTTAAAGATCATGTTACTTATATTTTAAGATCTTCTCTGATTAAATAACCTTCGCCAGCCGTTGGTCAATGCATTTCTGACTACGACGGTCGAACCAATATCCTGGACTGCAGTAATGCAAAACAGCCTTTCCCTTCAGGCAGACATAGTACTTATTATACTGCTTGACGTCAGCGAATCGTGTATCATCCTCGATTTTGCTGCAATCCGGGACACCTTCTGCTAGTAATGCTGTATGGTTGTTAGACTGATCCTCATTTATTGAACACTGAACCAGGCTTGGGTAGTTGCAGAACTTTGACTTCATATCAAAGTGTAAGCCCCGAGGACATTGACGAGATATAGCACGTCCATTAGCACAAACATAGAATCTACTGCAGGACTTCGAATCTCTAACATAAGCGCCATTTGGCAGGGATTTGCATTCAGCAGATGATTCTGTGCTCGAGGGTTTCTTGGTAACAGGTTCCAAGAGCTCATCGACGGAGCAATCGACTAAACTGGGAAAATTACAGACTTTCCTCTTAATATCGAAGTTCAGATTTCTGGGACAATTGCCGTGGATGGGTTTACCGTTCAGGCAGACATAATATTTATTGCAAGACTGGGCGTCTCTCAGGAAGACTCCATTGGGCAAGTTGCTGCAATCGGTTCTTTCTTGTTGGTGTCCCGTGGTCGTTTCAGTTGGAGGTTTTGCGGTTGATCCTTGTTCTGGAACTGAAATTGATGGGTTCTTTGTAGAACTCTGCGCGGGTGGAACACCTGTACATGGACTCGTGCTGGTAGATGACCCTTTGGGACTAGAGATATTCCCATCCGTTGTAGTTTCCAAGGAGGCTTCTGTCGTCGTCGAGACACCGCTTTCGGAATCACTGTTTCCGGCGTTTCCGTCTTTCTCTGAGGTACCTGGTGATGGTTCTGTTGTCGATGGCTTCTTTGTAGATCCTTGACTAGTTGGAACTCCTGTACATGGAATCGTACTGGTAGATGACGCTTTGGAACTGGACGTGTTCCCATCCGTTGTAGTTTCCAATGGAGCTTCTGTGCTCACGGGATTCTCGGAACTAGAAAGATTTAGCTCTGTTGTACTTTGTGGAGATGGCTCTGTCGAGATACCGCTTTCGGAACCACTATTTCCGGAGTCACCATCTTTCTTCGTGGTAGTAAGTGATTCTTCTGTGGTAAGTGGATTGTCTGGAATATTTGTGGATGGATTCGATGTACATGGAGGTGTAATTGTGGATGGATTTTTGGAGCTAGGAATATTTCCCGCAGTTGTAGTTTTCAGTGAGGGATCTATGGTCGAGCTTTGTGGGTGTTCTGTCGATGGCGCGTCTGTGGAACCTGTTGAAGAATCTTGGGTTGTTGGATTCTCAGAGCTTGATATACTTTCCGCAGTTGTGGTATCCGAAGAAGGATTCAAGGTCGAGGGACTCTCGGAACTTGAGTTAATATCCTCTGTTGAACTTTCTGGAGGAGAACTCTCAGTGCTAGAAATGTTCTCTTCCGTTGAACTTTCAAGATTTGCAGCAGTAGAAGACGAAACTTCTGTGATGTCAGGAGTAGCTGTTGAAGGTTCTAAAGTCGATGGATTCTCGGAAGTCGGGTTTTCTTGGGTGGAACTTTCTGGGGAAGATTCTGTAGACGAAGACTCCACTATTGCTTCTGTGGATAGTTCTGTGGACAAGGAGCTTTCAGTACCTTGGCTACTTTCTTGTGTTGTACTTTCTGGGGAAGATTCTGTTGTCGAAGACTCCACTATTGCTTCTGTGGATAAGGAGCTTTCAGTACTTTGGCTACTTTCTTGTGTTGTACTTTCTGGAGAAGATTCTGTTGTCGAAGACTCCTCTGCCACCCCTGTTGATGGTTCTGTAGGGTTTTCAGTACTTGAGCTGTTTTCTTGAGTGGAACTTTCTGGAGAAGATTCTGTTGACGAAGACTCCTCTGCTGCCCCTGTTGATGGTTCTGTAGGGTTTTCAGTACTTGAGCTGTTTTCTTGAGTGGAACTTTCTGGAGAAGATTCTGTTGACGAAGACTCCTCTGCTGCCCCTGTTGATGGTTCTGTAGGGTTTTCAGTACTTGAGCTGTTTTCTTCAGTAGAACTTTCTGGAGAAGATTCTGTTGACGAAGACTCCTCTGCTACCCCGGTTGATGGTTCTGTAGGGTTTTCAGTACTTGAGCTGTTTTCTTGAGTGGAACTTTCTGGGGAAGATTCTGTTGTCGAAGACTCCTCTGCCACCCCTGTTGATGGTTCTGTAGGGTTTTCAGTACTTGAGCTGTTTTCTTGAGTGGAACTTTCTGGGGAAGATTCTGTTGTCGAAGACTCCTCTGCCACCCCTGTTGATGGTTCTGTAGGGTTTTCAGAACTTGAGCTGTTCTCTTCAGTGGAACTTTCTGGGGAAGATTCTGTTGACGAAGACTCCTCTGCCACCCCTGTTGATGTTTCGGTAGGGTTTTCAGTACTTGAGCTGTTTTCTTGAGTGGAACTTTCTGGAGAAGATTCTGTTGACGAAGACTCCTCTGCTGCCCCTGTTGATGGTTCTGTAGGGTTTTCAGTACTTGAGCTGTTTTCTTCAGTAGAACTTTCTGGAGAAGATTCTGTTGACGAAGACTCCTCTGCTACCCCGGTTGATGGTTCTGTAGGGTTTTCAGTACTTGAGCTGTTTTCTTGAGTGGAACTTTCTGGGGAAGATTCTGTTGTCGAAGACTCCTCTGCCACCCCTGTTGATGGTTCTGTAGGGTTTTCAGTACTTGAGCTGTTTTCTTGAGTGGAACTTTCTGGGGAAGATTCTGTTGTCGAAGACTCCTCTGCCACCCCTGTTGATGGTTCTGTAGGGTTTTCAGTACTTGAGCTGTTTTCTTGAGTGGAACTTTCTGGAGAAGATTCTGTTGACGAAGACTCCTCTGCTGCCCCTGTTGATGGTTCTGTAGGGTTTTCAGTACTTGAGCTGTTTTCTTCAGTAGAACTTTCTGGAGAAGATTCTGTTGACGAAGACTCCTCTGCTACCCCTGTTGATGGTTCTGTAGGGTTTTCAGAACTTGAGCTGTTCTCTTCAGTGGAACTTTCTGGGGAAGATTCTGTTGACGAAGACTGCTCTACCGCCTCTGTTGATGGTTCTGTAGGCAAAGAACTTAAGTTAGCTTCTTCAGTGGAACTTTCTGGTTCGGATTCTATGGATAAGCTATCTGAACTTGAACTGATCTCAGTTGATGATTCTGTGGGCAAAGGACTTTCCGTGCTTATATCATCAATAGAAGTTTCTGTTGACAAAGGACTCTCAGAGCTGGATTCTAGTGTTGAAGATTCTGGAATTTCAGTACTGGATGTACCTTCTAGTTCAGATCCCGTTGAGGGATTATCTGAACTTGAAATAACCTCTGTTGATGATTCTACAAATACATCATCTATGGAAGGTTCTGTTGACAAGGGACTTTCAGTTTTTGAGCTACTTTCCACTGAAGAGCTTTCCGTTGTAAACTCGGTTGAAGATAAATCATCCGAGGCGCCTGTTGAAGATTCTACAGGACTTGAGACGCCTTCTTGAGTAGAACTTTCTGAATCAGACTCTGTCGAGAGATTCTCTGAGCTTGAAAGAACCTCTGTTGTTGATTCTTCAGGAAAAGGACTTTCCGAACTTACAATTATGTCTTTCAATGAGGCTTCGGTTGACGAAGGACTTTCAGAGCTCGGGCTACTTTCCTGTATAGAGCTTTCCGATGTAGACTCGGTTGAGGATATATCCTCCGAAGAGCCTGTTGGAGATTCTGGAGGACTTGAGTTGCTTTCTTCAGTGGAACTTTCTGGAACAGACTCTGTGGAAGGATTATCTGAACTGCCGATAACCTCTGTGGACGATTCTACAGGCAAAGAACTTTCCGAGCCAATAACTATATCTTCCAAGGAGGCTTCTGTTGACAAAGGACTTTCTGTGCTTGAGCTAATTTCCTGCTTCGAACTATCTGATGTAGATTCAGATGATGATAAATCAGCAGGTGTTGAAGTTTCTGCAGGATTCGAACTGCTTTCTTGGGTAGAAGCTTCCGGTTCAGATTCTGTTGACAAAGGACTCTCAGAACTTTGTAGGCTTTTCGGAGAAGAACTTTCTTTCACTTCTGTTGAATTTTCTGGAGGTGGTTCGGTTGAGGTTGGACTCTCTGAACTAGAAATATTCGCCTCCGTGGATATTTCATTTGACGAAATCGTTGAAGATATCGACTCAGACGGTTCTGTTATATCACTTTTAGGAGAGGAACCTAAAGCTTCTGAACTGGATATGATATTCTCAGTAGTACTTGAAAGAGAATCATTTGATGTTAGCGGAACATTTTGACTTGCAGAACTGGGCGGATTTTTTAAAGACAAACCCTCAACTTCCTCAGCGCTGTGTAACAAATGCACGTGAGCAAGTGGGCTGGATTCTAGGGGTGTAGGAGTCGTTTCCTGGGAGCTACCCCAAAGGCTTGCAAAGAAATTAAAGTTTCCAAAGATGTTGAATATAACAGGTCTGTCCACTTTCACATCTTGCTTAATGTTAATTTCCTTTTTGGCTTCATTTTTTTTTTGGGTTTTAAATGCAGTTACGGCTGACTTACATCCTTGCGTTTCATAATTAAATAAGTCTCCATTATCACACGAACTTTTTATGCTCCCAAGGAATCCCAGGCAGAGATAATACGAATGAGGATCTTTGGAGTCAATAGCCCTGGATCCAAACGATTGCCCTGCGCAGGAATCCTTTGCCAGGGCCTGTGGTAGGATCCATAGAAAAGCCCAAAGGACTTTTACTGGTAAATAATTGTTATTGATTTATCCATTTTGCTTAACACTTTCTTTACTACTCACCGACTTGCATTTTAAAAGCACATTGAAAAAAATGAAACGGGGCTGTCTAATTTCTGGCATTTTATACTTTTCAGTTCCTCGGAAAAACAAGTAAGCAATCTGAAGTGGAATGTTTATAGAAAGTACAGTAAGGTACAAGTATTTTAAATAAATTAAACACGAACTAATGATCTTCGAGTGCTACATATGTCCCTTAATGTACTCGGAAATAGTTTGCGGAATGTGATGTAAGCATTTTACGACCCAAGAAGTTAAAAACAAACCTCTTTATAAATAACAATGGTTTGGCACAATTTGGAATTCCCAATAACTGTTATAATCAAAAATTGTAAGTTCATTTAGTCATTTTATTAACTCTGTTTTGGCTTTCAGTGTTAGAGCTTAAGAAGGTTATTACGCATTCTTTAACTTAAAGAGATTTTCCATTATCACCATCACAAATAAGATTTATAAACTAACTAAGATTAATTAAGCTTGTGATTAGCGGTTATATTGTCTTTAGAAAGCTCATTCGTTTGAATCTAAAATCTTAATAATCTAGGCGCATAATGCGGCTGTCAGCAAGCCTTTATCTTGGCTCACCTTCGGCGGACGCCAATGTCGACCGTTGGAGACCTGCGGGCGATAGTGTAACGGCTGCCATAACCCAACTCATTCACCTTCACCCAACTAATACCCAACAACGCACCCACCCAACGTCCCTTCACGGTCCAACATTTCCGATTAGTTGTTCAGATAAGGTGCCGTCTCAGCAGTTATCGTACCCGTATTCTTGCAATGATTACTCAAAACCCCGGGACACACTTGCTGTTGTTGTTGTTGTTGTGTTTTTTGGGAGGGGCGGCGGTGGGACAAGTGGGCGGTATAACTATTTTTAGATTGATAGAAAGCTTTGGACGGCAGCAAGCTCCGGGCATGGAGTCACCATATAGCAGTGTTTTGGCCCGCACTCTTATCGTAACTTGTGTGGCTTCGAATGTACCTAGTTGAGGAAAGATCCCGTGTTGGATTTTGTTACCTCTGGTATTCGAGCCAATAAGTTCGGCCACGAATTCGCATTTTATCTTTTGCATTTTTATTATTTTTGATTTTTTCGTTTTTTTCGTTTTTTGTTAATTTTTGAATTACTTGCAGCACTTTTTTTTGTGTCCAGTGCACGGGGTCATCTGTACCCACTAAAATCGCCGTAATTTCCAATGTCCGTATGTTTGCCGGCATTGATATCAGCGATTTTTGATAGCTTCTCTTCAAGGTCTCGTTGCTTAATTCGGAATACCAACAAAAATGCATAAGGTAGTGTTAATTGTGATTTAAGTGGGTTAAGTTGGTTTATTTAAAAGGAAGTCTAGGTTGTTGTTTCAGACTTTTGATTTATAATATGCTAATTGTGATAATGTGATCATGATCATGTCAAATTTGAGTATTTATATGCGGAAAACGAACTATTTTGTTTGAGAAACAAATCAATATTTGTTCCGTTTATCATTATACTGTAAGTATTTATTAATTTAAATATAAATCTACTGTCCAAAAAAAAAGAACAATAAATTACCAATTTTGCGACTTTCTTTAATAAAAACTAAAATATATAATTAATCTTAGTGTCTCTGAGTAGCTTTAAAATGCTTTAAAAAATTGTTATAACTTAAACCTAAACCAAAACGCCTCTAACTAGCAGGAAAATAAAAAAGCTTTATCGATTTGGCAAGATAATTGAGATGAATTTGCATACAGCGAGAAATGCTGCAATGGATTAGAGTGGTCTCGAAACTACACTTTTCAGTACTTGGTTAACCAGCATCGCAGTGCAAATTGCATTTGGGCCAGTGAGCCGAGCACTGGCTCATCCGTTAGCTAACGAGACCATTCCAAACACGATAACGATCAGGAAAAGTGCACATATCAAGTTGGCGACTATGGCTTTACACCCATAGAAGACAACCCCCAAACCCTCAAAAGGGGTCTTCACATGCAGTTGCATTCAATATAATCACACCGGTTATCACTTTAGTAGCGATAAGCATTCTAAGAATCGCGTTGACATCCGATTAAAAACGACTCAAAATTAAATTGAGAAATAAATTAAATCCGTTTTAATTACAAGATGACCGGAAATCATCTCCTAGTTAGTCATGTCCACCGTGTCCATTGTCCTGTACTGTTCCCTTTGCAGGCGATTGCCATAGGTGCGCGACACCAGATTCCAGGCGTCCATGAAGCGATCCATGCACTGCGAAATGCAACGCTGCTCGGTGTTGTCCAGGGATTTACCAGGCCTCTGGATGCACTTCTTAAAGCATTTCTCCGTCATCTTCGAGAGCATCTCTTGGGCATTGGCCAGAGCGATCTGCTGCTTCACCTGGCTTATCAGCTCCCCCTTCTCCATGTTGGTGGCAGCCATTTCGGTCGTTACGGGATGAACAATTTGAATTTTTATAAATATATTTCTCAAATCTGAACGCTTTAGGTTTAGGCGGGACTAGGACAGAAAGGGCAAAGCCAGCTTCTTGTTATTAAGTGGAAAAAAACAAAATCAACTTGCTATAAGTTTATGATCAGAAAAGTAATTCTTTATAAGGCCCATTATTAAAATCAAACTTCAAGGACTTTATTAATTTATGCTTATATATTTGTGCCAAAAATGATTATTACACCAGTTTACAAATTTTACAACACCCTCAGCACTCAAACAAATTTGAATTTGTTCTTAGCCTTGTTATTTTTTTTTTTATAAAAAACATTAGATACATTACAGATAAAGTGTTTAATCGAAGTACTAGTTAAAATTCTCAGGCAGATGTAGCTTTAAAATGTTTCTTTATATAAAAATATAATCTGTAGATTGCGGTGTATGCTCTTATATATATATTTTTTACAATATTCGTTTAATTTGTTAAGACACTTTTAGTTCTTTTGTTCTCTCTGATAGTTATTTTTTGTAAATTTGTTTAAAATAGTTAAGAGTTGAGTTTAGACCCAAACATAGGCGCAATCTCATTGAGATACTGAAAGCAAGTTAGTGAAAAGTAAGTTATTTTTTTTTAAATGTGCGTAACTCATTTCGAATTAGAAATTTTAGTTTTATATTTTCTTGCAGTTGTTTTAATTTAATTTCATAATCTGAGTTACAATTTGTAAGTTTTAGAGTGGACAGAGAGACTTTCATCTATAAATTGATTTGAAAAATTTGAAGAATCGGGCTATATATATAATCTCTAACAGCTCTATTGCAAAAATAGTTCTTGAGCCATAATACTGAACTTTTTTCAACTACTCCCGGAAACAGAATGTTTCGAACTAACAACTACCAATATATACGAATTCCCAAGTTGACAATAAAATCTAATATAATTCCAAATTCAATTAAAGTACCTAAATACGTGCAAAGTTCAACTTTAGAGTTATGATTACATTTAAATGTCCAAAGAATGTTTTTGTTTTGCGTGTGTAGTTGGTATAAAATATTTACATTTGAGGCACAAATTGATAGAAATAATACTACTACTGTCAGTTAAGTTATATATAATATTTGTATATGGAATGTACAATCACTTCGAGTAGGTAAGTATTATTGCGATCAAGAGACAGGCACAAACATATATATATAAGTATTGCATAATCCTAGGCCTGATTGTCGGTAGGCGGCAGAGTGTCCCAACTAGATGTCATCTCTCATATCTGGTCAGTTTCTTGGCACCGAAACCAGTCGATGCCAATCGCAGAGCTCCTGGTGCAGATCATACTTCGACAGATCCAATTCGAAGCCTCCAAGCAGCTCGTTTTCCTGCAGGGTGTCGTGTGACCAGACGGTAACCTGCAGTCGACGCTCTTGAATAATATTCAGTGGCATTCGGTATTCCAACTATAAATAAATGGATATATAATTATTAAGACATTTCTCACAGAACTAGAATAACTTATTATTACCGTTTCCATGAAACTGGGTACACAGGTCTTGCGCACCACTTTGGTCTTGCGTTTGGTCTCCTTTTTGGGATCCGGTTTTAGGTAGCACTTCACATAGGTGTTGGGCTCCTGACCGCCCTGTAACATGGGCAGCCCTTTGGCGTGGTGTATCTGCAAATTGTATACCCTTCTTTAGCTTTATTTATCATCAATATATTATCTAATGTCATTCACCATCACAGTAAGTACGCCGCGTTGATATTGCAGCGATAGTCGAATTTGGCCAATCTCGTTGGGATTATCCCGCGACGGTTGTCGCTTCACCTCTGCAACAACAATATATATATTTATTTCAATTTAAAATTTACATTTTTCCAATAGAGCTTTACCCTTAATCTTTGGCATTCCAAGTTTGGCCTCCTGCTGGTCGCGCAGTAGAGGATGGAAGAATGTATAAACCAGCTCGGAATGCGCTATTTCCTCGGATGCGTCGAACAATGATTTCAGGAATCGCTGTATCAGAGGAAGTCGTTTTTCTGCCACAGATTTGATATTGGAACGCCCCACATGCACACCAGCAGGTAAACTAAAATGATTCAGAAATAGTATAAGAAAGTATAAGTGACCATTAAAAAATCATGATATAAACTTTTACAAATATATATCCATAAATAATATCAAATAGATCATAGATATCAACACCCACGACAACAATCTCCTATAGAAAACTATTTAATACTAACAAATCGATAAAATCGCTTTTAATTGAGTGTAAACAATATCAGATTATCCATAATTACATAGAGGCCATTATCGCCTTAGATACGGTTCAGTAGTTTTTAATCGAAAAGCTATTATTATATTTAATGGTGTTTAGGTAGACAGCGGTTTGTCGTGGTGCGTTGACAAATCATGGTACACATTTTTGTGATTACTTATCAGTGCTGGCAAAGTGTCTCCCCCCAAAGTCCATGACTCTGAGGTAACACCGCTAATAGCTGATAAATCGACGAATGAGGCAGACTGATTTCACCAAAATCAGAGAAACAGAGAACCGGAGAGAGAGAGAGATCGAGAGTAAGCTCAATATTGTGGGTGAAAGAAGAGCGGACCGAGTAAACGATATCGGGCCGAATCGCTTCGATAAGCGGGAAACGCTCTGCCAAAAGCGGTAGCGGCAACGTCAGCGCTCAATCAGTCGACGAGCGAGCTGGGGAGCGGTGCCGAGAGCGGTTTGATTAGCGACGTGGTGAAGTTTCATTATATTTTTTTGGCCAAAACAAAGGGGGTACTGCGAAAAACCATCGAGTTTTGTCAGAATGCCAAGCCAACAGATTTGCTGGTGAGACAAGAAGACATGGCCCAGCTTAAAAATGAGGGCCAAGGTAGGTGGTGGTCATCAAAAGATCCATGGATATTTTACTAACCAATAATCCCCACTTTTTTACAGGTCAACAGGCCGTTGTTGTTGGCCCAATGCTCGCCTCGGTCATGTTGCTCATCGGTTTAGTTTGCGCCTTGCTGGGTATCAAGATCTTTGGCTTCCGGCGGCGTTTGACTTTCGATCGATCACAAGTGCAACAGCAACCACAGCAATATCAACAGCCAGCGCCACGTTACGCAGCTTTCGAGTCACAGGTGCGTATGCAAATCAAAAGAACTTAACAGCCGATGCACGCAGTTAATAAAGGTTAATGTGATACCGACACCACCACTGGCTTAACCCATACCAATATTCATATGTATTATACGAACACAGATCCACCGACGACGAGTGGTTCTGATAAGGCAGGGCAAATACGAATACAAACATTCGCAGGTGTTGTGACTATATCATTTTAGAGAGTGTGTAAGTTTTTGGATCGAAGATAGCGATGGGGGCGTGAGGAATGCAAATCGCAAAAGAATTTGGCTTTCACTTTACTTCAATCTTGGCTAGAAATGAGTTCTTCATTTGAGGTGTATATTAAAGAACTCAAACCATAAAAAGCTAAGCTATGATCTGAATTTTAAGTCGAATGCCTGTCTTTGTTTCCAATCACAATCTCATTAATATTTAACTTACTTAATGATTACATTTCAAACTATGAGAGTACTTTTCAACTTCCTCTTCTAAATAAAACAGGTTTAATAAGCCAAGAAGGCTGAATCGCTTATCGAAATTATAATTTCACAGCTCGAAACAAAGAGTGAAATCACACCTTATCGCATGGACGTGTTCTCATATTCGTCTGAGTTAGCGTGTCTGTGGTCATGTGTAAGATATTTTGACTTTACCTTACTGACAAATCAAAGTTACCCCAAACAGCTGATGGGCAACCAAGTTAATATAATTCAGAATATCGCAATACCATAAAATGCAATTTTTGTAATTTCCACAGGTAAACGGCACCGATACCGCTGTGCATGGAGTGTTCCGACGTCGCAATCTCGAGGAATTCGAAAGCCCATGGCCACCGGCATCAACAGCGACAGGTGAAGATAGCAAACAGAAATCATTCAATCGAAAATATTTTACTACTATTAAAATGTTCTACCTATTCCAAAGGAATCAACTACATAACTGGCAGTGTTCCAAATCTGCAATTATATGGCGCCAGTCCAAGGGAGACAAGAACAGCGGAAGGAACAAAAGTGTCCTACCGGGAGAGATCACAGGCACAAAGAGATCATCGCCTTGAGGTGCACAGTGAACGATATGAACTCTTCAGCGCTCCACCTACCCGAAAGCCACCTGCTCCTCCTATACAATCAAAAATGTTTTCCGAAACCATTTCGGTAGCTTCACAATCAAAGATTCCAGAATCCCTGCCTGCTTCGTTACCAAAAACCACAACTGAAGCTTTAACAACACGAAAAACCACTCCTCCAGCTACATCATCCGACCAATCTCTGCCTCCATCCTCCCTCGATCCAGTCTCAGAGCTTCCTAGCGAACTTGGAATGCCCAACTTCGATCACTTCGCCGAAAAATATGATCTGTTTAGTGTAAAAACAACGACAGAGGTCACGAGACCAACCCAGCTGAAGAGCAAGAACAGTGGGCGTTATGTCAAGTTTGAAAGAGTGGATGATGTACCGGAAATACTCACTCCCGAAGATCCCGTTCCAGAGCCATTGACACCTGATGACGGTCTGGGAGGAGCTATGTCAGTAACAGCTGTGGTCCACAGGGGAGCAATACCCAAGGAAGAGCCAGAACTGAAATTGGAACCTCAGAGACCAATTGATCCCTTTGAGGATCCTACCAGTGCAGACTCAGCTTTTGTGGTGGAAATAATAGCGGGTAGTCCGGAAATAGAAACGACTCCTAATATAAAGCCCAACTCCCAAAGTGCTCTATTCGATGACCTTGAGTTACCGCAAGGTGAGCACGATAGTGATTTTGTACGGATACGTTCTTCATTCGTAATGAACGAGGCGGACATCCTGGATTTGGATCAGCTGCAGCTGCCGGCAGCCAGTAGTCCTCCAGGATTTGGAAAGGATATCGACGAGGATTGGGAAAACTTTGCAAACCTTGACGCCGTTGAGGCAGTACCAGAACCTAACTGGGCTCAGCATCCAAATGGCTTAGAGCAATTGCCCACAGTGGAGACCACGCTAAGTGAGGCTACCCTCAGATTAAACAATGTGGAACAGGTGGAGGGTCTGTTCCACCAACTAGAGTTAATCGAACCCAGACTTGATATCTTCGAACCAGAACCGCCAGTGCCCATAGTAGATCCACCGCCCTACGACCCTGGGATGCCCTATCTACCCGATTACGAATCCCTGATGCAGTTGGATAACGCAAAGAACGGTCAGAACTTGCCCAAATATACAGAGGTAATGGAACAAAGGTCAAAAAAAGCCAATTATGTAAGTAGTATAGAGGATCTATACGCTGATCTGGAAGTTAATGACATGGAGACAACCGGACATCAGAATAATCAAAGCACTGGCATTAATAATTTTGAAGATTTATGCCAAGAGATGGCTGTGCCATCAATGCGTCCAGTTCCTCAACCTGCACCCAGAGCCACAAAATCAGGTACTCTTAATGTTCGAGGGAATGCACCTCCCCTGGCGTGCTATCAACCAGAAGAGCTACCCAACTCCAGTTCCAGTGACAGCGATGGGGAGAATGGAGCCCGATCTGTACCAGAACCTGCCAAGCGTGATCTTAAATCACTAAAAGTCCGCTTTGATGTGGATAACCTTCGGTACTACCAGTCAGCCGAAGTCGTTACATCGAGTGAAGAGTCTGAAGAGGATGAGCCAATGCCTCAACCAACCCCCATGCAACGCTCTATAATTTTCGAACCAAGAGATAATGGAGTAGTACCCAGCCTTTTCGGGTCCCAGGTCTCTCAGGAAGACAGCGATGACGATGATGGCTTCGGACGTGCTATCAGCCAACACCGCTCCATGACGGCGGCACTGAGGGTAAACACTCTTCGGAACGATACAGAAGCCTAATTCGAAGATGGCCAGCTGCCGCACTTCCTGACTTCCTTAGCAAATACAGTATTCTATATGTTAATGTTAGCCAAATGGCTATGACCTATTTATGTACATATATCTATCGCTGTTAAGTTGCCATATAATGTTGACTATATATAATAATAAAATTATAGCAGGAAAGCCATTGAAGATAAGATCAAAATTTGAAAAACATTCCAAGGAACTCTTAAAGGGGAAATTAATCAACATGAAAATTGTTGAAGTACATTTTTTGCAATTATTGATAGTAGAGCGAGTGCGTTTTTCATTCTTCAATGTCTAGATAAAGTTTTTGATAGATATAAGTCAGTAACTGAAGGTAAACATAAGCCACATGATAACAATTGGACGTAACTATGTCTGACAATGAGTTGATATTGATAAGAAATGAACTAATTTCATAAAAATCTATTACGAATTATCTATTTTCTAATTAAACAAAATAAAGAACTTATAAAAGGATAATTCACTCACCTGTGCAGTTTGACCAGAGGAAAGTGCATGCATAACTTCTGATGGAACTCGGTGAACTCGCGATATGAGCGGAACAAATGTGTGGGATCGGGCTGTCCATGTCGCGTCACTTCCAAAATGTACATATAGAACTTCTCCATGCTATAGTGCTTTTGAAAGCACACCACCTTCACAATTTTTAAACGGCCATCCTGCTGCATCCTGCAGAGTGAAATTATAATTATTATAATAATTTATCTAAATGATAAAACAAACTCACGTATATTTGCGAGGAACAAACGACAGTAGTTCTCCGGTTCCCTCATCCGGAGTAAATCGCATCTGAGCCAGATTGTGCAAGAAGAAATTGAACTGTGTGAACCAGCTCTTCAACGACGATTGGATCATCTTGGCAAAGGTGGCAGCTGCCTCGGGATTTGATTGAGATGGCAGCAAGGCACGTCGCACATACTGCACAGCATTGGAATTAACTCCCGGCATCCCGGCTGTTGCCATGTGAGCCAGAGTGTGGAGGAGAAGATCAGCATTCTTCCGCACAATATTGAAGGCACGACAACAAAGGTCCACAAAATAATGAAAATCTGTCGAGGGCTTGTCTCCGCCATTTATGACATAGGCCATATCGGAAGTTAGGACAAATGGAGTGCGATCTCTGTAAATATAGTAAATATATTTTATATCATAACTCATATTTAATAACTACTTATTTTCCATACCTCTTGAAGTTGCCAAACATCTGGGCATCGCCAAGAAACTTTCCAAAGTCAATGTGGAACAAATGTCCCGAAGTCTTCAGCATTATGTTGTCATTGTGCCGATCACAGATGCCCAGCACATAGGTAGCTACACTATATCCAGCACAAGATAAAGTGAAATTTCGCACAGCACTCTGATACTCAAGCGGACTGGGATTCTGCTTGCCCAACCACTCGGCAATTGGACGATCCTTGAATGACCCCGTCAGTCCGCATTCTACTTGGATTTTCCTCAATGTTTCTGCTTCGTTGACCAGCTCAATCATTCCACTCTTGTATCCCGTAGGCACACAGTTAAAGGTGACCATTTTTAGGTCCAAACGTTCAGCCAACCACATTTTGTTCATAATCCGAATCAGCTGAATGGTCAACTGATCTTGCTGTAAATCATCTCCGCACTAAAAATAATTTTTTTTGTAAGATTACATAATACTTCTCATCGCTTATACAGTTAAGTTACCTTAAAGATAGCTGGTAAGGACTCGGCGTCGGGTCCTACGAAGTTAATCTTCAAAGGCAGTGTGTTGGAGTTGAAGTAGCTGCAGTTTCGCACACTCACTCCAGTTACTTCCAGTTCTGGTCCCAAGGGCAGGCATGTGGGCTTCTCCAGCAAATCCTGATGTACCTCGTCCATGCCTGCTGCCAAACTCTTTTGCCTCATAGACTCCTTAGCCTCTTTGACAGACTCCGCTATAGTGGTAAGTTTCTGAAAATATTATTATAGATATTTTAAAGATCTTTTTCAAACAATTTCCTTTTAATAATTTAATCATACCTGACACATTCGATGCTGATACATGAACCGCTGCAGCATCTTTTCTCCGCAAATAGCCATCAGAGCGCGCAGCATCATTTTGTTGCGGCGATAATATCGTGCCTGAGTCACCTGTGACTCGTCGCACTCCTGATCCACCATTGCGGCTCCAATGGAGTTATGTGGATCATCCGGTAGACTGTGCACGAGAAGCCAGTACATGTGATGAGCGAAGCGAGGTGACTCCAGGCACTTGGATAGCAAAAATCGAGCCATTGCCGAGCCTTCATAAGTATCATGCTTTAAGCTTTGCACTAATTGAGGCAGGAAGTCCACTAGCTGGTCATTGGGGAGCTTGGAGATCCACTCCACGGCCTTTTCGCGAACCTTGGCATCCGGATATCGGGGTAGCAGTAACTCCAAGGATTGCAAAGGCGACAATGGTGCCCAGGAATGAAGCAGGGCATGCAGATCGATTAGATTGGCGTAATCCCAACTGTGGGCGGCATGAAGAACCTTAGGCAGGGCATTTGGATAGTTCTGCAGATAGAGTCGTTTCTCCCAGAACACCTCACGTCGCTCAGTGGCTCCTGTATAACCCAACTCTGCAGTATCCAGCAACTCCTCTTGCAGATTAGCATCCAACGAGGCAAAATCATAGCTGGGAAAGATTATGAGGTAATATCCCATTACTTTATTCCCTCCCTAAAACTACTAATACTCACTGCGGTGCAGGTTTTGGTATCTCCTGATGCTCGGGAAACTCAATACGACCTCCATATGGAGGAACCTCAATGCTCAGAACAGGACAAAAGTCGGGATGCGGGTGACAACCTCTCGCCGGGGCTGGTCCCAGCATCTTATCAGTGGTTGGGGGCCATAAGGACAGCAGGTAAGGGCCGCATATCATCACACGCTTGAAGTCAAACAGCTGAATGGAACACCATCCCAGCTCAGTGGTAACCTGACGCCTCTCTCCATTTTGTTCCGCATTTGGTTCGCCTTCGCTGGCCGCTTGTTTGCCATACAAGACAAACGTGATCCTGGCCTCCCTGGGCAAGGTGCAAATGGGATGTTGATCAAAAGTCAGCCAGGCGCTAAAGTTAAGACGAGGGAACAGGCCTCCACTCGTATCATTCGAACAGGTCAAGACATTTGGCTTGGACAGCAGACGTGTTCCATAAACAATCTGAACGCACAGAGAGTAATCGTCAAACTTCCAGTTAGGCGGTGGCCTATGTAGGCAGTTGATGCAGACCACAATTGGTTTGGACACACAAGAGATGGGTATGGGAGCTGTAAGAGTTAACATTTCGATTAAGATATTACATTCAGTCAAATCAATCAGCTACTTACTTGTAGAGTAATCCGGTGTCTTAACGGAGAATGCAACCCGGAACACATTTGCGTAGAGCTCAACCAGCTCCTGCACGGCATCTCGCAGCTCATTGCACTTGACCTTGATTTGCTCCAGCATTGACCGTGGTCGGAGAACAACTTGAGCGTAATCACCATAGTCACTAACAATCTCCGGATTACTAGCACCCGTAGAGTACTTCTTTTGCTCCACTTCGCAGATGCGCTTTAGATCGTTGACGCATCTTGCAATTTCCATTGTGTCGATTGAACCGAGCAGGGCGCAAATGGCCTTCACAGCCTGCACGACTCCCGAACAGCTCACGACACTTCGTCCAGGCACTCCATCTGCCGCCGACTCGAGCTTGTCGATCTCCATCTCTAAGGTCTCAATGAGTATCATCATGTTGTCGTAAGTCACAATCGGGACGACCTCGTTGGGCAGCAACTGTTCCGGTAGCAGAGCGGCATCGTGTTCATCATCCCGCTCTGTTCGTGCAATCGCCTGCATGTTAGCCGCCGTACTTAGGCATAGACCCAAATGTACGTCCTTCTCCAACTGGAAACTATTATGCACGCACTCGAGCTGACTAAGTTTTGAGGTGGGTGCCAGCCACTCTAAGAGACCAATGGGCTGTAAGTGAGTAAATTGTAGTTAGACTTGGTAAATTTCGCTATATTTAAGCATACCAACCTTGACTGCGTAATCTGTGACAGTCCCTTTGACTTGTCCCTCCAGCATTGCCAATGCCTGAGCCACCACCTGTGCCACGACTGAATCAACTATTGGAAGAATTCAAAAATCAGATACGCCTTTATGCTACTTAAAATCAAACTTACTGTCACAGGTGAATGTAACTGGCATTCCATAGCCTTTCACCTGTTCCTTGGCCAAGGAGGAGGCCATAACATTTGATTGGAGAGTGTTCAGAGCCGGATGCACAATCACCTTGATGCTGGTGTCCATCATGTAGTGGTAATTAAACTCAGCCGCCACCACATGGCCCACGTTAGTGAGCGTATCGTCGTGTGGGTAACGTGCCCGAAGCTCCTTGACCATATGATAAAACTCCAGAAGCTCGGGATCATCCGTACGCTGGTCACTGATCACTTCGTACAAACGCGTACAGGTTTTCCGTCGATCTAGAACCACATTGGCCGGAATGCTTGAGGTATAACTATCCGTCAGTTGAGAAGATTGATAAGGCTTCGAGGCCGGCACAGGTGCTTGATTTGATTCATATAGCTGCTGGTTCCTTGGCGGCAACGGTGGAGGAGGGGATATACTACCGGATCCGTTCTCCGACACCTTTACGCTCTCCTCCGGTGGCGCATCTCCATAACACGAGGAAGATGTAGATGGCTGGTTTAGAAAATCTTGCCGCCAACCGATAAAACCGACGTTCGGACTCACAGTTGCCGCAGTTTTGTCCCACCTATTGACCGCCTCGTACATTGGATCGGAATATTGGGTTCCCGCATCGCCGCTGTACAGAAAGTCAAAGGGATCGTATTCCGCATAGTATGAGGTGCTGTCAGAAGCGCTGTCGTTTCCTGCAAGTAGCGAGTGCATGATCAGTTCCGGTTCAAATCCAGTTCCCAGACCCCGTTCCGAATTTCGCCAGTAGTTATGCAAATATGCTCGAGACCCGAGGCCTACTATTGCGAGAGTCCGGGCACATCACATCGAGTGGCCAAAAATAAATGAGACGGCCCCAAAGAGCCCAATAAGCAGAGCAATGTGGATCGGACAAACTAGCACCACTGGCAAAGCGAGAACGCTTCGCAAATCTACGCTAACAAATCCGTCGGACAGCGAGGCGACTACCATCGCTAATAGCTAATTGTGATTGCTGTCATACGTCGCCCACGCTGGTCCAGTACAGTGGGTAATCGATATTTGTTATGAAGGGAAATCAAAGCAATTTAAATTCTAAGTTAATTTAAAAAAAAAAGAAAAGAAAAACCAAAACCTGGTACTTAGTTAAATATATAATTTAAAGTTTAAAGTTAATTGTCAAAATATTTTTTATTTATTTTAGGTTGTATTTTATTTGAAAAGAAAGTTGTTTCATAGGAATCAAATGAACTAATTCAACAACCGAATGCCCACTGTAGCTATGTGAGTATTTTTAAATCGCTTTGTTTATATTCATTCTCAATCTGTCGTTTCTAGTGCCATTACATCTGTTTCATTTTCAACAAAAGGGAAAGCTACTTCTCAAAAGACCTCGTAATTTTAAAAGCCCTTGCCCTTGGTGATTCCATTTGTGGTCAATCATCCCAAAATACTTTAGAAACTTAATGACAGACGGCATTAGAATATTAGCAATGATTTAATTACAAATTATTCAGAATAAGTGCATAAAAAAGATACCCTTTAACAAGTTAGTTACATTCCCAACTAAACCCTGAATGTAATAAATAAATACATACATATGCTTTAAAAGATTGAAAATTTCAAATCTAATGACAATTATTATTTAGTAAAGCGTGAACAGGCATTATTAATTCGGGTAAGCGAATTAGAATTAGAGACAAGCGACTAAACGATTAATAAAACAACCACAGACTACAATTTGTTTAAGAAAATTATTTATTTGTTCTCTCACAATGATACACGATAGAATTAAACATATGTATGTATTTATTTTTGTATATATATGTGTATTAATGGATATATGTAGCAGCAAATCACAATGTGTTCATTTCGTAATACATTTTTTAAAAAACGAAGAGACTAAATCTTCTCATCTGATCACTTTTCATCCAAATGACAGTCGTTAAATTCTTTTAAACTTTTTAAAAAAAAATTCAGTACATCTTAATCGGTATTAGTGCAGTAAAAATATAAAATACCAATTCCAAATATTATGCACTAATGTTACGATGCGATACTTTGGACACCGATTTGTTAGCTGTCTTCAAAGTTATTCCGGTGATAACGGAAGGCACAAATTTCGATATGAGGGCACATATATGTTTAATTTAACATTAGTATTTTTGCATGTAATTAGGTGGTTCTAAGTATGTGCTGCTATAGACACTAATTTGTCTTTGCCTCCGAAACGGACCAAACCGACCCGAAACCCTTTAGATGGTGTAGTTGTTGTGGGTGTAAAGTAGTTGTTTTTTTTTGTTTTTGCAGTTTTTGGTAGTAGTAGTACTGATAGTAGTAGAGGTTTTGCAATTAAAATGGATTACTTTTTCGACACTGCAATATAGAGAAACAAAAACATTCAGTTTAATTCTTAACTAAAGGCGAGCGACGAATTGCTACTAAAAAAGGCTAGTATCTACCCAGAATTAACGAGGTCAAATAATGGTTTTAAGCTAAATATTCTCCAAATAATACTGTTAGTAAATTAGATACTTCATTACAGCCAAAACTACAATAAATTTTCATCTACATCTACTTTTAAATTAACAATAATGTGTAGAATTTTAACCAGAAAATACTAAAATTGCTTCTCTTCAACTTCAATAAAATAATTTATCCCATATCTTAGATAAAAAAGCTGAAGTAAAAATCCTAATAAAGTTATCAGGAGAATGCAATAATGCCAATTAGGTTTATTACGAACAGTTCTCTGGCATGAAGTTGCAACATTCCAGTTTCAGACTAAATTTCAAACTTTAGTTACGGTGCGAAAAATCTATGGGGATCTTGACGAGGGTCCGGAAGCTACACATTAATTACAACATTGCGGTTGCTTACCAGTATTGTCGTTTAGCAGGGGATCGAAAGCTTCCAGCACACTCACACGAGAGCTAAATATGAAAAAACATTACGTTAGAGATAGAAACTAATCGTTATTTGTACGTTAGTGATACATACTAATCCTCGTGGTTGAGGTCTATTAAATCGTTGCCCCTGCGTGGGCCAGAGGAATGACCATTGCTTCCAATTTGGCTACTGGAGCTTATGCTGGCAGTCGAGGGAACTTGCCGACGCGCTTGGAAGGCAACTCCATTGGCATCCACGGAACTGGGAACGGAATGATTGGACGGTTGACTGTGATGACTCTGTAGCGGTGCTGGAGGAGTTGGTTGCGATTGTGGGCGCCGCAAATCCATATGTGTGTAAGCGTTCCCAAAACCATATCCCTGTGACGGATATTGCGGAGGCATAAAAGCAGCGGATCCGGGAACTATTGGTGCCGTATAGGGTGTTACAACTGCTCCCGGATAATACAAATAGGCGTTGGGCTGCTGCACCGGAGCAACGGCCATTTGGGCCGGCATGCTGTACAGCCGCTGAATCTCCTCGTTGTTCAATGGCCTCTGTTGTTGGGCAGCGGGCTGGTAGGGTACAAGCTGCAGGTCACCATAAGCGCCTGCTCCTCCTCCTCCTGCCACCATGCCATACGGTGGAGGCTGCACCGAGGCTGAATGTTGCTGATGAGGATAGCCATATTGAGCTGGAACCGATGCCGCCGCCACAGGTCCCACGGGCACAAGAGCCGACTGCGGATTAGTTGGATGCATTCGCTGTAGATCCTCGATGAGTTTGCCAAACGGACTGCTATTCTCCGGCTGCTTGCTGGTGGGACTAGCGAAGCAGATCAGATCATTATCAGACCCCTGAGCAGGCGGAGTGCGAGATCGTTCCACATTTCCCGGACTGATGACCACCTGATGGACCTCCGAGTGACGTCGCGGCTGATTAACGCTCAGACTACGCTGCGCCGCCTGGTAATCCCGTCCAGCATGGGATGAGCTTTGCTGATAACCTGATCCGGAGCCGTACTTCTTGTTACGCCGGTAGTCGTCGAGCGCATGCTGCTCCAGGCTCAAGGCGGTCGCTTTGGCCAGGTCATCCTGAAACTGCTTGTCGTAGTCGATCTGCGCCTGATTTGACATTATCCCCTCTAAAGCGTCCGTACCGTTGAACTGCAAATGGCAACCAGCACAGAAAATGAGATATTTTCAAATTTTGTTATATTTTTTCAGTATTTTCCCTTTCAATGCTTATTTGTTATGCCCGTGGTGAACAAAGGTATTTGCTTTTTCGACTCGCTTATCTCTGCGATAACAAACAGGCAGCGATAAAAGTGATTATGCCGTGTAAAGTGCAGTGGTATGAGAATTAAAACGAAGAAAAACAAGTGAAAAGCCATTCGATGAGGGGAACACCCCTTTGGAAAAGGTGGTGGTGCCAAACGGTAGATTCTTATATGTATAGTTCCAAAAGAGTACCAGGTACCAATTGAGTGATTCATAAACCAGACAAAGACATATTGAACGTTGAAAAAGTTTTGTTAAACGTCACTAACATTATCTCAATCAAACATGTACATACATATTTTAAAAGATAATACTGCGGTTTAAATATGTACATATGTATATTATTTCTTTAACAGAACTTATTTTAAATTTCAAATCTAATTTTCAAAAGGTCCTTCTGATGAAGTTTTCTTTAAGAATTTATTTCCAAACAACGTTTTTAAATAACTAAAACTTAGAAAGTTTTCCGGAAATATCGAATTTTGTACTTATAAAGTAGGGACGTGTACTAACACTATTAAAGTCTGATAAGTAAACAACAAATTTCTATTCTGTTATCGTATATATTACATGTACATATAAACTACATAATAACAACATATGTACAACAATGTACAATGTATATATGTATAAACCAATTTCAATCGTTTCCAATTTGTGATTGCGATACAGACGAGTGGCGCAAAAAGGCGCAATTGAGCGCGCAATTGTAAATAAATAAATAAATACAAACAATACCGTCGGCATCAATTTGCGTGAATGAATGCTGCGAATGCCGATTACACGTATATGCATCTACATACATATATATATGCATATGTGCAATATATATATCAGCAAGGGAAGCGTTCCGATTTTTTCCCATTGAAACCATTCGCGTATGCAGATAGGAAACAGCTGTTCAACATAAACACACCCACAAACGACATCTGTCTGTGTGCGTATATGGCAAAAGGAGAGGGAATGGAAGATAAGAAAATACGAACCGGCAAGGAAATGAACGGCCGGGAGGTAGAGAGAAACCAGATCGGGGGTTGAGGCATATGCCGCAAAGGTTAAGGTAAATCAATATATTACAACAAGTACAAGTTAGTTAAGTATTTATGAACAACAAATCAACTCAATTGATTATCAATTTTTTGGAGAGAAACATAGAGAGAAGATTTTAAAACAGCGAACTTCGATAGAAGGGGAAACGTAGATGATAATGGAGATAGTCATTAAATATGCAGACTTGTCTTCTTCTTTGTTATTCTCATTCGCATATTGCCAACTTACTCGCTTTTTGGGGTGTCACCTCCGCTGATTTCTTTTCGGTTCCGTTTTTTACTTGCCGCAGTACGAATTAAAATCATCCGGTAAGGCGCTTGCTTTTTACTTGCTTCCACGCCTGTACGTTATAATTACCGAATGGTTGTAACTTTCCTAATAATTTTTGTTGTTTTTAGAAGGCGAGGTGTTTCTCCTCCTACACTCCTACACCCACAGACACACACACATAAACGAAACGAACATACAAACACACACGAACGAAAACAGTGACAAGAAACGGAATAGGCAAAACACCAAAATACTGAACAAATTTGGTCCTTCCTTAGATTATTATTTAACACTATCACAAATTTTAAACATATCGTTTGAGTTACATTAAAAAGCTTATTTTTTTGTGCGACAACTTCACACACGAATAACACGAAGAAAACGGAATGCAACAAGCTGTAAAGATGGAACTAAACTCGATAATTTTCGGCATCCATCGATTAATGCCACTGCTTATAATGGTTTGCGTCCCGAACACTCACCCAAGTTTCATTTAACGTCCTCTTAATTTAAATTTTTGTTCAAATTATATTCATATCCTATAATTTTTTATTGTAAAAACTGAAACAAGTGTTCAATTTTCTTTTTATATTTCTTTAAAAATATGTATATGTTATATTATGCGTTTCACTTTGATTTATAGTTGGATTTTTCATTATAAATGTTCTATTTATAGTTATACAAAAATGTCTCATCCAAATCCAGGTTCCTGCCGTTATCCATAGCCACTTTGGAGTCATCGTCCAGTCCACCAACCAAATTCAGTCCATAGTCGGGATCATCGAGAGAACTGCTAGTTGGTACATTATACATCCTGCGGTAGGAAGCCTCGATATTCTCGTCCAGCATTCGATCCACAATATCGCTTTGAGCCTGTCCCGGTTCTTGGGCAGACAATTTCAGCAGGAGCTCCGCATTGTTGGCCGTCATTTGAGGCAGTTGAAGATCGGTTGTTGTCAGGGGATTAACATTACCATTGCCCCTTCGAAGAGTGAGTTCAGCTGTCTCTGCACCCATTTTGCAGAGGGCACACCTGCTGCGTAGAATCTGCTTTTTCAGATTAACCAGGGTGATACGATCCTGCGCCAAAAGCATTCGTTCCTGGGCCAATTGGGCCTCCTTTTCGGCGAGATCTTGAGCCCGTTTACCCATTATTTTTAGCTTGGCCTGGAGTAGCTGGTCCGCCTCTCGAGCCTTGTGCTCGGCCATATGTGTGCGACTTGTGGCCAGGCGATAGGCGCCGGTGGCCTGACCCAGTTCGTCCTCCTTAACATTCAAGGCGTTCTCCTTATCCACAAGGAGGCGCTTGCGTTGCTCCACTTCACGCTGGAGTTTATTGCAGCGGTCCCGCTCCTCATCCGCCCGTCGAATGGCCTCGCGGGCCACCTGCAATTGGGCCTCCAATTCCCGGCGATCCTTATCCAGGTCGCCTTGTTCATGAAGTTGCTGTTTTAATTCAATTTGCTGGCGTTCCACTGCGAGTTGATTGCGCTCCTGCTGGAGATCGTGGTGCAATCGCTCAGTCTCGGCTAGCTGAAGGGTTTTCAATTCCTCAACACGCTTTTCGTCCCGCTTTATTTGCTCGCGATGGAAGTCCTTTTCGCGCTCGAAAGCCTTGCGTTCCGCTTCCAAGCTGGACATTCGCTGGCGCAACTGCCAGTTTTCCTCGGCAGAGTCCTTGGACAGACGACCAAGCTGCAGTTCCAGTGTACTAACTAATTCCATCAGGCGGCGCTTCTCCTCGTCGGCCGTCTCCTCGTCGATCTTTAAACGCCTTTCCTGATCGGCCAATCGACGTTCCCGTGCCTCCAACTGTCGCTCTTTTTCATGGTTGCCAGTCATCTCGTTACGAAGCTCTTGAAGATTGCTGGAGGCCAAACGAAGCGTCTCCAGATAGTTACCATGATCCTGTACCGCTGAGAACTCTAGCATTTTTGCCTGACGAATCCCCTCAAGGTCCATTTCATGGGATTGCCGCAGCTTGCGCACCTCATCCTCGTGATCCTGCCTTAGGTTGGAGATCTGTTCCACATAGTCCTCCTTTTGTTTCTCTAGTTTGTCGGTATAGTACTGTCGCAGTTCAGTGTTCTCTAGCTTGAGACGATCCTCTACGGCGGACAAGTGATCCTCCAGTACCTTTATTTGTTTTCTGAAAATATTAATATTTAATTGTTTTAGAAAATAATATTATTTTAAATTTTACTTATAAGAGGTGTCTATCATTTCGATTTCCTGCTCATAGTTAACCTTCATGTTGGCCACCAGCTCATCTAGTCGCTGTTTCTCCAGCAGATTCCTCTTGGCATCCATTTCGAGTAGGAGCAACTGTTCCTGCTCCTGGCTCGCTGCCTTGTTGTCTTTCTTTGTTTCTGGTTCTAGTTTATCCACGGGCGCGGGGTTGGAGACCAATTCCTGAACACGCACAGGCTGTGACATCATCAGCTGAATGTGCATATTGATCCGTTCCTGTTGCCCCTTGATGTGCTCCTCCATTTGTTGCTGACGCTGCAGTTGTTGTTGGATTAGGGCCTGGAACTTTTGATCCTGGTTCTCCTGGCGACGCTGCATTTCTAGTAGTGTTCTCTCCTGGTTCTTCATTTGCGCGGCAATAACCAATTGCGCCTCCTGTTGTTGCAAGGCATTGAATTTGTGATTGCTTTCCAGATTAAGATTGCTCAACATCAGAATATTCTGGGTGGAAGCAGTCACGCCGGATGAAGCGGACACGACAGGCATTTCTGGTTCCTGCTCCATTTCGTTCTCATCGGAGTCGGGAAGGCGAAGTATATCTGCTGTACTTTTCGGCGGATCCTCATTGGAGGGCTGTTTTTTAGGTGTCTGGGGCTTAGGCGTGATGGGTTGCTGTTCCTGCTCCTGATCCTGCTCAAGACCTAACCAATCCGCGGTGGTTCCCCGCTTTCGGGAAACGGGCGTAGACATACCCGAAACGGTGGCATTCGTATCCCTGCCAAAAAGTCCCAAAGGATCGGCATTAATATTAATGGTGGCCGATTGCGCGGAACTTCTTCTTCCTGTCGAAGTCTTGGGTCTTGCCTGCGAGTTATCCGTGGTTGTGTCCGTAGATTGGCGGGACATCGATGGCTTTGCTGTTGCAGGACGTTTGCCGGCATCTCCCGCCAGAATCTCGTCAAAGATATTCTTCTTGGGCTCTGGATTACTGGTTAGCAGGTCATCAAACAAACTTCTTTTAGCGCCTCCGCTCTTTGGTCGCTTGGGATCAAAACCCAAGTCATCATCCTCGGCAATATCGCCATCATCTAGTGATATTGAAGGCTTCTGCTTAACAATTCTTGGCGTGCTGGTAGCGTTGGGCTTGTTCCTAGCTCCTGACCCCTGCCCCTGCACATCCGCCTCCGTCTCCTCCTGAATGCCAAACAAATCCTCGAGCTTTCCTTTGGGCTTTCCCATTTTGGCAGGCTTTTTGTGATTTCCACCAGGAGTGTCGAAAAAGTTGTCATTATCCAGGCTATTATCACTCAGCAGCTCCGCCAGAGGATCGTCGTTAAAATTCATGATAAAGGCAATGAAAAATGAGCGTTACGGTAAAAGTCTATAAACACCAATGCAACGGTTGCCTAGTGACCAATTTTAAATGTCTACAGCAACGTTATCGAAAAAAGTTAATTTAAAAATATGGTCGGTCTATTAAGTTTGAGTTTAAAATGTAACGCCCATAATAGAAAACATTATTCCATTTTAATGTTCATTTAATGTTCCTAATTAATAATTATTAAAATTTTACTAAAAGAAAAAAACGCTCAATGCCTCTATTATTTTTTAAGGAGTATTAAATACATAATAATTAATAATTCAATAAATTTATATGTGAAAATCTTTTACATACATTCAAATCAACATCGAAAACAAATTTCTTATTATTTACCTTTAACATTTAAAATGCTTTAATTTGCCTTTACAATTATTATAATGTTTAAATCTTGTTGTCATGTGAACAAAAAAATTCCAGTTATTTAAAAAAAGTTATAATAAATATAATAAAAATATATCATAAAAGTTTTTATTTAATATAAAATATTTGCGTATTCGCGTTTACCAACACCGAGAAAGTCATCGATTGTTGTTTCAAATAACAATACTGGGGTTATCGGTAACAGTCTTGTTTTGACAAAAATTAAACATTTTTAATATTTGGCAGAAATGAGCAATATTTACATCCAAGAGCCGCCCACAACGGGAAAGGTACTCTTGAAAACCACCGTGGGTGACATCGACATCGAGTTGTGGGCTCGCGAGTGTCCAAAGGCTTGCCGAAACTTCATCCAACTTTGTTTAGAGGGATACTACAAGAACACCGAGTTCCACCGCCTGGTTAAGGGATTTATTGTCCAGGGAGGCGATCCAAATGGAGATGGTACCGGTGGCGAGTCCATCTACGGGCAGCCCTTTAAGGATGAGTTTCACTCCCGACTTCGGTACACACGTCGTGGTCTCGTGGGTATGGCCAATTCCGGGAAGGATGACAATGCCTCCCAGTTTTTTTTCACATTTGCACCCACGCCGGAGTTGCAGAATAAGAATACACTATTCGGAAAGATCACTGGTGACACCATCTACAATATGCTCAAGCTGGAAGAGGGCATCGTTGACCACCAGGAACGACCCATGCACGCACATCGCATTGTTTCCACGGAGGTCCTCTCAAATCCCTTCGATGACATTGTACCTCGCGTTTTAGCTAAGCCGTCTACTAAAAGCAAAAAGAGCAAAAAGGAACGACAAGGAGTGAAGTATGATATCGTTCCTATTTACTTTTTTATTCTAATAATAATTTTATTTAAACGTAACCATATATAATTCATTTGGTTCGGCTGCAATTCGTGTTAGGAGGCTATGACTAACCTTTTTAAATATTTTTCAGAAACTTCGGCCTGCTTTCATTTGGTGAAGAAGCCGAGGGTGATGAGGAGGAGACCAACGTTTATGTAAAAAAGAACGCCGGTAAAGCCAAATCCCTGCACGACGTAACAGATGATCCAAAACTGAGCAAAGAACCTATACGCGTACCTAAAGCCCCAAAAGGTGAAAAGATCGAAATCGAGGAGCCCTTGTCGGACGATTGCCTTGAAGATATTGACACCGATAAACCAACCCCTGCCAGTTCGGATGTAATCAAAATGAAACTTTCTAAGCATACAAAAAATCGTCCGGAAAAAAAAACGAAGCCTATTCAAGAAAAGACTGATTCTGAGGACGAAGAGGATGTTCTGATGACACGCGAGCAGGAACAAAGTCGGAAAGTCTTAGAAGAAAAGTAAGATATATTGTAATATTAACATGATAATGGCCAATTTATTTAAAAAATGCATTTTAGATCCAAGATCAGAGAAGAAATCGCCTCCCTTAAAAAGCAATATCAAATGGATAAGCAAAGCAAAGATAAACTAGTTCTCGGTCAGGAAAAACCAACAAAATCGACCGAAATAAAGGGGTCCAGCGAAAACCATTACATTAACGATTTTATAGAGTCTAAGGAGAAGTATACGGCCAAAACTAAACTTCAACCTAAAGGGCAGTCAAGGTGCGTAATAGTCAGTCTTTTCATGACCATTAAAACTTAAGAACGGCTTTAACTTTTTTAGGGAGGCTTTTACGCTGAGCTTACTCTCCAAATTTCGCACAAAATTGGACAATCTGAAGCAAAAGTCAAACTCGGATGATTGTGAGCCCGAAGTCAAGGATGTGGATGATCGTTCGGTTGAACAAGAAATTATCGGCGACGACTGGCTGTCGCACACCTTAAACTTCAACAGTACGGCTCCAGTTTTGGCAAAAGATGCCAACAAAAAGGGTGACGATTGGTACGACGCTTACGATCCCCGAAATCCTTTAAATAAACGGAAACGGGGAGAAACTGATTCTAGCAAATCTAGCAAATCAAAAACAAGTAAACGTAATTTTTGAGCAAATATACTAAATAAAAATATTTTTAACAAAATAAAAAAAAATACCTAATATAACACAACCAAAATAGCGCGCATGGCGGACTTTCACTATGCTATATAGATGTTATAGCAATATGAACAAGATATGGTACACATTGAAAGGTGTTTGTATTACAAAAACAAGATTTCCAGAAAGAAAACCCTGCTTAGTAACTTTTAAATTTCGCGCCTATTTGCCATTATTTCTAGTGTGTAGCTTACATTTGGTGGTTACTTAGTAAGTCCACCTGGGCACACTAAATGTTTGAGTTTTGTTAACCGCAGCTGAGACAAAAAAAGGCGAATTCAAGGTGAAGTAATTGGCTTCAAAATAACAGGTAACAATAGTTGATTGCCAAATCGTAATCCCCTATAACTGAAGTGACAAAAAAATTGAAGACTACTGCTAAAGAACTGGCAACGAAACGAAAAAATCGATGGTTGCGTCAGGAGGAAATTATTGATTTTATTCGTCATTTGTTTTTGGTCTCCACAGCTACTCGACTTTTTTTGAGGGGGAGGCGGCCTGAGTCACCACACTTATAAATACAGAAATCAAGGAAAACTTGAAGATGAGTGCCAAGACCAGGAGACCTGGAACTGGCAGCAGCCAGACGCCCAATGAGTGCGTACAAGTGGTGGTCAGATGTAGGCCCATGAGCAACAGGGAACGCTCGGAGGGATCCCCGGAAGTGGTTAACGTATATCCAAACAGGGGAGTTGTAGAGCTGCAGAATGTAGTGGATGCCAACAAAGAGCAGCGCAAGGTGTTCACCTACGATGCTGCCTATGATGCGAGTGCCTCGCAAACGACTCTTTACCACGAGGTCGTGTTTCCTTTGGTCAGTTCCGTTCTGGAGGGATTCAATGGTTGCATTTTCGCCTACGGACAGACGGGCACCGGCAAAACATTCACCATGGAGGGTGTGCGTGGAAATGATGAACTTATGGGCATCATACCCCGAACCTTCGAACAGATCTGGCTACACATCAATCGCACTGAAAATTTTCAGTTTCTGGTGGATGTATCCTACCTAGAAATCTACATGGAGGAGCTGCGCGATCTTCTGAAGCCAAATTCCAAGCACTTGGAAGTTCGGGAGCGGGGATCAGGCGTTTATGTACCCAACCTGCATGCCATCAACTGCAAAAGTGTCGACGACATGGTCAAAGTGATGCAGGTGGGCAACAAGAACCGCACCGTGGGATTCACCAATATGAATGAGCATAGTTCAAGGTGAGTAACAACTATAACTAGAACTTAGAAAAATCTAAAATATACATTTTTCTTCCAGATCACATGCAATTTTTATGATCAAAATCGAAATGTGCGATACAGAGACTAACACAATTAAGGTGGGCAAACTGAATCTTATAGATTTGGCAGGTAGCGAGAGGCAGTCAAAGACTGGAGCGTCAGCAGAACGCCTGAAGGAAGCCAGTAAAATCAACCTGGCACTGTCCTCTTTGGGCAACGTTATCTCCGCCTTGGCCGAGAGTTCGCCGCACGTTCCGTATCGTGACTCCAAGTTGACCCGATTGTTGCAGGATTCGCTAGGCGGCAATTCCAAGACTATTATGATTGCCAACATCGGACCTTCGAACTACAATTACAATGAAACGCTTACCACCTTACGCTACGCCTCTCGAGCCAAGTCCATCCAGAACCAGCCAATCAAGAATGAGGATCCGCAAGACGCTAAATTGAAGGAGTACCAAGCGGAAATAGAGCGATTAAAACGTCTTATTGCTCCACAACAGCAGCAACGCAGCGAGAAGCAGGTCACGGCCAAAAAGCAGCGCGTCAAGAAGCCCAAAAAAGAACCTGTGTCCAAGGAATTGTCCGATTCCCTCCAGGTTTCCACCATTGAACAGCCGGTTGAAGAGGAAAGCGATCCCGAGGGCACAGAATCCGAGTCGGACAAGGAAAACGAGGCCGAGGTGGCCAAGTCAAACGAGGAACTGGAACGAGAGCGTGTGGAAAACTCAAAACTGGCGGCCAAACTTGCCGAACTAGAAGGTCAACTGGTGCGCGGTGGCAAAAACTTGCTAGACACATACAGTGAACGACAAATTGAACTAGAGAAGAAGTTGGTGGAGATCGCGGAACGCAAGAAGCGCGAAATCGAGATCCAACAGCAATTGGAACTGCAGGAGGAGACAACGCTGGAGATTCGCGAACGGAACGTTTCACTCGAGCAAGAGGTCGAGCTTAAAAAGCGAAAGCTCTCCAAGTGCTATGCAAAGTATTTGGCGCTGCAGCAGGAACTCAACGACTGTAAGTCCGACCACAACCAGGACCTTAGAGAACTCGAGATGGCTCAGAACGAGCTGGTCAAGGAGTTAAAGCGCCAGCTGCTAATAATTGACAACTTTGTGCCCATCGAAGTAAAGCAGCGCCTTTACACGCAGGCCAAGTACGACGAGGAACAAGAGGAATGGAAGTTTTCCTCGATGTCGTTGCCCACACCACCTGGTGGAGATGGAAAATTTAGCAGCAAGCGACCGGTGTCACATCCACAGCGCAGAAGGCCTACCTCCGAGTACGCTCTGCAGGAAGCCAAATCGAATGCACCGAGCTCCCTGCGTTTTAAGAGCGAGAACATTGTGAACTACGAACTGGAAATGCCGTGCCGCACTACACAGGAGTATCGTACGCCCAAGGTGTCGGCCTCGCTTCAAGCGGTTCTCGCCCAAGCTATGCAAACAGGTGGAGATGATATCGACATTGTGGACTCACACACAAATTCACTGCGCAGCCGTCTAGAGAACATAATCAATGCTAATGCCAACGTAGGAGCTGGTCCTGGTGCTAGCACAGTCGTGGGTAGCTCCATTCCCAATGTCCGAAACATTAAGTCGAGCCGAGGATTGCCAAGTGCCGCCTCCAATTTGGACTCCAACCGACGTCCGCCCACGGGCCGTTTACCGGCAAAGAAGCCGGCTTCGGCTTACCCCAAGGCACGCGGCCTGGTCAACAAATAATCACAAACGACTCGAATCGAATCGAATTGCATCTAATAACCATTTATCATGCAAGCACAACACTAACCAAAGTATTTCATAGTCATCGCAATATGTACACCTCGATAATCCTAGCCGAATCTATTCACATTTCGCGCTTTGTAAAAGTTTCCTTTTGGTTTGGGCCAACTTAAAGTATTGGCATATTAACTATTTAGACATTTTCAGAACTGAACTATTCGATTCCATTTTAGTATATGCCACATGCTTTAAGAGACTTGGTTGTACCACCCCATATTTTCGTTAATTTTTTTTACGTTTATTTGTTACTCGACTCGAATTATTTGTTATTGATTTTTATGTTTGTGCTCTGTTCAGTTGCCGAGTGCATTTATCTGACTTCTATCGTGCAATCTAAGCTTAAGTTAAACCCAACTGCTACAGTCTATTATTTACTTAGTAAATGGTCTTTAGTTAATATTATGAACCAAATAAAGCAGAGAACAGAGATCAAGCCCTTTCTTAAATATTAAATTAAAAGAATCCAAGCTATAATATTTAATAGATAAATGCAGGGTTTTAATGTAAATGCAAAATTGGACTTGGAATAATTGGCAATATTCTTTTCCTTGTAGTTTACTGGATTACTTTCAGAGAGCGACCAACTTCAATGAATGCATCAATGGCTCGATCGATTTCAGCTTCAGTATGGGCAGCGGAGATTTGAACGCGGATTCGGGCCTTTCCTTGAGGCACCACTGGGTAGCTAAAGCCGATGACATAGATGCCACGTGCTGGATTTCAATTTCAAATTGAATATACTATAGAAATATGTTGATTAAAGGGAAGATATCAACTTACTCAGCATCTCATCCGCAAACTTGGTGGCCAGGCGAGCATCTCCCAACATAACGGGGGAGATGGGATGATTCTCGCCAGCTATGGTAAATCCAGCCTTGGTCATAGCCTTCCGGAAACGCTGAGTGTTACTCTGAACGCGCTGGGTTAGTTCGCTGGATTGGAGTAGCATATCCATGACCTTTAAACCAACCGCCACAACTGCTGGCGGTAGGGTATTGGAGAAGAGATATGGCCTGGATTTCTGTCGCAGAAACGAGATGAGCTCGGCGGGACCTGTAGTATAACCACCGGAAGCTCCACCTAGAGCCTTACCCAGGGTAGAGTTGATTATGTCCACCTCACCCATCACATTGGCGTACTCTTCGGTTCCTCGCCCTGTGTCGCCAAAGAACCCCGTTGCATGGCACTCATCCACAAACACCAGGGCATTGTACTTTTTGCCCAACTCAACAATTTTTGCCAAAGGTGCGATGTTTCCATCCATGGAAAATACACCATCGGTGGCGATAAGCTTAAGCCGGGCATCACTCGCCTTCAATTGATCCTCCAAATCCTTTAAATCCCGGTGCCTGTAGCGCTGCTTCTTGGCCTTGCACAACCGGATACCATCGATGATCGAGGCGTGGTTTAGTTCATCAGAAAACACTGCATCCTCCGGCGTCAGTATGGCCTCAAAGATCCCCGCATTGGCGTCAAAGCAGGAAGCATACAAAATAGTATCCTCACGTCCATGAAACTGGGCTATCTTCTTCTCCAACTGCTTGTGTATATCCTGGGTACCGCAAATGAAACGCACCGAGCTCAGGCCAGCGCCATACTGCTCCAGCAGCTGCTGGCTGTGCTTCACGATCTCCGGATTGTTCTGTTGGTCAAAAGAACTTAATACCAATTAATACCAATAGACTTGTAATTTTTAACCTTACCGCCAGCCCAAGATAGTTGTTGGCACAGAAGTTAAGTATCTTCTTATCGCTGCCTTCTACTGTTATCTGGGTGCTCTGCGAAGATGTGATGATTCTTTCTGCCTTAAAGGTGCCCGCTTCCTTGATCCCAGCCAGCTGGGTGCCTAATATCTCCCTCAGCTGAGTCTGAGCAACAGCACTATAATGACGTCCCCCCACTAAAGTATGGTAAAAATTGAAACAATTTAACATTGTTTAAGGTCTAGTAACTAAAATTTTTCAATAATTCACTTTTTAAATACTACTAGTACCATATGTATGAATGCACATGCTTTATATAGAATATACGTTTTATACATATTTCTAAACAAATATGTTGAAGTATTTATAAATCACAAGTTTTTTGCTAAATGAATTTATAAAGTAGGGATTCATATTTAATAATAAGTTTAATATATATAAGTATTTTCAACAGGCTTAACATTAGTGATTAAAATTCATAAATAAATATATATTACCTCCTCGAATAATTGATATTTTTGAGATAATTGACATAATGCCGCTAGTTTATATATATCTTTAATATTCGCGAATATATATTTTCCGGCTGGCTGGTGTCCAGATCCGTTCGACGACTCGCTCTCGACTAAATGACAGCAACCAGTCGACGTAGACAGACATGGAAACAAGTCGCCCCTAGTTGGGGGCTCGCACTGCAAGCAGCTGATTTTTGTTTTTCACTTATAAATAGTATATATGCCTATATGTATTTATGTATCCCTCACAAGCAAATATGTACATTACGGCTGGCTTTCGTTTTAACTAAATTGATTTAATTTGCTTTCACTTGCGTTGTCATGGAGGCGTATTTACTTAGGACATATACAAATAAAGCGCCATTCAGATACAAATGTATCTGCTTATCTGATAATTTCAAACATTTTGCAAATTGCTGTGAAGGTCATTGTCTATTAGGTTTTGATTCCATTTCAGTTTTATGCAATTTGAAAGTTATCTGCAAATATTGTAAAAAGACTAATAAATCAAACTATAACTATCAGAAAAGTAGGCTTATTAAAATTTTTTTTAATATTAAAAATAGGTTTGATATAATCTCACTTTTGCCTGACAATTACTTTTACAGTTTTTATAATACACGTGTATAATCCTTTTAAGATTTTTTAAAGCAATCAACAAACTTAACATTTATATACCTTAAATATTATAAATTATTTTTATAATATTATTATTTATGATAAAAAAAAGAAAAAAAAAAGGATAAAATAAAATATTTCCATATCAGGTTCTACCGAGATTTGAACTCGGATCGCTGGATTCAAAGTCCAGAGTGCTAACCATTACACCATAGAACCTCTGAAGTTCGGCTGCCGAAATTAGTTAATTAAAACTAATATTCGGCTTGGAAACGAAATTCGTTGTTTAATTGCCTTTAGCTATAGAAAACATTTGTTATCAGTGAAATGTAATCATGCACCCATTCATAGGTCAATATAATTAGATCGAGGAGTCAGAGAGATTTTATAAAAATGATAGAAGGGTGATTAGTATATGTACAAACATAACTAAGTATAATTCTTAACCGAATTTATCGTCCTTCTTTTAAAATAACAGGATAGGAAAAATGATTTCGGAATCCGAGGAAATAAAATAATAATAAAATAAATCTTTAATTTTGTAAGCTATATAACTTTTAAAACGAAGTTCCGCATTCAAATTATTTACCCTTAAGACTTGGCTAAATAAATCTTAAGTCTACATTTTGATTTTCAATAATGTTATAAGGTTAGAAGCGATCTAAATAACATCGATAGCTGCGATTCATCAATAGAAATGATTTCCCATAGATCATACCAGTATCGTAGACGCCCACTTTTTGGTAGTATAAAATGCGATCCCAAACTCTGTCTGGTACCAGTATCCGTGGACATTGCCTGCCGTGTGGTTCGAATCGTTTCCAAACTATCCGTGAAGTTAAACATTGAAGTATTCAACCAAAAAGTTTAAATAGTGACCTTGTGATTAACGAAATGAAGAAATATGCGTTTTAAGCCAGTAAATTATATATTTTTTCTGGTGCTGTGCTTGCAAGTCTTTTCCTCGAAAGGATCTCGTGATAATCTGGAGCACCGTGCTCAGCTCGTAAGACAATCAAACGATAATCTGCTTCTCGCGGCAGGCAGGGATCAAAATGTTACCCTGAGATTAATGGGCGAATCGGCCACCGTAACAATCAATGATTTGGACATGATGACTGTGCTCCGACGGCGGAAAAAGATTATTGCCGATCGCCAGGCGGCGGCTCAAAGGGAACCCCTCTCGATGGAGGTCGTCAAGGATCAATTCAGGGATGTGGAGCGCATGATGACGCGGATTCAGAGACGGGTCTTAAATGGGAGGAACTCAACGAGACGGAATGGACTTGATGTACGCATCCTGCGACGACAATTGCAACGTGTAGAACGCGTTACAGGAATTCTGCTGACCCTATCCGCGAATCTGGCTAAAAATGAGTGTAAATCGAGTCCATGCCAGAACGGCGGATACTGCCACGATGCGTACAAGGGATTCCAGTGTGAATGCACTGCGGGTTGGCAAGTGAGTACGCGGGGGCGTCTCCTCAGACATTGGGGGCGTATTTTCACAAGCAAAGAAAATCCGGATATGATAATAAATTCTATGATTCCATGTATATTTTTTGAGTACTTTTAATTTAAAAATTTTGAAACTATTAAATATGATAATAACAAAAAAGTAATTAGTAGATTCTTTCTAAATTAGGGCGAAACTTGTGAGGAAGATGTAAACGAATGTCTTACCTTAGCCGGCACAGATCTGGATGGCTGTGTGAACAATGGGCAATGCATAAACACACCCGGGAGCTACAGGTAAGTGGAAAAGTTCAGCGCATCTGAATGTTTCTTCGATTCCTTATTTTAGGTGCGTTTGCCGGAATGGGTTTTCCGGAACCCACTGTCGCCTCAAGCACAATTCCTGCTGGGGCAGTGGATCCCACGAACTATGCGGTGATCACGGCACCTGCATTCAGGCTTCCAATTCCGCTGGCTATGTGTGCATTTGTGATCAAGGATGGACATGGGCAGATACAAATGTGACTAGCGCCAGTCCAAGTGCCTGCACCCGGGATGTAGACGAGTGTGAGCCACGCGTGAATCCTTGCCACGATAAGTGCATCAATTTACCTGGAAGCTTTCGCTGCGGACCTTGTCCACCGGGGTACACGGGTGACGGACGCTTTTGCCGAGATATAGACGAGTGCGCCCAAGATGATAATGGTGGATGTAGCCAGCAGCCACGCGTGACCTGCACCAACACGGAGGGTTCACATCGATGTGGCCGCTGTCCCCCAGGTTGGCTAGGCGACGGACGGACATGTACAGCATCTAATTCTAACTCTTGCGACAACGAGCGGATTTGTCATCCTCTAGCCAAGTGCGAGTACATATCCGATGCGGTGGTTTGCACCTGTCCTCTGGGCAGTTTTGGACATGGTTACGGTGCCGACGGATGTACCACAGACTCTAACCGGTTGCCTTGTGACCAGCATCCGTGCAAGAACAATGGCACTTGCATTCAGAATGGACGGGGTACTACTTGCATTTGTCAACCTGGTTATATGGGCGCCGTGTGCAACTCGTCAGATGCATGCCACCCAAGTCCCTGCCTAAATGGTGGAACCTGTCGACTGTTGCCGAATAATGCGTATCAATGCGTTTGCCCAGCCAGCTACACAGGCACCACATGTTCCCATCATCGTTTCTTTTGTGGAAGCACAATCCTTGGAGATTCTGGCCAACTGCATTACCCGCCCAACACAGCCGAAGGTGACTACCAAGCGAACGAACGTTGCCCTTTTATTATACGCACCAGATCTCCAAATATGGTGCTAAACTTAACCTTCACTCAGTTTGAGCTTCAGGACAGTACCGACTGCACCGCTGACTTTTTACAGCTGCACGATGGCAACGCATTAAAGACACGTATGATTGGCCGCTTCTGTGGTTCTCGTTTGCCTCTCACAAATGGTAGTATCATTACCACGCAGGAGCAGGCCTTTTTCTGGTTCCGATCCGACAACGAGACACAGGGAAAGGGATTCCATGTAATCTGGAACTCTCTTCCATTCTCATGCGGGGAAACTATTAACCTGACATTGGCACAAACTGGCGTACTGCGATCTCCCGGCTATCCAGGTCAGGCTCGACCCGGACTCGACTGTCGCTGGCAACTGACGGCCTCTTTTGGCACTAGACTAGTCCTTCGGTTCTACGATATATCTCTGGGAAGTAGTCAACCAACCGGTCGCAATTGTAGCGACAAGGATAATACCCTTATTGTTTCCGACTCAAATCGCCAGCTGCTGCGAACCTGTGAAACCATCCAGCCTCTGCCGTTGTATAGCTTTTCCAATAGCCTGCGCCTGGACTTCCATACAAACGAATTTCGTTCGGATAGCTCCTTTCAGGTGCACTACGAGGTGATACCGGGAAAGCCGGGATGCGGAGGAATTTTCACGGAGCCCCACGGACACATTATAGTTGACATGGACAGCGATGTCTGTTCTTATCTAATTGAACAGCCCCGGGGGACTCAAGTGAAGCTGGTGTTCGATAGTGTACATCTTGTGAAGTCCTGTTACTTTCAGAAGATCGAGGTTTTTGACGGAAGAACACCAGATTCGCCGCTAATGCAAACAATCTGCCGTGAAGCAGAAGAACGCGAACTGGAGCCGCTGATATCCACGGGAAATACGATTCTAGTGCGCTATAAATACAGGTTGAGTGGTGTGACGCTAAGAAGAAGTTTTGAATTAACTTATTCGAGAGGTAAGTCATACTTAGTTCACCTTACTTTTTCCCACCCACAGTATTTTACCCATTACGCAATCATTAATTCGTAATTTATTCTAATTTTCCCTTTTTTTTAGTATATACAAAATTTTGAAATAATAATAATATTTAAAATTATTTTGCAGAGTGTACTGGTAGCTTTGTAAATTCCCAGGGAATCATTAGTACCCCTAACTATCCGGGCTTATATCCCGGTGACATGACCTGCACATACAACTTGACTGGGCCGGTTAATACGGCGGCTCAAATTAAAGTCACAGACTTATCTCTGGGCACAGCCAATAATGAAAATGAAACATCTTATTTGGATGTGAGCGTAATATTTTCATAACTTTTAAAACCTTTTTACGAAGTTAAAATCTTTTTAGGTATATTTATCACGCGAAGAAAAGCGGCATATTGTAAAGTCAACAGAAAATCTGGTCCTATTGTCACATGCCAATAAGGCAAGCGTGGTCTTCCGAGGGTCAGGTAGTGGCCGAGGAATGCGATTGGAATATAATTTTTTGCCAATCCGTTGCGGCGGATTTCTTAATGAGCCCGGCAGAAGTCACGTTAGACGCACCAAATTCTGTCAGTGGTTTATTGACATGCCAGGACGAAAACGAATTTCTGTTCATAAATTACTTTCCAACGGAAATATATTCATATATGACAATAGTACAAGCCCAGGAACATTGTTAAATAGGTACGTGTTTATCTTATAATTGGAAACATTTTATCTTAAAATTCATAAACATATATATAAAATATACAATCGTTATAGCTATTCAGCGAGCATGAGCGACGTTTTCGATGGTGATCTTTTGACAATAAACTTTGTTACAGATCAGGGTTATGGATTTTATATCATTAAATTTGAAATTATTGATCCAGGTAAGATTATATACCATTAAATATATAAATAATACATCTAATATATAACCTCTTTCTGTTATATAACTAACAAACTTAATTATTGTGTTTTTATCAATCAGATAGTTGTGGAGGAACATACACAGGACGTTTTGGCTACATAAAGTCTCCAAATTGGCCAAAAAAGTATGGAGCATCCCAAAAATGTGAGTGGATCATAAAAGCTCCATTTGGCCATCGCCTGGAATTAGTGGTGCATAACTTTACGATGGAAGACACTGAATACGACGGTACTTGTCAATCAGACTGGCTAGAAATTAGGTGAACTAACTAATTTATTGTGTAAGAAATCGCAAATTTATTGTTTTATGTTTTTGATTTAGAAATGGCGATTCTGAAACATCGCCGCTAATTGGACGATATTGCGGGAAAAACATTCCGAGCAGGCTGCCCTCATTTGGCAATGCCCTATACCTTAAATACAATTCAGATTACTCTCTTGAGTTAGATGGATTCCTTCTAAACTGGCAGCAAATCGGAGAAGGATGTGGTGGCAAGCTGACCTCGTCCACGGGTAGCATTCATTCACCGCATATAATAGAGGGTAGTAGTGGTGTTCTCGCCTGCGACTGGCAGATTGTCGTCGCCGAGGGATCCAGAGTGAGTCTAGGGCTTGAAAGCAGCGACGAGCGTCTCTGTAGTGGCCAACTAACCATATACGATGGCCCTTCCACCGCCAGCATTCCAATGGTTATTCGCTGTAACAGAACGATTAGTGAACCGATGCTGTCCACCGGTAATCGAGTCCTTATCCGTTACGATGTGGGTAAAGAAGCCCCCGACGGCACTGACTTTATACTGAACTATCAAACAGTTTGTCGAGTTCGGCTGGAAGGTCTGCAGGGTGCCATCGAATCACCCAATTTTCCTGACAACTACCCGCCAAATTTGAATTGCGAATGGGATATTCGAGCTGGTGGACGGACAAATCACTTACAGCTCGTCTTCTCACATCTGACTTTGGAGAGCACAGAAGGATGTAATATAGACTACATAAACGTTGTGGACATGATGGACGACCAAAAGCTCAGCGAGCAGCATCTTTGCACCAACGAGGCTTTGACCCCAATCACCTCGGCTGGTAATCGTTTCCTCCTTAGATTCACAAGCGATTATTCGATTGAGGAGCAAGGATTCCGTGCCGAGTACAAACGTTTAGGATGTGGAGAACATTTCCACGAAATGGGCAGAAACTTTGAATCGCCAAAAGCTCCCTTCAGCGTGGACATGGACTGCGTTTGGGTCATATCAGCGGCCGAGGGCAGCCAAATCCGTCTTCTGCTTCATGAGGTCTACTTCGAGACATCCCAGATTGAGTGCAGCGACTCGGAATCTAGGCTCCTCGTAATCGCACCAAGTGGATTTAATTCCTCTGTAGTACTGTACCAGAGTTGCCACGAGGAGACGCAAACGCAAACCTTTACCTCGCCAGGTAATGAGCTGGTTGTGCGCTTTATCAGCACTTCTGCACAGGCTAAGAAGTACTTCAAGGCCAGTTACGTCCAGGTGCCAGCCAGTTGTGGGGGATACTTAAGCGCCAGCAGCGGAGTCATAGCTTCTCCCGACTTCCATAATCTAGTAGATAGTAGCAATGTCCCGAATAACACACTTAATATAGAGTGTGTATGGACTGTGGAGGTAAGATAATTAGAGAACAAAATGGTACTTTCTCAAACTAAGTTTTATACAAAATTATCAGATATACCCCAGATTATTCGAATATGCTTTTAAGAACATATATAAGTATATTTTTGATAACAAATAATAGCATTTAACATAACCCCCTGTGTTCTAGGTAACAAATGGCTATGGTATCAGGACGCGTTTTGATCAGTTCAACCTCACGGACTCAGCGAACTGCTCGCTTAGTTTTGTTGAACTAACAAAGCTGGAGGCGGACGGGAGTGAACGATTCCTGGAGAGGGCCTGTGGCGAAGATTCACCAATGATTCGCTTAGTTCATGGAAAGAAACTGCGTGTTCGGTTTAAGTCCCAGGCCGGAACTTGGGGTCGGTTCGCCATGTATTTTGCGCGTCAGTGTGGTGGTCCACTTTATTCCGGAGAGGGTTATATACAATCCCGCCTAGACGAGGACTGCAACTGGCTGATATCTTCGCCCGAGGGCAGCAAACTGAGTCTTCATATAAACCAACTAGAATGTCCAAAATGTACCCAACCTTCTGGCAATTGCACAGAGAGTCTTAAACTGCTCAACGACAACGATCAGGTTGTGCTCTACCAGTTATGCCGGGATCATCCTGTCAATTTGATTGTGCCCGCCAACAATGTGCGCATCCTCACCGCAGGTATTAGGCTGCAGGCCCATTTCAGTACTTTTGAGAACTCGTGTGGTGGTAATATCACATCCGCCCGTGGCAGCCTCAGTTCGCCAAACTACCCGGACAGTTATCCATCCAACATAGAGTGCGTCTGGTCCATCAAGACAAAGCCTGGAAATGTTTTGGAAATTAATTTTGAAGCCATGGACATAGTCCACTCCGAGCACTGCAACGAGGACTTCCTAGAACTACGCTCTGGCGCCCAGGGTCATCTTTTGGGTTTGTTCTGCGACAAGAAATTACCAGAGAGTTTTTTGGTGGAGCAATCTGAGCTTTGGATAAAATTCCGTAGCAGACCGGGCAACACTGCCGGTGGTTTCCGATTACGTTGGAATTATTGTAAGTGATTTTTATAAGAATCAAAAAAATATATAATATTAACTATTTGCAGTGCACAATGTTGAAATTACAATGCGTACCAATGGGACGATTGAGCCTGCTCCACCGCTTTTTGTTAGGGGCGAGGATGAGCCCTTCAGCTGGCGCATTTTCGCAGAGCGCGGAAACGTTTTGGTATTGCAGTTTGAGGAATATATTTCAGGTCTTTCAGTAAGTGCAATTCATAATAGTTCAACTAGTTTTTATGAATTAATATTATGTCAATATTTTAATATAATTTTTCAGCTTTATAATGGCTATGATGATAACGCTTTGGCAGTAAATATAGATGCCAGTCCCTCGACGTTCACCTCGAGCAGTAATGTTGTCTACTTAAAAACGATTAATACAGAACTAAGTTATTTTCGACTAAAGTGGCACGTGCTCGATAGCGATCTAGTAGAGGGTAACGTTACCCTGTCATCCAAGGAGTGTATACAGGAATTAACGTTAAGCGACATTGCCATAATTGAAATAAGTTCGCCGGGATATCCGCAAGGCTACGTTCCCTATTTAGATTGCGAATGGACCATTAAGCCAGAGGATCCTTCACAACATATCACTGCATACTATTTTCAAGCGGATTTGGAGAACTTCAACGATTGTGCAGCCGACTATCTTAAAATTCAGAGTTCACATGACCTTCAACACTGGAATGACGAGGTTCGCACTTGCCAGAAATCAAAGACTCCGAATCGACCAATTCACGGAACGCCAAATCTGAGATTGCAGTTCCATAGTGATGTATCCATTAATGGTACTGGATTTTTGGCAAGACTTCGCTCATCGTGTGGCTCAAACATGACGGGAACAGTCGGCACGATTCCCCAGATGAAAGAGGGTGGAGAATGCGCCTGGCACATCGATGTTCGCCCAGGTCGATTAATCGACATTACCATAAATTATGATGGTCCTCCTTCTTCCACCTGTCGCCAGTACGGTTTTATTTACGATGGATTAGATGAACATTCGCCATTGCTACAACATAGTAAGTTCGGCAACCAAAGGGATATAAGGAAGATAGCATTCCGGACGAGCAGCTCGCATGCCTACATAAAATACTATCTCGGCAGTAAAAGTACTAACGACGGATGCCTTTGGACTCTGACTTACCGAGAGTTTAATGAATGTAATGGAGAAATTCAATTGACCCAGAATGCTCCAAAGTTTGTGGTAACGTCGCCGGGATATCCGTATCTACCGCATCCGCATTCAGAGTGTACGTGGTTGGTCCTCGCACCGATGGGTGAGTCCATAGCAGTCAATTTCGATGAATTCGAGTTGAGTTCTCGGATGTGCGACAAAGAGAACGTGGAGTTCTTTGATGGCTCCACTAACCTGGCCCGTCTCTTATTACGCACATGCCGCAAGCCCCACGCCACGCTTCGCACTTCCGGCAGCTCGCTCCTTGTACACTATCAGTCGCAGCTCAATGAACCCAATGGAGGTTTCCGATTAAACCTATCACTGAGCACATGTGGAGGTCAGTTCAGCGGTTCGTCTGGGTCCTTCAATTCGGAGAATTATCCACATCTGGGCGGATATCCCAAGCCGTCTGTGTGCGAGTACAGCATTCGTTTGCCTAAGGAAACTTTCATAAAATTAAACATCACGGATCTTCACCTGCCGTACAATCCAAATGGGAATTCTTCAAAGAGCACTAGCGATCGCCTGGAAATCGTAGACTTCGCTGACCCAACCCAAGAGCTATTGGTTTTAGATGGCAGTACAGTAACACCCACTATCGTCACCCTTAATACCAATGCGGCTACCATACGCTTCGTAGCAATTCATAATGTAAATAAATATCGGGGCTTCAAATTAACATATCAGCGGGTTCTCGGATCTTGTTCGAGGGATGTAAATGGTGTTGAAGGGGACATTGTGATTCCACCAATGCCAGAGACAACCTGGATGAGATTTTGTCGGATAACTATAAACGTACCAAAGGGACAGCGGGTGCGATTGAATCTTCTTAATCTTGCTGATATGCGTGTTGTCAATCGGAACACCACAAGCCAGTGAGTAATACTCGTATATATCAAACAAAAATTCCAACTTTGATCTAAATTAATAATATTTTAAAATGTATTAAACCATATATTACAGATCTGTAAGACTACGAACGCATTTAAGAAATATTGCACACTTCGCCTTTTACAATGACGCCAACTCACTCTCCAAGATCACCGAATTCCGGATCGATGGGTACAATGGTAGTGGAATCATTACCTCCACAGACAATTATATGCTCGTCGTTGTGTCGGCTAATCAGTTGGATTTAAGTACCACCGCACTGAGAGCTCGATACAGCTCCAATGAAGCAACGGTCTGCCCACCTAATATTGGCGATCAAGCATCGGGATCACTATCCATACAAACTCTCCTCCAGCTGCCCAACTACCATTGTACAATCCAATTTGTGGGTACTGCAAGTACAACGCTTACCTTTAAGATCGAAGAGTATCTATTCCAAACAATTGGGGGTCCAGCAATTGTTTTTAGAGATGATGTCCTCAGAAGTTCGATTAAGGCTATGTACGCCAATGTCACAAATAGTTTTGTATCTATGGCAACCACAGCTGGACGAATAACGCTTCTGAATAGCAAAAACGTTAAATTGCAACGATTCCGGGCAACATATCGGCGACACAATTGCGGTGGCCGGTTGGAGGCCGCTGAGGGAATTACCATTGAGTCCCCTGAACTTCTGAATATCCTCAATGAGGATTACGGTGAACTTGAGTGTCTTTGGACCTTGAGCAATAGTAATGGGTATATGTTGGAGGGTAATGTAACTCTAACCGACCGTTGCGATCGGGAGTACATTGTGATCTTCAGTGGACAAGTGGAAGTTGGTCGTATTTGTCGGGGTATGACTATGAATAGCACTTTGCTGGAGCGGACGTTCTCAAAGATACTCTACCATTCGGAAACACGATTCCTTGAGCGCAGCAAGTTCACCCTGCAAGCACGTAGACCCGTCTCTAATGGCAATGTAATACGCGTTGACAATCGACCATCGCCACCAGTGACAGTTGAGAGCAAAGATTACCTGCAAAGCAAAGGGCGCATATGGGAATTTGCCACCAATGATGGACTATCCCTGAAAATACATTTCCTGAAACGAATCTTCATTGTGACCTCACCCAATTGCACGGACGATCGATTGACTGTTGAGCGTTACGATCGGACGACGGGAGATTTTATAGAAGTGACCAGTCTATGTGGCAGACAAGCTGCCAACGATATTCTAGTGCCATCCCACCGAATGCGTGTGATATTCCGAACTAATTCGAATATTACGGGGGATGGTTTCAGTTTCCAAGTATCACCTAGTTGTGATGCAGTACTCCAGGCAGAAACAGAAATCCAAACCCTTAGCAGCCCCGATTGGGCGGCTATCCGTGGACAGCAGTTTAACTGCAGCTACACAATTTTCACGAATGGCGAGCACCAACTGGTGGTCAGTGTAAAGCCCAAACCAGGACGAACATGGGCAAAGTTTGTATGCAGCAGATCTTACTTCCAGGCCTATCGCCGAGGCGATGGAGATGTGGAGGAGAGAATCGGCCAATTCTGTCCGGAATTCGAGGTTAATGGTTACGGAAGAGTTCGCCTGCAATATACTTCCCCACTGTCACGTTGGTTTGAGCTACAATATCATCTAATTGGATGTGGTGGGAACCACAGTAAGCCCTTTACTTTGCGTCCGCCGCAGGGTGAAGAATCCGGTGTTTACGCCCATGATCAGAAATGTGAATGGAGGGTTACCGCACCGCCACAGCATGCCATTGTTATAGAGTTTAAATACTTTGATATGGAGAATAATGCAAACTGTGCATTCGACAGCGTAAGGATTTATCGTGGTAAAATTGCCATCAAGGAGCAGAGGACAGATCTGCTTTGCGGCAACCTGACAAGTCCACCTACTATCATGGTGAACAGTAACGAGGCACTGATTACCCTATCTACAGACAGCTCCAATAGTTACCGAGGTTTTCTGGCCAGTGTACGCTTTACACCTAATTGCAACGAGCAGGTCTCGCTTGACTTGGAAACGCCACGCACGAACTTCATGCGCCAATACACGATCAATGCCACTGAAGCGCTGATGTGCTACTTCCAGGCCAGAGTTCCTTCGGATTACCGAATATCCTTAGAGGTGCGTGAGCTAAAACTTAACGACGCAGCCTGTAGCACCTGCAGCTACTTAGAGATCCATGACAGCGAGGGTGCGGAAGAACAGAGTCTCGGTAGGTACTATGGAACCACTATGGACTCGAACAGGGCCAAGGTGTTCAGTTCCTATTCGGACATGGCTTTCCAGCTGAGTGCCAAGACCAGATCATCCAATAAAAACATCAGTTTCGAGCTGATCCTGCAAATGGAGCGAACTGTATGCGGTCAAACGGAGTACGACATGCAATTGAATGAGGTAAAACTTTGTTTTAAAATTTAAAATAATCTTTTACATTGTAATCTTATTTTTTGGCTATAGACCATTACATTGGGTCTGCAGTACGACAACAGGACAAAGAGCTTCGAGGGAAGTTTTCACTGTGTTTGGACAATTAAAGGAAAAGGAGATGTGGAAATAGATTTCCAGAAGCTTCGGCTTAAGGAAGTATCTCAGCGGACTGGGAAATGCGAAGACTACTTGAAACTGTCCAAGCCTTACGTAATATAGAATAAGATTATTGATGCTGATAATTGCATAAAGCCTTAATCTTTTTACAGTTCACCAGATATTATTGCGGTCAGTACGATAAAAGCTTCAAGATGATTGAAGCTATCGATGAATCCAACCTGCAACTGACCTTCCATAGTGCTTTATTGGAGGAATCCCAAGGGTTTGAGGTTATCATACGACGAAAATCAAGTACGAAAAAAACTTGTTAAATACCTTTTGGCAAATTATTAAACATTTTTTATTGCAGACTGCAATCGAAACTACACGGAATTGAGTCAAGTGGTTGATACCAATTCTCTGACAAACTGCACAGAATATATAAAAGTTCCAAAAGGTTACAGTATTACACTGTACATATTTTCTATACTGTTTGACTCTCCAGGTCATAAATATTTTAATGTAAGTTGGTCACTGTCACTCCTTTGGATTCATTAAATAGTTTTAATATATACCCATAAAGGTGACGGATCTAAGTTCAAACAAAACTATTTTTACCACCTCGGAGACTCAATGGGAAAACATAGCACGGATTACGACAACCAACGAATTGCGCCTAGATAGCCTTGGAGTTTCTGCTCTTAAGTTCTTCTACTTTTCCACTAGCAACCAGTTCCCCAGCGGATGTGGTGGTCAACTAGCTGTCGGTGGCTCAACAGCTAGTTACCTGGAAAATCCCCCCTATGAAGGTCGAAACAGTTCACTATGCACTTGGAATATATCTGTACCCCCAGGCGGTACTCTGCGATTTAGTTTCCCGGGTGAACTAATGTTTCATTATATTTTTACCTTTAAATACTAACTGTTTACCTTTTAGAATTCGACATGGGCTCAGAAACCAATTGTGATCTGGATAATGTAAAAATTTACGCTAACTATTTAAACGGTCGCAGACTTCTGAAAACCATCTGTGGATCGAGAATTCCAGAGGATTATAAAACAGCCAAAAATAACATTATTATAGTTGCAAAAAAATCACAAAATTTTAATGGACTTGGGTTTAAGATTGATATAAGTAATTTAAGTTAAAAGCTTCTGGACTTCTTTTATACTGAAGCGCAATATTGATTCTAAAGTTATTACTCAATAAAACGAATTTTTAAATACTACTGTATATCCGTGCAACTACGGTATTATTCTTATTACAGAATTTTATAAGAGTTTTTTATTTAATACCTCTTATATTTATTGAGATAAAAATGGAAAAAACAAAGAATTGGAAATTCTCAATTTATATTTGATATTCACACTCCCAATCTGCATTTCAATATTTTGAATACCTCTCTAACGCTACTTTACGTGAATATGAAGTTTAAAAGATAAGTTTAATGTTGTGGTTAGAGTTACGCCAGATTTACCGTATTATCAAATGTTAATGCAATTAAAGTTTTTAAATAGTTTACCTTTTTCATTTTTACAAAATATCAAAATCCCCGAAATATACGGGGCTTGTTAATATAGTGACCGATATTTTTATCAGAGCACGGACACAAATCACTTTTCACAATTGTTGAGTATTTAAACTTCGTGACAGTAAATTTTGCTCATCCCTAATGACGGCACGACTTCATCTCATCCCTAATATGAGCAAAAATCTCATAAGAATGGACGCGGAATTAGAATTAATCAATTGCAATTTAAACAAGGCCCTGGTCAAGTTGAAAAGCAGCAAAAGCGATGATCTGCAATGTCGCAAGGAGAAGATGGCCCGGCTGATTCGCTTGCATTTACAGCATGTCCAAACCACGGTGGTTACCCACAGACGGAGGTCACAGCAGAGGGCCAGGCGGCGCTTTAAGATGCTGCGCTCCTTTTTCATGCGACAGATGATGGAGATGCATTCGAACTATCTGCAGATGTACGCTATGCTGCGCCTGAAGCATTCCAACAACGAACAAATGGACTCCGAGGCTAGCGATGAAGAGGTAGAACACAAAGAGGAATCTGACAAGCAGGCAGACATTCCCAGTTTCGATTCCCATTTCTTTGAGCATGTGATACCAGAGTTAAGCGAGGAGGAGTTCCTTAACACACTTCACGTGACCCGGGAAACCTTCGAGACCCTGTGCAAGCAGTTGGCTCCCACTCTCCGGACTGCGGATGAACTGGCTAGACGATTGCCTGCCATTTCGCCCGAAAAGTGCGTGGCTTTGGCCTTGTTCTTCCTGGCCAGCGGTGAGCGGCTATCCTTGATTGCCGAGCGGTTTTCGCTACCCCGTCCAAGGACCATTAAGTGCCTCAAGGTCTTCTGCAACTCCGTAATGTCTACATTGGGCCGAGCGCTTCGCCAGTTGCCGCAGCACCCAGTGGACTGCAACAATGTGGCAGAAGGCTTTCATCGCGACAGCAACATGCCCGCCGCCCTTGTCGGCGTTCTGGGCGTTTGCTCCATTCCCATCAGGGCCAATGGCGATGCCAAGCACTCGGTGTTGCGCATGGAGTATCTGCTAGACGATCGGATGCTCTTCCGGGAACTGCAATTGGGATGTGGCTTGCGGTCTGCACTGGTTCCCATGTTTTCAAACACACCCAATACTCTCTCCTCCCTGCCGAAGTTCCGCATAAATACCCGCCAGATTCCGGCTTTTGTTTTGGCTCCGCTATACCAAAATTATCCTCTACGTCCTTGGCTACTGCAGCGCTATGCCGATCCGATTGCCCCGCATGAACACGACTTCAACGAGGTAGCCGAGCATCTACAGGAGTCGAGTGACTGCGCCCTACATCGACTCATGTCGCGTTGGAGTTTTCTTAGCCAGCCGTTAGACATTAGCTTTCACACTGCTTCCTGTATCATCACGGCAGCCGCCGTGCTGCATAATTTACTAGAGGAACTTAGCGAACCTCACATGCTGGAGTGGGGAAATTCAGTGGATGTGTCCAAGTTCCGGGCAGAGCCGCTAACAGATACAAATAACAAGGACGCAGATTCACGTGCTGCACTAGAAGTGCGAGATTTTCTAGCCAGAACTATAAGCTCAACTGAAATCTAAATAATTTCAATTATAAATACAAATTTAGTTACATTATAAAAATGTAAGGTCTCATTTATTTTAAGATGTTAAAAAATAAACGCAGCGTTATTTAGTACAGACGCTGGGGTGGGCCCATGGAGGACTTGACGTGCAGAGAGCGCACGTTCTGCCAGTTCTTCTTCAGCAGCGACACCAAGAAGTTAATCGACAGGTTGATATTTTGGGCCAGCTCGTCCGACTTCATGCCAACATGACCGACGGCGACGGACAAGCACAGAACCTTCTTCATCTGGAACTTAATGGTCGACTTGACTTCCTCGATCTTGCCGATCATAGACTCCTGATGCGACAGCAGGGCAGGGAACTTGCCGGCCTTGTTCAAGCCAGGGCCAAGCAGACGGGGAATCTGCTTAATCAACGATTCGGAGGCCAGGAAGGCATCATAGGACTTGGCCAGCTTCTTCACCAGCTTCTTGTTCTTGTTCAGTTTCTTCAGGGCCTCGGCATCCATGAAATCGACGTTGTTGGCCTTAGCCTCATCGCAATGCTGCTGATCGCCAAGGATGCACACCTTCATCTTGGGACGGGGAATGTGCTTCAACCTAATGAATAACAAGAAAAATAATATCTTATTATATAAGGTTTCAAAATATAAAATTAAAGGAAAAGGGGCAGGGACGAAGGGAAAACTTACAAGGCTCACACATGGGAGCACGTTTTCGTTATGATTAAAAAGGGGGGGCGGTGTCCATTGCTGGAGACCTACTCAAATTTTTAAGACCCTGAGTGCAGGTCCGCCGAGATGTGGCAGCCACATGTGCTCGACTACCTGATGCCGTGGTGGACTCTATTCCCGAAGGAAATTGTCAACAAACACGTGCGCAGGTGATTCAGCCAACGTACTTGACGGTGCCGGAGAAACGCTTGTCCTTCTGGGGATCGTAGTTCTTCAGGCCGATTTGCAGCTCCACAGTCTCAAGGAAACCGCGCTTCTTCTTAGCCGAAGCATCAAGGAGTCCATTGACGCCTTCGTACAGCGTATCACGCGAAACTTTCGATCTGCAAGATTAAATTAAAATTTTTTTTATTATTAACCATAATTCTAAGGAAAACTGCACTATTCACTTAAAATATTAGAGTAACTGTCGAACTAATGCGCAAATGATGACAGCCCACATATTAGTTGCATATTTAGCACAAAAATCACATTTTCTTTTGCAATCATTTCCAAACTGATATGGACATGGAAAAAGGTCTAAAAAGCTGGTTTCTGATTGCCAAAACTATTTAGTTTGGGCTCGTTGAACTTTAATCTAAGGCCCTTAGGTCCAATACATTTTACAAAATTTAAGATGTTTGTAATTTTTAAAGATTTTACTTACGCCATCTCGACCGTTTGCCGTCAAAATTTGGAAAGAAAGAGGAAATGAGTTCTTAATGCTGACACACCAAAAGCGATGTACACATATCGGTGTACGATTAGTATCGATCACAATTATGGTAATAGGGATATTCCTAAATCTAATCGAATAATATTTTTAGGAGAATTATTGCTATTATATAGGAAACAAATTTAACAAATTCATACTACATATAATTACATTTCATTTAGAAATATTTTTCGGAAAGTGGGAGGAAATGGGTTCTTAGTTTACATACCAATCACGATGGCACTCGATTAACATCAGTGTTCGGTTTTATTTCCCGATTTTTTGTCTTCATCCAATACAGTTTGGCAGCCCTGGAATTGCGGCTTTGTTTGGAGCTAAAGAAATTGTTATTAAAATTGTAGTTCATTTCTTTTGTGGCTGTAGAAATTTTGTATTGCCACTCATGTGTATAATGTGTAAGTACATTTACTTTTTATGTTAAGTAACTATTCCTTAGGGATTTTTATTTTAGTTCAGTTCCAGAGAGGAGAAAATTCATAAAGAGAACGGAAGGGAATCTCAACGCTCTCTTTCGGCCACTGAGAGTGCGTGGAAAAGAAAACATTGCTTTCACTATCTCGCCGTTTAGTCTGCATATTAGTTTAGTCGGCATTTCGGTGGTAGATATTAAATAAGTGCATTTCGCGGATTATATAAGGGATTTGAGCCGCGACTGCATTGATTTTCCGTTGGCCATGGCCCGTCTCATCGAGAGCAATGTAAGTTAATTGCAATTAAATCCATTCACTGGTGTTTTTACATAACTCCCGTTTTGCATCCTCTGCCTCGCCACCCCAATCTTTTTCCACTATCTTCTTGTTCTTCCCATCTGCCATTTCATAATTGTCAGTGCTGATCTTTTGTTTTTCTCTTGACCAAACGTCCCTGTGGCTTTCCTTTTGCTTTAATTGTTAGCCAACAGTGATGGGAACTAACTAAAGAAGCGATTTTATTTATCTAAAACTTCGTTTCTTTACCAAGATGCAAACTAGGTACTTATTTTGCTATGCCAGTTTTGGTACATTTAACTATATACGTTAGTTAATAAGATATTATTATTCTAGTTGTACCTATTTTTGGTAAACATTAATAAGATGAATAATTAAATTAAAATATTCATTCATATCTAATGAGGCTCTTATTTTTACCCGGTATACAAATATTTTGTACATTGTTTAGAATGGCTTCTATAATAACCAAAAACAGTTTCTTTCCCATCACTATTGGCTAGTGACGTCGCCGGTTTAAGAATAGATATGATGTCTGCCTAGTGACCTGAGGAGATGAGTGATGCTGATCGTCTGGTGGCCAATCTTCGAAAGGTTCCCGTCCGTCTGCCAAAGGAGTTGGAGGTGCGCCAGCTATGCCGATCCCTGAGTGAGTTGCTCGCCAGCGAGGCCAACCTGCTGAGCCTGCAGAGTCCGCAGATCGTTTGCGGCGACATTCATGGGCAGTTCCAGGACCTGCTGCACTTACTGGACCTAGGCGGATCGGTCCAGCAACATCGCTATCTGTTCCTGGGTGACCTGGTAGATCGAGGCAAGAATAGTCTGGAGACTTTCATACTCTTGGCTGCTCTCAAAGTCCAAAATCCCAAGCAAGTGAGCCTGCTTAGGGGCAATCATGAATGCCGCAGTGCCACACGATCGTACGGGTTCTATGAGGAGTGCCTGGCCCAGTATGGATCTCCTAATGTATGGAATATGTGCTGCCGTGTATTTGATCTCTTGCCCCTGGCAGCGATCATTGATGAGCAAACATTTTGTGTTCATGGCGGCCTGTCGCCGGACATTAGACAGTTGGATGAGTTCCATAAGCTAGATCGCTGCCATGAGATACCGCCAAGCGGCTGCATTGCTGACCTCCTTTGGAGTGACCCCCAGGAAGCAAACGGATGGATTGCCTCGCCACGGGGACATGGACAACTCTTTGGTGGCGATGTGGTAGAAAAGTTTAGCCGAAGCAATGGAATCTCTCTCATATGCAGGTCTCATCAGTTGGCCCAGGATGGCTTTCGATGGCATTTTGGTCAAAAGCTTGTGACCATTTGGTCTGCGCCCAACTATTGTTATCGCTGCGGTAACAAGGCGGCTATTCTACGTCTAAATTCTGGCGGAGGATTCAGTTTTGAGGTGTTCGAAGCGCAGGCATTACACACCAAACCCCAGCCCAAGAGACAAAAAAAGCGATGCCGTCAGTTTTTTTTGTGATGCAATCTCCGCGTGAATCCTATTCCAAAGATTAAGTACAATGTCAAGTTCATAGAGAGCGAAAATCAGCTGTTGCAACTAGTCAAACACCCACCCAAACACTCTTAAACCATAACTCTGCCATTCCACATTACTCTTTTTCTCGTAATCAATAAAATATATGTATGCACAAATGTGTACAGATGTACGCAGTTAAAACACACTCAGGTAGATTTTTATTTACTGGCGTTTGCTCTGGCTCTCTTAATGTATGTAGACGTATCTGAACTCTCTTTTTGATATGCCGCTGAAACATTTCAATTTTCTCAACACAGTTATGATTCCAACTCGATTTTTTCATTAAAAATAAACTTACAAGCATGTAATAGATGATGACTAATTGTCATTCGGCTTGTTCGTTTGCTAATTAGTTAAAGTAGTTTTTTATTAACAACCACCTTAGCTGTGATCTTTTTAACTGCTGCTAAAACCAGTCACTCTATACTTTCGACAGTCACTGTGCTGACTCGTGCTGACTGTGCATCTTAATCGCAGAGAGAATAAAAGAGAGAGGCATCTCTTTCACGCGACGACTTCACTTCATTTCAATTGGAAATTGGAAGCGGCGGCACGCGGTCGCACGTTTTCGCTTGCTTTCAAGTTCGGTGTGCAATTCAAATAACAAATTAGCCTTTTTACAACAAGTGTTTTGTAATAAAATGACGGAATTTGATGTAAGTTCAAGTGAAAGCTTTCTCTTTGCCAGCTTACATTTCTCTTTTACGATTCCGGCTCTCTGTTTATCTAAGCAATGTTTGTGACGTCGTGACTAATAAGTTTTGGATTAGTTGCCATAGCAAAAAATATACATATGTATAACTCAAGGTCGACTGTGATACGGGGCCAAAGTTTGGTGCTTCAAGCTAGTAACCCCAATTAGCCGCCGGTTTTAAAAAGGCTTTGCAGTCACGAATATCGGTTTCAAATACAAAAAATCTCTGCCTCAGATTTCTGTGGTTTTTGTTTTTGGAGTTTTGTTATCTCTGGCGGCAGTTTCCACTAGCCATCGTGATCTTTTCAAAATCAGGCCATTTAAATACTAATAATAATACTAAGTTTTACCTCACTCATTAAGTAATCACATTATAAAGAAAAGATCTCAATGTATCCCTAAAGCCTAAAACCTTTTTTGTAATTATCATATTTCATTTAATACCTTCATTTCCTTTCTTTCCCATGCATTTTTCCCTTTCCCACGATCTCAAATGGGCATTTACATTTTACTTACGTAAACAAGTTTTTTAACGCAATCTATAAAAAGCTGTAAATTATAATATGTTCTAAATCTGAAAGATTAATCGTTTAAGCTATATTTACAATCAAAACGCAAAAAGTTCCATTGAAAAATGTTTCCAATCAGCGAAACGAAAACCACCTAAGGGTCAACTTCCTGGGTTGTTTTAAAATTCAAAACAAGATTTTTCGTTAGAGAGAAATTATGTTGATAGATTGATTGAATTATCACTTATATATTATTATATTTACCGTTAATCTAATGGTTTTTACCTAATCTTTCCTTTTGATTTTCTTTTGCAGTTTGTGCCAATAGCCGTGGGCGTGGTTGCCGTAGTCGCTGGAGCCTTGATAGTGCATTATCTGCTAAACAAAAAGTCCACAAAGCCACGTCGGGAACCCAATCGCACGGCTCGCCTGCGCACTCTGGTTGATCCCAATGACAAATACCTACTGCCCCTCATCGAGAAGGAAAATCTAAGCCACGACACCAGGCGGTTCCGTTTTGGATTGCCCTCTAAGCAGCATGTTCTTGGTCTGCCCGTTGGGCAACACATCCATTTGATTGCTACTATCGATAATGAGCTTGTCATTCGTCCATACACACCCATCTCATCCGATGAGGATGTGGGCTATGTCGACCTAGTGGTAAAGGTTTACTTCAAGGATTCTCATCCGAAATTCCCTGCCGGTGGCAAGATGACACAGCACCTTGAACAGCTGGAATTGGGCGACAAGATCTCGTTCCGCGGTCCCTCTGGACGACTACAGTATCTCGGCAACGGCACATTCTCCATTAAGAAGTTGCGAAAGGATCCGCCCAAGCATGTGACCGCCAAGCGGGTGAACATGATTGCCGGCGGCACTGGCATTACTCCAATGCTCCAACTGGCCAGAGAAGTGCTCAAGCGCAGCGATAAGGACAAGACTGAACTGGCGTTGCTGTTCGCCAATCAAGTATGTGATAAAAATGAACTATTGGTGGACTCACATTTTAATATTTTGATATTTTCTTCTTTAAAGAGCGAAAAGGACATTCTGCTGCGCGGTGAACTGGACGAACTTGCCCAGAAACATCCCGACCAGTTCAAGGTCTGGTACACAGTCGATAAGGCCGGAGAAGGTGAGTTGCTGCCCTAGCATGGCTAAAACTGCATATACCACATGATCGCGCTCATCAGGACGTATCATTTTATTCAGACTTTAAAATGGCTTTCAAATTGTTAAATTTTGGATAGGAAATAGTTGTGTTTCAGGGCAGTTTGCAATTAATCGTTAATTTAGAACATCATCGACTATTAGATACATGTACATAGCAAACCAAACAAAATTTTTCGTTCTTCGACTAAATTTCTCTGTTTGTTTAGAAGCCTTATCTAATTTATTATTCTAATCCGTGAGAGTTCCATTAAATTAACAGTTCCGATTTGTATCATCGTGAATAGCACGATATTTATTAAAGATTAGGATCTTTGTAGACTAATTCATTAATTACCAAATTGTCATTCTGACTTGATATTCAACCATCCGGGACAGGCTCATTCGCATTCAGCATCCTCATCAGCATATGGAGAATTATTTAGACAAAGCATCTATTATGTTAAGAATCTTGTGTCCGCCCCTCGTCCCATGCTGCTCTCAAACGGATACCGCGAACGGGAAACGCGCGGTTCGTAGCTTGGTCCTACAACACTGGTCATGTGAACGACGATATGATGCAGCAGCATCTCTATCCGCCGGCTGAGGACACGTTGTGCCTGCTGTGTGGTCCACCACCAATGGTCAATTATACGTGTATTCCGGGCTTGGAGCGACTTGGCCATCGGGCCGAGCAGCGGTTTAGCTATTAGGATTAGCTCCAGCTGACATAACTAGATACTATCCCTCTGTTTTGCTCTCATTTCACAATGTCATAACAGTGGGAGAGATTGGGTGCAGCAGGTCTTACTTAGATACTGTTAACTTTGGAAATCAATTTTTAACAATATCTTTTTTAATATTTTTAATCTAGGTTGGCCATATAGCGTTGGCTTCATAAATGAGGACATGATTGCTGCCCATTTGCTTCCCGCTAAGGACGATACTATTGTACTGCTGTGTGGCCCACCGCCCATGATCAACTTTGCCTGCAATCCGGCTCTGGACAAGCTTGGCTACCATCCCGATACACGTTTCGCTTACTAGTAAACTTATGGAACGAACAAAAAATTTGCATTTCGGTTATGTTATTTTCCGTGTTTATCTGTTGCTCCATACCAGCTCATCTAAATCCCCACAACTCCTCCGAAATTGCGGCTCTATATCGATGTGATTGAACGCAAAGCGAATCAATGCTGAATGTTGAAGCTCTTTTTTATGATTTGTTATAATAAACACATGTGTTGAAGAAAAAGCGAGTCGATTCTGGATCTAAAAATGTATTTATTTTATTTCGGTTTTATTGATCCCAAAAAGCAGAAGGGAAAGCCCGGCATAACACCCCATATTTCGCATAGATTAAATGAATATTAAACCAAGAGTATTGTTCGCAGATTTTTTTTGTTGTGCATGTCTTTCACAATTTTATTGAATACAATAGGTATATGGAATATAGGGCTTGCGAGCACGACACACTCGGCAATGCTATTATCGAATTACATTGAATAGTTAGTAAAATCATAAAAGTTATGTTAACGTAGGACACGTCGTCAATTCGGTTTCTGCATTTAGCTAGCGCCCGGTTTATGCTCTCAGCAACATCAATCCACCTACTGACATGACGGATTAGACTAAGTTTAGTACATATTTAGTAAGCGTCATAAGATTAATATGAATACACGAGTTTAACAACAAATTGGTGTCTGCCATTTGGATCAGATCGTATAGATCGGCTATGCTGCTATTGGGTGTTCTCTATTAGTTTGGGTGTTTGGTAGGCGGCTTATGTGTCTTTTGTAAAATTGACAAATGTATTTGTTTCGTGGTTCACAGAACATTCATGGACTAATAGTTAGTTTATAAATATGTTTAGGTAAAATAATTATCCATACTAGCTGTTCCTACTAAAGACACATTGTATACATCCATATGTTTCAATTTATAAATACATAAAAATACATAGGAGAACAGATTATGAAATTGTAACGTAAAATATAAAAGATCCAATAGCCGGGTGAGTTTCTCATTTTCGTTTAGCTCTTTGTTTGGCGGTTAGTTTTTTAAGACTACCGCGTTTCTTACTGCTCACGCTTGGCGTGGCAAGCTCAGACGTCGTGAATGCTGGTGTGAAAAGTTTACGTACTTAGTTGGCAACTAATCTTTCATATGGCTTACATATAAAATTGTCCAATACGTTCTACGGGAGCTTGCCAAAATGACCAACAAATGCCGAGCTATGCATACAATTTGTTCTGTGGCACCGAACTGCTATTCCTCCATTGTGTACATTTAAATCTAAAACTACGAAATAGTACAAACTAAAATACAATTTGACCATGGCAGAGGTTCAAAAACACTTAAAACTCATAAAACAAATTCACGTTAGATTTAGAATTCTTAACCAGCTGCTGCTGTTTCTCGTTTTGCTTGGCGTTGTAAGCCTGACAGAGCTGATCGAAGTCGTCCTGGCTCATCTCAATAGATTCGATCATAGCAACCTTCTTGTACCTGTTAGAAAATACAATATTTACAAATGGTATAATTTCGTTGTTTTAATTGAATACTCACGTGTCTCTATTGTACTTTTCCCGCATGGCCTGAGTGTTGAGCTCCTTCGCCGTTTTGTGGGTGTGACATAGCTGCAAAACAACGGTTTTCAGGTCCTCTATCTTGTAGGTGGTGATCTCCTCCAGTTGTGGCGTCCACATCTCCATGCCCAGAATATGACGCGCCAATGCCAACGAAGCAGACGACATCAGTGAGGGCAAATATTGCAAGTAGGTTTCTCCCTCCATTAGCGACAGTTCAGATATGTACTATATATGCGTTTGGAATTGATTTAGGAAAGTAGTTGGTACTTGTTTTTTTATAGGGACATACCAGGGTCAAAAACTTTAGCCTATCGGGCATGTCGCACAGCACCGCGTACGTGTTGATAAAGACATAGGCAGTCGGTGTGCACAGATCAAAGGAGAGAATCTTCAGGATGACCTGCTCCATACGCAGCACTTGCGCCTTGGTGTAGCTGTCGTCGGTGAGAAAGACAAACTCACCCACCTCTGGGGGATAGATCTCCTCGTATTTACTGAAAAATGAAATATTTAATTATTAGGTAATTGAATACCTCCAAGAAGAAAAAATATGCGTAAGGAAGTTTACCAAATATACTTACGCGGCAATATACATGGCTGCTGTGCCCACCAACTGTAACTTGGAGCGCACCACCGCCATCAGGCTCAAGAAGCGATCCAAATAAAAGACAGAAAGGTACAGTGTCTCCGTGTCTAGTTTATACTCCTCCGAAACCTCCACAAGCCAGTCTATTAGGATGGACCGCATATTGTGACTGATGTCCTTCTGCCTGCGCATATACATTGGCTTCGGGCGATGTTTCTTCTACAAAATGCAAATAATAGGTGTGACAACAAATTAGCAACTTATAAAGAATTTCTTAAGCTAACTTTGCTTAGCCACGGATACTAATTCTTTCGTTAAGCATTACGGTGGTTATCGCTTATAGATTTCTAAACGATTGGGTAACGCTTGATGTCTCTCACTAAACATTATATTATTTTTTGAATTTTATTTGCTTTTGGCAAAAATTTAAAATAAGCAACTATTAAACTTCTCTTAAATGTAATTTATTTTTTCCTTTATAAATATTTAAAAATTATTCGGTTTAAAGCCTAAATGGTAACAAATATGTCTAAACTCGATGACCCACACTGGGATCCAAATTTAATCCAGTCAAATTTAGCGAATCCCATGGGAGAAGTGGCCAGCAAAAGCGAGGGAAGTTTACCAATTTTTATTTGTTTATTGGTTATTTCGTGGTACGTGAGTCGCATCAGAATTCACAGTTCAAACGTGAAAATCTTTGCCAAAACGCCTATGTGGCCAATATGTACATTAGGTGTTTATTTAATGGCCGCTTTAACGATTATTGGACACGTCAAGCGCCATGGCTGGCGAAATTGGAGAAAAGGTTAAGACCATTTTGTTTTAAATTGGTATGAAAATGGGTAAGTAAATTGGTTTTATTTTCAAGTACGGAGAATGTAAGTAAAAGGGAAGGTTGACCATATAACTATATATAAAATCAATAAGTTTTAAAGGCAACTCGTTTTGCACCCAGAAAGTCAGACTGTACAAGTGGTATTTAGTAGAGACAAACAATAAACAAAGCACCCAGCAACCAGGCAAGGAAACTCAACCGGAACTCACACAAAATATTCACTTTTTACCTTCAGGAGGTGGCAGACATTTTTCAGTTCTTACATATCAAACGGATTTATAGAACATAAAAATATATTTTATATAAAACAGACAGGATGACGCTCAAAATCGGAATATGCACGAAACAGGATCTCGACGAGGCGATGAAGTTGCAAAAGCGGGAGCAGTACGAGGAGGAACGTAAACTGCGCATCTTCAATGCCAAGCAGCGGCTCTACGGGGTAAGAACTCATCAAAAGGATCGATAAGCAGATTTCCTGATTTATTCCATATCTATTAGCTTGATATTGAAATGCTGGATCGCCAAATTCTTGAGAAAAAGAAACAGCGAGCCGAGCAGATAGACTGCGACAAGAAGTTCGAAGAGCAGGAACAGCTGCAAAAGCGCCTGATAACCGCTCAGGAAAAGGAACTAGAGAAAAAGCAGCGTGTAGTGGATTCGGATCTAAACTATTATCGCTGTCGCTATCAACGCAAGGAGCAGCGTCGCGAATTCGATCTGAACGATCCGGATTTCCTAAAGAAGGCACGTCCAACCCGAGTTGCCGACAATGACATCACGCTTGGCGTATCTAGTGCACAGATATTCCAAGGCGAGGATCTGTACAATACTGAACGGAAGTTACGTCAGCGGGAACAGCAACGTGCCTGGCTAGATCAGCAAGTGCAGGAACGAAAGAAGGCAGAGGATGCTCGTAAGCTGGCCGATAATATGCTGATGGATAATGTCGGTTGTCGGGACAAACATCTCCAGGAGATGGCCAAGTCTGATCAGCAGATGCGAAACCAGGTGATCCATCGTGTGCGTCAGTTCAACATTAACATGGCCAAGCAGAAGCAACTAGAACGTGAACGGGAAAAACAAGAAAAACGCGACGATGACATGGCCGAAATCTACAATATGCTTTCCAGCGATATGCTTACTGAAAATCCGGATGTGGCCCAATCGCGTACCGATCCGAACAAGAAGATTGCCTTTATGTACCGCGGAATGACACCAGAAGAGCTTCGTATATTCCGTTTGGGACAGGAACAACAGCTTCGTTTGGCCACGCAGCGCAAGACAGAAGCTCAGATGATGGATAAACAATGGGAGCAATATGCCATCAATATGGATCGCACCCTGGTGCTCGGTCAGATCGAGGACGATCGCCGCCGCAAGGAGGAATTCGATGAACTTATGCGTGCTAATTCCAAGCTGGCCGTGGAACAAGATCAGCAACGTAAGGATGCTCTTGTGAGCTTGAGTAATGCCGTTTCTGATGATTTCTACGATCAGTTCAACAAGAACTCACGTTAGATTCATCAACTTCTTGTTCCCTATTAATCGGTTTGAAGAATAATGACCTCTATGCGATTGGGAAGCTGCCTTACAAGCTTCAATGTGAAGCAATTTTCCAAACGTATTCAGTACATTTCTTCGTTGGAAGTACTTACAGATAAATTCTAATGTTTCATGTTCAACGCACAAAAATTCAAATAAATACAAATTATAAAAACGTATAATGCCATTGGTTTTGTAAATTAAACTATATAAAGAAAAAATTAATGTGCTAAAAATATTTCCAACGCTAGCCAAACAGAATCGGAGCAGAACGTGTCCACTATATTCAAGAGAATTTTTGCCTTTGACTAGCACGAAAGAAGCAAAACAACAGCAATTAGCTGAAAGTCAAATTCCATTAGTGCAGACAGCTCTACGTGCGTCCTAAGAAAAAGTGAAAAACGAGAAAAAGTAGGAGTCAATAATAGCAACGAAGGATGAGATGCCGGCGAGCGTTTCCCGCCCGATAAACATGTGCCGACGAGCAGGGGGAAGAAAAGGGAACTAGAACCTACGGACCCAGAAACAGGCATCGTTGCGTGAAGGGAACGCCACTTTAGGGTGCGACAGGGTCCGTCTTCCTGTTCTCTTACCCCTCCTCCTCCTTCTCTTGGTGAACAGAGAAACTACGACAGTGTCTGCACACAAATATGAAATGCACATGGCACAGGAATTGACAGGGGGTAATACACAAAAAACATAACGAAAAAGCAAACAATTCAAGGGGAGAATCCCTACCAGGCTCGTTTTTCTTATCGTTTTATCTTGGGTTTTCCTATCACGACAAAAATCTTGTCTGCATTTGCTTTAAAATAGTATTTCTAAAGCAATACCTCCCTACCATCTTAAATGTTTGCCTTAAAATGCATTTATGGATCTTTCAGACACATTTTAAAGTTAATAATAATGATAAGTTTTAAATTTCAATGAAAATATGTAAAACATGTTGATAAGGACTTACCTCGCTCACTCTGAAGTTTTCCAGTATATCCATCTGGTACTGGACCACTTCGAAGAACCGCTGGCGATCATTTCGCGGCGGCAGCTCTTTCACTTGTCCACCTGGCGTAGCACCCGTGATCGGGTCATTACTATCATTCGACTGAATGACACCGAGAATGGAACGGTCCACGGACATAGGTGATAGGACATCCGTTACGGACATTGGCGTGGAATCCAGATCGTAGGTTAAAACCACCTTTTCCCCCGCATCGCTGTAAGGCATTTTTAAAGACACATTTTTTCTGTGAAACAGAAAATTAAGAAAAGCAATGGAAACTTACAATCTAATGGCAGCATGTTGATTTTCTTTATCGGCTGCAGATGCCAGCGATTTCCCAGATGGTACAACCTGGGTGTCACAGTTATCCTCGTATACGGAGAAGGTTTTGAACTGCTCCACCACCGGGACCACATTTGATTTCTTACCCACATTTTCATCGTTATTGTGGTTCTTTACGTCACGGAAAACTTGCTGAAATGATTTAACAAACGAAAAAATGGTTTTATTCTTTAATTATTAATATTATTTTTTTCGTATTTAAGAAATATATTTTTAAAGCATACTAAAACAGCATAAGAATATGTAAGCCATAAAACCAATTAATGCAAAACAAAATTTTTCTCAGTGTGTGGATGAAGTAAGTGTTAATAATTGTCCCCTTCCTTTTTCCATAAAATGATCCTTCTATGTAGTTGCGCGCCTTACCCTGGCTTCCCATAATGTGTTTGTGTGTGTATGTATGTGCGTGGGTAATTGCATTTGCTATTGCTCTCCCCTTTACACCGCTGATTTGTTGTTGCATTTGTTTGAAAAAGGCGCGCAATTGCAAGGCTTTGTGCCATTTTCTAGGTTAGTTTACTTTCTAGGTTAGGCGCGAATAATTAGCAAAGATTATCTAAAAAGAGTAATCAAAAAAAAAAGGAAAAGAAGTGGGAAAAGGAGAGGAAACCACCACCACTAAGCGCGCACTAACACACACGCACAGGCGCAGTTATGTGAAGATCCCACCACCACCATAATAAAAAAAGAAACAGCAGCTGCATTGGAATTAGACTATAGTTACGGGAAAACGGGGAACGGTACTTACCACTTTCCCGGACGGACGCGGCACATTGTTGTTGTTGCCATTGAGTACGGCAAAGTTTGCCCGCGGCGCAAGCGCATTCTTCTCCGATTTCCCAATTACGGCCAGCGGTTGCTTGGCGTTTTTGACTCCGGCTGTAATCAAGTTACCCGGATTCTCCTTGTTGCTTATATCTTGGTGGATATGGAAAGTGGCCATCTCGTGTTCCTTTTTATTCCTTTCTTCGCCTTGTAAAATGGAGTCTGCTTTTGATCTTCTCTTTGTTTTTCTCTTTCGCCAAGCGTCGCTGTTGTTGTTGTTGTTACTGTCGTTTTGTGCTGCTTTCTTATGCTTGACGCTACACCGACACACACGCACACAGTTAAAGGCTCCTCATATGCTTAACGACGACACACACATATGACAAATGAACGCAGGCAAATTTTATCATGAACAAATTGACGTTCAAATTACACGCACACACACAGTTTTGTACACAATTCATTTGACTTTTAATTTCTATAGCATTTTGCGTCACAGGAGCGTTGGAATTAAGTTTCCTTGTTTGGTTACGCTCACTTTGACTTAGCTAATATTCACTGTTTTACGTGTTTGGCGGATCGCGGTTCGAAAGCAATTGCTGGCTTCGTTTGATTTTTTCCCGGTCAACACGTCGTAAATGGTAGGGATGGCAATATCGAACTATCGGCACTTTCTGCGTCTATCGATGCTCTTGACAATGTGACCGTAAATGTCAAGCGTTAGTGCGATTTTAGTACACTAATGATCGAGCCAGTGTTGGTAAAGCTATCTGGGCGGGTAATTTAAATTGCACGTAAATAATTTTCTTTTGTCACATTAAATACAATAGCTATGATCAAACCGCTATTGGAGTTTATATTGATCTGGTATAATAAAACTATTAAAATGGACTTGGACATTAGCTTTCATTCACCATTCATAATTTTGTATTATATAAAATAATCTGATTTCATTCGTTTTTTATCGAATATTTTTAAAAACTAGAAAGTGCAAAAAAGGTTGTTATCTCTGCCAATGTAGGAATATCTTCGTTTTGTCCTTGGGTTAAGTTGTGGAATTTTTCAAAGGTTGTGCTCTTTAAGCGCCTTTTCTGGTTGAAAACGCCTTGGTATAACCTCGGTCGGCGGCGCTGCAGATGCTTAGAACATAAGACAAAGCGCCGCAGGACTCCTAGTTTTGGCATTGTTCTGCTAACACGGCCGTATACTCAAGAGGAGAATGGCGGGCGGCTGATGGACATCTTGGTTCGTTGACCCAAATTAAATCAGTGATGTTGAATGTATAACTATTTTATGTACCTTGATCAGAGTCAAGAAAATAAATACCTAAAAATTATATTTACAATGTGAAATCTACATATTCCCTAACATTTTTTTGGGTTAATAAAGGTTAATGGTAAAGAATTGCTCATACTGAATCGAATTTATAGAAAAATAAATGTAATTTATATTTAGGTACCAGATTTATCCCCTCACTAGCTCTGCAGTTGCAGGCAGCACGAGCTCGCGCTCAAAATGCAATTTGTATGTATGGCTGCAAGTCCATTGTCCTGCTACCTGGACTTCAGGACTTCCAGACTTCAAGACCCCAGAGGTCGGTTTGCATTTGTTGACTCTTCTTGCGAGAAAAGGTTGTGCAAAACGCACGGCATGTTGGCCAAGACTGCGGATACGTGAGCTGTTTTCCATTATTTTAAGGGATTTTTTCTTTTGCCTCACACACACATGGCCTCTCCATAACTCTCATTGTTTACGCATTTCAGTAGTTTTTCTGATGCAAGAAAGTTAGTTTCCGGGGCGGCAGTTGCAAGATATCTCATGCAGGACAATGCACAATCTCATACACCTTTCACTCACTGTCCTAAGGCGATTCAGCTGCCCCAGAAAATTGATTTTCTATCACACAAAACCATTTCTGTAGATAAATAGGTGTATTTTTGTCTGTAAATGTCCAGGGAAAGCGTTAACTTTTTGGGCCTATTTTGCATTTTGCATGATTTTTTTTGATAAATTGAATTTCATTGACTTTTTGTAAGGAAGGGGCAGTAATGAATAATTATGATTGTGAACACGTTTTTATGTTCAATTTTCATATAAATAAACAACATATTTAATACATATTTTTTATACATTAACACTTATATGTTTGTGCACTAAAAAAAAACATTTAAATATGCATCTAAATTTAATGAAGTCAAAAAAAAGAAACAATTTAATGAAATGAAGTCGGGCAATCAATCTCAAAGCCTATTTCTTTATTGATTTAATAAAAATTAAATATATTAAATATTTAATTTTAATTCTCAAAAAGCTCTTAAAATATATTATAAAAAATATATGAATAAGACTAAATAAAAATAGCCATATATGGTAATATATAAATATTTTTTAAAGATTTCAGTATGTGATTTAAAATTGAGTAAATCGCGTGGCCAGTAAGAACTACAAAAAAAAAGGTTAAAGTTCCTTGACTGTCTGGCTGAAAAAATTGCTTCGTGACATACGGGTAGGTGGAAGGGTAGACACACATCTGACTTTCTTTTTATTGTTTTGGGGAGACACATTCATTCCGGCGGGGAAAGTTCCTCAGCTTCCATATCCATTTGCTGCAGAACTATTGATTGACATCTCACTTGTTGTGGCCAGGATGGGAAAGTGGACAGCGGGACAGACTGGCGCCAGTTGGTTTTGAGGCTTTCGGTTAAACAATCGCACAGCCCATTGAAAATAAAAACGAATTAACCACAGAGAAGAAACTTTCGACTTGGCCAACTGTTTGTGGGCCTGCCGAAGTCAGGGCCAGAATCAGAAACAGAAGCACAAAACTGAAACTGAAACAGAAACAGGGGCAGCCGCAGAAAGTTTTAATCGCTGGGGTGACCAGAGAACCTCCCGGGGATTCCATCCAGACTCCGGACTGGGGACCATCTAATGGGGATTAAAGTGTTTCTGTTTATCAAGCATAGCATTTGGGCACGTCGCATGGCAGGGTCTTGGAACTTTACAAAACTTTTTCTTTTATTATTTTTAAAAATTTCAAACTATCACTAAATGAGTAAAATAATAAAAGATAAGCTAATATGAAAATGTTATTCTTCAATTTAAATAAAGATTAACTATGTATGTTAATATCGCAACTAAATTCGCATCAAGTATTGACTAAATGAACCGTGCTCCGTGCGTGTCGAAGTGTGAAAATTTGGCCATCAAATATGGCAAATCCCATCACATCGTGGCCCAGATTCGGCACACCTCACTCCACCATCTCCTAGCAATTCGAAACGATGAAATTGTGCCAGGCAAGTTAAAATAATTACTTATTAATGTGAGTAATAGCGTCGAACTGAGGGGTATATATATATATATTGCGAACAGACTGTGGGTCCTTCGACGATTTCAGTTCGAAATAATCGTGATTAATGACCGTGATTGCCGGCAGGTGACAGCAGTTAGCGGACTGGGTCCTTCAGAAGGAGGTCCTTAAGGAGCTTCCTAGTTGGGACCCTTTATACGGGCAACAAAAAATGACTTAAAAGTCTATTAAACATTTCTCAAGGACACCCCGCATCCCTTCTCGCTTTACATTTTTCACAATTCACGCAACTCCAACGAAGCATAGTAAAAATTTATGCTCAATTAATCTCAGCAAGTGGAAATTCGGGAAAGGGGCAGCAAATCGATAGTCTATTTCCTCCGGTCAATGATAATGAATGCCATGACGGCCCCACCCGGCAGTGGACCATATTTGACAAAAATCTCTGCAAAATTAGCGACAATTGATGGATGGTAATTTGGTAATTACATTAAATCCCGGAAATTCGGTAATCCCATTTTGAAAAGTCAAATTGATGAACGGCATCTATAAACAAATGTTAATTGTGTTAGTCAATGCCAGAATTTCAGCATGACTCGAATAAATAGTAGTTTTTGCTTTATTATCTATGCAGTTTAATATAACTTTACTTCCATTTTAGGTAAATGATATCACAACGAGTTAAGTTATTTTCAAAATATGGACTGTTGCTTTTATAGGCTTTAGTCTTTTTAACTGCACAACTTAAAAACAAATTCTATGAAATTATAAGAATACTACTCTTCTTCAACCAAATATATTTCCTGCTCAATTGGTTTTCTATAATCACCTTGAACCATGACTTACACGCTAATCCAGCGATGTCATTTAGAGGACTAATTGCAGGTGTGAAGTGATTTACTTATCGTATTAATTTTCGCTGCCACTGTATTTGGCTGAATCCTTGGATTATGGAATTGTCAGAATGGGAATTTGTGCATTAAGCTTCTTGTTCATCGCTGATGCACTTTCCCCCTGCTAGTGAAAGCACAATGAAATTGCTGGAAAAGAGGAAAGGACACTAGAAAAAAAGAACTTCATTTAATTGGATTTTTTTTTGGCCCTGCTGCCAAGGACTTGCCGAGCGGATCAACGACAAGGAGCATCAGTTGTCCTGCCCAGCGCTGCTCAAAAGAAAATATTTGGCAGCGAAAAGTCCGCGGAATGGCGAGAGTCGTTCGACAGGCGAAGGAGGACAAAAGCCCTGCCCGGAGCACATTTTACGCTTTTCCCGACCATCGCCTTTGAAGTCCTGCCCGAAAAATTCCTTAAAGCAAAGGCGTTGTATTTTTATGGAACTTCGGGACTATTCTAAGTATAGCTAGAAGAGGAACTGCTATAAATTAAGATAGTATTTTTTAAAGCTGTCAAGGCTGTAAAAATTAAACTTAATATATTTATTAAATTACCAAAGTAACAAGCTAAAAATGTCTCTTAATTTTTTCTTTGACATTTTTAAGGCCAAAGAGAAAAGCGCAGAAAATATATATAAAATAAAAATTTTTAACTACCCTCCCGAATTAAATCCATACTCATTTGGACCTATTTTCCGGTAGTCCAATTCCGGGAGGGGTCAAAATCCTGGCGAGTGGAGTTCCAGAACTGTTTCAGCGAAATGAAAAACCCAAAGTTTCGGCCAACTTTTCGGGGAGTCCCACAGAAAGGGTGAAATTGTTCCGAGTGGATGGCAGGCAAATAATAATAATAATAATAATAATAATAGCAATAACCGAAATAAAGCTACGAATGAAAGTTGTTTAGGGTTTGGGTTGTTCCTTTTTTGCCGGCTGCCTCTTGAAATTGTCGCCGAGATTATTGTTGTTATTTGTGTGCTCTTTCTGTTACATACAGTTGATAATTTGTTCAAAACTTCGAGTTGCCACTTTGTTGTTGGTAAGGACCAAAAATAAAAAAAAGGACGATGGAAGTCCCTTTTGCTCTTTGTGTGTTTGTACTGTAGATCTCGGTTCCAGTCTGTGTTTCTGGGGCAAAACAAAATGTTGATGGCTTTTTTATCGACTCACCTGCAGGAGAGCTGTATTTCTTCATCTGGCTTTCATTTCGAGCCACTCGAGTCGTGTTCTTCCCCCATTCCCCATTTTCTTATCCCTTACAATCCTTTTGCTTTTTAGCCATTTCTCCACTCGAGTCCTGAACATTGTTCAGAAGTTCTTAAACCGTTGATGAACCGAACACCTGACAGGGTGACCAGCTGGAATGGGTAGCTAGTGTTGCTACTAACCATAAACGGAATGAAGATTTATTTCACGATGAGACTTTGTCTTGCAATTTAATTGTTAGCAAGCCTTGTTCAATTGATTTTATTGTTCTTTTATTGAGAGTTAGTTGATGAAAATGGCATTAAATTAAGCAAATTGGTTAGAACAACAAAAATATTTAAAGTTTTATTAAAGACAAAATAATTTTCAGTTTCTACACAGTTTTTCACATCTTTATTTAGCTTTTTATTTATTTGTTGATAGAAATATCCATTGAACAGAAAAGGTAGTAACCAAATAGTTTAGCTTTTAGCTTTTCTTCTTATTTTGTAGTACTATTTCCACACAGAAATGCCAATAAAAACACATAAACTCTTTTTAAGCTGGTTATTTAATAGATAAAAGTCTAAGGTAAATATTTAGCTTTCAAAATCGAAATATGCATAGCTAACTAAGTAATCTTGTAATACCCATGTTAGCAATGCAGATTAACGCTTGATGGAACTAACAGGTCGAACTTAAGTTGGCTGAAGCCTAACAGCCGTGTGGATGGCGTTCTAACAGCGTAAGAGAAACTAACAGCGAGCTTTTTGGCGGCCCACCCACTTTTGCGCGCCCATCCTGAATTTTAAACCACACAAAAAATCACATCAAAGTGCGAAGATGCTTTATCGCCGAATGATATCCGTTCGTCACCCCGCATTTATCATAAACAATACGTATATATATATACTATATATATATGTATATACCACCCAACAGTGCCGTGTTGGTTGTAAATTTATGACATCATTTGCAAATCGTCATGTTTTTGTTATCGGGCGCTAAAAATAACGCCCCCAGTTTTATATTTGCACAGGGATTTGCCGGGATGTCTTCAATCTCCTTCGCAAATAAGCCAAGCCAGGACCTCTAATAAACAAACAAATGGGCTAAAAGGCGTCAAGCGCTGTGCAAACGAATGCCACTAACGCTGATTTGTTGTTGCTCAAGCTCTTAACTTTTAATCAAAGATACACTTCTCCAACTCTCATTTCGTAGTAGCTTTTTTCTGCAATAGGTATTGGGAAAATGCCAGGAAGAAGTTTTGCTATTTGTATACAATTCTATTTAACTGCTCGATGCATTCGAAACTTTAACTCACAAACTAGTTATCGAACAAATGCAATGTTGTTCGTGCTTTGGGGTGGGTATCAAATTCTTTCTGTCGTGATTTGGTGAAACTACCTGTTTCACTGTAATTACGGGGCAACAATTACTGCCAAACTTTAAAACTTTTCAAGGAGACTTGTGAGCTTATTAACAAAATAACATAAGTAGCTTTGAACCTTTAATGACTCTACATAATGAAAGGTTTCTTAAAAAGTAACAATTGAAAATGTATTTAAATTTTCTTTAAACGGAAATAAATTCTTGAATAAAGTACAAACTAAGAAGTAACATTGCCGCAATTGGTTTCTGAAACTATAATGGTTTACTACATATATGTACAATTTATATAAACTATAGATTACATAAATAAACATCTGGATAAATTACTATGTTTCGGCAAAAGAAAACTAAACAAATGTTTTGACTTTCAGACTTTAGCTGCACCGAAGTGCATTTCCAGCTCAAATAATAAATGGCCCTCTCAGGGTTCGTTGCGACAAATGATGGAAATGCGACGTGTCTTTGGCACTGGCGTCCCTTGGAACTCGGAGTGCTCCTTGGCCAGTATCTCGTGCGTGAAATTGTAGCGAGCCGTGTGGCTCATTATGTACAAGGAACGTCGCGGCAACAGGAGATCAGCGTAGAAGTTGTTCTCCAGTGACGCCTCCGGCTGATGGCGATAAGCTGCATCGGTTTCGGAACCCTTGGATTCTTGTTCACTTGCAGTGCTCGTCGATTGCTGTTGGTATCGCTGGGCATCCGTGCGCACAAGACGCATCACACTGTCGCTAAGTAAGCTGATCCCAGAGATTGTGGTGCCGCAGTACTAGTAGCGAGAGAACGTTTTACTTGAAGTCAGTAATGATGCGTTTATAGATTAGGATTTAATATTAAAATATCTCTGAACGGGGGTACTTAAAGTACATAACATAAATGGAATGTATGGATTAATAATTAGAATACATAGGTCCTAACTCACATGAAAGGTATAGCTTATTATGATTATGATATACGAATCAAACTATGCAAAGTATATGGATGCTACACTTACGCGCGTGCTATCGACATGGGGTTTGATAACGCCATCCGGTGCCAGATCCAGGATATGAACATACGGCATAACCGCTCCATCGAAGGCAACTTGACGCACGCGCTCCAGAATTTCTCGATTTTTTGGGAACCACTTCTTGCGTTCTGTTTCCCGGAAACCATGAATGGCCTGCAAGGTAGTAAATCTTAGTTTTGGTACAAATTATAAAAATGACCTACATCGTCCCAGTGATCAAACTCGTAACGCAGGCGACTCATATACGGCTCGATTTCCTCGTGAAGCTGTTGCTCTTCCGATTCACTGATGAAATCCGAAATAATTCGCATGTGCTGCCGGAATTCCTGTTGCTCTTTTTCGGGCCATTTTCCAAAATAGGCGGTTAAACTTACTTTATTATTGTTGTTTTCAAGAGCTGGAAAACGATAAGAATGAAAACTAAGATTTTATATTGTTATCAGTACTTACCTTGACGATGACACTGTCTCAGAATCTGCTTTATAGGCGAACATCTATGTAAAATTATCATTTCCCCGTTAATTTATTTGTTTTGAAAGTTACGTGCAACTGCGAAAAAGACCGACAAACAGCTGATTGATAATGGCCTGGCGTTGCCACTACTCCGGTGACATTAGCTGTCACTAATATCTGGTATCACCTATAAACCGTTAATTTCAAATATCACCTTAAGCAATTAATAATTCTGACACTCAACAATGCAATTACTTTTAACTGTCATTTAATATCGCCTTGTATCTAGATATTTTTCCATTCCTTTGGCAATGAAAATATTATTCTTTTTTCGCACACGATGCGCCATAGGCACTTTCCAATTCTTTATTTTCTTTCGCTGTTAACGGGTGGCCCGCGCACACGTACATCCACACAACTATGTAATGAAACCATCAACCATTCTTTTGCTTTTGTTTTAAACTTTTTCATCGTATATTCGTACAGTTTTGTTATTGTTTGAAAGCCTGTTGCGAGCAGCATGGAAATGGAGTGAAAGTTTATACACCAAAAAATGGACCGACCCAGTGAGTGTGTGGCATGATATTCAATTTCGACAGTTGAGCTTTCATTCGAGAATGCACCTGAACTGAATTCTGATTAATCCTGCCATCCCTAGAATATTTTGAACATCTGCACTGTTTTCCATGTGTTGTCATTTCAATATTTGTCTCATTCGTTCAATTTTAAATATTCACATTTTTTTGGTCATGACCTTAAACTTTTGATCTAAATAAGTATAAAACACGTGATTTTAAAAATATTATCGCTGTAAATGAAAACCATTGGATGTTATTTAGCTTTTTTATATTTATGCACCTGTTGTATTAGTCAATTCGTTTAATTTTTTTCAGTTTTAAATTGTAGTCTGTTGTTTATGTTTTAAAACATTGAAAAAGAAACAGAAGCATAATTAAAGTCACTCTACACTGTTCCCCAAGGAATCAATTACATACATTTTCACCTTTTCCCCTACGAGTACATCACGGAAAATTCACGAACCAAAATTCAAATTGCCAACCGAGAGCTGGTGAAATTTATTGGAAACATGGGTACCCAACGTGGATAGAAAATTTTTTTGGGAAAAAAAAAATCTAATAAAAACAAAGGCAATTTGTGGAGCAAAGCACGAAAAAAAGGCCGCCAGCAAAAGTGCATAAAAAAGGAGACGCGCAACAATTGAGCGGAAAGTTGGTGGGGATTTTTGAAACCATTTGCCGAACCAACCGCAAAGTGATTTAATCAATGCAAATGACGGGCCGATGTGCCGCATGCGCCGACATAAAGCGTTAATGGAATTTCCACCGAGGATTTTCTATCCCAGCCAACCAGCCAGCCAACAACAACCCATCATTTGGCCATGTTCGGACTGTTTTCCCGTGCGTTGGTGTGTAAATGATAAATGAGGGACACAGTCGGTGGTGGCTCCGCGTGCAACTGTTCCGGCCGGAACCAACGGCTACACCAGCACACCACCAGACCCAAAAACACCACTGACACCACAACGGACCATTAGATGCTATTGTCCCTTTTTTTTTTTGTTTGGTCCTTTATTTTGCGCCTTGAAAAGTGGCTCCTTAACCATCGCATTGCCAGGACAACAACGACTATTGTTCTGTCCTGGACCCATCTATTATTGCCACGTCCATCCTTTGAAGTCGCAAGATGAATATTGCTTGGCATCCAGGAGCCATCAGTTATATAGACTCCCATTTCAACTGAAGTACGTGGAGAGCTTTTCGTTCGGGACTTTTTTATTAGCTTTGCGATACTTAAGACGGCCTTAAGAGTAGACCAAAAAACAAAAACGATAAAAACAATTAATTTGCCGGTGATTTTGTGGAAGGTAAGGCGAGTACAACCTGTGGTTCGAATTTAATTTACAACTTTTTAATGAAATATGAATGAATATATATTTAAATTTCTTTGAGTTCGAAAAAAAGGTAAACTTTATTATAATATTTTAATATTAAAAGATTAGTGTAGTTTATATCCTTAAACTTCTTTTAAATTATATTTATGTTTTTTATGTAAAGAACCTTAAAAGTACGACAGCTCTCTTCGTTTTGAAATAACTCATTTCCAGTTAAACTTAAAATCTCCTTGTGCTGAAAGCGAACTTTAGATTTTGGCAAGGCAGAGCTTATGATGAGATTTGGGCTGCATCTGTTTTGTCTTTTCCCCATTGCTGGCCAAGATTTGTTTCGTATTCTGGTTGCTTTGGCAATGCGGAAAGTCTTTTGAGGATTACGGAGCTCCTACGGCAGACCCTTTTGCGGTCAAAAGTTTTCTTGCCGGGCCAATGAGCTTTAAAGTTGCCGGAGGATATTGCAAAACAGATGAAAAACAAGAGTTGACAGTTGAGGAGCCTCTAAAGCAGTACACAAAATATCTCGGAAAAAGAAAAGTTAAGTGCATTTCAAGCAAAGGAAATATTGATGTATATTTTCGGTTCTCTGAAAATCGAACCATCAATAGCACTTCTTCATTTATTTGCTGCAAACCTTTATTAAAATGGACGCTGCTTGGCACGCACTTGGCACATTTCTGCTTCCATCGAATGATCAATATGTAAATAATTAAATAGTAATTAATCTATTTACGCACATGGCTGAACAGAACTCAGCCACAGTTCAGACACTATCAATCATATTTACTGCCGTAACATAACAGTGAGCCTGAATTGACAGCTGTGCCTACTCGGGCCGTAAATTGGGGTTTCCCCATTAATTACCAGCTATCAGAGGGCGAACATGGCAATTCGAAATGCTAAATATGAGAAATATTAAATAATTGTTTTGATTTTAGTAAAGAAAAAGTGTATTCAAATATTAACTTATTTAACTGTAATACATAAATTAAAATTCGATAAGTATAACGACTGCTGATCGATAAATATCTTATCGAAATCACAGTGCTGCCACTGCACAGTTAACTTTTTAGGAATTGTCAAATCTCCTCCAGCGACTCTGGCCACTCTATTTGTCAAGAAGCCGCAATTTCTAGCATCAAAACAAACAAAACATAATTATAATCTAAATAATATAAATACGCCTTATGGAGAACATAAATTTTAACGATTTCACGCCCAAAGAGCGTTACGAGATCATCAAAGAATTTCTAGTAAAGATGCAAAAAGCCGATTCTATGCCGAGCAAGGATATGCATGTCCAAAGATTCTTCGAGCATTATTTACGAAAATTCTACATATTGCCAAAGAAATTGATCAATGATATTGCTTACTGCCAAAGGGCCATGAAATCACATTTGGCTATTCATCAGGTATGTGTGGATCATATAAGCCATCTAAGCATTTATACATACATATATGTTTACTTTTCATACAGACAATCATTAGTGTTTTTGGGCAACAAGCTGATGCTGTAAGTATATTTTATCAAGTTGAAAATAAACACTGTATACATTCATACATCTTTTGTGAAATTATTTAATGGAATAATCCGTTCACAGGATCCTGTGATCAAGAACAACTACATAACCGAACTGGAGGATATGCTGTACGAATTAAATGCAGAATGTCAATATTTGGTCCTATGTCTCCAAGACGACATAAATCGTTTCTGCTTAGCTTTTACAGAGCAAAACCTGAAGCCCAATGAGCAAGTGATCAAGGATATTGTGAGTGCAGCTGTCGTGCCGCTCATAGTTAACCCGGATATTTCACTTAAGCCGTGTTTTGTATTGGAGCGACCAACCGACAGTGAGTTGCTAAGGAAATACTTTATAATAGAAGGAGCAGAACCGGCAGAAGAAGTTTCAACTCCTGTGGAACCACCAAAACAAGTTCCCTCTTCACAAACTAATCTGGATGTAAATAAGAGTCGGCTCAATCTGCAGGCAGCTTTAAGCCGAGCTCGTTCCAATTCCAAGCCAGCGGAAAAAGGTGAAAAAGATGACCAGCAAGGGCGCGCAAAGGATTTCTTTATGCAATCCGTAGGTCTTTGCTCACACGATGAGTACAAGCGCTTGAAGTTATCGATGGTTCTGCTCCAAAAGCGTAAGCCTAAGCCATCTAAGAAAAAAAAATAATTTTCGTCACAACTGAAAAAGGAAACATCTGTTTTTGTTCTGTTTCCGAACGATTTTTATATGAACGTTGATATTTTTAATAGGCTTAATGTACTTAAAGAAGGGATAACGTTATCGCAATAGGTAATGTTACAACCTATTATTACATAACTGTGTTATATACTCCAATTAAAATACAACTTCTTGGTTGTCTAATTAATTTTCAATATTTAGACTTTCCTAGGTAATCGATATTACTATCAAATGAGGAGCAAGTAACTTATAAACAAACACATTAATAATTTGTATGTGTTTTGAAACCATAAGTGAAAATTCCACCTCATTACAAATTGAAGAAGAAGCTACCAAATGAAAGAAATAGAAAAAGGCTTTTTATTTAGATTAACTCTTAATTATAAAAGAAAAGAATGACACAATAAAGTTCAAATTTTTAGATACCATTGCGATTTCTCTACTCTCATGGCATAATCACTCCCAAAAAGGAATCCGAAGTTTCTGGAAAATACAAATCCATCGCATGCTGCAAACCCCCTACGATTTTGATTTTGGGTACAGAAAATTAGCTGCGCACTTAGCAGGCATTTTTACTTTGCGTTTCTCCTCCTCGCTGGAGAGCTGGAAGGTCTGAAGAATTTGTTCTGTCAGCATATCATAGTCATCATCATCCCCATCATTTCGGTGCTTTGTGGGAGCAGATTTCTTGAGGAACGTGCACCACACTTTAAACTTGTCCATATTGAACTCCTTGCCATGATACTTATACATTTTGATAGTCTTCTTGACAAGGGAGGCTCGCATCTTGAGATCCGAGACTGTTTTAATGAGGGCTACCAAAGCGATGTGACACTGACTGTATTTCAGATAATATCCATCGGTTTGGCAGCTGCTGATGATGGCCACTACGATTTCTTTAAGTGGTTCACCAATAGCTTGAGCCAGTTTGGGTATTTCAAATTTGGAGAACACTGCTCCAGCCAGGGGAGTAAGTACAACCTCACCTCGCTTCACCTGATGTGGAACTAATTGGCAGTATTTCTTCACCGCAAGAAGACTAGCATGCTTGAATGATAACAGCAGAACACCCCGAATTATAGCTGGTTGGTTTTGCGGTGGATCGAGGATCCAGTGGGTCTGGATCTTTACTTCGCTTTGGATTGAAGTTCCCTTAGCATTAATTACATCCAGTCGGATCGACCACGACATATCCTTCTTCTTGGTCTTGGCTGCCGCTGCCTCCTTGCTGATGTGGAAAATCATATTCTCGGCAAAGCGACGACTCACAGTGGCCTTCTCATAGCTGGGCTCCTCTCTGAAATCCGGACAGATCTCTTCAAACGTCTGCTTCAGCTTCTCGAAGTCAAAGTTGTATTTTGATTTGGATTCAGTCATTTTTCTATAAAAAAGTTGATTGCAAAAAGTATCTACATATTGTGTATATATATTATATATTTACATATATAATATGTACATACATATGTAAGTATGTATATTCGCACTTAACAGTTAGCATTTTTCCTTTTGTGTTGATTCTTTTTTTTTTAGTTTCCAATTTCAGACGTGCCTAAAGGGTAATTAAGCATTGTTGTTGTTTACGTTTAACATTGAGATAAAAATACATACATAAATGCATTTAATAAAAACAAAATACAAAGTTCACAATTCATCGATCATTTACATGTACATATGTATTACAAAATATTTTTAATTTTTCTTGTCATTTAGATATTTTATAATGACTTAATAAGATATTTAGAACTTTAAAACTTCAATATTTTTTAAATTCAGATTTGATATATGTACACAATATGTATTACATATGTATACATATATGTATAAATAGGTGTTTAAATACATACTTACGATCAACAAAAGCCGTAACTAAAATTTTGATGTCTTGCGATCCGTCGAAGGTTCGAAAACTAAATGACTTCCAAGCGGAAAATCGAACAAATTTATGCGATCCAAAGAGCCGAGACTCACATACAACCGAAGTGAAATTACACATACATAGATACATCCAATATATATAAATGTATATACTGCCGAACACTTGCATTTTTGCAGTTAAGTTAGGGGAATACCATTAATAAATGGACAACATTTTTTCAGCTAAAAAAATGGGTTTCACTACATCAGCTCTTAGTTGTGAAGTCCCGTTAATGTAATATCCAGATTAAATCATATAAGCCGAATATTGTTCCTTTTGCTGTCTGGATGTGGGTGGTGTGAACGTCGGTTCATATCCACTGCTGATTTGCATATGTGTGGTCTGAGTGGGGGGTTGCTATGGGTAGTCTCTTTTTTTTTATTATTGACTTGACAGTCTCCGACTTGCGAGCAATTTGCATACGAAATATATCTGCACATCCCCGTCATCACCCGCGGCTTTCCTATTCCGACGTATTGATATGTATATCGCAACCAAAAATGCGCAGCATGGGTGGAGAGAACAACAATGGTCTGTGACCGACCAACTGACGAGTGACACTTTTTCAAATTGAATTTCCCCAGCACAACTCCACTGTACTTCGATGGTGGTGAAGTGGAAATCCGAGAAGATTTAGCTGAAGTAGCCTCTGCAGGGCTTGTCAGCCGAAATGTCATAAATTCACATAAGTACAGAGATCGACCAATCCAAATTCAGTTTTCTTGTTTTTATTTTTAAAATTTTTGGAATATTGCCGACGGAGAAAGCACAATGGATGGTTGCCACAATGACATCTTAGCACCCCTTATACTAGCTGTAATGGTAGCCAGTGGTCATCCACTCACCCTGGACGAGATCGTCGATGAAGTGACGGCAGTGATCAATTCCCAAACTGAGCTCGCCGTGGTTTCAGATAATATTGGAGACGGAAAATTTGGCTACAGAACGTTTAATCCCAGACGAAAATAGTGGAATCTCGTCTTTGGGACCATTTATAAAGCAATAACTCGAGAATGACTCTAATAAATTTTATCATTTAAACAAGAACATTAATATTTTAGCAATTTTATCGGTTTAACAGCTTTTCTATAAACTAAAAAAGCCTTTTTGAATCCTAAAAGAGGATTTTCTAAATGAAAATGAAAGGCAATGTAACGAAATAAGAATCTTTCCTATAGCAAAGAATTTTCTTTAAAATATTCCTTACCTTTAAGCATGCCACATAGCAAGGTAATGCTCAAACGAGGACGCTGTATAATATTTTCCAACCATGTGGGTGGAGGTAACCGAGGCAGACCCATGTACGGAAAATGTATGGACTGAGCGAGTTAAAAGTTTTTCAGCGTCGGGAAAAATTGTTTATGTTTCGCCTTAAAAGGAGCAAGGGAAACATTTTTTGAATATGTGAAGATGACGATGGTGGCTGGTTTGGGAAACTGCGGAATCGCACCCATGTGGCTATGTGTCGGTGAGCCATCGTGGATGCGGTGTGGTTAAGTTGCCCAAGGAAAAACACTTTTCCTGGCTTGGGCCCATGGAGTTGGGGAATTGTCAGCACCTGTAACCAGCCTGGGATGGGAAATTTTCGGTAAAGAATCCTACACGTACGCTCGTTCGCCTAATAATCACGTGCGGTGGAAGCTCATTAAATTCGAAGGTGAAAAGCAGCCTCCTCCTGTCTGTCGCCAAGCTACATAAATATATCCTGGCTGGCTGATAAGTAAAAGCATTACATTGTTACTTATTTTAGCAAAAGCAACATTTTAGTGCTTAACAATAAACATTTGTAATACCATTGAATTCTTTCTTAACTTAACAATAAACAGAAAAGTTAATCAAAAATATATCGAAGCTCCAGCGACAAGAATTTCTTTCCGTGTAAACTTTTCGATACAGTTCTCGATCATTATCCATTGAAATATCGAATTTCGTTGAGTCGCAGTCCAGTCAGTAGCAATCAGATTTTCCTCGAGGGCAAATCGTTTTATTCCAGCAAAAAATCGCTTAGCTGGGCAATACAAAATTGTTTATAAACTGAGCCCTCTCTATTAATAAGGTTGCCATATTAATAACTGTATGTAGATCAAATTTACAATCATAGTTCTAATCATATTCTCTCTTAAGTTTTATTACTGTATTTTCGATTTGTTTATTTTTAGGTAATCATGGCTAATGGTTCTCAAGGTCGGGCCAAGGATTTTGACTTCAAGACGCTTTGCGAGACCTTTGCTGAGATCTGTCCGGATTTTCAAAGTGCCACCGGATCGGATAAGTTAGAAAGCTTGGACTTTGCCAACCGTGTGCTTTTTCAATTGGGTCCCAAGATGCGGCAGTTGAAGCAGAGCGGCAATGATCAGATGTGGCGTCTGGTGTTCAATGGCGGTGGGAGCGTCTATGTATATACGTATACGTTCCAGAAACCGATCAGCGGACAGCCACGGCTTGGTGGAGGCAAGCTATATCTGACTGTAAAGCAGGCGGGCTTGCTGGCGGTTAAGAAGTTGTGTGCTCTTTTGCCCGAGTTTTATAACCCGCGAGATAAAATTCTGCTGACTCCGCTCGCCAGAGCTGTATTTGATCCCTCAAATATTCAGAAGATTGCCAGTGGACTGACCAATATTCTTGGGCAGAGAGTGGATTGTAATGAAGTGGTGCGTGCTGTGATCAGCAGCTGTCAGACCGATGGTTTCCATTTGGAGCATAGCAAGAGCCACATTGCCGTAGTGGCCGTCGGTGTCAGTACTCGTGATTTTGCAGAACGCAAAAAGCTTCGAAAGAAGACCGTAAAACAGTACTTGAATTATGGCAAGTTATTTGATCCAAATCAGTACAAGATTTACACCAGATTCTCTAGGATGACTGCCCAAATCGCTGCAGAACCACCACTTTCCGATCCAGATCCAGAGCCCAGTGTCAAACCAAGAGTGCTTAACGTTAGTGGGGTATTAAGTTCCATTGCCAAGGCAGCCGATGATCCATTGAGTGGCGAGACCATCTACATGAAGTTTAAAGCTCCTCTTAATCAGGGAAAGAGAGCAGAAGTGGAGGCTATGCCAACGTCAATGGATATCCGTCTGGAAGGGACAAGCATGGAGAACGTAAGATCCAAAATACTGGCATCATGTCAAACATCCAGTTGGTCAACTGATGGCTGGTAAAATTGATGATGATTTATAATTTTTAAATATTTTTTTAAAATGTGAACGCTCACGAAATATTTTTTTTTATATTTATTTATTCCACTGAAAGTAAAATTCTGTTAAATAAAATTACACATTTCTGAAATTAGTTTTTAATTAGCTTCACTAATTGGTTTATAGTTAGTTATAGGAACTTAAACCTATTTCATAGATACAACAAGCCAACTCTTTGCTGTAAAATATTACGAAATTATTTTTATCATTAACAAAAGGTGTCAACCGAATAAGGTATAAAATTTAGCAATTTCCTCCTGGTTTTTAGCTCCCGCTTGATGGTGTCAATCGGGCATTAATTTCAAGTGTTCAACAATATATATAGCGTTTAATGACGATACCAATCCTAAGGAGCCCGTAAAAGTTTATGGTCACAGCCTCGTTTTTATCATCGACGGGAAGTTCAACCTTCTTTGATGCCAAAATAAAGGCAAGGGCTGAAAACACAGGCGAATGCGGCAGACAAGTTTGCCAGTTCATAAAATGGCAGACGGGCTGCGACAACAAAGCAAATTGGTGGACAGCTAAGGACACCAGGACTGCAGATCCATTCCAGGATGTCCTCTCTGCATGAGCGAGTGTTTTTAACCGCAGAGTCACTGCTGCGGGCGCTCATTTTTACGGTCATCGGGTCACTAGTAAAAATAATCTTATGACTGCTTATCTGCCCTTCGGAGTCCTTTGACTGTCAACGCCAGCTTCCTTTTGGTGCCATTTTAGAGTTTTCAATCGCTTCTCCGGTCGAAGGATATTTTTCAGATTTTATGCAAGTACCATAACTTAAAGCAGTCACATTCACATATTTAACACTAAATTTGTGTTCTTGGGACGAAATAAATGTAACTAAGCTGTATTTATTAATCAATTTAATGAAATTAAAGTTCTTAGCTTTCTGGGAAAAATATTTTATTTCTATATTAAATCAGAGACATCTCTTGTTGCCTTCGCAATCATGACAATATTAAATTGAAAAATAAAATAAAAAGTAAAAGAAAGATGCATCCACTATATTGGATTATTTGCTTGCACCCACATAGTCTGTCTATATCTGTATACACAATCCAGACTAGCGCCTCCATTTGCTCATCAAATGTTTCACCTCCTCCTTTGTTGAGAAGTAGAGGAACATCCCAGTTCACCCACCAAAGACATAAAGTACTTTTGAAAAGACAAACCAAGTTTGCAATGTACATATGTACACGTGCGATTTGCGATTGGGTATAACGTTTGGGACATTTCGAAGGTGAATGGGTCCCGTGGGCGTATTTTGGAGGACTCTCAACGAAACCCACGGATGTGCTGACATGGCCTTGGACGTGTTAGCGATACAATTTCTCAGCTTTTAATTGATTCTCTTTAGCTTGCTTGGTACTTTGTCTATCCGATAATCAGCAAAGATACAAAAGACTTTTTCTTCTAAGACTAAAGGATATTTTGTCTATTTATTGCTAAAAGAACCATTCAATGCGTACCATAGTCATTTGGTTAATTGAGGCATCAATTCCGTTGGACTAATCGAAGGTATTTTACTAGCTCAGCGGGGAAAATTAATTAGAATACATAGGCATTTCGGGACTCAGCATAAATTATTGGGGGTTCAAATAAACAATGTATTGCAAATATACCCGAAAAACCAAGGAAATCATTTTTTTCCAAGATTTTTGACCCACTCTGGCGGCAACTTGGGATTTTTGCTTTCTCCATTTAATTTTATTTGTTTCTCGGCTTGTTGCCCACTTTTTATTTGTTAAAAGGGAGCAATCTGCTAGGGCCAACATAAGGGCGTACGTATATAACATACTCTTATATATATATTTGTATATTTGTACAATTATTGGCGTATCTGCATCTGTGTATCTCCACAATTTCAATGGCTTTTTCGTCTTTGTGCTTTTCATTTCAACTGTCTCGCCATCTGCAATAAAAACGTTGATAGAAGCGAATGCCAAATCAGGAATACCATACCACAAAATAATAGTAACAAAAACAAAACGAAATAAATACATTATTATTTTAGCTTGACGAAAAAAATTAGATATCTTTATGATTTCAGATTTAAAAATGAAATGGAAATAAAAAGTCTAGAACCTTCAAGTTAACCAAATCGGTTTTTGTAAAGTGTAAGATAACTTTTTTTATTGTTTTGGCCAAGGAAAAGCTTCTTTCACGGAAAATGCCGGTTCACGCTCGTAAATCGCCCAAAAAACACGCTTCATGCATAACCAGACCAAGAGGTTTCGCCTCGATTCGGGGCCAAACACGAAAATCAATCGAAATGTAATTGAATTGCAGGCACTTGAGAGCGAAAACCGCCGAGGAAACGCATGCATATTTTACGTGAGCGATTTGCTGAGGCGCTGTGGAAAATGGTTGCCGAACTAAGGGTAAAAACGAAAGCCGCAAAGTCGAGACGACGTCGCCGAGTGTGGAAATCCTTTTACCCAAATTGCCCGCAAAATATGCAAAAGCGAAAAACAAATATCGCCCAGGGATCTGAGGGACTTGCGCTCTGCTCTGTTCTGCAAGTTCAAAATATTTCGCGGACGTGGGAGTTGCGATACCCGGCTAGTCCTACGGTGCGTATGAGTAACGTTGTCGGCACGTACACAACGTATTCATCATACGCCGACAGGACAGAGTCTCGGGCAATTGGCAAAAAATCGAATCGAAAATTTTGCTTTTTTTTTTTGCTTTGCCTTACTCACCCCAAGGACCCCCAACGGCGACATCGAGTTGCCCAAGAAGGAAACGGAAATGTAAGCGGTGCACATTGGTTAAAAGGATTCCGATTTTTTTCAGCAGAAAACCCTTTTTTCTTGTATCTTTTGTTTTTTCAAAGATAAAAATACGATTTTTTTACAGTTCCAATTTGTTTAAAGTTTTATAAATAATTTATCAATCTACTATTATCATTTTGCTTTAACTATTTTTGCCCAATGTGCAATGACAGCCAAATGAAACCGAATGGGGAGCGAGAAAACACTGGCGTGGTCATGCATGAACGCCAAACGAAGGCACAAGGACTACGGCCGTACACGATTCCGCCGGATGCGCTGCGAGTGCACGAACGCGTCCAAAAGAAGATGAGCAAATTAACCGACTTCACGCGGATGAGTTTTTGAATTTGCACCAGCCTGTGTCTTCTGCTTTGTGGGAAATCATTGATGTTCGCCTAATTGAAAATTCAAAGCTTTTGTCGGTCCAAAAAAAAAAAGAAGGAAAACGGGAATCCATTAGTGGCTCAGGCGGTGTCCCTTTAAATTTCGAAAATATGCGTGGAATTTTCTGATATCAAGCAAAAATTCACATGTTCCATCATTGTAGAAAAGGACTTTAAAATTACACTTTATTAATACCATTATAAGTTAAATAATTTACAGTCACTTTTCTTTGAAGTTTATGGGAAAACCTTTAACCCTAAAAACGCGAGGGGGATTTAACTAGCACTCAATTAGCTGCAAACAACTCTGGGCTTGGATTAAACACAGAACTTGTTTATGCCACATAAATATACAAACTTTAACTCTCATTGAGAGAATCTCAATGGGATTGAATAGGATGGGTGGGTTTCGGTTGGGTTTTGGGTTCGGTTAGCTCCCAACTTTGCGACGTGTCTCCGGGAGTTTGCGTTTGTTTGCTTATGTCAGAGTTGGTAATTCATTTTTAATATTTTCCTTATGAATATTTGTATGAGCTCGTCTCTCACCTAGCTATGTGTGTCTCTATCCTTGCGCTTCCACATGGGTGTTATGTTACGCCCAACTGGATTCCGCCATTATGTTGTCCATAAACGTACACACCTGAGTGCCGGAGTCCTCCAGCCCGGTTTCCTTCTACCCACATTTTAACTTAACGCCGTAGATTGTCATATTTCACGATGTAACGACCATGCAGATGGACAAGTCGACAGCTATACAGCTGCACTTGCATGTGTACAGGGAAAAATGATAATTAAATATTTAAATATTATATAATATTTTTTCAAGCTTGAAAAAACGTAAAGTGTAGGACGCTTTATCAATTTTATTTAACTTTAAGTTTATACTGAATGGGATTTGAGTTTTTAAAACTTAAACTTAACTTAAAACATAATTTTGATATTTTTCTCTCTCTGTAAATACACCATTGCTCGCATGTTGATGATGGGAGCCTCCTGTCACATCTTTGTAACGTTTCCTTCGACGCGAAGCCGGAGTTTCCTTGGCGAATGCACTTGGCTGACGGAAAAGCAACAAGAACGCGTTGATAGTGCAGTTTTCCCCACTGAAAACAAGCCCATTTCAATTTTCTACCAACATTTGTACCCTTGCCAAAAGGAAAGTGTTTAAGTGGATAGTTTTAAAATTCTTAGTTACTGGAAAGGTACGACCACAATAGCCAGCATCCAATGGCGAATTTTAAGCTGTGATGATGACTTTATCCCCCAGTTTGATTGCTCTATAGAGTCCTCCAGAGAGCAAGGATGGTCTGGCTAATGACCAAGCCCATCTGTGAGGATTGACATGGTTTATCGTGCAAAGCGTTGATTGGCAAACTCAAAAAAAAAAGTGTGTCAAAATCCAATTCTATGTTAAACTAAAAAACACATATATAAGTTTATAGAGGATTTCTTAGCCCGAGTGTTTGCCAAATTGAATATGGAAATGCCTTAGGGTAGGCTCCTCTCCACCCATGTAGCGCCTTTTCACCTGACAAGTGCAGCTTCCGGCCGTAAATAACCCAATTCACAGACATCGGAACACAGGCAAAAGTCAAATTTATGGCACCACAACATTAACTACACTCCGGGGACCGAACAGAGCTTAATTACGACCATGTTTGGTTGGCGAACTCTTACCGGCCAAGTCATGATCTGGCCAAACGAGCGTGCCAAATTGGCCTGCAGTAAAAGTAAATCAATTTCAAGTCGTATACACACGCACCGCCAAAGTATTGGGTATTGAAACAAAGCATTGCTCTTGAATACCTTAAATAGAACGCTAAAGTTCAACAAAAATGATAGTTCTAAGATAGTTAATAGGCTTGATTCCCAAAAAAAAAAAAAAAATGGAGAAAAGTAGAATCAATAAATCGTCAAATTATCTCCCACATACATGCATACTACATAAGCTGCCAATTATATAAATGTATATCATTTGTAATCCTACACCCAAATGCTTTGGGTAAATATCGGAGACCATGGACAAATATCAATAGCAAGTGTGCAATGGCTGACCAAGATGAATTATTATAAATGGATTAAGGACGAGCTCTGTAATAATTAACTGATATTTGTACTGCAAACACAGTCTATGGCCAAGTGTTCGATGTGAAATGAGATTCGTTTGTGTGCATAATGCGGTTTCCGACGTTGGGACTCGAGGATTGCCAGATTTGCAGATTCATGTCTGGCAAATGGAAATTTTCTGCAAATTTCCTAATTACTTACAGCTGGGCGGGTAGGCGTTGACCGCCCATCAATGGAGTCGGTCAATTGTTCAGGACCGACCGGGGCGGGTGCCACAAAATTTACTGTCGCATTTGCCAGGGCACACTGCAAACTGATGTCTTTGACACACCATGGTGGATGGCCGATTGTGGTGGCCACCGAGTAGTCCATTTAAGCAAACAGATTTTGTGTTAATTTATATTTGAGTTGACCAAACAGTCAACACTCGCTTAGCACTCTACAGTTGTCCTTATGGCTGCAAGATAACCATTCTTTAATGCAATAATAAATACTGTCGAAAATATATGATGTCGCATATACACTTACACACATATGTAAAGGGTGTTTTTTTTAGAGATATAGTTCTTTAAATTTTAATAAAACAACGATGTCCCATTCGACGAATCTACGCCTTACTTGATTTCTGTTTGGGTTCAATTCAATACGTATTTTGCAACTATTATTTTCAAAAAAAAATTCCAATATTTTCAAGCATTGAATTGAATTGAATTGCCAATCCAAACCAAACGCCATCTAGAACAGTAATGCCAACTTACAGTTAAATTCCTCTAAAAAACACCCTTCACAAATATTTAATCTTGTTTATCTTCCTCCACACTGTTTGTAAATAAAGCCAACAAGAAACATGAAATATAATTGATGCGTAAGCATATCTTCAAAAACTGTGAAACTAATCAGAGGCCTCCCCACTGGGAAGTCGGGGTTTCAATGCTATGCGATAGTTATTATAACGTTAGTTCGACAAGTTTCTTTGTTATATTATAATATAAATATTTCGGGGGCGGGGGTATGTCGGTCGGCGGCAAGGGTATGTTATTCATGCTGACACTGTTATAGATTCTTGCAGTTACACAGTGAGTTCCGATCGGTTCGAACTTCGAATACCCAAGTTCAACTAACTCAGCATAAGCGCTCACGTCATAAACTCACTCAAGTTGAGCGTATGCAGCCATCTCTGTCTTATAGAGGTGGAGAAACATCGATGCGAACATCGATGACATCGATGTTTTCGAAACATCGGCAACATCGATGTTTACCGGAGGAACATCGATGTTTTTCCTGTTCTAAGGCACATTGATTGATTGGCGAATTGTAAGTACATATATAACTTAATTTAATGGCTACGCTTATAAATCTGAAAGAGTTTTCAGTAAAGCTGGACAACTTATAAGTGTACGTCGCACGCGGCTATCATCGACCGTTGTCGATAAGCTCCTCTTTTTATACAAAAGCAAAGATGTAAATAATATGCAAATATACATATATAGTAGAGTTCGGAATAGTAAGTATAGTAGGAATATCACAATATCCAAAAGAACTATTATTTTCTTTGGATCATGTATGTATATATTGAAACATTGATATAAAATTTGTTTTTTTTTGTTATTATTTACAAACTAAGAATATGACAATATACCAAAGAAGTAGAACATGAATATCATGAACAGTTTTATTTTAATTTGTTTTTCTTTTCGTTTTTATTTAATAAGTGATTAATAAATTGGATATTTTTTGTTGAAAATTTGACTTTTAATTTTTAAACATTACAAATTAAAATAAAGTTCAAATACATTAAAATAATTGCACATATTTTTTAATTTAAAACATCGATGTTTCATCGATGTTTTCGCCAAAAACATATATGAATAGTATTTCCGACAACAAAATAAAACAAACAAATTTAACAATAACATATTTTAAAAACTAATTTTTTTAATCAATATTTTTTGAAACTTAGCACGGTATTTTTTACGGTCAGTCGAGATTATTCGTGGTCTAAAGATTTTAGGACATCTGGTAACACCGATCTACGCATTTCGAAAGTGCCTCTTGGTCCCATTAAAGAGTCATCTGTCTTTCAGTGAAGTCTATTCTCTGAATTCGTTTTCTTAACTTTTAGTTTGTTGAACGAAATTCTGAGTAAGTCCGTAGATGCATACAGTTGGTCAATAAGAGATTTTTCTTCAGTATACATATTTGAATACATACATTCAATACATTTACATATATTCATAATACATTTATTATTAATGTTTAAAAAAAAAACAACTGGTGCAACGAATACTTTTTTGAGCATTAAAATCGAGTTAGTTTTACAGTGGCTCCAAGCTTATTTCGTTCAAGAATAAATCAAAGTTTTAATTTGACACTGCTGTTATATTTCTGTCTACAACCTTCTTTAGAAAGCTTTTTTAGTTTTTGTTTATTTATATATTAGTAGATAAAGATGTGTACAGCAAATTTCTCTCGGGCACCCTCGCAACGAATACTTTATTGACTAACTGTAACTAACTGTAGTTCCTGAGATCTCAGCGTTCATACGAACGGACGGACGGACAGACGGACATGGCACAATCGACTTCGCTATTGATCCTGATCAAGAATAGAGCGTCGGAAACGCTTCCTTCTATCTGTTACATACTTTTTAATGAATATAGTATTCCCTTTTACTCTACGATTAACGGGTATAAATACGTAATCACTGGAGAATTTGCAGTAGAACATAGAAAATCTGGACGGACCCACATATTAACACCACGGAAGGAGCATAAAGTTTTAAATGAAATTGTTGTTTTTTTTTCAACATTTTATAAAGAATACGAATAATTTTTGTGCGTAAAAAATGACTTATTTGTGTTATTAAGGAAATTATCTAGTATTAAAGCTAAAACTTGTTAATTTTATGTTTAAAATATATTCTCGAAATGTGTATCTTTCATTTGAGATATTACATTTTAATTTCCGTTACGTATTTTCGAGATATTAGGCAATAAACTTGCAACTCATGGGTGTACGAATATATTATGTGCAGACTGTATTTATTTGATAAATTAAATTTTTATACATACATATATGTTCATATACTCATATTTATTTATGTATAATACATATGTACATACATGAGAAAGATATAAGAGCATAGAAACATGCTTGATAAAAAAAATGACATAAAGCTTATCTTTATTTAATGGAATTTGAATTGTCTAGACTTTCTCATTGTTTCAGTACAACAATCAACTTTATAAAGAATAATGGATGTTTGGTGAGTATAAAAAATAAAATAATAAATATAAAAAATAAAGATAAAACTCTTCCCAATGTAATCGTGCTTTTTAGGCTACAACCGGTGTTTAAAGATCTCAATGAAAACAAAAAGTTCTCCGATTGTCGTATATTGGTGGAGGACAAATCTTTTGATTGCCACAAGTTAATTTTAGCCAGTGCATCGGAGTTTTTCGAACGCATGTTTTTGAGTGATTTCAAGGAATCCAAATTGGGCGAATATCGCGTGAATGATGTGAAACTGGAAACATTCTCAAAGTTCCTCGATTATGTGTACACCTACAGCAGGGAAGTTTTGGAAGATTGTACAAACTCTTTGCTAATAGAGCTAATCATTTGTGGCTCCGCCTGGCTTGTGAAGTCTATTGTCGTCGTCTGCGGAGATATCCTCGTGACTAGGGCACCAAAAATGGTGATCGGCGACCTGATTCAGCTTTTCCGGCACGGTCAAATATTGCACCAAAAGAACTTAATCGCTGTATCTGTTAACGTGAGTCAAATTATTCAAAAATGTGTAAAGCAGAGAAGGTGAAATTTAAGACCAAACTTAAAGCAAAATAAATAAATAATAATAAAAGTTTTCAATAAGCTAAAGCACACGTACTGTACATATCAATGAAAATAAATGAAATGTAATATTGTGTCATAAACGTATTCTAGAATCTAGATCATTCAATGCTAATTTAATTTTCTTTTTTCTTTTACTTCTTAAGAACTTAAGGACGCGATACGCGACCCACTTGAACTGCTACGACGCACTATGCTTGGAGTCAGAAGTCTTCAAGGAGTACACTATTTTAACCGGAGACTACTTGCCCGAGATCGATCGATTCAGGATGATCGAAGCATACGTAAACTTACATGGATTGATCCACAATGTTGCGGTTGATCCTTTGGAGCCCGTCGAAGACGATAAGAAAAATGCATCTGATAGTAGTGCGGTCATCGTGATGAAACTTAAAGAGTGCGATGAAAAAGCATCGGAAGCTGATAACAAGCCGGGAACTTCCATCAAAACTTCCGTTAACAATAAGGAAGAGCTTGACAAGATAAAACTACACAGCAAATATGTAAAAACTCTTCTGGGCTATATTAAGTACAATAAGATTTCTAAAAGGAGTTTTACGGATAAAATTGGCAAGTCTGATTTGTTAACCCCAGAAGAAAAATACGAAAAACTCTATTTAACTTACTAAAGCAGTTTTAAAATTTAAAAACCAAATACTTATATCATTTGTTTTCTATTCAATATAACATATATTTTAAAATGAACAAAATATCGTAGAATGGAAAAGAATATAGAATTTTTTCTTTAATGAATCTCAGCCTTCGGTTATGCTTACTTTGACAAGAATCAATATTGTTCTTTAATATGAAAATTAATAAAAGTTCCCAATTTGAATTGCTTATATTAAGATCAACTTTTGTAATTTTTAAGAAGGCGGTTTCTGATTTTTGAGATTGTGTCTAACTAAAAGTAAAATTTCTTTGAAGAATTTTCGGACCGTTATAGACTGATAGAATCAGCTATTCTATCTTTAGTAATAATGCCTTAAAATAATAATTAAGCTTTTTTGGGATGTTGCAAGTGAGTGGGTAAATGAAGTGCACAGATTTATGATGCTGTGAAGCGCAAATTTCGGCCACATGAAGCGAACTTCCACTTATCAAGAGCTATACAGTAACAACAACAACGAAAAGCAACAACGTTTTCCTCATTATAAATGTCATCAGGCATTATTTTGTCCATCAACTCGTCGCAGTTGTCGGAGGGCAATGTTTATGGCTTTTTGCCTCGTGGTTCCGGACTTCAGAGTTGACTGGCACTACAGGATCCACTACTGGGCATGCAGAGAGCCATTTATAATGAAAAGAAAAATTAAACAGGAAATTGAAACCGGACTGGCGTGTTAATGAGAATGCGATGCCATGCCGCACGTCTCGTTAACGGCCAGTTCTTAATTTTCGCCTGGGGACCTTCATTGTTCTTTAACAGCCTCCCAACATCCACTGGATTGTCGTTGCTGTTTACGTTGAGGTGTCCGTGAAATTGGGTAATTACTTTTAATGGCCAATGTAACAGTAAACGAAGTTATGATGATGTCCAAAATTTCCGAATCCTTAACTTCATGCTAAATTCCGCCATCCTTCTTGATACTGTTGTGTATATTTACTAAGACAATTATAAGGTATTTAATATTAATTAAATATTGATTAAAACTAATACTTTAACTATTTGTGAGATTAAAAATCACCCTGACTAAACCTAGCATTTTATTGTAAGTGCTTAAAGCAATGTTTAAGTTTATGATAGGATTAGAGAAGTATTAGAATTTTTAAAAATTGGTTAAATAATAAGATTTAAATTTAATTTCTTACCCCTAGCTTGCATTTAGTATTTATAAACATTTTGCTTAGACAATACCCCCTGATTTTCCGGGGATTGCTGGGCAAGCTTTATCCCCCGTCTGTACACAACAATTAGTGACTCTATTAAGTCGTCGCAAAATCAACAAAATTGAACAAAGCCCAGCGGAGTACTCCCACGCGGGGTTCAAAGCCAAGCAAAAGCAATCAAAACAGAAACTTGTAAACAAAAAAAAAAAATAAAAATAGAGGAAAAAGAGAAAATTAAGCGAGAAAAAACGCTGATATTAAAAGTTGATGGCGTCGCAGCCGACAAATAAAGGCGGGCCAACGAAAAAAAAAAATCAAATGTGTTTTTGGCTGGGATGGGCGACCGCTTAGTTTCATTAAAATTTAAGCAAAACTCAATGGACTGCAAATGCAAGAAATTGGATTGCCAGTGGCCCACAGCAAGGATACGGATGCTTCTCGACAACCTACTCCCGTTACCAATTTCCGGATCTACTGGGAGTTACTTTTTTTTTTTTTGCTTTTCGCCTAAGAGTATCTGGAAATAAATACCAGAGAGAGGACAATAAGACCGAACAGGCAAAAGGGACTCCGTGTCGTCGCAAAGTAGTAGAGGAAGAACTTTGGCGAACTTTCCCATTCTTGCACAATTTTGATTTACGACCACTTAACGTTTTTTATGGTTCCAGACTCGGCGATTGTATAGGAATTCGCGTGTGTATGTATGTCAGATTTTTCTTATAGTCAAGCTACAGTCGACATTCCGGCACTAACTTACCGTTATAGTACATACATAAATGTATATGTATAAACTAAAGTATCTAATGCCGTTGATTGATTAGGCATAAAAGTAAGGTTGAGTCAGCAGCATTTTACTATTAAGATGTGTTCGATACTCTTTTTGTTTTACAAGGCAGAAGTGCTCAACGCCAATGCTCTGAGAGTCAGAGTCTAAATTCTCATTTGTTTTTGTAAATGCTCGCTGCAGTGGTGCTAGTGGCGCTATTCCACCAACAAATTTTTGTTTTCCTCTTTATGCCTCATTCCGTCGTTAACTGTTCTTTTTTTTCCCTGGAACATCTTCGAATATTTGCACTGTAATTCATTTTTTTTACCTTCTGTTGGCAATTTGGAGTTTGTTTTTCAGTGTGGCATCGACGTGACTGTTAAAATGAGTGATAAAATTGTTAGCAAAAAAAATGTTTTTCTTTCTCTCAGTGTACAGCTGCAAACCAACACACTAATCATGTGCACATTCTCTTGTATTTGTGTTAGTAAATGCTCCGCTATAAGATAAATTTGAGCAACCCTGCCCTAAAGTGTATTTATGGTGCTAATTTTCATAGAAATATGTTAAGGATATTGAATAATAATAATTAAAGATTTATAAAATTTTAAATTTAGTGCGATTTTTGGACAATCCCTCATTCAAACAGCCCAACATAAAAATAAAAAACAGAGAGTGTGAATTTTATTTCCGATTTATTTTTATGGAAATGCGTGTCTCTCTATTCGATTAATCGCATTGCCCTGCTGGAGTTTACTTTTATTTCAGTTTTTTGGTGTGATATATATTGTAGCTATGCATACACGAATAACATTTCGTTTTTGATATAATCTTTTTTTTTTTGTAATTTTTGTAATATTTATTTTTAACTAACCTAGTACAGAAATTAAGATGGATTCAACACATACAGTCAGGGTGAGAAATCTATTTTTAATTGGAATCGCTGTGCTTACGTTTTGACTTTTGATCCTGGCATTAATGGTGAAAACTCTGGCAATTAATTTCGTTTCATTTTGATGATTTATATATATGTACGAGTATATTGGGATGTCTGTGTGATTGTTCGTGATTAAATATATTGCGCTTAATTGCGATAATTAGCGTGAATCATTGATGTGTGCCCTACATATATATATAATACATTCACAGACAAGTCAAGAAAGAATTTCGGATTGCGGTTCGTAGTTTGCTGTGTTGCTGTATCGCGCATACACCCCGTGGTACAGCAACATCAATAAGTATCCGGACTGTGCATAAATTATGCATTGCCACAACACCAATAAGTATAGCTGCAAACAATTATGGGCTAAATACTAGTACATTTATTATTATTATTTATTCATACGCCTATCGATGCATCCTATGGAAGTAAATTACGAGTACTCACTAATTATTCACGAGGGCTGCCACGAGACTGGTTCACTTTTTGGCCTGAGGGCGAGTAATGGCAATAAAGCTAATATATATATATATACATATTTAGTTATTTATTGTACCTAAAAATCCCCTCAAGATTTCTATGAAACTTTTTCGTTAATTTAATTTATAATTTTCCCTTAAATATAATATTTTTATATAGCTGGAAGTTAAAATTTGACAAAACGATACAACAAATTTTTAAAACCAATAAACTACCACCTTTTATTGAAAATAAAAAAAAATTTGTAAGTCTGGCAAAGAGTCTTTGCAGGCTTTCATTGTCTCATTACTCGCTCTCTGTCCTCGAAAACCTAGCAAAACCAAGACGAACCGCAAACCCAAAATCCCTTGCTTTGATTTGCCCTCCAAGCCATTTTACTGGAGCAATTCGCTGACCGTAAAGCTCGTTGCCGTGGCAGCGATAAACGCAGGATTGGTGTGATTGCTGGCGGAGTCCTTTGACTCCGGACTGTGGTTCCAGAAGTGTTCCCCCGCCAAGGTGGCAGTGGTGCGATTGGCGCGTTCCATTGGCGGTTCATCCCGCCGCTGCCTTACCGCCTGCGCCTGTGGTCACGAGGACATGTAGGTGCACTGCGTCTTGGGCTGAGGCTCTGTCTGTTCAATGGGCTGAATGGCTGCTCTTTTCCAGTAGTCTCGCACCGTTTCGACTGTCTCCATAATACGTAGGAAATTACGACCCGCCAGCATGGCCACATCCTCCTCACTCCAGTTATGATCCTCGAGCAGGGCGGCCAGTAGCTCTGGATATTTGGATACATCCTCTAGTCCCAATGGTGGCAATTCAATGCCATCGTATCCGGCTCCCAGGCCAATATGCTGGATGCCGGCAATGGCCCGCACATACTTAATGTGCTCGATGACGTCCTGGAGGCGTGCCTGTCGCCCACATGCTACATCTTCAGAATCGAAGCTCAGCATGATTAAGCCACCGTTCTCGGCCACCAGGCGCAGTATATCATCTGGTACATTCCGCGTCGAATTGCACAATTGGCGTGCCGCGGAGTGAGAGAAGATGACAGGAGCCCGGGTCACCTGAAGGACATCCCTGGCTGTGGCATCTGAACTGTGTGAAAGATCGATCATCATGCCCAGCCTATTCATCTCACGTACGATGGCCTTGCCAAATGGCGTGAGTCCTTGTTCTGCCACCGATGCACTTGATCCTGCCCACGATACGTCACAGCGATGTGTTAAGCTGAGATATCGTGCTCCAAGGGAGTAGAAAGATCTTAGGACCCCCAAAGAGGAACCAATTGTATGACCACCCTCCACTCCAATCAGCGAGGCCAGCAGTCCACGTCGATGTGCCTCCACAATGTCCTGCGAGGATGTAGCCAGCACCGTTTCCCGGGCATACATGTCCGACAGGCGCCGCACTATGTCGATCTGTTCCAGAGCCAATTGGACGGCGTCCAAGCCCTGTGCCTCGCACGGTACATATGCTGACCTGCAAAAATGGCAACGAAAGTGAAAAGGTTAAAGGACTTCTGCCAGGATTTGTTTTCCAAATAAAAACATAAGCTATATACTTAGCAAAAATAATGAATTTAAACAAAAAACTTCTCTAATTCAGGCCCTTAAAAATGTAATGACCCACGATTGCTGTTTAATTGGAAAATGCAAATTGAAAGTGCCAAAGTGGTTAGTTAGCAGTTGCGTTGAACTTTGCATTTTAGTTGCCATTTGATATGGCCATAAGCGAGCCAGGGGGCATTCAAAACTTCGCAGAGGACTGGGTTAAGCCCAGAGATCCTGCTGGTTTTGCCAAAAACTGGAAGTGAAGTTCAGAAAGGACGTCGAACGAATTGAAATGCCAAATTGGCGAAAAGTTACGCTTGCGCCATCTGGTGGTCACAGCAGCCGGCTCAGGCTAGTAGTTCGTTCTTTGGTGTGGTGTAGTTTCCTATCCAAAATGAAGTCAAGTCGATTGCCCATCAGCGTTGTTTCCCAAACTGCTGCTGTCTGCCGGCTGTCAGATTGTTCTCCTCCCTTTTTCCTCTAACCGAATTTGAAAAAGGACATTGAGTGGGTGTGCAATCTGCACTGGAAAATAAATTGATCAAATAGTCAAAAAAAAAATGTAGAAAAATATAACACTTTTTTGGATGGTAGCAAAAACTACTTTCCCACTAAAGGTTTCCAATTGCTAAAGATCTTTGTATTAAAAAAAATCATACAATAATTTTCAATAAACCATTTCATGCATAATTTTTTTTCAGTGTGAGATTTGTGTAGGGAAAGGCTGAGTACGACCAACAGCAGACAGGTTGGCTGCTTGCCCTGGGGCATCCAGTCGGTTGCCAAATTTTATTTTGCAGTCAAATTGTTGGCAGCTTTTTATTGCCGCGCGGGGAAAATAGTGGGGTTCAGCCGGAGTGGGCGGCTGTTTTGGATGCCCCCCCACGGTGGGTGTGGCAGCTGGCTATATATGTTGCCATGTTTTGGCCAACAATCGAATGCATGGTGGCAAAAGGGTCAGATCTCTGGCCCGGGTAAATGTCGCCTCGGCCTGATTGCAGTTTTATGTGACTTTTCAATTTTCATGACTTGGCCGCTAGTGGGCGAATTTTCATATCGTATACGCCTCATTGAACTTTGTAATTTCAATTGTAGTTCTTTATTATAATCAATAAATTAAAGTTCAATTTTCCATTAATATCCTATAGTATAACTTTCCTGAACTTACCAAACTTGAACGCTGACCAATCCCTGCTTAAGTCGCTCCATATCCGTTTGCGCCCATGCCGGCCGTGCCCACAATGACTTGTGATCGACATCATGGCTAAGATGGAGCTCCAGGCTGCTGTGGGCGTACTTGCGAACGTTCCAGGCATAATTGTTGTGTCCATCGACCAACGGTACTTCACGCAGAATTCGTCGGACGATTCTCAGTCTTTGGGCGTGCGAATTACGGCTGGGCGCCATAAGGAAGTGCTGATAGGCTAAGGTAGCAGCAATGGCTAGCAGACAGATGGCACTGACCAGTGTGATGGCCACCAGCCAGGAGCCTCTCTTTCCCTTCTGACCACCATCGGCTCCGGCGTTTGCTTTTCTTAAGCCTTTACCCTTTACTTTTCCGGTAGCACTGGCTCCCGTCGCCGAATTGAGCGATGTTGGAGATTTGGCATCGAGACCCACTATCTCACCGCCCACTACGACGCCCCCGGCCATTGGATTGCCAAAGTTCACCTTGGACTTTTGGATGCTGGCTATCTCGCCACCGGAATCGCTGTTCGAGATCGAGTTCTGGCGGGAAAGTGTACGGCGGATGTTCGAGTGCTCGGTGACATCGGGCAATCCACCGAAGCCAGTCGTCTGAAATGGAAAAAATTCAATTTAAATTAATTTTATTAAATCAAATAAAAAGACGTTATTTATTATGAACCAATAGTTATTCAAAGTATATCATTGTATATTTTTTAAGCCATTTCTTTGAGGTATTTCCAAGTAACATAGGCCCAGTTAGTGATTCATTTGACGGTTGAGTTCGTTTCTGAAAATGGTCTGAAGCCCAGCAAATACAATGGTTAACTTCGGTGGGCGGGGGTGGTGAGGCGTTGACTGCAGGGTGATACAACCGTTCGTCGAAAAGTTGCTTCATTAAAAGTGCGTCAAAGTTTCTTCGTTGATTTTGTGCCCTAATTAAAACTGCAGCCGAAGAAGCAAACTTCGAGAGCTCTGCTATATTCATAACTTGCATGAAACATCAACACGATGCGCAGGGAAACTTTTTAATGAACCAAATAACCATATCAGAATCAATATAATGCCCCAGCCACGTTCCATCCACCAACCATAACCATCACCACCCACCACATATTCCTTACCTTTTGGCATTCCCAGTGACGGAATCGAGCTAATCTTGGCCCGACATAATTAAGCCTTAGTCATAATTCATGGACTTGGGCCACATGTGTCCCCAGGTCCGAAAAGCTAACTTCTTCGACCCAACTCGATCCCTTGACGGAGGGGGTGTGCAATGGAATACGCCCACATATACAAAAGGACAAAACTGGGAAAGTTTGTCGTGTGAAAGTTGTGACATAAAGTTTGCCAGGGGCAGGCAATGATTTGTTTATATTGCGACTGCCAGAGGAATTATGCCAAAACTGTGCAAAGTACAAATCAAATCTAAATGCGCACATTGTTGAGCACAAGCCAGGGAATTCCAAGATGAAGATGTTTCAGGGTACAAAATTAGATTGGAAACAAACTTGGAACATTGCTCAAAGATGAAGCAAACTACTTTATATAAGGAGTATTAAGTGAAAGGAACCTACTATGAACTAACATTGCATTTAAAAAACTTTTTAAATGTATTTTGAATTAAGTTGGGGAAGCCTATTATATATTTTGTATGCCCTGGATTGTCAAAAAACTTGTTTCGCAAACGCATTTCATTACATAAATAAATAATACATCGTTTAATACTAAACAAGACCATTTAAAAGGCACACCATTTTCCGTTTGATCAGCTTAAGTAACTTATTCAAGCGAAATAAAATATTGTGTAAGTAATCTTACTACATGGTCACCCTAATTATCGATATGATTCCGATAACCGATAAACAAAGGTTAAGCTAAGATATGATAATTGGTTGGAAAGCATTTTTCGATTGTATTCATTCTTGGTTAAAAAGGGGTAAATAAAAGATTAAAGAGACTTAGAACATAAATATATACATAAATCTACTTTTACAAATATCAACTTCAACTTAAATAAACTTAAATGCAAAAATTGAATTTTAAAGAAGAGTTTACATATCTGTGAAAGCATTTTAATTATATTCTTTCTATGCAGTTGTAAAGTCTTGTGAAAGACATTTCTTCGCAGAGTTTTTATGATGTTTCCGTCGAAAGCTTTGACCCACCCGGACTGCGGCTAATTAGCTGGAAAATCGGCACCACACGGCGTATGAGCAACGAGCGTGATGGAAAGCACAGCAGTGTTTTTGCTGGATTTTAATGCACGGAAATAATTAAATTAAATTGAATGAAACGTGGCCGTAAAAGGAGCTACGTGGGCTTTGACCACTCGCTACATTTTCAACTATTTTTAATTATGAATTTCAAACATCATGAAGCGCAGGGAACAGTGAAATTAACTTTTTTTTTACAAAAAGCAGCAAACTTTTGTGCGGCTCCGCGAAAGTAATAAAACGATAACAAGATGACTGCAGGGGAAGGAGGGGGGAGAGAACTTTTGGCAGCGAAAGAAATATTCATCTCAATTTATTCAATTTTTAATAAAAATGCAAATATTTTACGTGCTTCCGCTATCGCACCCTGGCACCCTCGCACTGCATCCAACACAAAGTAGCATAATTTCTTTCCCCTTAGAATTTGTGTTTAAAAATAAAAATAAAAAAGAAGAAAAACAAAAATCAAGCTAAAAGTTATAGAGCCACCGTTGCGCTGCTTAAAAGGCGCTTCATTGTGCAGTGCACTGCAGTTTTCCACAATTTTTTTTTTTGGGGAAGGACCTAGGCGGGACTTTTCCGGGACAGCTTGGTGTGACGCGAAAAGTTTGTTTGCCAACGGAGGTCGCATCATAGTCAACGTCATCTCGTCGTTGGCATTGCGGGAGCTAAAGCTGTAATCCGCACACCACATTTGGCCACATTTTCCCCCAGACTTTGCTAGCATTTGGGGCGCAGGCGAGAGATAGTTGCCCGAAAAATGCATGACCGTGGGGACCAGCAGCCACAAAATCTGTCCCACAGGTTTGCCTTAGTTTAGCCAAGTTTATAATTAGTTTAGGCCGGGTCATGCCCTGCATTGACATGCCACCAAGAACAAAAACTATTGCGTTTATGGTGAAGAATAGTTTGCTGTTGGGCCAACTAATCGCCACCTTACATACCTTAGCTACTTGAGTGCTAAACGAGATATCTGTTAAGTTAGACATAGGTTAAGATAATCAAAAGTTATTATTTTTGATTTCATTCTTACAATAAATATTATGCATATGATCCTTTAGATTTTATATTGAATTATATAGCAATTTGGTATGCAAGGCAATGTGATTATCTAGTACAGCTCACTTAGCACTCTATTTCCAGCGATGTAATGATGGGTTTTCCCCTTTCAAGTGAGTGCGATAGAAAAGGATGATGTTGGCGTTTTGTGCGTCTGGCGGATTCTGTACAAATTGGCTCTATTGTTGTTGCCTGTTGCCTGATCCCCGACCCGGGGCTGAAATTCGTCCAATTGAGTTTTAAATAAAAATGAGCAGACTATGCGGCAACAACAATGGCAATGGCAATAGCAATAGCAGCAGCAACAACAACTCCATTTTCCTCTCAGCAACAGCAACAACCTGCAGCATGTCAGAAGCAGCAGCAGCAACATCAGAGTCATTCAGCTCGTACAAAAGGCGAAAGGAGGCGGCAACAGGACCAACGTCAACAAGGACAATAACAATGAAAACGGCAACGGCAGCGGCAAAAAATAGAAAACGGGAGCAAGAAAAAACTGTTACGGAATGCTTTATAGTTTCCGCCATTATTTTCCCTTTTGCAGCTGCAGTTTTTAGTAGAACCTTCTCTATATATATATATATATATCAACCTTTTTTTTGTGCATCAGCAACACCCTGGCAAGCAACGAGAATTTAGTCCGAGACTAAAAACAACTAAAATCTGTGCCGCATGTGCAACAGCCAAAGGGGTTTCGCAATGGTCGGTGGACAGGAAACGCTCTTTGCTGTATGCTGAAAAGTATTTGTCATGCTATATCTCATCCCAGCCGTGTGCATATATCATGTTATACGGCAGCACTCGTGGGAAACAAAGCAAATCCATTCCATAAATAATCCCCCAGTGGCTCCATGTAGAATTCCGGGTAGCGAAATGTTGGAATGGCGATCTCTTCTAGGTGCGAGTGCCAAAATATTCGCACGTTCTCTCGTGAAAGTAAATTGGTGGTATAACTTAATCTCTTCCTTTTGATTTACAATCGCTTTAACATGGTAATACGGGTGTTTTCCTAAACGTTTCCCATTTATTTACTAATTTTTGGATAAGTAATACTTAAGAGATGCTTAAATGAGAGGTTAGTTAGTAAGTTTCTGTAGTTTCCTATTTACTTCAGTTGGGTGTACCCCAAAGAGGCTACTTCATGTTAATGGATATTCCATCCTGTGTTCCTGTCATGTTAAGATGTCTGCAATAAGACAACTTTCTCGAGCAAGTAATAACTTTCGCAGACAATGCAGTAAACTTTGGCAAATCAATTTATCGAGTGGCCCTTTGCCTTGATTATGATTGATTCGACCAACAAGAAAATAACTCTATGTACAAAGAATTTCTGGTCAACTTTATCAATTCGCATCTATTGTACGCCGGATGTGATGAAGCTGTCCGTCTCTGAGCCGGAGACCCAAGGACCCCGGGGGAGATAGTGCACAGCAGGCATGTCGACAACCCCAGTCCTGGAGTTGTCGACTGTGGTCCTTGCCAGCTGCTGTTCCTGCTGCTGTTTTTAGTTTTTCAAATGTCATTTGGCCATTTCACGCTGATGGACATCAGTCTCGGTCCCCCCTTGCTCTCATCCCCGCCAGTCCACAAATTGCCTTGTGGCTGCCACGTAATTTCTGCCTTCCGTACTGAGGTTGCTCTGGCAACAGCCGCATTCAAATGTTGCAATCGTTGAAGGCAAAACCAAAACGAAACCCAAACCGTCTACACAGAAAAAAATCGAAAGTAAATAAAATAAAATGTAACTTTTAAGGATTTTATAATTTAGAGATTTCTAATGATGAATTTATCGTGGAACGATAATTTTATTTGAATATAACGGTCGTCTCGTTTCTAGTTCGCTGTCTCGTTTCTAGTTGGTTCATAGTACGGTACTTTCTCGTGTTATGTTAGTATAAGTACGACTACAAAAGAGTAAAAGTAAAGAGTAAGTGAGACCAAGCTAATGCATTGCGTGATCTCTTGAGATAAGTGAGAGTGAATGGGATGATGATAGTAATGCATGCAAATTGCGCAGCTGAATTACTCGTTAAAAAAATATAAGAGAAGAGGAGGAAAAGTCATTCAAAAAGATTACAAATTTGATTACCAATTACAAATATTTTCTTTAGTGTAGGCCCAGGAGATTGGTCCGAAGGACAGCAGACTGTTGGCCGTTGGCGTTAGCCACAATGGCTGTGTTAGAGCTTCGCATTTTGTTTGTTTATTTTGCCGTCCCATTGCGACTTATGTATGTGGGCGATGACCGGCAAATGTCCGCACCCTCTTCCCATTTTTTACCCACTTTTTGCCCCCTCACCCTTTTGGCTGTTTGTTTTGTGCCAACGGAATCGAAAC